TTTTTTTTTTTTTTTTTTTGTTTTTTGGGGGGGGGGGGGGGGGGGGGGAGTAAGCGGGGGAGAATTAATTTTAGCACGTTCTGTCGTTACAGTATGTTTTATTAAGGCGCTAATAACTTTTATTTATCTATTCAATTCCAATATAAAGGTTTAAATTATAAAAAAAAAGAACCTTTTCTTGTTGTCCTCCAAAAGTAAATATAAACTGTTTTTTATCCTTTCCAGAACCTCTCTAATCCACTAAGAGGGGCTACTTTTCTCGAATTCGCACATTTATAATAATTACAGTGCCTCTTTTCTATACTGATCGACAGTTAAAGTCCATGCGAGACAGATATACGTATTTCTGGGAAGGAGTTGCATACATAGCCAGTCTATTTAATTCATCGTCAACTCCCTCCGAGATCCTTGCTTCGCAAACATAAGCCTCTCTCAAACTTCTTAAACTATGGCGTCCTCATGATTGTACCCTCCTTCTGACAGTCCTTGACAAAATCATTCCATCCCATCCCAAACCACTTAGAGATGTTTCGAGGGCCAGGGCGATCCCTGAGCAACTTCTTCCCATGACGCAGATCTGGGTTCGCCCTGTACGTAAGCAAAAGCTTGATGAACTCTGCTGCTTCTCGCGTGTCGTTTTTGGAAGCGCACCAAAGGGGAGTGAAGGTGGAGCTCTGGCCGTGTAACGAAATATTTACGTCCGCGCCATTTTGCAGGCAGAACATGGCTATAGATTGTGTTTGGCATCGTTTAGCAAGAAAGACGAGACAATGACCAAGGCAATCTTTGTCGAGCTTGTCCTTGACAATCTCCAGACATTCAAGAGCCGCAGCTTCGGCAATGATGTCTGGCTCCATTGGAATGAATTTTTCGAAGAAGTCATCTTCAGTGATTAAGGACCGTTTTGGCTCAGAATCAGGTTGAATAGTTGCCAAGAAATGGAACATTTCAGGGGAGCGCGTCGGAGCGGCTTTGGTGAACATGCCGTCACACTCTCTGGAGACGACGTGATGCTGAAGCAACAAATTCAAATACTCAGGATTTGCAAGCTCGAGAGCAAGGTTCCTGAACAAGTTTTCGTTGGTTGGGTACTTGTATGGTCGGCATACCTCGAGTATTAATTCCATCATTGTGGGCGACGTCGGCTGCTCTAGACATGTTCTCAGACAGACATTTCTCGACTTCTGAACTTCATCATAAAAGCTGAGAACCAAGTCTTGGTCCTCTGACTTTATAGCATCGATAAGGATGTATTTTACCTCATCGCGCCCAGCGAGTTCGGCTTTGGCGACTGTTGTCTTTTCCACGTGCTTCTGATGAGAGCGGTGCAAATGACTCTGAAGCTGGATGTCGTTTTGAAAGCCCAAGATGGAAAAGTCGCAGTTGGTGACATTGCATTTAAAAGGCCGATTGTGGACTTGAAGGTGCCGATCTCTCTCTGCGCGAGCTTCAAATCCCCCACGGAAGCGAGCACATCCGGGTCTGGAACACCGATAGGATTTGGAACCGTATAAATCCTGAAGGGTAGAGCAGTTGCACTCAGTTATATGTTTTTCGGTGTTGCAAAGCAACTGTTCGAATATGGTTCGAACGACAATTTGGGTGGCAGATGTTGTAAGAGGATCAGCCGCGAAGAGTGTTTGTTCTGCACATGCGTCAGCTTAAGATCTGTGTGGCTCTTCGAGTAGTCTTCATTTACCATCCTTGAAGCAAAACTCTCGCTTCCTCCTACACCAAAAATCATTCACGGCCACGAGATCTTTGTGGAGATTTGGATGTGCTTTTTGGAAGCGCTCGAGCCCAGGCACAGAAGGTGGTTGCGAGCGACGGTCCACATGAAAGGACGAGTTACTTCGAATGCCGAGGAATGTTTGGATGGTCCCAGCAAGTTCTTCAGCAGCTGTTCCTTCGCTTCTTTTAACATGGTCGAGCCAGTATAAGCAAGCGTAGTTTTCCAGAACATAGGCACCGTTGAGGACCCTCTCCTTAACCACATTGAGGTTGGTATCTTGATCAAAACAGCTTGATCCAAGATAGCGGAGGCATGTAGTTGCGATTCTAGCATGTGCTTCACCTTCCTTCAGATATCGTTTACTCTCGCGACTGAACAGGTACCTAAGATTCGTTAGATTTCAGTGTGTAAAGAAGGGCTTTCCACGTACTCTCGTGCAGTGAAGTGTACGAAATGAACAAATCCGTCAACTTCTTCTATGATTGATCCACATCTCTGAAAGATATTCAAGATCAGGTCACTGCACCCTTGGGAAGGGTCTCCACGGCATTCCAATGCCAGAAGTATCTCGCTGTTCGACATTGGGCTGCAACAGCAGCTCACCCACTCAAGTATTTCTCTCGCTTGCTCCCGTTCTTGGGGACGAAGATCTTCCTCTATCCGTCTTAAGACTCGATCATACCTAACGCGAAGTCAGTGCTGATGGACCGAAGCAGAGAAAGCAGACTACTACTAACGCTTCGTATAAACCAGAGGGAAGATTCGTCACCTCTTTCTCAATTCTTGCCAGGGAACCTTGAGACTCCAGGTTACCACAGACCAGTCTCGCATATAGAAACATTCCTAGTCTTTAATCAGCATTCAAAGCTCAGTCATAGAGTCCTACATAGCTACCTTGTGCATTTGGTGCGATCTTCCCCATCAGAGCCTTAATTCTGTTCTTCTTGTCTTGATTAAATGGCAAGGTTGATAGCCACGCATGTGACCTTTTGGCTACGTATTCTTTGATGCTTTCTCCATTCTCATTGTGCACACGAATGGGGTCTACTCTTGACTCGAGCATCCTGAGGATATCCTGTTCAGCCCTACTACTGATCAACAGTTTGAGGTCGTCGTGTGCGTCGTGTAACTCAAGGAGCGCGCCAAGTATACGGGGCCTGTTGATCTCCGCAATTTCATCCAAACCATCAACAATGATGTAGGCCAGCCCCAACTGCTGAAGGAGCCTTTGCAGCATCATCATGGAGAACTCGACAGAGCTTGAAAACTGATCCAGCTTGTCGTTGTACGCATTGGATACGAGCGGTCTAAGATCCTTGTTGATGATAGCTAGTTGGAATATCATGGAATGGAGTAATTTCAAGAGAGAGCCTTCAGAACGTAAGTGGTAGCTCAGCATGAGAAATGCCACAGGCTTATTTTCGTTTCGAAGTTGGGAAATGATGAAGGAACTCAAACAAGTTTTGCCTTTTAGATGTAAGTATCATTCTTCCCATTTGTACACTAATTTACTCACCTGCTCCTGGTATGCCTTGCAGCCATAGAAGCCGCGAGTCGGGTTTTGCTGGGTCGAGCCAAAGTTTGAACTTGTCCAGCTTTCGTATCTGTTTTCCGGAGTCTACGGAGCAGCGCTCTGTCGCGTTCTCCAGCTCTTTGTAGTAGAGATTCGGAGACAAAGATTGCTTGGCAGCTTCGAAGTCCTGTCTTTGCTGGAATTCGTAATCTCGTTCGTACTTTTGGTAGGCATCTATCCTGGCCTGATGAGCTTCAGTGATGTCCATCAAGGTCACCGCGCTGTCCATCATGGCTTTGCTTTTCGCGATGTTGTGCAAAATGACCTCCAACTTTCCGTGATACTTTGGCCACAAAGACTCAAGAACAAGCCTCCAACCTGAAACATTGGGTAAGTATCTTTCTTGCGAGGCGATATTAAACTTACTCTTGATCTTGAAAAACTTGAGCACTGTAGAGTGAAAGTCGAGGATATCCTTGTAGAAGAGAGCAAGCACTTGTTTGATCCGGTCGCTACGGTAAAAGGTTTCGGCGTATTTGTCAAACTCCGGCAGGGCATTGCCAAGTTGCTCCATGGCGTCCAGAATTTTGTCGTAGCTTCTAACGTAAGTGCTGGCAATCTATTACTCTCGTGGATTAGAAAAATTGCTTGTAGTTAAGGAGTTCATTACATACCAACAAGATGGCTTTGATGCTCCCCTTTTGTTTCGTTAGCCAGGACCATGAAATTCTTGGGGCACCAGCCACATCCATACCCATATCGGCGAGATGAACTCCGGTTTTGTTTGCGCGAAGGTCTCGACAACAGCCGCATAATGATTGATGCATGTCAAATATGGCTGGATCCTCTGCAGGTAGCGCAGTGCCTTTGAGCTCGATTGCTCTTGTTGAATTTTGTCCGTGGTATCGTATACATCGTGGATCGTCGTGAAACTTGAGAGATCAATTCCTGCGCTAAGGTCCGATTCGCGGAGAAATTCTTTTTTTGCAGTCTCGAATGCCTCTGCGGAAGGAGAGGAAGCCATCGTTCATGATAGTGTGTCAGGGCTGGTGAGTCAAATGATAAGATGTTGCACTGCGAAACAACAGCGGTGAGCGAGTTATGGGTTCGCGCGTCTTTTTGAGCTCTATCAGGCTGTGCAAGCGCAAGCGCACGCGGGGCAGAATTGGGCTTGGCCGCATGCAAGCGATCAGCACAGCTTTCAGCTGAGGCTGCGTTTTTTGCTTAGATGGGAATGGCTCCAGCTGCACGTCAGCCCTTTCGCATCGCAGTGCGTGGGACAGCAAATCATGCCCCAGTCGCAGCAAGTCCGCCTCGCCACGTATTCAAGTGAGACGATCGGCACAGCCTGCACAAGCACACAGCCCCAACGAGGCTCAATGCACTAAGGCTTTCAGCCCGGTCTCTCCAGACTGAAAATACTTCCCCTCCCACTTTTGGGGGCTCTCCAGACCAACATCATGGATTCCCCTCGATCTGGCATCAAACGCCCCTGGTCCGCTCTGGAAGACCAGGAGCAATTCGACCAATTAGGAGCAGAATATCTGCATAGTGGGGTGAAGCGAGCTTGCTCGCCAAATCCATCACCGCAGCCTACCAGATCGACTCCTCTGGAACTTCAACTGGACCTCGAACAAATAGGAGACAATGAAGAGCCCTCATTTATATTGCCTAAACATGACACTGGGCATTATTTGTCACCATTCAGGTCGACTACCGGCGGCAGCTACTTACAGGAGACACAAGCCATACAACACACACCTCGAATAGTGGTGGCCGATCATGATTTCAGGGAAAGAGCAGTGGAGACTATGATCTGGAGTGGTGATCATGCAGAGGGGGGATTTGATGGTTCAGCTCTGAGCCATGCAGTGTCTTTCATCGACGACCTTGATACAACCAACAGTACGGTTGATTAAGCGCTTTTTATTGAACTGAAGGGTTGACCCGAATGTTTTCCAGATACTCCGAGCACCCAAACACCCTCTGCCATGGAGGAGGAAGATATTTTACCAGCTTATGACACATGTTTTGGCATGGTAAGACAACCATACTGCTATCGAATGCATAGTAACAATGACACAGATTCAACTCGATACTCCCAGGCTGCGTCTTGATGAGCTCGGGTATACTGGTCAATCTCGTATGAACGTCAACCTGCAGGTCAATGGGAGTATCATAATTATCCGGAACGAACATAACTCTGTTTATGGCGGGGTTTTGTCCGGAGATGAAACACACGCATTGATCAAGCTAACCCAAAGCTTTCAAGTTACGCTGGCTGCATATCTGCTCGTGTCAAAGGCGGCAAAGAAAGAGGTTCCGAGTAGTACTATTTGCATCGTTCTCCATGGACTGCGCCAAGACTCTGTCAAAATTGGTGCCGTGTTAGGAGGCGCAGGTATCTACCTTCAACCTCCCCATGGGTTTCACACACCGGTCCCTTATTTCAATCCCCAATATCTTCACCGTCCAGGAACTGATTTTTCTACGGCTACTCCGCATCAGCTTGTAGAGTCAGATGCAATCTTCTCAACTGTGCTCTCGGATGAGGACCCTTTCAAATATCAGGTACTCGAGGTGTTTAACGCTGCTCAGGGCCCGGCCACATATCAAAATGTCAAGCCTAGTTCAAGGCTGAAAACGCCCTTGAAAGAGTGAGCACATTTAATTTCCTTTTGTTATGTCTCTTCTAAATCAGAATCACTGATGCCAAAATCTACAGGCATCAGCTCAAGGCGCTTGCAATGATGATTGAAAAGGAAAGTGGTATTACGGAGGATGCCAAATTTGGCTCAATGTGGAGTCAGATTACGGATCCAAACATTTCTTTCCGGTGCGACGAAATGCGAATACATTCATCAAGGACCAAATCTGATAACGCAAGCCAGATACAAAAGCATTGTCACCGGCACATTCCAATTCGAAAAACCACTAATTTGCCTTGGTGGGCTGCTTGCAGATGTACGTACACGGGTTCATAAATGATCATCTTTTTCTTCATTTCAGAAGCTAACAAATGAAAGGATATGGGGCTGGGTAAGACGTTATCAATGTTGGCCCTGATCACAACCTATCTGGATAACGTTGAACATGTTGCTATCCCGCAACAAGATCCGAATCCAAGGAACAGCACCTTGATCGTTACCCCGATGTCTTGTGAGTCTATAGTAATCAACTGTGGCAGTCACTGTATGCTAAATTTGTAGCCAGTGCTTCTAACATGGGAGGAACAAATAAAAAGGTAGAAACCGCCAACCGCCTGAATTATCCATAGATACTGACGTCCCCTGCTCAGCCACATCCATGGCAGCAGAATTTGCTACCACATCTACCATGGCGCAGGGAAACGAAAGGCGGCTTCTGCTCTGAAAAAATTCGATATCGTCCTGACCACGTACGACACTCTTGTTGCTGAATATCGCAAGACTGATAATCAGACGAGTAAAAAGATGAAAGGAATTGCCTCACTGGAATGGAGCCGTGTTGTTCTTGACGAAGGTAAGATGGAATTTTGTAGATTTTAAATGATTCTCAAGCTGATAAAAAATCATTAAAACAGCCCATGTGATACGGAACGCTTCTTCAAGGCGTCATCAGTGTATGCGTAAGCTCCAAGCAACGCATCGATGGTGCCTCACTGGAAGCCCCATGTTCAACCGTGTTGAAGATTTTGGCTCCCTACTGACTTTCCTCCGAGTCGCTCCGTTCCATGATCCTTCCTTCTTCAATGCTCATATATCCAACTCGCTGAAGAAAGAACCAGAGAAAGCGCTTGAAACTCTGAGAAAACTTGTTCAAGCAACTTCCCTCCGACGTACCAAGGATTCTGTGTTTGGGCAGTTGCACCTTCCACAACGTCACAGTCGAGTAAACGATATCATACTGGACGGGGAAGAGCGAAATCTGTACGAGATCCTCAAGAACAGCTACAAGATGATATTGGAAGCATCGACGGTATCTGAAGCACAATCGACGCCCTGCATATTTCAAACAATCCTCCGGCTCCGACAGTTTTGCGACCACGGTACGGACCTTCTCCCGCGCTCTGCTTTGGCAGTGTTCGAAGACTCCATGGACAACAAATTACTTACGGAAGAGCTCTTGAATGCGAGTCAGACATGTGCATTGTGCAAGAAAATGGTCAAAAGCAAAGGTGGCAGCTTAGATAAATCCGAGCTTTTCCTCGATTGCGGTCATCAGCTTTGCAGTCGATGCGAGAAGAAACAACAAGAGAATACCACTGCGGTGGATATAGCCTGCAAAATTTGCTCTGGCAATAGAACACCTGGTAATCTTTCGCCATTCCCGTACTCCTCCGGGGCCATGGATGTCGATGTTCCGTGCAAACCTTCTTCCAAAGTCAAAGCTCTCATCCAAAATCTAGAGGCCGAAAGGAATGTCGGCGCATCCCCGCCAATCAAAAGGTACGTTTTTCACACTTGCACGTTTGATACCTTTTTGCCTTCTACTCTTCCATCATCTTAGTTAAGTAGAAATAGGAGCCGTATACAGCACTAACACTATTCCAGTGTCATCTTCTCCTGCTGGACCAAAATGCTTGACCAAATCGGCAAAGCCCTTTTCGCCAACAACCTCTGCTTCGAACGTATTGATGGCAGCAAATCAGACTCGCAGAGACGTACGGCACTGGAAAGCTTCCGGAATGATCCGGACTGCTGCATCCTGCTTGCCTCGATTGGGAGTGCGGGTGTAGGGTGAGTGCACCGTCAAGTCAATCATCATATCTCCCTCCCCGTGATTCCATTTCCGCCACCCTTATCCGTGCTAGATTCAGCTGATTTGATACCTGAACAGGCTGGACCTCACAGTAGCATCGTGCGTTCACCTCATGGAGCCGCAGTGGAGCCCGATGGCAGAGGAACAGGCGTTGGACAGAGTACATCGTATGGGGCAAACGAGAGACGTAGTTGCCACACGCTATGTCGTCAAGAACTCCATCGAGGAAGTGAGTTCCATGGTGCCCAGTTTTCTTTCCAATCTGCTGATATGATACCTCATAGTACGTCATTTCGGTACAAGAGATGAAGTCTAAGGTGATCAAACAGTCGTTCGATACTGGCACTGCTACTGAGACGTTGAACGTGAGGGAGCGGCTCATGAAGGTAAGAGGCCCATCTTCAAATAAGCACCTCCATACTAATTTTTTGAGTAGTATCTTCAACAAACCTGAGCTCGATGATGCAGGAGAAAACGGGAACATAATTGTAAGGGGTTCAATCCGCTGAAATAATGCCTAAGGCTGTGTTCATGTTTCAATCGAAAATCTTCAGTGTTCGGAGCATGTAGTGACTATGCACACATTCACTTAGTGCCCTCTTTAGACCTCTTGACTTGCCTTTTGGTCAGTTGAGCGATGTGAGAAAATTTAAATAGTAGAGAGGTATCTCACATGGTTAACAAAAAAAAAACAAAAAAAATTCCGTGACAACGCACGGTGAGAAGTTCGTTGAATCCAGCTGACCATAAATGATCGCAGAACTTTTTGGGGTTGCTATCAAAACCGTCTGCCTTCAACCTAGCTAGTTTCAAAAAAGCCATGTAAGTATGTAAGTATAGTACAGCTGTCCAGGTGATTACCCAAGATGTGCAGGATTTGTAGCGCCCGCCGTAAATTCATGCCCCCGACGCCAGGAACACAAACCCCACCCCCATCCCAACGCCAAAACACCCACCAGAAAAATCTAGAAAAACCTCTCACTCCTAACCCGAGCCCCGCCCCAGCCACCTCGGATTCGCATGCGTCTTCGCATACGCATAGATAGCGCCGTAGTCCTTGCACATATGCGTGCTCCCGATCCCAAACGTGCCAAACGAAAGCGTGTCCTTGCCCTTCGCGATGGTGTACGGGTCGGCGCCCTCGAGGGCGGTGTCGCCGCAGCACATGATGGCCTGGCGCAGGTAGTCGAAGCAGTGCATGGCGTGGGCCGTGTCGCCGGCGTGCGAGTGGGACCGGTGGTCGCCGCGGTCGGCGTCGAGGAACATGCGGAGGATGGAGTCCTGCGGAGCGAAGGTGTGTGTCAGTGTGCGGTGTGATTGGGGGGAAATGTGGTGGGGAGGAGGAAGGGCACGTACCAAGCAGTGGATCTGGTGGAAGACGGACATGGCGTAGTAGTACGGGGCGGAGGGGTCGTCCTTCTGTAGTGGGGGCGGCAGTGTGGACTTTGTGGGGTCGTCGACGGGGACGAAGCCTTCGCCCTCTGGATGATTTTGTGTTAGTTTGAAGTTCCATGTCATGAGGTCAGAGTCAAGGAATTGTGCTTCGCTTACCAGGTATCAATTCAGCCCAGTTGTCGAGCACCCGCTCGCGGTCTTTCTTCGTGAGCGTGGAGATGTCGACATCTGGTCCATACGAAGAGTCGTTCCAGAAGACTCGTGGGACTCTTGGGACTGGAGAAGAAAACGTAAGTCGGAACCTTCAAATTTATGGTGGGTGAAAGTGAGATACGTACACTCGGGTACCAGACTGTTGATTTCCTCGCCAAGAAGGGTCTGCCTGTGAGCCGAGATTCCAGAGAAGATTGCGTAGAGCACCCAAATAGAGACGGCTGTGAGTAGCACGCCGGCAGCGATGGCGACAGGCGCAGATGAGAACTCTGCCAGCTGATCTCGGGAGAAGAGTGAGGAGGGAGAGAAACGCCGCTTGCGACGAGGCAGATGCTCGTCATCTTCAGTGTGTGGGACTGCAGCGTACTCCGCCATTTTTGAAGAGGGTAGGTTGCAAGAGATGGGAGGAGGGAGAGAGAGTGTATGTTCTTTGCTCTCTTTATCACGTGATTGGCTTATTGAAGCACCGATCCGGTGTCTTGATCTACGTCATTGACTGCGCACGATTGGGAGAGTTCTGGAGATATTTCTCGGCGCGTGAGACTCTATTATAGATCCCTCGAGCAGTAGTGAAGCTACGTGTCGATGTCAATCGCGCTGAAATAAGATAGCATGGCAGACACAGCGCGTTGCACCAGGTAAGCCACGTCTGGCACGTGTTTCATGCCAAGCTTTGAATAAGCTTCTTGCGTCTCTTGGAAGCTTTTTCCCGTGCTTCTGACGCGCCAAAGTTCTCAGTGCTGTTTCACATATTGGTGAAAGTAAGCACGTCACTTCAACCTGGCCAGTCGCAATGTTGATGATCCTGGGTCACGTGTAGTGATTTGCTCAGAGCAGGAGAATATGCGCCCGCGTCGCGTGCTGGCTCTTGGCACGGATCTCCAGGGACAGTTTGTACTGTTTCTAAATGCCTACAGATAGCCGACTGTTTTATGGTGAGATTGCTATTTTCGACACCACCGCCTCCGCCTGCCGGAACGAGCGGAAACTTCCCATGGCTCTCGAGCGGGCATGATGTGACATTCACGCCGAAAATGATTTCGTATCCTCAGTTCCCATGGACGTTCAGGGACATTCGAGTAAGATGGTTCTTTGTTTGCCGCTGGTGGCTTGTAAGCCTGATGGAGCGTCAAAGGTCTCGCGGCAGATTACGGGGCGTGCACCTGAGTCAGCAAACCAGTGGTCTAACTGCTCCAGGATAATGAGCCGAGCCCGTTCGCGTCAAAGACGCGCCGATCCTTCGCGCTCAGACTCCATTCCACCAATGCCAACACACCATGCAGCGTCGCGCCCAGCGGGTCGTACCTCAGACGCGTCGCTATGCAATACAACGCGTCGCGTTATGTCCTCCAATCACCGTGCCTGCAAGTATCGCAACCCTGTCTGCCTCTGCTCTTTTCAGCATTGGTCAAGCCAACTCAGCACTGCTGCCTAGTTGCACTCTTACACTATCGTACCGCTCAGCAGCACCTGTTCAGTGCATGCAAAGTGGAAGTTTCAATTACATCATCAAACAAAGCAGCGGAAATACATGTTTGCCTGCCTTTGTACTGAAATCAGAATCAGGCAAACAGGGTCCCCAGTATCAGAATGGACCAGACAAATATTCTAGTGCAGAATGAGGCGAAATCATTGCGGGACAAGCGAGCCATGCATACTGCTCTCTTCAGAGGCCTTCCAAGCTTTTCCCCACCAAAGTTTGATCGGGTTTTGTCTTCGTTTGCACCATGCATGACGTGGCACGACACCCTCAGCAGGTCTCCGCTTTTTGGGATACATATTTGTGCGGTCCCCGCCATCACTCTGCCCTCTGCAACTTTTCTCGGCTGAAGGACTGATCCCATCATCACCATGAAGTCTAGCCGGAACGATTTCGAATTTCTCATCAATCATGTCATTTTGCCAGCGAAGTTACCCCAGCAGGAAGAAAACACGGACATTGAACGAAGCGGAGAGCAGTTACTGTTGCACTTACTATCGAAGACTCTGGATTTATTTCTCACAAAGTCTTCCCCCGAGGCTCGTGAAAAATGGAGGCCAGTATGCTATGCACTGCGTGGTTTGTGGGACATGACCAATGGCTCGTTGGACTCGAAAGCCGCCATGGAAAAGGATCTGAAGAACCTCAAGCCTGGTGGTCAGTCAATCTCTAATCACTATTGCAAAGTCGAGCTAACCATCAGTAGATGCTATGATCGTTTTCGTTCGAGCACAGAACTCGGGACTTCTCCTCTTCCGTGAAGATGCCGCAAATGTCCTGGTCCATGCCTTCGAGGCTTCAGCTGTATCTGAAGACGTGATGCAATCCTCCGATCGCCTGATCTGGAGGTTTCCTGGCCAGACCATCAGTTTCGGAAGCCACATCCTCGAGGATAGATATTTCACCGATGAGTTAGCGACGATGCTACACCAGATGAGCAACGAGCACGTGGAATCCTCCATGCCGACCACTAAGAAGGCAAATTCCATCGTGCCAGAGGAACGTGAAACCGCCCATCCAAGGCTGGTGACTGAGGCACTCATTCCCATGCTATGTGCTTGGGGAGGACCCTGCAAAGGCCCAGAAGTTATCAAGCATGTCCGTGATGATGTCAACTGGGACAAAAGCAGGCTGCCTTGGAGACGCTCCCCGCTTTGGCTTGTTCTTCGCGTCAGCATGCAAATACTCTTATCGCACACCTTTCCCGAAGACCAAGGACGAAGCCAGTACAAGAACTTTATGGCATTCTTCATGGCCAGAATCTGTACGGAAGTTGTCCATGAACATGCCGGGGCCGATGTACGAATGATCGCTGCTGTGAAGACTGCACGGCGTTTATCCAAACTTGGCGATCAAGCGCTACCCTACGTTGGGGAAGCCGTCCAAGGTGCCGTGGCAGCAATTCGCGCCGGGTTGGACTCTTCCTGGTCAGAGTTTCAGACGCAGCAATTACTGTCCATCCCCAAAATATCCCAACAAGCAACCGATGATGACTGCATCCTCAACTTGAAAAAGAGCCGCGAATACCTTCATGCTGTTACGCGTGGTCAAACTGAAAAGCCACGCTTGCCTGAGCTCGACTTGGAAGCCGGACCTCGATTGGAATTCAAGGCAGATGGCTTGCCTCGCCTAAATCGAACAGCAGATGCTGTTCTGAACCTGGTACTTCTTACTGACTTCGAGACTTGGGTTATGGAAGATCTCCATTCGTGGACAAAAAGCCGAGAAGGAACCCCAGCAGATTGCGACTCGTTACTTGTCGAATTCCGCGCTTACCTCGACTTTGCTCGTGAAACGTACGCTGAAAATCCTCGGGCACTTTCCGTCATGATACTGGCCATTTTGGAAATCTGGAGGAATCTAGATATCCTCTGTCTGCAGGTGCATCCTCTGATGCGGGAATTCCCTCCTGAGATTCCGATGGAGTTTGGAAGCCCACTTCTACTTCCACACCGATGCCAGATGGAGATCTTGGACCGCATTGAAACCCATCTTGCAACGCGTTGGCGGGAAGCAGACTCAAATAACCCACCCATCCTAGGCCAACTGTCTTCGAGGTCTTTTTGCGTCCAGTTTTACGCGCAATCCGAAGCCCACCAAAGCATGAGGAAAGAAATCGAAGCAGAGGCCGGAAGAAGGAGAGAGACCAAGCGCTCAGAATGGACGGAAAGATCGGAAGAGTACCGACGACTCATGCGCGACGAGTCCAGGATGAGCCATTCGTACTTTACTGGTAGATGGGGAGAGTCCATTCACGCAGGCTCCTGCGAGAAATGTCGGACATCGAACCAGGCTATGAATATGCGAATTGACGTGGATGAGTGGCCACTACCCTCTGACGAGACACAAGCAAAAGCAGTCACCTTCGAGCTGGATTGCCCCACTGCCTTCTCGGCCTGGCGTGATGCCACATGGCTCATAATCCAGTACTTGGGACGCTCCGAGCACATATCCGGTCATGCTATTCGCCAGCTAGTTCTTGCATATGACCCTTTGAGCACTTATGCTTGCCCTCAAGGCCGGATAATTACGTTAGGCTCGTACACAAAGTCTTTTCTTCGGTCGCACTACAGAAACCAATGTTTTCCGGTCGAATTCGCAACGATTTCAGTTAATAATGGCCTACGATACGAACTGATTGATACGGAAACCAGTTGCTGGGTGCGGGACCAAAGCCGTACGCCAAAAGCTGACCGACACTGCATTTCGTTGCTGCCCACCGGACCGTACTCAAGCTTACAAGATTTCGTGGATACCACATCTCGTATGCCAAATGAAGGATTGGCTAGCCAGCACAGATCCACTGCCGAGATAACTGCTCACGAATTTCTTGCATTCGCCTCCTTGAGGGCAGGCGAACGGATCCAGTGGCTAAACATCATACGAGAGCTTGGATCAGCGGATCTGTCGTTCAACGCCCCAGCTGTTCATGTGCTTCTTCGACAGGCAGCTCTACAGGCAGGATCAAGTGTGGAAAATACCATTCTCAGAGCAGCCCACGTACATTTCGAGGATCTAGACTTCTGCACTCAGCTCGTTGACCTCTTGGAAAGCCATCTCTCCAATGTCACTTCGAACTGGAAAGAACAAAGCCGGCTTGCGACAATTGCTTTACTGGGCCTCCGAGCGTTGACTCTGAGCTCACACGCCTCAGTAGCAAGTCGAGTCATTCAGATGCTGCGAGAAGTACGAAGCGTAGCACTCGCTTGGTGCCGAGAGATTTCTGGCGACATTGACCAATGTCCCACCGAAGACGCGACCCAGAGAATGAGGAATTTCATCAACATGTCTGCGCTCACTTGTCGAATGACGTACAATACTGACCATGGCAACATGCATCTTGTCCTGGCCGACCAGTGTGACGTTGCAAGCTTTGTGGAATCCTCCATCTATCTCAACGATAATTATTCCGCGCACCAACATGTTCCTGTTGAAATTGAACAGGCCATGCTCCTGGACAAGAAGTTGTCACGGAATCTTCAGGCTCGCCTCAGAGAGCTGATCAAGGTTTCAGGGAATGGAGTCAACACTGGAATCACTAATGCCTATGGGCTGGAAGGCCTGAACGCGGGTTGGGAATTTTTGGTTGGCAAAGAGAATAGGTGGCTATTCTCCACTCGTGTGGTCAAGTCGGACAGCGTCAGTCAGTCCTGTCATTACGACATCTTGTCCGGAACCTTCTTGTTGGATTGGAGACGTATTGGTCGACTCCCTCCGGAGTATATGCGTGCTCCAATTTACGCTAGATTGTTTGGTTCGGTAAGTTTCACTACTAAAGCTCCATGCGCAGTAACGTGCTAATTATTGAACAGCGTATACTCAACGTTACTCAGTCCCACCTGAGCCGGATGGAGTATATGTCAGTCAAACCGATCAACGGTCACGAGGTAAGCCATCTTAACAAATGAAAATCAAGAGCTAACAGCATTTCAGGTGCACCTGACAATGGAGGAAGGTGAACTTCTCGTCGAAGCCAAAATTGGGGATTCCCATCTCCGCCTCATACCTCATACGATCCTGAAGCCCGATCTGCCTGAGAGCCTCAGCGAGAAATTCGTCCATTGGATGGATTTGCAACGTGGTGAAATCGAATTCAGGCCGCTTGCGTTTGCTTGGAATCCGCCTGAGAGGCCCTGGAGGCTCCATCTTCACAACAGTGCCGGCCCTTACATGGATATGGACAATAGACGACTGTTGGATCGGGAAAGCCGTTTGGCTGGATCGATTCTTGACATTCTTCAGACCCTAGAACGGCGTGATCACATCATCATCACCTCCAATGCGGCTGGAGTTGACATCGAAATCCCTCGAATGCGGTTAACATTCACCGTGAACCAGGCCGGCGGCTTGGAATCGAAACAGCTTGGAGCAATTGTGGATCCCGACCAAGATATCGGATGCTTGATTGGATTGCGGAACAAGCTCGTGCTCCGACACCTGGATCTGCATCCAAACACTCAGGAAAGGAGTGTTCTTGTACCATACGGCGAGTTATCCACCAATAAACATGACGGCCACAGCCAGGTTGAGATAGTCCTTGGCCACACGCAGAAACTGTCTTTCATGCACTATCAACTGGATACCAGACTAGCGCGTCTGCGGAATCAGCAGGGTTTCCTCAGCCAGCTGTATCTGGCCTATTTGCATGCTGTAACAAGCTCAGTGGTGCCTGACCCACTCACTGGCTACACTGGTACTCAAGAGGCCTTGCGGATTCTACGAGAACAGTCACTGAGGACTTCGACTCCGATCAGCGAGGAGGCTGTTCCGTTGCTCAAAAAAATTGCAGCCCTAACTCCTGCGCGGCACTTCTATCCGAAGAATTTGAAGAAGATGCAAACGATTGAATGGGATCCGGATCTTGGTGAACTAATGCAACATGAGGACTTCCAAACTCTCGTTGCAGACATTGTCCTCCATGCATCTCAGGTCAGCATGCTACAACCAGGACCGAATACTGCTTCGCTTTTGAAAGATCGAGGAAACTCGGACCTTCTGCGAAGGGCATCGAATCGCAACTCGTCGGTTCGCAACACGGACTTGGGAGTAAGAGAGAAGGCCGACAGTGTGTACCATGCAAGAGACGGCAACCTCGATAGCGATGGAGCCCGTCGCGTGTACGAAGTAGCTACCTTGGTTCGACTATGGCCCCGGATGCATGAAGTGGTTCAAGACCTTGAATGGAAGGTGAGGAGATGGAGGCGAATTTCCAATTACTCTGAACCGCCGAACTTCTCAACACTGACTTGTAACGATCTCCTGGAGTTTCCAATTGGGGACAAATGGGGCTCACTGTATGAGCTCTGTAGAGGCTGTGACCGACAAGTTGATCAACATAGGCTCATGCGCTTGTTCTCAATGGTTGTTTTCGAACAGGATAGCTCCCTTCCAATAGTACGGAGCCTCCTGGCCATCGCATGCTCCCCGCAATTCAAGGATATCCGACCTTTGAAACCTTCGTACGACCTCACCTCAGGGGAGGGGCTCGATCGCAACGAAATTCAAAAGACGGTCTTAGCGCACATAGAAGATCCCAAAAGACGTTACGACGAATCGAAAGACCTCTGGGATCTGAGGCTCAAAGAATTCCGCCACGAAAGGAACGAAGAAGTACAGTCAGCCGTCAATCACATCTGTAGCCAATGGCCCTGTGATTCTCCTACCGTGTTACGAGCTGGTCATCTCCTCCATGGGAAAGAGTATTTGGTTCAAAGGGAGTGCGAGATCCTCTTTACGGCGTGGAACGACAATCGAAAGTTCATGATGCACATTTCCGACTTGCAGTCTGAACTTTCGAAGATTCACTGCAAACGCGAAGAGACACCACGACTGGTATCTGTGTCAAGGCTACAGCTCACCCACCACAAGACTTCAATCGCTGTAGCGCCCGACTTGACAAGCCTCCTCTATGCGAGGGTTCCTCCAAAGTCGCCGATCATTCCTGCACCACTTGAGGCAAGACGGCCCCGTCAATGTGCGAAATCTTTGCCAGGCTTGGAAGAACTGGAAGAGACCATACACAGCATGAAGAATGACAGTGATGCTACTCGCAAGGCTTATGCTGAAGACCTGGAAGCTAGCCTTAAGTCCCTCAAGGATGCGGATGTCCCCGAAACACCCCGCACAATTCCGTTGTCGAACAACGAGCTTCTTACGCACCAAGCAGCATTGACAAAGCAGTTTGCTGGCTCCCTCTGCTCTTTCAATCTGGCGTTGAGCCCGAGGACGGTCTCAGAGCTGTCTTTGCGCGACGCAGGCCTGTGGCCACGCATCGATGCGGCGTCACTACTTGCATGCCTGTCTGCGCATCGGCGGGCATCAGTGCCTGGTCCTTGGAAAGAATTTCTCGTCTCCTTGGGCGAGCTACTTTCATCCCTCCAGAGACTTGAAAGACTACTAAGTTTCAGTCATCGGAATGATGTTCTGGGCTTCTACAAAGAAGCCGAGGAGCCGGGACACCAATCATGGAGTGCTACCGACTTTCCCGACTGGCTTCTCATTGAAATCGAAAACAATCTGACTATTCGCGAGATCCAGGCTGAAGTGGCACAGAAGATGATCCAACCGGACCATGGAGAAAACGCAGTTCTGCAACTCAACATGGGGGAAGGGAAATCTTCTGTTATTGTTCCAATGGTAATGACCGCATTGTCAGACGGCAAGAACTTGGGGAGGCTCGTTGTCCTCAAGCCCCTCCTAAAACAGACATTGGATTTACTTTCCCAACGTCTCGGTGGTCTAGTGGATCGCCGCATATTCCACGCACCATTCACACGAGAGAACCGCCTCGACGAAACTGAACTTTCTCAGCTCCGCGCGCATTTCGAGAAATGCCAGCGAGATCAATGCATTGTGGTCACTCTTCCGGAGCACATGATGTCGTTCCGGCTCATGGGCCGCGAACGCCTTCAGACCCAACCCCAATTGGCCTGGGAAATGGTGGGCCTGGAAAGGTGGCTCGGTGTGACATGCCGCGATGTCCTTGATGAGAGTGATGCTATCCTCGACCCACGTTTTCAACTGGTATACTCCATGGGCACTCAGAGGATCATGGACGGCCAGCCAGAAAGATGGGTCATTACTCAGAGGGTTCTAGCACTATTCGCACGTGAGGCCAGCCGCCTGCAAACTGAGGGCTGTCGAGATGTCGAAGTGGACCTTCGAGGACGCAGCTTCCCCATCATCACGTTTTTGAACCCGGATATCGGCCCCACGATACTAGACCGGGTCGTTGACGAGATCCAGCGCGGGAACCTCCTTGGCCTTTCCCTTTCGCACTGCACAGCCAGTGTGCGCCAGGCTGTCGTGGCGTTCATTCGAGACCGTTCCGTTTCCCAGCCCATCTTGGCACTTGTGGAGCAAGAGTTTGCAAATTCTGCAATTTGGAAAATCCTACTTCTACTTCGCGGGTTGATCGCCAACAACATTCTGTTGTTCGCCTTCCAGCAGAAGCGCTGGCTAGTCAACTACGGCCTCGATCTCTCGCGCTGCATGATGGCAGTGCCATATCGAGCTAAAGGAGTTCCATCGATCAGCGCCGAGTTCGGCCATCCGGACGTCGCTATTGTGCTTACCTGTCTAAGCTACTATTACAGCGGCTTGACTCCAGATCAACTGCGGCAAGCATTCGGCCACCTCTTCCGTGAATCCGACCCTGACAGCGAGTATCAATTATGGGCACAAGATTGCCCCAACATTTCCATCCAGAGCCTCCATGGAGTTAACCTCGAGGATGAACGATCATGGGAAGAAAGCATATATCCACAGTTGCGATTCTCGAAGTCTGCTGCAGACTACTTCATGACGACCGTAGTCTTTCCACACGAAGGAAAGGAATTCCCCGCGAAGTTATCGACGTCGGCATGGGACATTCCATCTGAGATGCAAGCAACCACTGGATTCAGCGGTACCAATGACAACAAGTTTCTTTTACCTCTGTCAATTCGCCAGAACGATCTGCCTCAACTGCATCGCACGAACGCAATGGTAGCTAACATGCTGCTCCAACGGGAAAACCGCGAATACGTACAGGCCAAGGACACGTCCGGGAAGAAGCTCAGTGTCGAAGGACTGCTCGCACTATTGTGCTCCCAAACCCTTCCGATTACAGTTCTCATTGACGTCGGAGCTCAGGTTCTCGAGGCGAGCAACGAAGACGTGGCCAGAAAATGGTTGCAACTTTCTCCCGATTCCCCTGCTGCGGTCTTCTTCAACGAGGCAGATGAATTACGCGTAGTAGATCGGCACGGATTCGTTGAACAGCTGTCCCGCTCTGCATTCCACCGGAACTTGGAGAAATGTTTGATATATCTCGACGAAGTGCACACTCGTGGAGTGGACATCAAGATGCCAACATATGCCCGCGCTGCCGTCACGCTTGGGCCGAAGACCACGAAAGACCGTCTTGTCCAAGGTATATTTCCAAGATCATTTAATTCACTTTCCATTTGCTGACCAGAATTAGCCTGCATGAGAATGCGCAAGCTTGGGTGCCACCAGTCTCTGGTTTTCTTCGCCCCGCCAGAAGTGCATCAAGAAATACTGGCGCTTTCAGGAAAGGAGCCAGGAGTCGACTTGGACTCACGGGATGTCCTTAGCTGGAGCTTTGATCAGACATGCCGTGCGACGAGCTCCATCAAGCCGCTTTGGATCATGCAAGGACTGGAGCACAGTCATCGAAAACGCCTCTGTGCAGAATACCTACAAGGGTCTGCTTTGGAGCCGTCCCAGATCACTGAGTTTTGCACCCACTTAGAAGAACCTGAAGGCCGTACTCTATATGAGATGTACGGCGAAGGCTCTGGCCAAGCTGCTTTCCGTTCCTGCCTCACTGACGAAAAGGCCCACCAAGACCCAACCGTTCAACATTTACTGTCAGAATGGGAACTATTCAAAGAGGGCCATAGCAGAGACTGGTCTCTCCAAGAAGAGCAGGAAAGAGAAATAGCACATGAAGTGGAGCAAGAACGAGAGCTCCAGCGGCCTCCCCCGGCGAAGGCACTTCCACACGAGATTGATCCCGCGCTGAGGAAGTTCATCCAGACTGGACGCCTCGACGATGCTTCTGTACGCCCTTTTCAACGCGCATTCGACAGCTTGTCACAAACCTCTGCATTTCAGCATTTGTGTGCAGATGCTGTGGCAGATACTCTTCTCGTAACAAGCGACTTCGCTCGCACGGTCGACCTTGCACCGTGCTCAACCTTGGATGACTTCGTTCGGCCCGTCAAGTGGATTCTTACGAGTAGATCTCACAATGGCTTGCTTCTCATCATCAGTCCGTATGAGGCCAACGCGCTCCTACCCGAGATTCGAAAGGCTTCCCAAGTTGGTCTGCATATCTACTCCGCAAAGACGTCCAAGGCGATGCGCCAATTCCATGATTTGAAATTTTACACAGTTTCGGGTTCTTCTCAATTGCAATACCCGGATGCGGTGGTGTCAGGCCAGCTTGGCTTGTTTTCTGGAAGCCTCTTTTTTGAGGGCTTTTCAGCATACAAGGCTGTGACTGATTTCTTGGCTGTGTTGGTCGATGCCGCGATGAATGAAGAGGGGGTTTTAGTGGGGAGCGACGGTTTTGTTGATGAAAACGCAAGGACACGGCTTTCCTGGCCCGTTTCATCACCTTTCAAAACAAGTCCAATTTTGTTCATCAAGGCTTTGACTGGAATTCGGAGGAAAGGTCATGTCTTCTCGCAGACGCATCTTGGTCATCTTCTGAGTGGGCGGTTCATGACCGAGGACGGATTCCAAAGATCCTGATAATCCCACTAGGGATCGAGTGTAGTTAGTGATCTGAACTTTTTGCATGGAGGGTGGGACAGATGGGTTTTTAGGATTATCTTTTGCTTTATGACGGACAAGTAAATGGTTTGAATACATTTCGATCTTGCCCGATATTTGGAAGAGCAGTGTCCGGTTGTGGTCACTGTCCAGAGTGGCTTTCTGGACGTCGTACGCGCCATGCAGGTGCGGCTGTGTGAGCGCAGAGTTTTCCACGAAGCGGCAGGCGGCGGGGAGCGCCGTACTGTGACACGTACCACGGAATGTTGACGGCGTTAGAGCTCGACACGAAGCGCATGAGCTGGGCTTGCGACTCCGAGCGTGGTAGCGAGGCTATCCTGCTGGATGTGATCGTCGACTATGTCAGCCCGAACGTGCAGCTGATCGAGTACAATCAGGCGCCACTCCATTGCGCTGCGGCGTAAGGCATGGTGGAGGCTGCCACAGCGCGGCTTTCGACGCGCTTATCCGCTTCGAGGGACCTCGCTGCTGGTCGTTACCGCCTCTTAGCAAGGATGCTATAAGACTGCTGTATGAAAGGGGACGGAATGTCTCGGGCCTGACGGTTTTGCATGCACCAGTCGTTGGCGACCTATGCGATCTAGGTTGGCACCATTCATGATGAGGTGACGAAGGAACTTTTGGCTGGTATATCTGATGTGGTAACCAGACAGCCGTGACAAGGGCATAATACTCTGTAATTAATGCAGCCTACCACCTTAGCCTACATAACATATGCTAGAAAGGATTCATCTATGCTACCTCGGAGCCCATTGATGTATCCGGATCGAAGACCATCTTTGCGATCAGTTTTAGCTTTCCGTTTGCTGCGTTTTCCTTATCCCCATTCCAACCTATGCTTGCCAATTCCGCCTTTCGCATCTGAACATTTTCCATATACTATGTTCCAGAATCAGCTATGTGCATTTTTGCATCGTAGGAATGGGAGTCTGACATCTTCGACAGTTTTCGCCATGATGTACCTGAAGACGGTGACGCGTTTCTTTTGGCCCATTCGAACGGCACGACCGATGGCCTGGCTCTCAACAGAAGGGTTCCACTGCGGCTCTACAATATGAATATTGCTCGCCGCCGTGAGATTCAAACTGATGATCCGGAAGTTAGCGCAGAATAATAAAGAGATGGTGTAGAGCAACTAACCCTGTAGAGCCTGTCCCAAATGTCATCAGTAGAACACGGCATGAAGGATCAGACTGGAAATTTTCGAGGGACTTTTTTCTGTCCGGAATCGACATTGAACCTTCTACAATACGGTGAGAGATATTCGTCGCAGTGAAGAGCGACGAAATGACGGTGATTGTGTCTCTCCATGCAGTGAAAATGATGCTTGAAATAAAAGTCAGCGCTAGAATAAAGTGCAGATAGCGCATGTAGGCTTTACCCTTTATCCGAATCCTGATATTCTGTAACATCGCGGTACAAAGAAGCGAGCTTGGTGTTGAAAGTGGTCGCTCCATTGTGAGGCAAAGAGAGCCCATGGTGAATACTCGGTTCGGTATAACTGTGATGGGACCAAACTCCACAAATTGGGCATCTGAATTCGGCCATGGTACCTGTCGGTTGAACACGCTTGATGCACTCAAGGCAGAGCAGATGTGAGCAGTCCGCAAAATTGCCAGATCCTGAGTCTTCTGTATAACCACACGAGCTGATTTCTTTCGAGCAATATGCACAGATGGCCTCTCCTACTTGTTGTAGGCAGCCAAAAGCGTCTTCAGTATTATGCGTTGGCGACGCTGCAAGTGCACGTGTCGAACAGCCTGTGTTGCAGAATCGCCTGAGCTGAAGGATTGCTTGACATAAGCCCAGCTGTGAGTTTCTCTTGCTGTTATTTTTGCTGACCACTTCATTCATAGCCTTCTTGTGTGCCTGTGCCACATCCTCGTATGCTTCACGTTCAAAGTCAGTGAAATCAAGCCGCCGAAGACAAGCCGTTGGCTCAGGTACCGCAAGCAATTCAGCCGTTCTCCTGAGGCAGATGCTTTTCAGCAGTGAACGTAGCCTCTTTAAGCCATAGGCTTGATTTTGTTCGATTGGCTTTGAAATCTGATTCTTGAAGCTGAAAGCATTGTCAAGATAGGGGATCTTGAGGAAGCGGATGAGCGAAGATAAATCATCTAGGCGGTTCTGAATTGGGGTTCCAGTCAGACACCAACGGTGCTGAGCCTGCAGAGCAGAAACTGCGCAAAATCGTCTTGTTTGCTGTCCGCAGATATAGTGTGCTGAAGAGGTTGTTAGTGGTACCGCATTACTGGAACTGGTTTACTCCGTACCTTCGTCGAGGACAATGCGAAACCAAGCGAGCCGGTACAGAACGCTATCTCCTCTATCAAAGTCCGCAGACAAAGTCTCGTATGTTGTCAACACCACATCTTTGTCCAGAATTGCCGCAGTCTCCGTTGGGCGGCGAGCACCATGATATTTCAGATACCGGAACGTCCCTGGAGTGCAGTGCCTGGCTGCGTCAGTGATTGAGTAAGACAATCAGACTAATAAATATTACCTTTCTATCTCAGATATCCAGTTTTGTAGGATCACTGGCGTAATCGGGTGAGCACAAAATTAAGTCAAAGGTGGAGTGGAGAACCACTCAAGATCACTACTCACATGCTGAAGGGACAATGACGAGTGTCGTTTTTGCTCTTGATTGCGTTAAGTCGCCAACGACGCTGCCGGCGAAGCTATTTGCTTCTTCGTTTGTAACAGTTATGGCCGCTAGCATCGAAAGCGTTTTCCCCAAACCCATCTCGTCTGCAATGATACCGCCAAAATTCTCTTTCGGTGGGTACTCTTTCTTGATGTCCAGCACAACATGTCGGAAACTGAAAACAAAAGTTATCATACTGCCCTTATGAAAGGAACGGGTGACGAACCAATGCTGCTGTGGGTTGTTTTGACATGGCTTCCATAAAGAAAAGGCCAGTGACGTTGCAGCCGCCTCACGCCGAATGATGAAGTCAACTGCCTCCTTTTGGTGTCTTTTCAAAAGTTAGAGAGGCTTATTTGGTGGATCCAACGGCATAACTTACTCACGAAGCTTGGTTCTGATTAATCGTTCATCCACAGTGATTGATTTTAGGTTTCCGCTCTGGTCGAGACCACCGAGGACATCCTGGATATCAAGCTTCCTTGTACTTGAGGCGACTAGCTCTGGTGCATTTGGTATAGCGGGGTCGAAACTGGCCCCTTGAATCTCTGCAAAGTGTATGACGTGTGGATTCTGATAGGTTGCGCCGATGGCAAGGACGGAAGGCCTCTGTAAGAAAAGATGTGCATTTGACAAACTCCGGCCCACCTCTTCGGCTTTAGTAGATGGGCCATGGACATTGATTTCAATATCAACCACCGCAGTTCCAGCGGCGTTCTTCGCGGTATTGATTCCCAATTTCCAGTCCTGTGATGCCACGTAAGCCTCGTAACTGATGGATCCCAAGCTATCGAGACTACGCAAGGCGTCCGTTGTTTTCTGGTTCAGGACTGCGAGGTCAAGTCCATTGGAATCTTGCAAAACATAGTTTCTCTTGTGTATAATCTGGAGCTTCATGTAGTTGCTCGTAGGAGGGACATAGACTTCCTCGAGTGCTGATGGATCCTTGAGTATTCGAGCCTTGATCTCACAGAGCTGCGCACTGTGTTAGTAAGCTTTACATTACAAACTTAGAAGTATAGATCGTACAGTCCCAAAGCAGAAGTACTGAACGTCTTGTGGTGCGACTGAGGGGCCCGCTGGGATCCCAGATTTGGGAGGGCTTGCGCCATTATAGGATATCGGTGTGATTGGATAACCTCCATAGCGAACATCAGCTGCAGAGCGTTAGTCATCTGGCACGTGGCGATCAAAATCTAGCTTACGTATGGATGATGCAGACACACGCAGATATTCTGAGTGTAGCTGAGGGGCCGAGAACGTGCTGGGCTCATCCTGGGCGAAAGGGGATAACAACCTCGGTCGTTTACATGTCTGTGTGCTCGAAGAATACTCTTGTCGTTTAGCGCCAGACATGACCGATCACAGCTTTTGCGCAATAAGGCGCCAAAAGATGGCCACTTCTAGGACGGTACGAGGGGGGAACGATTTCAAATGTTTGCTCTGAATGAAAGTGAGGCGCAGCTCGGGCGCAGCAAGGCTGAATTGCATCGATGACAAGACACAGCCCCCGCCTTCAGCTGGGCATGGGTCGGAAAATACGGCGGCGTGCGTTTTCTTATTGAATCCTAGAGGCAGAATCCTGTTATGCCATTCCTTAACAGTAAGGCCAAAAATAATGAGAATTAACATCACTATTACTAGAAGGCATCCTGTTACTTCCATGACTTTGTACCCTCACTTTCGACTTTTTAATTATTTTTATTTTATGGCTCGATCTTTCGAATCTCAACGCCGTATTTGGACACGTCATACGTGCATTCGTTTCTGTTGTGTACCGATTGTCTGATTGGTGGCATTCGTGGGTGGGGAGTGCCGGTGAGCGATCACCGCAGGCAGCAATGGCGAGGCTGCGCCGGTCGGACGCTGTTCCCATCTGAAGTTCGAGTGCATGCGCCTTATCTTCCAGCCTTGAAAAGTCTGACCCCACGCGAAAATGGCCACTGCGACCACTTTGCACCTCCAAAATTATGGCGACCACACATCTTCCACTAAGCCCTCGCTTTCAGCAATGCCTGAAAGAATTCAAGAATGATTTGGGCTCGGACATGACGGAAAGCTTCAAGTTCACCACGCTGGATGAGCTTAAGGGCCTTATTTGCGATATACAAGAAGAGCAGATGAAGTCCCGGCGGATGACCAATCTCAGACGGATTGCTCCATTCTTGGAAGCTATGGAGCAGTTCGATAAGGTCGTGCAAATCTTTTTGAATGCTGCAGATCTTCTTGCTTTTGTCTGGGTACGTGGTATTATCTTTATCTATCTTTCATCGCGTGCTGCTGATACGCGCACGTGATAAATCTACTGAACTGCAATGTACATGTCAAAGTTTTTTTTTTTTTTTTTTGGAATAAAACGTCTTGCTAGTATTTGATTGTTTCCATTAGTTGCTAACTATTGAACAGGGGCCGGTCAAGTTCCTCCTATTGGTATGCATCTCAATCTGTTAAATCCAATTATGTATCTCTAATGAGTGGACATGTCAACAGTCAGCACGGACATATCACGATGCCTTCAGTGCTCTCCTCGACGCTTATCTGGACATTGGGGAGAATATCCCCCTCCTTGCGCAGTTTGAGCAGATTTTCAACAATAAATCTCAGATGCATGTCGCTCTCGAGTACGTGTACATCGACATCATGGAGTTTCACTCTTCTGCGATCAAATATTTCAAAAGTCCAGGTAAGTAAAAGACTCGAGAAAGTCACGTTTAGGATAGATGTCTAATTAGATTTAAGTGTGGAAACAACTTTTCCATGCGACCTGGAAGACATTTCGCACCAAATTTGAGCCGACACTGAGCAACCTCCGCCGCCACAAGTCGTTGCTTGGGACTCAATCAAACCTTCTGTATCTTCAACAGTACCAACTGGATAGACAGCAAAACCTTTCGTATCTTCAAGAGTATCAACTGGATAGACAGCGAACACAAATGGAGTTTGAGAAAATCGAGCAACAGGCTGAACAGAACCGAAGAATTGCCATCGCCAACTGGTTGTCCGCGGCTGACAGCAACTCCGACTATCGAGCTGCTGCCTCGATACGATACGAGACTCCCAACAGCGGTCAGTGGATGCTGCAACAAGACCTGATGAAGCGATGGCTAGATCCGAAGTATCCACTGCAGCCACTACTTTGGATCAATGGAAAACCAGGCGCGGGCAAGACTGTCCTCGCGTCACTCATCATAGACCAATGCCGAAAGACACGGGATGGAAACACAATGTTCTTCTTTCACAAATACGGAGATGAAAAGAAAAACTCACTCACAGCAATTCTTCGCGGCATACTTGCCCAAGCAGTGTGTATGAGGTCCATGTTGGTCCCTTACCTGTTCGAAGAAGCCGCGAAAGCTGGATCAAGCTTTTTGGAAGATGTCGAGCTTGCTCAACGCCTGACTGAAGTTGCTCTCGGGGCTTTTGATTCCATATCTCTCATCCTGGATGGTCTTGATGAATGTCCAAAAACTGCCAAACGACCTATTACTGCGTTCTTCCGCTCCTTGACAGACAGAATGAACGAGTCAGTGCCCGGAAGGCTCCGTTGCTGCTTCTTTAGTCAGCAGGATAATGACATTGGTGATCTTCTGAAAGGCATCCCATCTTTCACGATCGGCAGGGAGCAAAACAGTGCAGACATTCATTCTTTTTGTCATGTCCGGGCCCAAAGAATCCAAGAGGAGCTTGAGTATCCAGAAGAAAAAGCGAAGCAAATGGCAGACAAAGTAGCGTCTCGAGCAGATGGTGAGAAAATGCCATGCTGCACCAGTTGTCGTAAGCTAACAGCACACCAAGGAATGTTCGTATTCGCAGCGTTGGTCATGAGATATCTCGAAGAGCAGACGACTTGGAGATGCCTGGAAGAAGAGATCGAAGCAATGCCCCTTGATCTAGATGAGGTGTTGGTACTCCTACATACCTGTTCAAATTTACATTTACTAACAGATGAAAATCTAGGTACGAACGGATCATAAGGCGAGTACTCTACGAATCCGGACTGGCAGAGCGATCAGCGGCGCGGATGCTTCTTGGCTGGCTGCTTACAGCTGTTCGCCCCCTGAAATGGCACGAGATCCAAGGAGCGATAGCCTACAATCCGTCAAATCATTCCTTTGACTTGCAGGGTGCCAAACTCCGTAAGGGCCCAAAAAGGCTTTGTGGTTCGCTCGTGGAGATTTTCGATGACGGGGAAATCCGCCTCGTGCACCTGTCAGCCAAACTGTAGGTCCCCAGTTTTCGTCCCGTTAAAGACAACAGTATACTGACATCACTACCCTTAACAGATACCTTGAGCGCAATGTGATCAATGCTCCAGAGGAGGAGCTCAAGCTTCTGTGTCGTTGTCTCGACTATCTCCGCTTACCAGCATTTGACGAGGGTCTCGAGGAAGACTCTGCGCGAGGATACATTCTAGAAGGCCAATACGCGTTCATGACGTATGCGCTTCCAAGTTGGATAATTCACCTGAACAGAATCTTGCAGGATCGACAGCTAGAGCAAGCTGGACCGTTCAGAGAGCTTACCGGTGCTCTTGGAGCCTTTTACCGGGATCATTCCGTGGTAGCAGATCAGTCCATGCAAGACAGATCTGTGAAAAAAGCGCTTGAACCTCTCAAAAATGAGAGCTTCTTCGAACAACTTGCTCAGACCGTGCGCTTGGTGCAAGACGTCAATTTTGACGAAATTCATGGCGAGCCTCTGGCCAATAACACCGGCCATCTTGTACCTCAAGTATCTCCTTTCAAACGGCTTATTGAAGAATTGGCGGGCAACCCCATGATGAAATCACGGGCTCAAGAAATATACGGCTGCAAGCTTTTCCGATGCCCGGTGTTGAGCTGTCAGTATTTCCATGAGGGATATGCAACTGCACCTGAGCGAGACAAACACGTCAATGAACACACGAGACCCTACCGATGCAGATACTCCGGCTGCGTAGCTGCTCTCATTGGGTATCCGAATGAGGCCCGGTTACGGAAGCATGAGGCCGAAATACACTCTCAAGGAGCAGATGCATTGACATTTCCGTGGCAAGGAACACCATCCTCCTCTGAGTTGTGCCAGCAAATTGAATCAGGCAATACCGAAGCTTTTCAATGGTGGCTCGAACAGTTCGACGGAGAAATTCCTCTGGATCAGATATGGAAGAAGGATAAAACTCAAGGTCCTCTTCATACCGCCATCAAGACGGGTAATATCGATGTCTTGAAAGAACTTCTACGACGCTCTGGAATCGTTCTTCTGTCATCAAGGAAAGGAAAGGATCAGCGAAACAAACCATGCGTAACAAAGCTGGTGAAAGAGGCCCTGGAACTTCGCAATATGAATATCGTAGAGGAGATTTTGTCCCACGCAGAGGAGATAAGGGACAGCGATATTTACATGATCTTCCGAACAGCTTTGCCGCTCAACCTCGATTCGATGGCCCTTCAGTTTTTGACCCATCAAGCTTGTGAGATAGCGAAACCTACACCTAACATGAATCGCGCCAGCAAGTATCTTGGCGCCGCTGTTGAACATTCCCGATTGGCAGTTGTACGATTCCTCGTTTCAACAAAACATTTCGACGGGAGAGACATCTTACATTCCCCGGAGGCGCGGCACGCAATACTTAAAAGTACACCAGAAACTCGTTCATTCCTGCTAAACACTGGCAGATATCGCAAACACACCATAGTTTACCATGAGACACTTGGACAATTCTTCTATAGATGCGGCTCCCTGGAATGTCTAGAAGCCATCTTTCTCCAAGCTACTACGGAGCCTGAGGAGGGTGATCAGGATTGGATATTGGCAACGAAATTGCTCAAGGCTTCCCGTGACGGCGACCTTCGCACAGTGGAGACAATCATAAGCCAGCAAGGAGCGCCGATCAACCCTTTCTCTGATGGACCAACACCTCTACATCTTGCGATAAGCAGAAGACACAGAGAAGTGGTAGATGCTTTACTTGACACGAACAAAGCAAGAGTAGAACGGACTGTGTGGAGCGAGTCTGCAAGGGAAAGAAGCCGTCTGATGGCGGACAGCGCCATTAAAGAGTCTGTGGTGCAGCGTAATACTGCATTATTTTACCGGATACTTGACCATTCGAAGACTGATGCCTTGTACGAATTAGACGAGTTTGTTAAAATACATGGAAACTCAGAGATGCTCGCAGCGCTGAACACCAAGATCGAAAGTTCATAATTTGATGACGTTGGTGCAGGTGTCAACAGTTCCGACCTGGGTAATAGACAACAGAAGACGGATTTCCGGGAATTAGACACCTCAATCAAGCGTCTGTTCAACTCGGTAGATGTGATTCTATCAATAAAAGAGATTAGGCAAACTGTATTGTGTATCTCAGCCGAAATGAAAAATATTTTATTTTTGTTTTTTTGGTATTCCAGAGTTTTAATACCGCCCTTATCCATTGCCGTACTTATTCAGACCCAGACATTTCTAACCACTTCTCTTTCCCATGGATATCCCAACACATGCCAGTGACTACCATATTCATTTTGTCATCAGTATTTATTCTTTCCTGAGTTGTTGGTTTCCGATAACACCCTCACAACAGCCTCAAAATCAAGGTTTCGAGGCAGTAAGGTGCTGTACAGGCTGCATGGCCCAATGGCAAGGCGCTTGACTACGAATCAAGAGATTCCAGGTTCGACCCCTGGTGTGGTCACTTCTTTTTGCCTCTATGGAACATACCGTTTGTTAAAAGTAGTGTGGAGTGGTCTGAAAAGTTTTTTCGTGATAGCGCCGGTGGTGTTCGGCCGCGCAGGTGTCTGTGCTCTATCTCCATTCGGCACACCTTTTTTTGAATGGCTTATGCACAAACTTCCCGATGAATGCTCCTACATTCTAGATGATATGTCTCGGAAAAAAACACGGAGAAATACTATGTGAGATGCGATTGCGCTGTTTATTATTGAAGGTGTGATTGAAATTTTGGTTGAAAACGCGAGCGAGTATAACGCTGAGAGCGACTCGAGGAACATTCCGCCATGTAGAGAGGTCTTGCCGTCTACGATTTACAGGGCCTCACAAGCATCTAAATAAATTTCAAAAACAGTATATCGGGTATCATTCCCGTAGGAAACATCTATCTCCGGGGGATAGAGGAAATATCTGTGCGCTGCCTATCAGGTCGACTTGACGCGCACCAGCTAGCCAAGCAAGCAGGATGAATCGGAAGCGCACTAGACAGATCACTTATAGTTTTCCACTAGCCAAATGCTAGAATCAGGACCAGTAATCTCACCATCCCGCGGAACTGCCTTGATGCACGGCTTTAGCGAGGCACGGGATTTGTTAGGTATCTGCACATCATCAGTCGATCAATGCGACTACGACTTACGCTATCAGCAACATGGTGCGAGGCACTACGGGAAGCGACGGTGAACCGGAGTGACCTTGCATTATTTACCGAAAAGGGTCATTTACCCCGCCCTAAGCCGTGCAACTTCTGTCTCTACCTGCAGATGCCGTGCAGATGCCAAGGACTGTACACGCGCCGTCTAATCATTCGCCAATCAAGAATTTAGGGTGCCAATGCGATTGAAATCTCTGCAATCTACGCAGCTCTAAAATGTGGCATGAAATCAGTGGGCTGGTCGGCCAATAGTTCGCGACTGTGGTGAAATCGTACGAAAGTTAAAAGCTCACACAAAAGTAGCCAGCTCCAACACCTGAATTCAATGAAGAACTAGTCATCGCATTCGAAAAATACCTCAAACATCTCTATTCATACCCTCTGAAGTTTTGACTCACATGGCGAAAAAGAAAGGCAGAAAATCCCTGGTTAGAACTTCAATTTCCGCGGCATGCCCAGCCGAGGACCAGGAACCGCTCGTAACCAACGGTAATACCATCTACGAAGAGCAGCCATGTTCACCTCCGGAGGAGGTTCCTGAGCTGTCACCCCAAACCGATGAAGCGACACCCAGCTCAGCCGAAAACAACAAACCTATACACTGGTAAGCCGCCTCTGCCGGGCCCAAAACAGCAATCAACTGACATCGCAGTCCCTACTCTGGCCCCACCGCCGCTCTCATCTGCGGTATCATTTCCACCGCCGCCGTGAAGGTTCCCCGCGCCCTCCTCCCCCCCTCTATCGAAGCCAAATGCGCCGATCGTGACGGCGACACAATCGCCAAGCTTGATCTCGTTGATAAGGACGCTGCATACACCCTTGCGCACTACATCCACACTGGCACATACCAAACATTGCGCCTTGCAGACGACATCTCCGCTGCCGACGGTGCAGCAAAGGAGCACGATCGCGCCCTGCTCGCCTACGTCGCGGCGACGGCGTACAATCTTCCGGGATTAGCGGACCTGGCGAAAGAAGAGGCAGAGAGGCAGCGCGCGGCGGTACCGCCGGGCAGGGCGCTGCGGAACGTCGAGAACGCGTGCATGGACCTGCTGGCGGGGGACGGCTGGGTGCGCGAGCACCTGGAGAAGATCATTTTGGAGGAGGATTTGAGCTGTGTTTCTTGCGATGAGTTCGATTCGCGCTTCGCGGGGGCGCTGGTAGCGACCATCGTGAATATTTTTGCCGAACTCAAACAAGAGGTGAATCGTTGGGAGCAGCTGAAAAAATCTATAGAGGGAGAGGAAAACGGTTGGCGAGAGTCAGTCGCGAGTTGTGATCAGGTCGATGGTCCATTGGCTGACGAGGCGTGTGTTGTCTCGGACGCGGGTTCTTGTCATGATCCGGATGAAGTCAACTCGTATCATGATGAGAGGGATAATGAAAGAGTGGACGCTGCATACGACGTGCCCGGAGAGGAGGCAGAGGAAATTGTGCATGATGAACCCTGCACTGAATCGGCTGAGGAAGTGGTGAATGGCGTGTTTCCCAAGGAGAGTGGTGATGCTCAGCCAGAAGAGTCCCACTGGAGCGACTGTGCAGCCGAAGACCCACCGACGAGTGAAAGGAGTTGTATTGAAGAGGTGGCATACCCAGATGAGCCGGCCAGCTACTCTGGATATCCTGACAGGGAAGAGGCTCAACCTGACGAGATCCCTCCTGCACCCGATGAACCTGCTGTACCTGACGAATACCTTGCTCCACCTGATGCGTATCATTCTCCACCTAAGGAGTACTCTTCTCCGTCTGGGATGTCTCCTGCTCCTCCCGTATTAGAGATGGATTCAGCGGCACCGGTCGAGCTTGATTCAATTTTCGACGAACCATTGGCTCAGGAAGAAACTTCACCACAAATTACAGCCGCGCAGTGCGGCAACGCGTTGGAACATCTGATCGGCGGTGGGTGGAAACATTGTCCCTTTTGCTCAGTAACGGCTCTCCATATACAACAGGATGGTCACAAGCTCTGAATCGTTTGAATCTGATTGATACTCAGCTATCATTGGTTTATGGTTTTCGTAGTCCTACATATTTCGTCTTTTGGTGCTTCAGTGCTTGACTGAAAATTCAATTTGTTTATTACCATATTTTTAGGTAGACTGTTGAGTGGATTTCGACAGGAAAACGGAATGTGGGGCAAAAAGAGACATATCACGACACAATGAAGTACCGTGTTGTTTTTACAACATTGCTAATAATTGCAGTGTAAAGGGTAGGCGTGCATTTCTAGCAAATATCCAAAAATAGATAATCAATTTCGGACATTTTCTCTTAGCCTGCTCCAGAAAAATACTCACAACCCTTTTTTGATTCACCATACTGTTTGTAACCAGGAAGCACGAAACTTTGAAAGTATTTAAATACCACCCAGATGGTCGCGATAGCGCTAACGACAATACCTTCGTCTTTTTCACAATAGCACATACAATGGGAAGGCCTTGCAATCACTTTTTCAGTAATGGCCAGTGACGTGCTGGCCAAAACTGCTCTTTTTCCCACGACCCAGATGACTTTGCAGTCCTACAAAAAGGGCGGATCACCCCTTGTAGGTCTTGGACAACAAGTGGAACATGTCGGTACGGTAGCGTTTGTCGATTTCGCCATGACCACACATTCGCCGATGCCGATGCTCAGGCCGCTAGACACTCCCTGTTGTTCCGAGGCGTGAAGGAGATGGTCGAGACTTTCCACCGCCCTCTACGCGGAGAACCTCTAGAAGGAAACGAAAATTTCAAGATTGAAATTCGTAGTTTCAAAGAGCTATGTAGCTACAACTGGATGTCGTCAAAGCGTCCAACCATTGCTGTTCCCCGTAATTCAAGGCATACAAAGTTGGAGAAATGTGCTAATCAACGCGTAGGGCTACCGCCGATTCTTTCGCTTCCAGACCACGACCTGGATCTCAAACAAGATGCAAAGACCTCTGGTTGTAGAGAAGAAGACAAGCCGGAACCCTATCGATACAGCTTTGAGCCGCTCATCCGCTCTCTTCAAATCATGGATCCAGTCTTCAATATCAAGGCAACTGATATCGTCACCGGGTTAGGAAATATTCGAACACTTTTTGATTTCTGCACCAAGGGGACTCACATCCCAGATGGATTGAGGATTGATCTTGAGCTTATCGGATCGACTCTCTTCATGAGCCGTTACAGCTACATTGTCGACGGCATCCGTTCAGATTCTCTATTTTCAGGCTTTGGTCGCGGTTTTGAGCGTGAGTGTATCCGTAACCATAGCTGCTTCTTGAAAGATGCCACGAGCTATCATCGCGTTGTCAGTTATGATCTGGGGAATTGTAGGCTCTGTGTACAGCACGAAGCAGATGCGTGCAGACTGGAATTCATCCGAGGATGCAGCTGCGGCGCCACGATACACGCAACCACCGAAGAGCCAGAATGTGTTTCGCCAAAGAGAGGAGGAGAGGGCTCCGACGGTGACAAAGACCTCCATGTTGTGCAACATGGAGCAAAGCTGTCTCGTCAGCATATTTCGGAGATCAAGTCACGCGCGAGTGACTCTCGCACGCCCTACTTTCGTGTCCTACCGCAACTATGGCTATCAGGAATGAGCGATCTTGTCTTCGGTAGGCACGATCTGGGTCTTTTCAAGAAAGACAGTATCATCGAGGAGGATGCAAGCGCTCTGGTGTCACAATGGGTACAGGAGAATCAGGATAGCATATCAGAGTTTTCTGGATTGTTGGAGTGCATTTTTCAGAAAGCGGATTTGCACAGCAGGCGTTTGGGCAATAGAAGGTTCGCGTTGGTGTTCCGCTCAGGACAGTCGTGGAAGTTGGACATGTACGAGCGGGAAGGAGGACAGGCCATGTTGCCAGATGCATTGATTGAGGAGATCTGGCAGAAAAATCATGATGGGCGTTAGACAGAGTAGCTTGCTGAAGAATTGAACGCCCATTACAAATCTGCTAGACGATCTTAGTTCCTTGAATCGGTAAAGCCGGCGTCGCCTCCATATACTGTTTGTAATCTCAAGCCCTGACCCCTGCGCTACTTCTCGAACTTACTCTTCATGCTATTGTATTTCCACACTGTTTGTTTTATTTCTTTTATACTTAAAATACGATAGCTTAGGAAGTATAATGCTTGAACCATATCACCGTTTCTTAGAAATTCTTTTCAAAGGAAGTTTTTCCATGTCGCGCAAACAAATTCTTGATATATCTACTACAAGCGCAAAAGTATACTATTCATTGACTTAAAGAGAAGCAGAAAAACTGTCACACTTCTCATTTTGTTTTGTTTTTGAAAAAAGAAAAACGTCCACGAGGTGCGCCATCAACTGATATCAAGTAGATAAATGTTGACTGCAAACATGTTTGGTATTTGACCAGCTTTGTAAAGGTAAGAGGGCTTTGTTCGTCTTACGCATGCTACCCTTGACAAAGAATTAGGCTTGAAGCTCCAAAACATTGGAATGCCTTGTCGCTTCGCGTTCTGATCAAACGAAGAACTGCTATAAATGGTGTAGGAGTGCATTCTTGACAGAGCCGCAAGCTCTTGAGACCATCAGACTTGTGCTGTCAACTACGTCAAAAACCACTAACTTCATCATGGAAATCGACCAATGGGTTGAAGGAAAGATTGCTGAAGCACGGAGGACCTCCGTATCGATAACTAAAAGGGACTTCAAGCGACAACTCATTTCAGAGAGGCCAAATGATGGTAACAGAATTAGACAGCTAGTAAATCTGTGATTATGCCTATTTGCTTCCTCATTTTATCAATGGCTAATGATGACCAGGGCTGAATGGTGGTATCCATTAGTTCAGCAACCGCAAGCGACAAGGCCAAATCCCTCGACGGCAACATCATCCTCTCAAGCACTAGCTAAACCACACTCGCAGGGATCCTCTACGCTCGAAGAAGGATCGAATAAAAGTTCCGGAGCTCCGTTGGAGCAACCAGCAAAGACTGCCCTGACTCAGATGAAGGGCACAAAGTTTGAGGGTAGAGGAACACTTGTACTCGCAAATAGGTCTTTGTTGACAATACGTAACAGATTTCTGCAAATCACTGACAAGCGCCTTACCCGAGGTGACAACGATGCGTGTTCCCCTGAGCATCCCTCCTCTTTCCATCCAAGAGTCATTGCTCTTTAGCAGCAGAAATGAAGCATCATCCAATTCTGTTCCGTCTACTAGACTCGACAGTGCGGTATTGTTTTCTGCCGATGCATATCAACAGGATCAAGCGGGCAACACTTCTCAGTTCGCACTGTTTGGGAGTCGCGTTCCTGAGCCAGGCACGGATGGACCAATGATCGACAGAAGGGTCTTTCTGAATACGAACATTCCGTTCTCTGCGTTTGTATGCGGTCTCCAAGGGAGTGGAAAATCTCACACCACTTCTTGTATTACTGGTGGGTTCAATCCTCAACGAAGTCTCTCTTAAATGATTCTGACTGCAACAGAGAATTGCATGATCAAGGCCGAGAGGTTAGGTGTTCTTCAGTCTCCTGCCTCGACTCTCATTCTGCACTATGGAGAGTACACCACATCACAGAGCTTTCGGCCTTGTGATTTTGCGTTCCTATCGAACCTTAACAAAGAACTATCTGGCGACATCAGCAGGCCTTCTGTAACAGTCCTTGTCTCCCCGTCCAACTACCCGAGCATGAAAGTCCAGTACACAGCCATCCCTGGTGTGACTGTGCTGCCTTTTTTGATACAGCCGGCAGAGCTGACAGCAAGTATGATGCTCGCGCTCATAGGGGTGTCGAATACAGATTCTCCACCGCTCTACGTCAATCAAATTACGAACATTCTGCGGCAAATGAGTTCGAAAACTTCTGGACCGTTTTGCTACGAGACTTTTCGCAAGCGCCTTGGGGGGACAGAGTTCAGCAACCTCCAATGGCAGTACCTCAGCCAGCGCCTCGAACTGCTTGAGTAGTTCATCGATCTCTCGGGAAAATCAGCTAAAACCGGATTTGTTCCCGGCCAAATCACCATCATCGACCTCTCCTGCCCATTTGTGGATGAGAACACAGCGTGCCTCCTCTTCAATATCGGTATGAATACATTCATGCAGTCGACGGAGTCTCGAGGCAAGCTTGTGGTTCTCGACGAAGCGCATAAGGTACCTTTCCTACGTATGGTCACACCCCTTCTTCAAAGGCTGACTAGTTTTACACAGTACATGCACAATACAGCTGGAGCGAAGGAGCTGACTTCCCAGCTTCTATCGATGATCCGTCAGCAGAGACATTTCGGCCTCCGAGTCGTGGTTGCGACTCAAGAGCCCTATGTCTCGCCGCAATTGATTGACCTCTGCTCCATGATCATTGTCCACCGCTTCAGCAGTCCTGCCTGGCTCGAAGTATTGAAGAGGCATATAGCTACGGATGCTGAAGACGTCAAAGCCCTGTTCCAAGAGATCTCGGAACTACAGACGGGTGAGGCGATCGTTTTCGCGCCTACGGCTGTGTTGAGTTATGGTGGTTCGCAATTGCAGAAATCTGGAGGAAGAAGGTTCAGGGTTGCGGTGCGGAAGAGAATTACTTGGGACAGCGGGAGGTCGATACTTAGCGTTTGAGCTGCTGGTGTGGTTTCCACTCATTTCCTACCGCGTATCTGATTCGAAACCTTTCTCACTCTTCATTATTGCACGATAAACCTCTCAGCCCTGTACATACCCTAGACAGCCGATTTCCCAAACACAGTTTTTCCATGTAGCAATCTCCAACCACCTCATAGTTTGTTAGATTACTCATCTTCCCAAATCAATTCGCACTTTATCTTACGGACGTAGCCTGGAGCTCTTTGCTCTCTCAGAAACCTGTTCTCAGGAATGGGGATCATAACTGCGTATGTAACCGACATGCTTCATAAACTTCGCTACGTAGGGTCGATTTGGCAAGCTACACGCGTAATTTCGCTGTAGGGGAGCAGGTAAATGGCATTCGCTGCCAACCGAACGACTACGTGGGGATTCCAGAAAGTGAACCACACTGTCAAGAATGCAAAGCACATACGTCGCAGGGGAATGGAAAAGTAGTCTACTGCCATATCATCTATTGAGGCTCTCACCAATAGTAGAGAATCAAACACTGTTTGCAATGAAAAGGAATAAAACAAATCATTCGTGGCCACAACTCACAGGGTCTGCGCGTGCGTATGACCGCTGATCTAAAGCGAAAATGATATCATCTAGTAGGTAATACAACGCCGATGTTCACCGAATACCCGTACTGTCAGACTCTACTGTTGCTTCGGCTTCTCAATCTTTTCAAGGCCTGTGTCAAGCTTCGAAATCCAATCCTGCAATAGACAATCAACACCAACAGCGGAAGGAGGTAAAGGAACGGGGCAACTCACAAAGAGAAACGTCGGCATCCACCCACTCAGAAAGCTCACAAGCGTCGCCGACCTTCCGCGGTAGACCTTGCCGTGCGCACCGCCGAGGATGTCGCCGACGAGGGTGCGGGCGTAGTCGCCGACCTTGACCGGGGTCACCTTTTCGGTGTCCTTGCCAGCGGCGCGCTCGGCGATCTCCTTCTGGGCAGGGGTGTAGAATGAGTTCTCGGGCAGTTGGAGTGGGGGTCCGTTCTGAAAGACCTTGCTCTCGACCGCGCCGGAAATGACCGTCACGACCCTGACATCGAATGGCTGCAGCTCGAGGCGCAGCGTCTCGCTTATCGAGTTCAGGGCGGCCTTGGAGGCGGCATAGATACCTGGTAGTAATGACGGTCAGACACGAGGGGATTGTCGACCATGCGGCTTCGATTCGTTGATGGTTCACACTTACCGTAGTATGGCGCGTACATTATCGAGGCGAGCGACGAAATATTAACCACGCACCCCTTCGTGGAGATGAGGAGCGGCGAGAAAGCCTGGGTGACGGCGGCGACGCCCCAGACGTTGACGTCGAATAGGGCCTTGGCTTTCTGCATGTCGAAGTCGAGCACGGGCGTGACGTACAGCGCGCCCGCATTGTTGATAAGGTAATCGAGCGTGCCGCCCGTCTGCGCCGAAATAGCCGCGACTGCCGCGCTGATCGACTCCGGCGAGCTGACGTCCAGCGGCAGAAGCGTTACGTTGGGCACGTCCCGCAGCGACTCCATCTTCGCGGGGTTGCGCGCCGTCGCGAAGACGTGGCAGCCGCGCGACTGGAACTCTTTGGCTAGTGCGGGGCCAATGCCGCCGTCGCTACAGCCGGTGATGAGAACGGTCTTTGGAGAAGACATGATGCAAAGGTGTTGGAGGTGAGTGCTGACGGTGTTGATGGTATTTATAGAGTACCAAGAGAAGGATCAAGGCCGCATATACCTCTCACTCGCAAGCTTTACCCGGATAGGAAAGGCTTATCGGGTATCCCCGAGTGTGAATACCAGCTTCCATAATGAGGTCCATTGGTAAAAGTCAAGAACAAACGAGAAGATCAATCTGGCGGCAAAGATTGATCGACCCCTGATTGTTGACCAACATCTATGACCCCCAAAACCGTTGCCAAGGACCGGACAATTTAGCGTGTGAAGCAAAGTCACATGAAAGTCACGTGGAGGATCCTCGACTTGCATGGTCAGGTCAGTTGCTGCAGCTTACAGAGATGTAAAGGTTTGTTTCGCTGCTATCAACCGTGGTATACGCATTTCTATATCGAATGAGATTCTATTATATATTGCTTTCCGTTTTCCAGCGTCCGCTACGTATAGCACAGGATTATAAGGCCAAGACGGCCTTGGGCAATGACGGCATTTCTTCGGGAAGCTTCAGAACGCCAGTGCGCGCTTACTAAGCCTACCGCGGCGTGGGCTGATGCGTGTGGCATGACCCCCTTTTGCTTATAGGCATCACCCCAGCATACAGTAGGCCGCCCTCGCCTAGGTCCTCTCCACCTTATCGTTTATCTCTAAACTCCGATTACTCGCCAACTTACCAGCATCTGGATATTTTCTCCACGGAATCATCTCCGATCTTCCGGTCATCCCCCATCTTCACCATGATCGTTTTCACCGAGATCCAAAAAGAGGCATTCAAGGCCGCTGGAGAGGGCGACTTCGAGCGTGTGAAAGAAATGCTCGCCGGACCCGACCTCATCAAGGATAAAGACAAACTTGCCGCTCAGCTCCGCGAAACGCAGTCCTGGTCTGACATGGATCCGCATGACCACAAATCCGTCGAGTTTCTGTACATGAACGCTGCCCGTGGAGCCCCTATGGGTACCCTTCTGCCTGTCAATACATCCCGTGAGGGGCACGTGGCAATTCTCGAATACATGTTTGAGCATTATCCCTACCCGAAATCTCACCTCCTCGACGCCATTGGTGACGCCATTCTCCACGGATCTATCGAGACTGTGCGTTTCTTTCTCGAACGCTGGCCTGAAATCGTCCATGTAAACCAATGCGGTTCCCACGGTGGTACTCCCCTGTCTCTTGCGCTGCTAGTGGAGCGCCGTGCAGCCGCCCATTCCATGACAGAGCTCTTGCTTCAATATGGAGCCGATCCGAACAAGGAGTCCCAAGGCCTTCCCATGGAGTACGCCATTACATCTTCTTGGCCCGATCTCGTGCCGCTGCTCGAAAAGTAAGAACTCTCTAGCGTCTCAGATATCTCAGCTAATTTCTGGATCCAGATACGGCGCCGAGCCATTTTCTTGGGAGAAGGAGCTTCAGCTGCTCCCGCGTGCAGCAAGCAACGGAAAGTTTGAAGCCGTCACTCGGCTCATCGAAAAGGGCGCTCACCCGGATACTGACACTCTCGAGCCTCCGTTTAGTGGCACGCCTTTGTGGAACGCAGTTCGCAGAGGCGACTACAAGATGGTTGAGTACCTGATCTGTGCGGGCGCTGACCCAAACCGCCGAACCTCTGCCGGAGAGTCCATGCTGCAGGTTGCGGAGAGCCTTTCTGTAAACAAGGATGAGACGATGGTATCCTTGCGGGCTTTTGGTGCCAAGTAATGGCGTGGGAAACTGTATGATAAGTTGTCCGAGTAATGTTTTATTCTTTGTAATACAACACCATTCGCTTCATGTACCCCATCCACCTCCGCCAGGCGTTTTGATCTGCATGATCTCCCCAGCGTTCAAGATCAAGGCTGCTTTCCCGCCGACATTGATTTTGTCCAGTGCCGTGTGGTCCTCATTCCACTTGAACGCAAAATTCCTACCAACACTCCCAGGCTCACCGCCATCGAGACCATACGGCCTGTAAACACGTCGGTCGCTCAAGATACTGAACTTGAGCGTCGTCCTCGCTTCAATCTCCCTCACACAGCCATCGCCCCCGTTGAAGCGTCCACGTCCCCCCGTGCCGTGATTGATGGCGTATCGCCGCACGACGACGGGCGTGCGCTTCTCGATGACCTCAGGATCAGTGTTCTTGGTGTTCGTAGAATGGCACTGCGCGACGTGCTCGCCGTGCCACGTGGGCCCCGCCCCGGTGCCGCCTCCCAGACTCTCGCCGTAATTCCAACCGGGCGCGATGCTGCCGTCCGGGTTGCGGCCGCCCATGCCCCACCCGAAGCTGTTGGCGCAGCCCTGGAACGCCGCGACGCGGCCGTACGCGCGCAGGATGACGTCGATGATGCGCTGGCTGGCGGGCGTGCTGCCGCAGATGGCGGCGTTGGGGCCTGGGCGCAGGATCGAGCCCTTGGGGATCCGGATGTCGACGGGCTTCAGGCAGCCTTCGTTTAGCGGGATGTCCAGGTCGATCAGGCACCGGAGCGTGTAGATGACGGCCGAGTGGGTGATGGATACGGGGCAGTTGTAGTTGCCCCAGACCTGCGGCCCTGTGCCGGCGAAGTCGTAGACGGCGTCGCCCGTCTGCTCGTCGATCGTGATGGTCACCGCGACGGGGGTGCCGTCGTCAAACCAGTCTACAGCCTTCAGTCCGTCCGGGTGCTCTCGTGCGACCTGGATCAGGAAGGCTCGCACGGCTGCCTCGGCGTTGGCCTGGATGCCGGCCATGTACGTGTGGACTACCGGGAGCGTGAACTCGTCGCAGAGTTTCCGCAGGAGAACGATTCCCCGCTGGTTCGATGATATCATGGCCTTTAGATCTGATATGTTGTCTTGTATTCGCCGGGTGGGACTGCATCCAGGAAAGGAACCGGCGCGCTCAAAGGCACTGCGGACGTCGTTTTCGAGGAACTCGCCGCCACTCACAATTTTCATGGACTTGACGTTGAGCCCCTCTTCCCAGAGCTCTCTCGAATCCGGCATCATCGAAGTAATGCCTTTGCCCCCGATGTCGGTATGGTGGCCGCGAGAAGCAACATAGAATGCGAGCTGACCGTCGTTGGTGAAGACAGGTGTGACAACCGTAAGATCCGGGAGATGCGTGCCCCCGGCTTCGGGGTGGTTCGTCAAAAGTACGTCGCCGGGTTCCAGCTTGCCATGCCACAAACGGTGCTGGTACTTGATGGCAAACTGCATGCTACCCAGGTGGATAGGTATGTGTGGTGCATTTGCAACAAGGTCGCCTTCAGGAGAAAAGATGGCACAGGAGAAGTCCAGTCGTTCCCTGATACTGGTAGAGATGGAAGTTCTCTGCAGTGTGTTGCCCATTTGCTCGGCTATCGACATGAAGCGATGAGAGAACACCGATAGATGAATGGGATCAACGTGATCCAAGGATAAAATGTTTGCCTCCAGATCGAAATCCTCCTTCTCGAGAACGACGTAGTTCGATAGAAAATAAGCGCGATATTTCGATTCCACAAAGATCGTCTGAGTATCGTCAATCACGAGTGCTGGGCCCTGTAGTGTACATCAGCATTGCTTGTCCCTGTTTAGCTGCCGGTATATGTACCTCAGCTATGCCGCCATGAAGATCATGAGTCAACCTATGAATGGGGGCGTTGATCCAAGATCCGTCGGTAAACACTTTTTGCCTGCTTGCCGTCCTGAGTTGGACTCCATTTCGCTTCACATGATCGAGTTCGGTGAAAGGGGTCTCCCGGCGTGATGCATCTCCCGAGCTGCCAATCCCTCGCACCGTAATCGCCTCGACAACGATTTCGCGTGATAGCTGAAAGGCAAATTCTCTAAGGTGGGCAGCTTCGAAAGCCTTGACATAGTTTGCATCATCTGGTTCGGGAATCGAGATGTTGGTATCCGTGCCGAAATACCGCATGCTCAAAGATTTCTCAAACGTGATTGAGGATTCCAAAGCTCCCTGCGATAGCAGCTCTTCTCGGACTTTTACCTTTAGCGCTTCAAACTTAGCGTCAATAGGAATGTGAAGCGATTCTTTGAAGCTGCCAACGAAAGGCTCGACAATCTCGTACTGTAGTTGAGCATGCGCGATTCCATAAGCAGAAAGCAACGATGAGTGCTTGTGAATGAGGACTTGCTTGATTCCCAGGTTCTCCGCGATTGCACATGCATGCTCTGTTCCGTTGGTAGCTCTTCAATACACGAAGTTACGAAGCAAACTTACGGCCACCAGCTCCACCGAAGCTGCAGAGATTGTGTCGATCAGGTGCGAATCCACGGGCCTCTTAAAGATGTTAGCACCTAGCTGTGAATAGCGCGTCCTAAGGGAAGAAACTATCCGGCTTACCAGTAATATTTCGGATCGGCCGGCTCATGGTTGTATTAGCAACTCGAAGAAAGCCCAGTGCAACCTCTTCGGCAGTATATTGCTTCGAAGACTGCTTATTGAGGGACACGGTGAGGTCTTGAAACTTTTCCTTCACAATATCAGCATCCAAAGGTTGGTCGGCTCCTTTTCCAAATATGGCAGGAAAGGAGGAGGGAACAAGACGGCCCAGAAACAAGTTTGCGTCGGTGACGGTTAACGGGCCTCCCTTTCTGTAACAAGCTGGCCCTGGGTCGGCACCAGCACTCTAGAGATTGTCAGTACTGAATTAAAGAAAGGGGCGTGAAGCTTGCCTCTGGTCCTACAGCCAGCAAGCCATTACGAGCATGGAGAATGGAGCCACCCCCGGCAGCTACGGTTGCGATGTTCAACATCGGGGCTCTGATAACTCTCCCTGCTATACTGGCCTCAGAGACGTGGTCGTACTTGCCGTCGTAGCGAGAAACGTCCGTGCTGGTGCCACCCTGGCTCACATTAGTTCAGTAATAGAATGGAGGTTGGACGCAATTACCATGTCGAAGCCAATCACCGGAGTCCCCTCGGTAAAATCAAAGCAGGTATGAGCTGCGCCGACAACGCCACCAGCCGGGCCACTGAGGAGAGCCTCGTTGCCTTTGTATTTTTCTGCTTGCTTCAAGCCTCCGTCGGAGCACATGAAATCTACGCGCAGAGGGGGAACCTTGAACCCGGCCTGGAAGCCCTGTACGTAACTGCGGACGATTGGGTAAAGGTATGCCTCTGAGCATACCGAAGTACTCCTGTGTAGATATTTGATGGTGGGGTAAGTTTCGAACGAAGTGGTGACGTATCTGAAACCTTCTTCCCGCGCCAACGCAGCGACAATCTTCTCGTGATGGGGAAAGAGGTAGGAGTGCATGAGAGAAATGGCAAGCGACGTGTAGCCCTTTTCTCTCAAGGCGCGGAGCTGCGTCCGGACCAGTTCCTCATCGATGCGCTTGAGGATGCGGACTATCTCGCCACTCTCAGTACGAACCAAGTCCGGGTCGACGAGCTCGACATCTTTATCCATGGGGAGTGGATTCAGATCATAATCCTCAACGGTCACTCTCTCGTCTATCTCAACGACGTCATGATGCAGAGCTTCTGCTTTCTTGACATTCAACGCGAAAAGCTTCGGACGGGTCTGATCACCGATTACGCAAATATCGCGGAAACCTTCCATCAGTCAGCAAAAGCGTATGAAGGGGACACAGTTCCAACCTTTCGTGGTCGCCAGAGCGAACCTCTCGCCTTTTTGTTCCAGAAGAGCATTGGTTGCAACGGTGGTGCCAATGCGACAAGAAGCTGGATTGTTAGCACGGCAGTTTCGAATGGCGAGGGCCTAAAAGAGTACCTATGCGAGAGCCATCCAAGAGTTCTCCACGTGGGATGGAGCGGCCCTCAAAGGTTTCCAAGACTCGGCGAACGGCTTCAGTGGGAGCGTCGCGATAGTTCTGCGGATCCACCGAAAGCAGCTTGAATATCAAGCTATCTCGGCCATCGCTCGAGGCAATGACATCGCAGAATGTACCACCGCGGTCTGTATATAGTCTCAGTAACTTGGTCGAGAAAAGGATGCTGAAAATACCTATGGCAATATTGATGTCCGGCTTCATTTTTGTCAGTGAGACTTGCAACCAGCGGCAGAAAGACAGTGTTTCCGGCACTGATATAGTGAGGTACGCTTGTCGAATGAGGAAATTCCTGTCGGCGATGCCCCGACTCTGCGAGATATGGCGTCATCGTGGCCATCTGCGATAGGAAAGTGGGGCCCGACAATCGCGATGGGGTCGCGCAATGTCGCCATCCCCACCTTTGAGTGCAGCTGCGCAGTGCATCCAACTACCATCATCGCCGACATGTCGATGCACCGATTCCGAGTGGGCAAGCTTGGGTCAACAGTCAGCAGCACACAGCCGGCTAGGGAGACGGTGCCCTCATGCATGCGATGCCGGCAGCTGAAGAAAAGGTGTAGCAGAACGCGACCGCAGTGCGAGTTGTGCGCAAGGGCAGGCACGGATTGCTCGCTATCCGTCGACATTACTTCCCCACTCCAGGATAGGATTCGCTGGTTGCACGCCTATATCGCCCAAGAAGTGCCCGAGATTGAGTCTTTGCCAACCGGTTCTGAACTCTCCAATTGCAGCCATATCGCGCCAGCGCCGGAAACTGGCCAATCTGATGGTGTTGGAGATGAAAACCATGATGAGGCCAATGAAGCACTGGGCGATGAGCAAAGATTACCCGATCAGGAATCAAGCATGGTCGACCTTGTCGACGCCTATTTCCACCACGTCAACCGAGCATACCCCTTCATCGACCGTACGCGACTGATGGCCGATCGGGCCTCCACAACGCTGTATTTGGTAATGGCCATCGGCTGCACCACCCTGGAGCGCGCCGGTCGGCTCCCCAAGCATTCCATGACAAGGTTCAACGTGTCCTACGCTGTCATCGTTCAAACCTGTCTGGCGAATGAATCTTTCGACTCGTTACAGACTCTCATGCTGCTCGCCTTGTATTCCTTGTTCGATCCCAATGCTCCGGCCACCTGCTCCCTTCTCGCGGTTATTGCACGCCAAGCACACTTCCTCGGACTTTCTCGCAGAAACAACACCCTCGAGAAAGCGTCTCCTGTTGCTGCAGAATTACGCCACCGCCTCTACTGGAGTGTATATACCCTTGACCGCATCGTGGCTGTATCGGTCGGACGACCCTGCTTCCTGGATACAAGGCATGCAAACATACCTCTCCCCAGCTTGACCGTTGATGAGTTCGCTTCTTGTGATCGCACAACGTTCGCCTTGAGCCTGCAGGTCAATCGTCACGTTGTCCAACTTCGCCAAATTGAGTATGACATTCTGTCTACTATCCACCTACCACCGTCCAGCAACACACACTCTCTGCCCCCACTTGACAGAAAGGCACTATCATCGCGGTTGCGTTTGCAAGTGGAAAATTGGTACAGTGCTGGCTGTTTGATCTGCCCGCCCGACCCGGATAATGTACCAATTCACGACTCTCTTTGTTGGATGAATGCGCGCTATTACCACCTCCTTATTCTGATTTATTACCCTTGCGCGTCCAATACGAGCTCTGATTACACCGAGCTTCTTTGCTTCACCCAGAAGTTCCTGCAATGCAATTCTGTGTTGCTACAACAAGCGCAACTCCCCTTGAACCGCGTCACTCTCTGCCGTATGCTCCCTATCTGTGTCATACTCATCGAGTGCTACACCAGAGCTGGAGAATTATCTTCGTTTCCAGCCTGGAAAGAGATCACCCTCTGTATCGAGATTCTCTCTGCTTTTGATGGGCAATGGCGCCAAGCCCACCGCGCCGCGGATATTATGCGCCACTTCATGGACGCTGCATGCTCCTTTGCTTCCATCAGCGACGTGAATCGAGACGAAAATATAGTTGATGTCGTAAAGGATCAACTAACAAGGTTGATAAAGGACACGATGGGTGATATGTGCTGCTATCTTTCCGTGGAAGGCTGGGACGAAGACGCTACTGGCGGCTTAGACATTGGACTTTCGCAGTTGGCTTCAGCAAGCCAAGATACGCATCCAAATGGTGATGACAATGTCTGGGAAATTGGTGGAGCTCATTGGATGGAATTCTTATGAACGGTTTTCTCAGAGTCAGGGTGCCTTTCAGTCCAGATTCTGCGGCCTAAACTAACAGGCCCAATGGTAATTGCAAGCATTGCTATAGCAAAAGAAAGTAGAGACGCATTTTGTTCCCCTCACTTAGATAGGAGCGTCAAGATTTTATTTCTTAATTCTAAGCTTCGCAATCCCACTTCCTTCCATGCCCTCCATCGCAGATTCAAGCTTCGTCAGAGTGATCTTCGCCAGTAGTGTCCTTCCTTTTCTCAAAGAAGCCCTGAACAAAATCAATCCCAAACCCGCACGCAAGCGTCAACAAAACAACGAAGACCAGCCCCGACGTCCACGCGTGCGTGCCAGCAAACTGAGGCGCTTTCGAGCTCGGAAAGACGTACTGCTGGTACGGGATGACGAGCCCGTTGCCGAAGCTGTTCATGAAGCCGAGAAGGAACGCCCGCAACTGCTGGTCGCCGCCGCACACGCTGTTGGCCCAGCCGGCGAGCAGCGGGGAGAAGCACCCGTAGCACCCCGACAGGATGAAGGCGGCCATCTTCAGCTTGGACGGGACGTGCCAGACGACGAAAACGGCGTAGCACAGCGCGAGCAGCGTGCCCACGGCCAGCGCGACCGGACCGCGGCGGCCGAGCTTGTCCGAGACGATGCCGGTCGAGATCATGAAGAAGAAGTTGACGGCTCCGAGGGCGGTCGGGATGTTGTTGATCTGCGTCACGGGGTAGTGTTCTGCTTTCAGCCAGAGCTGGAAGAATTGGATGATGTAGGAGCCCGCTGTGAAAGACCATAGGAACCAGCTGGATGGTAGGTTAGCGTCGTCGTTTCGTACGTGGTATACGGCTGGAACTTTACGCTAGAGAGAACGTGTAGAGCTGCCAGGACATGAAGATTCTTCGGAAGACCGTGTAATCGAACTTCCCCACTGGCGACCTGCCTTCCGAATCTATGCGCTCGATGGACCTTTTCTTTTCCCACTCGGTGAGGTAGAATGCTTGGGTGGTTTGGGGAGTGTCAGGAAAGAAAATCTGAAAAAGCGTCGTCAGCAACATGAGGAAGTGAGGTCGACGATGACTCACAAGTCCATATATAACAACCGGAATGCTAAGCAGGAAATCGAAGATGAAAAGCCAACGCCATGCAGAGAGGCCACCTTTTCCTTGCATCCCTTTGTACAGTGCGGACTGCAGGTACCCTGAAAACATCTGGCCGAGTACGCCGGACATGACGAATAGAGAGCTGCGCCGGGCCAGCTCCGACTTCTTGTACCACGATCCGAGCACGTACTGGATTCCTGGCCACGCGGCAGACTCAAAGAGACCAATGCAGAATCTCAAAGCATAAAACTGTTTTGCCGTGTTGCATTTGTAAAGAAACAGGACGAAAATGGACCAAATCAGGAGGCAGGAGGTGAGCCAGTATCGAGGACGGACAACGGATATGACCAGGTTGACCCAAGGGCCGCCGACAATTTGGCCAATGTTGAAAAAGGTGTTCATCCAGCTCAGCTCGTTGCCTGGACCAAATCCAAGCTCGTCCTTCATGCCGGAAACGTAGGCATTGGAGATGTTGTTCCCATCCAGCTGCTTGATGAAGAAACAAAGGCATCCAAAGCTCAGTAGGAACCAGTCGAGTTTGAAAATAAGCCTTTTTTCAGCTTTGGAAGTACCAGGGTCGTGCCAGTGCAGCCAACCATGACGCTCGGGGGCTTTCTTGCTGATTTGTGTATCTGGTTCATCTCCATCGGTAATTGTAGTGGATGGGTCCACACGTACGTTGAACGACTTTGTTTGCGCGGCTGCCATGTTTCAACTGTGGAAAATCGTTGAATGATATCGAGGACTCTGACAGAGCCGTCTAATGCAGGTCGCTTCAGCGAGGACGAAAGAAAATTGGACAGCATAAGCCTCACGGGGTCTCAGACGGAGATATGTATGTGCATATGGAAAGGTCGTTATTCCTCGCCACTCGCAGTTGAGCTAGGATGTGCTCGCTTTTCTTACCCGTATAGGTAATTTTGAGCGGAAAGACTCCGCTATCTGTGATGCCGCTAACTTTTAGACTATTGCGTCATTCGTGACCACACCGCACCGGCATGTTGGGTGGGGGGAGAAATTTCATTGGAAGCTTTTTCAAATTATCACAAAATCCTGGTTTACTGGGCGCTTCTCAATATTCTACTTGTTCCTGATGTTGTGTGCAAAGACGGCGTGAAAAGTTCATCTTTCCTGACGTGACCCAGATTGTAAATATTGTTTTATAATTTCATAACAGTGCAGGTTCTATCTGCCTTTGAATTCGGAGTAATGAAAGCAGTGTAATTATTTATTTGTGTAGCACCAGATATGTCGTAGGCCCAAGCATACGTCATCATCACTTTCGGTGATTCCCATACTTCCTCTAGAACCTCGCGGTTAATTTTGCTCGTCGGTAACTATGCCTAGTGATTTCCATGCGCTTCGTAGTCTCATCTATTCCAGCACATATTTACAGATCATGCACCCACCGATCCACCACCCTCATTCCCCTCGCCGGCCAAGTTCCGCTCCCCCAGCGCCTCCAAAGCCCGCTCCCGCCAAGCCGCGAACGACACAGGCCTCATCCAAGGCTCCACCACAGCTTCATCATCCGCCGTCAACGCGCAAAACCTCACCTCGCCGCCGCCATCACCGCCCCGATCAGCCGCTCCTTCCTCCACGACGCCCCAGCTCAACGGCAACGCCGAGATGTCCTCTTCAGGACAGTCCGTCGCGCTATCAGACAAGCCCTTGCACGAAGGAGGAGACGCACAAGAAACCGCAACAGCCTCCTCACGCCTTGGGTGCGGCCGACACGCTGCCGCGATAGCCGCGCTGCACGACCCGACAACGGGCATGCCGGTCTTGAAGCGCGACAGGGCGGCGGCGAGGAGGCAGGCGAGCAGGGCCAGCAGCGCGACGAGCAGGAGCGCCATGGCGAGCGGGGAGAAGCCGCAGCCGAAGAAGCGGTCTGATTGTTCTGCTGTTGCTGTTTCCTTTCCGCCATCGTCTCTGGCTCCGGCTTCGCCTGCATCCCCGCCGTCGACCAGGCTAACGGTAAACACGCTCTGCGACGCGAGCCAGTGCAGCAGCGTCGACGCGGCCGACAGCGGCACGCCGTAGCGCCACGGCAGCTGCAGGAAGTGCGAGGCGCGCTGCGCGCCGCGCGGCACGCTGGAGATGCGGAGGCCCTTTTTGCCGCTTTCTCCGAAGCCGTCCCACTCCGTCCCCAGATACAACGCGGTAAACAGCGCATTGTAGGCGCAATGCAGCAGCGACAGCAGCGGCTGCCCGGCGTTGGCGAGCAGCGTCGCGCGCCAGATGGTCGCGGACGGACCCGTGCTGCCAGTGCTGCCGGCAATGGGCATCAGCGTGTCGATGTTGACGCTGGCGCCGATGCCGGTCGCGAAGGGGTTGCGCGAGGGGTCGCGCCGCTGGACGCGCGTGATGCCGAGGGCGAGGCCGGAGGTCGTCAGGCCGAGGATGGCGGTTAGGAGGAAGGCGAAGGCGAGGCGGCGGGAGGGGGTTGTGGCGCTGAGTTTGCGGTGGCATGGGGGAGGAGGTGGTGGTGATGGTGGGTTGGGATCGTGGGTCCATGGATGATGGCGGTTTTGGAGGACGTCGAGGAGGTGGGAGAAGGGGATGGTGCGGGTGGATGGATCGGGCCGCTGGAGGAAGGAGCTGATGGCGTCGCCGAGGGAGAGGAGTGGCGCGATGCTGAGGTGGTAGAGGGATAGGAAGAGGAAGACGAAGTGCAGGAGGGTGACGACGAGGACCATGGCGGCGAGCTGGGAGGCCATTTCGACTTTGCAGTACTCTTCTTCTTTTTGGCTGTAGCAGCCTGACACGTTCCACGAGTCTGCGAACGGGGTCCACGAGTCTTGTTGCTTGAGGCGGGAGATGTCGCATTCCGAGCTGCAAAACTCTGTGTTCGAGGTGCTGCATGTCCATGACCGGGCGTCGTAGTGGCAATCTCCATCGCATTGACTCTCACACGCTGCTCTGGACTGCTCCGCACATATCCACGGATCCGGACCTGAAGGGCAATTGGGCCCGCTTGAACTGGAAGAAATGGGTGCCATGGCATCCGCGTGCAGGTTGTGATATGGCGTACTCGGTAGATCTGCCCGTTCGTCCAGCTCCAGGATCACGAACCGGCGGTCGGTTACGAAAGCTTGTGCGAAAAGGTCCATGCACTCTTCTCGGTTCTGGTAAGTCAATGTAGTGTTTTTCCACGTTGTGTCATTCGTAGGTTTTGCAGGTCCCAAGAATACGTTGTCGTAGTAGGGAAAATTCAGCATCCATGAATCTGGCTCGATAAATGCTGAGACATTTGTTCCGGAACGTACAAAAGTTCCGGGTTGCACCGTGTAGACGTCATATGAGCGGGTCCCAATCGTCAAAAACACGGTAGCGTTGAGTCTATTTGTTGTGTAAGTGCAAGCTTAAAAAGGATACTTCTTGACTTACAGCAAGTGGTGCACCAGTGAGGTGGCAGCAAGGCAGGTCCAGAGTACAATATTCCGCTTTCTGATGTAGGGTACGTTGCGGAAGCTCGGGACGCCAATGTCCAGCCAAACATGTTTCTCATGAGCTTTGTCAACGTCGCTTCTTGTTGGAGCAGACAAACACTGCATGGCGTAGTTGGCTGCTGAAAGGAGCATCGTACTCGCAATGTTCATGTAAAGGTGTACTGTGATGTTGGTCCACCGTACTTTTGAGCATGGCCCTTCTCGAAGAATAGCAGTGCCTTGGTCGAAACGCCCCGGCATAGTGAATCCGGGGATGGTTGCTGCAAGGTTGATGAGAAACACCGCCGCCGACACAATTACACCCGCCCTCAAGCTGAATTTCCACCCAACCCAGCCACGCTTGACTCTCCACTTGTGGAACTCTTGTAGTTTCGAACCGGACTTCGTCTTCCCTTTCAGTGGCAATATACTGCTCACTTCTGTTGAACTCCATGTCCATGACCTCTTCGAAAAACGCGTCTTCAAAGACGGTTTTTCCTCGTCGACTTCACTGCTGAACGAAGACTGGGATTCCATTGTTGGCGATGGCGAGTTTGTTCGGCTGGTGAAGTTTGTGTTACGAGAGGAATTTGAGGTGTTCAATATGCTGACCGAAGGAATGCTTACTATTTGTGCTGAAACGCCAAGTATCGGGTCCCCAAGTCCCTAAGCTAGCCCCCACCCCGAACGCCACATCCGAGACCTATCCTCAAATGATATCCCCCATACTCACCAAAATGGTCGCTGACGAGATCGCTAACGTGAGGGATAAAGGATAAACCGGCTGCCTAACATGCTTTTTCCCCTTTCGTCCTCCCTTGCACAGCTGCGGCTGATGCGAGGCTGCTCGAAAATGTCACTGATTGGGCCCAAATGGTGCGCTAACTATTTGTGCATAATCTAGTAGTGTATTTTATGCGCTTACCAAGCAGGCTGCCAGCACTGGCGATAATCACTTCTTAAAAGTCTTGCCAAAATGCTGGGCGCTCCAGGCCCGCTATCCAATCATAGCCTTTCTACGGTGCGTCGCTTGTATGACGTCAATGTACTTTGTGCAAGTGTGCTCACTTCCCGGATTTGATACCGTTGACCATAGCCCCCTCGGCTTTTCTACCTCTAGCCCTTGTCCTCTAAGGAAAATTCTTTACAGCGGCGTCTATACATACAACGCGGTAGCATTTTTTACATCGGCGGGCGCGGGGAGTCTCACTCTGTGCAGACGGGCTGTATCCAGGTTTCATTTTGTGTTTGGTAGGAGAGACTATGGAAGTGGGGTGAGACATTAGCAGAGATAAATAGGGGATTTTGAAATACCCAAAATCTATGTTCTCGGCCTGCCGATGCAAAACTTGCGGCTATTCAACGACATCGCCCAACTCCTCCATTTTTGATCAAGCGTGAAAAAGCACACGAGGTGGAACTGGTCGGGTTCATCCTCCCTGATCAACATTCCCCTTATGTTATTTCTGTTGCTCGCCATGGACGCGCCGGGATAATATTCGTTGAACCACCCAAATATGAGGGCAAACAGTCTAGGGCCTGCACCTTCAGAAGATTGATCTCCTTCTTCAGAGAGACTGAAAAGCTTCCCATCTCCAGTTCTAGCAAGGATCCTTTCTTCGACATCCGAAGACGAATAAGATTGCTGATTCATCTGAGCTTGATGCGCCGGAGCAGAGGAGAACACATAGCAGTTTCCCTGACATAAAGACTCTCCACGGACCTCTTTACCTTGCATCAGGCTGAGTAGTATGGATTTGGGCTTGGTAGGAGGGCTTGGCGTGCTGGTTGTGTAGCCTGACAGTACACCTCCAGCATCCGAGGCCTGGACGGGCACCGCACGTGCGAACTTTAATGTCGTAGTAAAGGTTCCCAACTCATCCATACTCCCTCCAGGGAGAGCCATCTTCAGCCCAAGGCTGTTTGGGTAACAACCTTCCATCATCTCCGCTACCTCTCTTTTCCCAACGTCCGTATCCACCATCGCCTTCCCCTGCACAGTCGTCTCTGGAAACACGGGAAACGTCGGTATCTCTCGCGACAAAGGCAGCGTGAGCGAGATTCCAAGCCAACAGGCTCTGCCACCCCTTTCAAGGATGGCCCGCGCCAAAGCCACCGTCGCGCTTAAGCGATCATCCGCATGAAAGGCGTTTGGATCCAGCGCAACGCCGAAGACGCCCATGATGCTAAGCACCATGTCGACCGGTCTTGACGACGTGCGCATAAGCGCACACTGCCATATCGAGCTGTAGTGCGCATCTGGGTCGCTGGCGAGCGTATCATTCAGCGCCGCTCCGAGGGAGAGGACGTTGGGAGACTTGTATCCGAGAATTCTGCATACTTCTTCGCTGCCGCCTTGATCCCAGTTTGATGGGCGCCGCTGGAACTCGAGGTGCCCCACCGCGCAGGCGTTGACCATGCCGGAGAGACTACACACAGCGCTATAGCCGGGGACGACCTCTACGATCTCGTCGTGCTCGTCGCCAGCCAGGATTTCGCCAGAACCGCTGCTCCATGCAAACAGCACAAGGGTCCGCTGCGGCGCAAGACTTTCTTGGAGCGTCCAAGAGCGATGGATCCAGGCGGTCGGTGTTTCGAGGGGCACTATGCACTGGACGCCGCCCGGCAAGACTATGCAGGTCTTGCAGCTCTTGTAGATGTCGTACATATTCTTTATTTGCCATCTTTTGTCTTCCTTGCTGCTCTGTAATATACACAGCCGGTCGAGCCAAAGAAAGGGGCAATCCTGTTGAATAGATGCTGCGCAAGCGTGTTGAAGGACACTGGTGTGTATGGGATCAGGTTTGTCTTCGGGCTTGTCGTTGTCTCTTATTGTGCCTTCCACGTGGAACGATATGTCTTCTTGGTTCGAGTCCTCGGGCTCATTACCACGCCAGACGTACGATACTGCGGAGTAGGGTAGATCTTTAAGCTCCATAGTCTCGAAAATCTGCAGCAACTGTTGGTCAAGTAATGCTTTGCAGTCCAGGAACCGGAAACGTTTTGGAGTGGCGGCTGTAGGAGCTGGCAGAAATCTGGAGTCTCTAAGCGAACTCAGGGGGATGCTACAGATCGCACGGAGGCCGTGGAAGTGCGCCATTGGGAATCTCAGTCTATTCCGTCAATAGCGAGGAAGGGCGAGATGAACTGTTTGGGTGAAGAAAGACTCAGCGGTTCTGAGAACCCGAATGCGTTTGAAAGGAAATACCTGTTTACGGCTCTACCGCCACACCTCTTCAATAATTGAGGAAGAGACATTTAATTAGAGCATTTGGGGAGATCAATAACACAAGTAATTCTTCTACTACCCAGCCTGAATTTTTAAGCCTACCTGCGTAGCTGAGGAAATGCTCTACTATTCTTAGCCCCACACGTCTTGACACGTCACTGCTGACAACAGATTTCTAAGCGCTTCATCCTAGTCTGTTCATTGGTGGATTTCGGCCTTGGGAAAAGGCGCAGCTGCAACATGCTTCGTTAGCACAACAATTATGCAAGGCTGGGTTTTTCAAAATGTAATGTTTTGCAGAAAAGCTGGCAACCACGTACGACCATGGGTCGCAGAATACAGGGCTTCCCGTCCGCCCGGCTCTACTACGCTTTCCATGAAACGACTTTTACGAAGGTGAGAAAATACTGGGCCCCAATTGCTTCAAAGTGCTTCTCATGAGGTATTTTCACAGGCACCTTGGGTGTAAAATTGGAGTTTAACTCTTCCTATTGGAGAATTCGTGGTGCCGCTGCGGCCAATGCCACCAGGCGGATTGGTCCTCTAAAGCAAATTCTTTACAGCGGCGTCTATACATACAACGCAGTAGAATTTTCAAAAAAAAAAAATAGCGGGCGGAGGGAGGCCGAATGCGGTGTTTGGGGTGTAGTGTGGGAGTGTACAGGGTCGGGGTGGAGAGGTGGGAAGCTGAGAGGAAGACGGAGGGGAGTTTGAAGCTGCATTACAGCGCCTGGTGGTAGGTTCGTGCTCAAAGAATGGACTGGCGATGGAGTTGGTCTTGTGCTTCGGAGAGATACGTGTATGTAAAATGAGGGTCGTACAGTCTTGGCTGTGAAATTGCATTTGCCTTGATTTGGTATTCAAGGTACGTGTGCTTTAGTCATCTCTTTCTACTATGGTATACCGCGCCCGATGGCACAGCTTTCGCAATCTGCGCGGTATTACCGAGTAATTACGGCGTCCGGAGTCTCAGTATCAATTGGCTGTGTAATTGGCGGTCTAGAATTGCCAGTCGACAGCCAGGCGACTGCCTGTCCGCTGGGATACTTGAACATTGTTCACAACCTCCACCACCACGTACGACCATAGGTCGCAGAATGCAGGGCTTCCCGTCCGCTCAGCCGTACTTAAGCTGCGAACCGGCCGATTAGTACTCAAGTGGGTGACCATTGGGGAATCCCGGCTGTTGTACGTTTTGTTTTGTTTTTGCTGGTCGGTGCGCCTTTTCGCGTCTGCCGCGAATCCCGCCCGATAAGCGAGTCCAGTCGAAGGGCTGGCCGGCTTCCAGTCGACCGTGAAATTTTAGTTTGATGGGCTTGACTCGAGTGGATTCCCCAATCAAGCAACATTAGGCTTGTTTTTTGTTATGATCGCCGTTCTGGAGTTGCAGAAACTTTAAAAGTCCCCACCAGCTCCTTCCGGCAGGAGCAGAGATGCAAAGATGAATCCGAGGTTCACGCTGATCATCGCCGTACATCGCTTGCGCGGATCCTTGCAACACGTGTGAAACTCGCCAGTCGAGAACGTTGCGCTCGCGTTGCGCTCGGAAACACTTTCCGCTCTCATGCGCACCATTTTCGAGAGACCAACGTACCACTGGCATCCGTGCGTTGTCAGCGACACCTCGGCTGGAAAGAACGGGAATCTCCTGAATTACCAAGTTGTGCACTGATAATAACAACACCTCTTATTACTGAGATGCAAGTCAGATTGCATATTGCTGTCGAGAGTTGGTGGCGAGCAGCCAAAAGCAGAGTGGTGTTGGGAGATGCGTTCCTTTTCTTATAGTTTATTGTTTAGTTCATTTAGGTAGATAAAGCCTATAGTTAACCGGCTGTTTCAGCTGCACCCTCAAGTGCTGTGCCGCCTTCCTGGGAAACGCTGCGGCAGAAGAAGAAACGAGCAAGTTTACAATCACCAGATGTGGCAGAACGTAGCCTATGAAAAGGTTGGAGAGGCGAAGGCAGAGGATTGTAGCGACGTCACGCAAGTGAGGTTTGCAACGCCGGCAGTTCGGGAGCTGCACCGGCGCGTTTCAACACTCGTTCCACCGCGCAGAACGCCAACGTCACCAACGCGCCTCATAGCCATGCGGCCAATCAGCCCAAGAGGAGTCCATTCTAGTACCGACTCGAGCCCCGGAAAAGTGCCACCACCTACAGGGCTTTTTCTGCGCCAACGGTCCATGGCGCTTCAACCGCCCCCACCCGGCTGTATCTCCGCTGCACGATTCAACACCAGACGTGCAGTTTTGGTCGGTTCTGCGCGGATGATCTCCACTTCGTTGCACACAGCTCCACTGGCAATCAAAGCATGACAAGCCACTGCGCTATACCAGTCTCAAGTCACAAGAGAAGCACCCAATGTCGGTCCAGACCGTCAGCCACTCCGCTGCCTGTCCGCGCCGCCATGGCCGCGTTCAGGGCCGACGGCTCGTCACGCCGGTGAAGGACGCAATTTTCCTAATGGCACCAGGCACTACAAAACCGCTTCATCCCTACACGAGAACATCCTCAGTCACTGCCATTGCGCTGCCTTCTCTATCCACTCGTTTCTTCGCCAGCCGGCTGGCTTTACAGTTTCCTCCAAAACTCAAAAAACCTCCACATTTGTCTCTCCCTGAATCATCATGAAGGTCAACACCCCCACCATTGGCGCTGTCGCCGCCACCCTCCTCAGCCACACCGTCCTCGCCAACCCCATCCCCGGCACTTCGCCCAACCCGCTCGCCCGCCGCTCCAACAGCGGCGAGGCCACCTTCTACGGCGGCAACCTGAACGGCGGCATGTGCTCCTTCAGTGGCTACACCCTCCCGTCCGGCATCTACGGCACCGCGCTGTCCGACTCCAACTGGGCGACGGCAGGCAACTGCGGCGCCTGCGTGAAGGTCACGCGGGGCACCACCAGCCTCACGGCCATGGTGGTCGACCAATGCCCGGGCTGCGGCACCAACCACCTCGATCTGTTCCAGGACGCGTTCTTGAATCTGGGCACCGCGACCGAGGGCATCATCCCCGTGACCTGGGACTACGTCAAGTGCGGCATCACGACGCCGATTACGCTCAAGAACAAGGAGGGCACGAGCGCGTACTGGTTCAGCATGCAGGTCATGAATGCGAACGAGAGGGTCAAGAGCCTGCAGGTCAGCACGGATGGCGGCAGCACGTGGAAGGATACCACGAGGACCGAGTACAACTACTTTGAGAACTCGTCGGGCTTTGGGACGGATACGGTGGCCATCAAGGTGACGGGCGTCAGTGGCGCGACCATCATTACCAAGGATGTGAAGGTCAGCGGAGGTGTGACGAAGCAGGCTGCATCCAACTTTTGAGGAACGCGCGGCGGGTGGTTGAGGCACCAATGAGTTTCTTGTGGTGATGTTTCAGGGCGGTCAAGGTTGGTGCTGCGCACGGTGATGTGCCTTACTTTCACGTACATGTTCCGCTTCTACTTGCCAATTGCAAGTTTTGATGGCTCGAGCTGTCTTCTAGAACCTTGTGCTCATGACTGTTGAGGTCTGAGATGGGGAAGATTAGCGTGAATCATCATCAGATTAAGATTAACAAATTATATCCTAATCCTCACCAATCACGACTCTCGCATTCGTGACACCGACAACTCAATGCCCTATAACACGTACAATATTATTTTCTCATCCATTTTCGCCTTTCCCCGCGCGCTCTTCGCTCCGAATTCCCGTTTTGGTCTCGGTATGCTCATCGCTCAACACGCTCCTCTCCACAAACAGCGTCGCCACAACAGTCACCCCCGCCACGCACGCATATAAAATCCACACATTCCTCAACGCGCCCGCATACGCCTCCCGCACAACCCCTTGCAACCTCGCTTCCCCCCGCAACAGCTCTCCCACCCTCTCCACATTCGCGGCCGCCGCCTCCGCACCCGCCAGCTCCCTCGCCGCCCCTGCATCCACCCCGGCCCGCACCAGCGGCCCCTCCCGCGCCGCCATGCCGTTCGCAAACGCCGCGCCGCCGCCGACCACGCTCAGCGCCGTCGCGACGTTGCGCACGAAGCCCAGCGCGGCCATCGCCGCCGCGACGGCGTCCTGCGGCACGCGCGCCTGCACCGCCAGCTCCGGCGGCTGCAGGCATGCGCCGACGCCGGCGCCGACGAGGACCTGGAGGCTGACGAAAGTCCTGTCGATGTGGTGGCGTTGAGGGTAGTGAGTAATCCCGCGCCCAAAGTCATGACCGCGGCGCCGCCGCGGAGGATGGAGAGGTACGCGCCTGTCCGGTGGATGAGCACGCCGCAGGCGACGGCGGTCAGGGCGTTGGTGAGGACGAGGGGGAGGGTTAGTAGGCCGGAGCGCGCGGGCGACAGGGCGCGCGCGGATTGCAGGTACAGCGGGATGTAGTATTCCAGGCCGAGCAGGACGACGCCGTGGGCGAAGACGGTGGTGTAGGCGGCGGCGTTGGAGCGGGCGGAGGCGGTGGCGCCGAAGAGGAGGTGGAGGGGGATGATGGGGTGCGCGGCGTGTTTGTGCTCGGTGAGGATGAAGAGGGCGAGGAAGAGGGGGCTAAAGGCTAGGAGGCAGATGACGGTGGGAGAGGACCACGGGTAGGTGACGCCGCCCAGGTTGAGGCCCAGGAGGAGGAGCAGCGTGAAGCCGAGGATGGAGACGATGCCGAGCCAGTCGATGGCGAGGAGGCCGATGACGAGGGGCGTGCGCGGGTTGTGTACGTCGAGGAAGAAAATGGTGAGGAGGAAGGCCACGCCGGTTATCGGGAGGTTGAGCCAGAAGATCCAGCGCCAGGAGGAGGAGGCGAGAAGGCCGCCCAGGACCGGCCCGATGCCACCTGCGACGGCCCACATTACTTCGACAAGCGCGAGGTAGAGGCTGCGCTGGCGGAGGCTGAATATGTCCGTGATGATGATTATGGTCAGTTGTTGGAGCCCCCCGCCACCGATGCCTTGGATGGCCCGGCCGAGGATAAGGATCGTCATTGTGTGGGCGACGGCGCAGACGATACTACTGACAAAAAACAACAAAAGACTGGCCAGCATGATCGGCTTCCGTCCCCAGATGTCGGATAGCTTGGCCCAGATGGGCATCACCGCTGCCTTGGAGAGGAGGTAGGCTCCACCGATCCATGTGTAACCCGAGGCCGAATGCAGTTGGGATGTAATCGTTGGTATGGCGGTAGATATGATAGTTTGTTCCAAAGCGGTGACAAACATGGACAACTGGAAAAGATGAGTAGGTTGTGCAGAGTTTATTAACAGCGTTTTACTCACGTACAGACCTATCAAGATCAGAAAGATCCTGGCTTTGCTGCGAGAAGGTGTTGGCCCTTCATCGGTGAGAGTCCCAAGTTCTTTTGTCTCTCCACTTGGTTCATGTGGTGATTGGCATTCGATTGAGAAAGAAAGTCCACCATTTTCTTCGTGGCCCATCCTGAAGATTAATATGCCAATGGATCAACTACCCAGAGGCAGGATTGAACAAATGCAACATGGAATAGATACAGACGGGGCAGCGGCAAGTGTGAGGATTTCGCCTGCAACCAGCTTTAAATTCGTGAACACTGAACCCCCCACATCAAAAGTGGAGGGATGTCGTATGGCATGCACAAAAACTACAGGCGCTATAGCCAGTTGCGTAAGGCCGTCGAAGTCCGCCGGAACACGTCGGAGTCCGGCGGGATTCCGCCCTTAGCGGCAAATCTTGCCACATGCACCCCTCAAGTCTTCACCACACCCGGACGGCCACCGACGGACGCATCTATTGAGTATGAACTGCAACAAGGACGCAAGCACACATCCGAATCTCGGCTCTTCGGGCCCTTCGGAGTCGTCAGCGCGTAAGCGCCACAGCCCTACCCACACGGCTGACAACGGGAACGTCAGCACGAAGCGCCGACGAAGAGTGTTTTCTTGTGAATCGTGTCAGAGACTAAAGTGCAGATGCGATTACGACGTCAATGCAAAAGGCTGTCGTCGTTGTCAGACGTTGAGGTTTGTTGAACCTGCACTGGTTTCACGTACCGTTCTGCTTTTGAGGCCACTCGTATCAGCAACTGACCTGCTGTAGAATAGTCTGTTCCAATGGTGATGGTCCGCAACGTTCTGATCAAGCTCCAACCAATGATAACTCTGAATCCATTGAAGACAGGCTAGTATCCATGGACAAGTATAAGGGGGATGTATACTAACAGGATGTTGATGATAGACTCCGGGCCAATGAGGAAGCTGTGACAGAGTTGAAGACCTTGTTGGAATCGATCTCACAGGAAATACGTCGCATTCATAATCGCGAAGGCGCTTACCCAACTGTGCAGAACTTTACGGCTACTTCTCCCGTACTGGATGGACCCAGCCAGGGTCATGTATCACATCCTGCTGACCATGCTGTTCACTCAGCTCCTATCGTTGTCCTACGTGAAATCGGCTTCCGCAGCGTTGGTGGTTCCAGGCGGATCCCTAACGTCGTGGGCACCGACAGTAATGGGATGGGTCTACTCGATCAGATAACCCAAGAGGAATTCAAGCACATGTAGGCCAGTATATTTACCCTGGGTACATACATACTAATAAGTGATACAGCTTTGAACAATCTCCATTTTTGGCACGAGAAACAAGAGACCTGGCACTCAGAAACGAACTTCAGGCCAAGGCTCCTTTTCTCTACCACGTTTGCTGCCTTCGCACAATTCCATACAGGAGCACCCTTGTAGGCACTCCACTGCATGAGGAAATATATGAAAGAGCACGGAGATACCTTGGGGAAATATTGCTGTCCAACGTGTCCACTGCGGAAGACATTCAAGCCATCCTTCTAATGAACGAAGGTTTGTTCAACCCTGTCAGAGTAAGATCAACACCCCAGCCAAACCGATTATAGCTAACAATTCATGGCTTAGAGTGGGATAGAGTACATCGACGGCTGGATGCTGACCGGTTATGCCGCCCAAAAAGCGATGCTGAGCATCAGTTTCTCTAAGATTGTAGCTAATATCAAAAACGGCGAACCCACAGTGGAGGACACAGCAGCAGTCCGTTTATGGTCACACATTTGCCTTTATCATCTCCAGTAATGTTCCAATTAGCATTCACAGAATTTCACTAACTCGAGTACAGTTGGGCAGCCACTACCGGACGGCCTTCAACGATTCCAACTTCTTACCTCAAACATTGCAATATCATACTCAACTTCTACGACGGGACCCTCGAGGACAGCTTAATCCTGGCAGAGATAGCGCTGTACGAAAGTGTGCTGCAGAAAATGAATGAGCGACCCTCTTTGCACTCGGAGGATGAGGAATTTGCGGAATGGAAGCAGAAGTGGAATTATCTTTTGTGTGAGCGAGAACTTTCCCGGGGCCTTCATGTGCAACACGAGCTCACTTTCCACTAGCACTCCCTACATCATCTTTTCTTAAGATCGGCTACTCCTCTGCGTGCCTCATTCTGACGACCAAATGGCTCGAGGACTTGGGAGATGATCTACGGTCGGCAGCATTCCTGTCAAATAGCCCGCTTGGCAACGACGCCCCCGTGCCTTCGCGGACCCAGCATTCCGACAAGACCAACCCGAAGGCAGCGCTTCTAAGCCTCAGAGCCCGTAGTCTGATGCACGCGCGCTCAATCCTCGAAACATTCCTCCAAATGCCGCACTTCCTGAAAAACGGCATTATGTCCAACAGGTGTCTCTGCCTCGGCTACAGCGCGCTTATCCTCGCTCATTACGGAGAGCTGCACTCGGACCCGCAGGACAAGCACAGCTTGCATCTCGTTTCGCGGCTTGAAGACTGGCTCAGCAAAGCTCCCGGAAAGTCGGCGGTGATCAAATTCGCAACCATGGCGAAACAGCGGCTGATGACGAGGCTGAGCAGTGGTCCTGCGAACGACGAAGCTCTGGGTTTAACTTCCGAGAAGACGTCTACCAAAGAGAATAACAGGAGTTATTCTCTACATCCGGCTTCGGATGGCGCTACCGCTGTCGATACTAGTGGGAATACCGTAGCTGGTAGAGATTCCGTACATTTCTGGCCTGACGGCACCTCAGCGGGCTACGAAACCCATGGTGATGCTACCTTTCCCAACATGGAGGAGTTTTTCAGTGGGGGGTTTCTAGGCTTCCAGTTTGAGTAGCAGGGAAGCATGCTGCGCCAAACTGCTTCGCAATGCTTTGTATGATCCTGAATCCCATTGCAGGTTTATAGTCGAGGCGGAAGTTGCTTGTGGCAGCTGTGCACTTCTACGTACAGATTTTGAGTCAAATAAAAAAGGTATGCGCTCGCTTATGATAGCTTTCAATCGTATTTCCTGAAATTTTATGAGCTCTTAAGCCTGGTGAACCGTGAAACCGTCTAAGAATCAGAGCCACATTGGACCCGACAGGGGTTGAAGTGGGCTGCCGATCAGCCGCAAATACCGCCGAACCTCGATCCAAAACATGCCACGTCATTCATCCTACTGCCATCGCGAGGAGAAACGTGGAAGAAATTTCAGACCGGTCGTCTTGGATATGTGTGGAACTTCGGTGGCGGCGTAGCAGGCTAGTGACTTGTCTGACCGCTGCTGGCGTTGTGTGCGGCTTGCACCGAACGCATTTGTGGCCAGACCGAAAGGCCCAGTGGGGCAAAGTGTGGCTGACGACGTGTCAGTGGGTTCCAGACAGCATTACTTGCGGGGTAGCGCAATGCTGGTGTTAAGGTCTAGAATCTGATAAACTGAGGATCAGAAGCAGGAACGACGATTTGAATTCCGTCGCTCTGACTTCCTTCGACGCCTTCAGCTTGAGAAAATTTAGATGTTTCGAAGCTCATTGCTAAGGGTGCCTGCTGATAATCATGCGACTATTGCTACGCTTCGTGGCAATTGTGCCACTATTTCGCCCGAAATATGCACCACCGTGGAGACCTGCAGGGGGTGTTGACAACGTGTTCGGGGAACCATGCACCGCATTGTAGCAGCTTTCAGCAAGGCGAGCTGCATCCTTAAGGGGAGCGCAGACGGCTTCCTGGAGCAACGTTCTCTTCGTTGTTTTCTTTTAAGCTTTCACGCTGACCCTGAATCCCACACTACCTCATCTTCTCGACATATCATCCACCCTATCAAATACCCGCGTTACTGCAAACGATATGTCTTCAATCTCATTTCCACCGCAACTGGCTCCTCCCTTGGGGACGATTCTCAACCTGGTCCGAGGATTGAAATATGGCGACGAACTCAGATGCCACGCCATTGAAGACAACGCCGATCACCGATGCGAAGAGCTCTACAAAATTCGGATGCGCTACCTCAAGACGCTTCTGGAAACTGTCCGCCAAATGGATCCACCGTTCAGCCAAGATGACGCCACGCAGCTGGCTGCAGTACTTCTCTGCACGAAGCACAGGAAGGCAAAGGAGCAAATGGGTCCTCTGGTCCACGCATTCACAGCTACACCAAGCCAAAAGTCCTCGGGCGCAAAGGACCAGACTGGGCCGCGTAGAGATTCTATGCGTCCACTCGACTCTCTGGTTCAGTATGATGATGCGAAGAAACAGCTGTTGGATTCCCAGCGTGGATTCCGGTGCATTGCATATGACGTGGCGACAGGGAGGTGTAGCAGCGAAGTGAGCAAAGACAAGGTGGCCACTGCTCGAAGCATCATCGGCATTGATCTCGAAACGGATCACAGTGAAGAGATGGAATCAACAGATGGCGAGGATGATGAAGGCTTCGTAGACGAAGACGAAAGCTTCGATGAAGATGACGATTACTGCGAAGACGACGAAGGGTCTTCACAGCAGAGCAAGATTCGCCCCCTCATCCATCTTCTACTCTGCAAAGACCACTCGCATTGGTTTTGGCTTGATCTTTACCACAGTTTGTGGCAAAAGCACATCGCTCCCGAGTCTGTGTACGACGAGGAAGAGCCGGGGCAATGGTCACAGCAAGACTACGAGGCTACAGAGGATGGAGAATCAGATGGGTATTCGGATTCCCAATCTGACGTCTCAGAACTTACTGTGGGGCGATCGGACAACGACGAAACAGAGGAAGCATCAGAATCCCTCAATACCTCTCCAAAAACCCCCGCCAAGTCTCCAAACGGCCGCAAAGCGAACTCTTCCAACTCTGCCACCGAAACTCTTCCATCAAACGAATCTCCCAGCTCTGACCCTCCGATACCGCCACAAGATCAGAAGTCTTCTGCACGTAAAAGCAAGCAGCGATCGACACAAGGAGGCGAGGCCACTCCGTCGATTCAGATTTCCGAGACACCTTCATCAGAGTCGCCACCTCCAAGCAACCGCAAGAAGCCTGCGCGCAGCCCTCGCAGCAGTCTACGCCGATCATCTGCGAATGCAGTGCAAAGCAGCCCTGGATCAGGTTCAACCGATGAGGACCTAGCGGCAAACCTCGACTCCATGAACCTCGGTACGAGCCCAGCGAAACAGCCTCAAGATGTTGAAGATGGCTATATCGGCCCCACTGAGTTGGTCTTTGACGCCGATTCCCCCGTCATTCCCGACGAAGCGGCGCGCCAGGTCGAGGAAAACCTGTGCAATTTGCTGCTGCAGCCGGTGGGCCCGCAGAAGAAGAAGTCAACGGCCAACATCTACGTGCTGCGGTCGACCGACCGCCCTGGTCTGGTCAAGATCGGCATCACGGCGGATCTGCCGATCAACCGTTGCAAACAGATCAAGGCGCAAAGCGGGTTGAACGACCTGGTGATTATCCACGCGGTCAGAGACCTGGAGAACGCGGATCGCGTCGAGAGGATTATCCATTGCCATCTCGCACCCTTCAACGAAGATCCGCTGTGCAAGAACCGTAACTACAGAGAATGGTTCCGGTTCGATGCGAGACTTGCGGTCGAGATTGTCAATGCTTGGGCAGTGTGGATGCAGCGGAAGCCGTATAGGTACCGATCGCTGGGAGACGGGTGGAGCGCCAAGCTCGAGGAACTGCAGTTGGATGGGATGCGACAGAATCAGGAAACCGTTCAACAGCTTTATGAGAGGCATGTCAGGTGGACGAGGCAGGTCTGATCGGGTTGATGAGATTCTGTATCGTATTTGATGGTGCTGATGCCATGGCTCAGATGGCTATATGATCATTCAATTGGCGTTGATATTTTTTTTTGTTTTAACCTGGAAACGAACCGCAAAGATAGAGAAAAGGAAGCGAAGAATGCATTGGAGATGACGTAGTATTTAGAAGATGGGTTGTATTTAGTTGGGTCATAGAAAGGTAGTCATGTGAAATTAGTACTTGCAAAGTCCAGATGATGTTCGACACACGACAGATGATCATGTCCATTTGCGACATTGACAAAATACACTATGTTATTAGCTCTTACGCACTAGTTGTTCAGATTAAACAAGAATACCACCGTAATCCGAATCAACGGCGCCGAACGATTCTACCTTAGCTGTGAATACTTGATGGCGGCTTGAAGCGGATGAAGTGAATAAGCTAAGCCTATTTTGGATAATGAATGCGCCCGGGTCAAAAAGACATGTTGATCCCGAGGTCGGAAGCATAATATCAGCTGATACTCTTTTTACAAGTGGTTCGACTTAGTGAATCCCCTCCTCATTGCCGTTCATGTGCTCCGAGATTCGGCGTGGTGGCATAACGCTATGGGTATGGCTGACTCTTGCACTCCTGCTCCTTTCCCCACATCCCCGCGTTACACGGGTAGACGAAGCCAATTGCATTAATAATTTCATTTTTTCAGCTACATCAATATCAGGTTCAACGATTATAAGGATCGTAACGTGCTGTAGAAGTGTTATATACTTTCACTTGCACAGACTGTACAGACGTGGGCAATCTTACTTCACGGTTGCTCTGATCGTTTTCTGATTTTATTGAAAACTAATAATGAGATAACGTGAAGTTCGATAGACAATAGAAGAGTCGGCGGAGAGATTATTCGCCTGTCATCTGCTGTTCAAGAGGACAGCGACTGAAAGAGCTAGCTTTGCGTAGAATAGAAAAATTGTGACTATTTGCCGTGATCAAGAATTACATCGCCGGCGTTATCTTAGAGTATAGCACAAGTGTTTGGTTTTTCCTTTACATGTACAAGATGAGGCCTCAAACGTTGTTCGCCTGCTCATTCGCAAAATAATTTGGCGGTACCAATCATGCTTATTTGACTTCCAACCCCACTCGTGCCATTGGTTGCGAGCGGGCTGGGAGTGTGGGGCAGATCTCCAAAGTCCCTGCCAAGCCTCCCCGCGGACGAGAGAGCGGAATTTGTATTCCTCTTTTGAACCAACCTCCAGGATGCCGAAATTTCTTCGTTATTGCCTGCCACATGACACGTCATTTCGTAGTCTCAGAGCTGTTATCCCCAACGCACCCGCAGTCTGGCGCGACTAGAAGATCGGAAGGATCTGATGATGTAAAGAGTTGGAGTATATGTCTCGATTTGACCCTCGAACGGTCTGTTGATACGATCAAGTATCTTATCTCCGAGATCCGATCATTCACTACGAATCTTTTCTCCACGCCAACGGTTAGTGTCGGCCTCCGCGATCGGACCTACCCAAAACCATTCGCACTGCCAGTTTCAGGCAGCCTGCTCAAAAATGGTCGCATTCATAACGCCATAGTAGAATCAACTCCTCCTCTGTGTACTTGTCACATAAGCCACTTGATATTTTCAAACACATCCGAGATTGCAGAAGTAGTAGTACCATTGGCGAATTTTCCCAACTGTTTTATACCACTGTCTTCTCAGACTCGTAGAAACTGAGAACGCAAGGCATGACCCGAATGTCACCCGATGTCGGGATAGTTGGCGGTGGGGTTGTTGGTTTAGCGTGCGCACTGTTACTAGTGGAGGCGGGATACACGGTCACGGTCGTGGCCAGAGAGCTACCGGGGGACATGTCCACGAATTGGTCAAGCCCATGGTTTGTTTACCCCAGATCCTACCATCAACGGTTTTACTCCGGTAATTGATTGCATGGCTATGGTTCGCAGTGGCTGACTCCCGTATCAGGGCAGGTGCGTTGCTCGCGCCGCATCCCGACAGCGACGAGAAACTGCAGCGCGACTCCCTTCGCTTCTATGAGAAACTTTCTCGACAGGATCCCGCAGCGGGCATCAAGGTGAGAATCCGACCGTATTCGCCATGGGGATGCTCAAACTGACCATTCCCGATCCAAGCCCACTCCCATCACCGAGTACTATGATGACCGCGCCCACAACGCACCCATCTGGTACCGCAACCTCTATCCCGACTTTCAATTCCTTCCTACCTCCTCCCTGCCCGCCACCGCCAAGATCGGCTTCCGCTACATCGGCTTCACCGTCAACCCGAATGACTTTCTGCCCTGGCTCGTAGCCCGTCTGCGGTCCTTGGGGGTCGACTTCATCCAGGCCACCATCTCCTCGCTGGACGAGCTGCGTGCCCTGACCCGGGCCCGCATCCTCGTCAACGCGTCCGGCTTGGGTGCTCGAGAACTGGCAAATGACGACGATGTCATGGGTGTTCGCGGCCAAACAATGTTCGTTAAATGCGACTACAAGCAGGTGGCGATTCTGCAGGGCTCCGAGTATACGTACGCCATCCCGCGCATCTCGGCCGGCGGCGTCATTCTAGGCGGCGTGAGCCAGGTCTCCAACGACACGACGGTGGACCAAGGGCTCAAGAAGGATATTCTGCGGCGGGTGAACCGCATTACAGGGAACGCGTTTGACTGGGTTGACGTCGAGCGTGATGTAAAGGACATCGTCGGATTCCGACCTGGGCGTCGTGGTGGCATTAGGGTGGAACGGGAGGGAGACGTAGTGCATGCGTATGGAGGCGGTTCGCTGGGTTATGTGTACGCGTTCGGCATGGCGAGCCGTGTCAGGGACCTGATTGCTGAAGGACGTAGTGGCCGGCCTAAGCTCTGAAGTCGACAGGAGAGAATCGTATTCCCATTTTTCTTCCACAAGTATCTTCCTTTGCCCTCCATTCTCAGAATCCGTCCACGGTAACCCCCTTTCCTAATTGCCCCGCCAACTCCAGCAGCTTGTCCCCAATAATTAAATCCATCAGCCCGAATCCCACGCATTTGAACAGCGTCAACCCCTCCTCCTCCACCCTCGAATTGTCACCCTGCAGAAACAGCTCGCCCACCTCCGTCAACTCCTCCTCCTTCGTCCCCGCCCTAATCAGCTCGCCCGACTCAATCAAACACTCCTCCTTCGAATCGACCCAAATCTTCGCCGCAGCCCGCAGCGTCTCCGTATCGATCTCCTGCATCTCAGGCTTGTAGGACCCAATCAGCGACATGAACCTTGGCCTTTCACCGCTCCCCAACAGATCCTTCGCCTTGAACAACGGCTCCGTCGACGGCGTGCAGCCGAACACCGCGTCCGCCTCACCCAACCTGCCCCGCATCGTGGACCCGTACGCCTCTTCCCCCGCCGTCTCCAGCGCCGTCGTCTCGAACACGACGCCCGGAAACGCCCCGCGCAGCTCCGCCAGCACGCCCGCCTCCAGCTCGCGCAGCCGCGCCGCGCCGCGGTTGAAAATCGACACGCGCCTGACGCCGCCGCCACCTTCACCTGCAAACTTCAGCGCCAGCCGCACGTGCCACTCGACCTGCCTCCCCGCGCCGAACACGACGAGGTTGCGCACCTCGCGCTTGCTGCTGCCCGGGCGTTGCCAGCGCGTCAGCAGCGTCATGGTGGCCAGCGCCGTGCGGAACGCCGTCACCTCGGCCGCGTTGAGGACGCCCTTGAGCGCGCCGTCCGGCGCGAAGATGGAGATGGAGCCCTTGACCGGCCCGGAGCTGGGCAGCGTGACGACCTTGACGGAGGTGGCGGTCGTCGTGTTGGAGACGGGCATGATGAGCGTCGTGTCGCGGGCCGGCTGCGTGGTGATGGCGGTGCGCTGGGGTTGGTGGATCAGTGGCGGGTGGCCATCTTGTTGTTGCTTTTCCTTGGTGAAGGCGGCGAGAGCAGTGGAGAGGGCGGAGAGGAGGAGGGTGGCGTGCGCCGGGGTGAGGTTGCGGAGGATGGAGGAGACGTCGGGTTCGGTGAGGATGAGCATCGTTTTTGGATTCTTTTTTTGGGTTTCTTGTTTTTTTTTTTGTATGTTGGTTTCCTGGGTAGACTGTGGCCTGTGACGTGCGTAGTGTACAAATATAACGTGTGAGAAGACTGTAGATGACGTGCGGGGTATTGATCCATGTCAGTTTCATAATGCCGGGTTTAACCGCCGAGATCGGTGGGCCATGCTCTCCGATCATCGGCGATACTATACAGAGGTCAATTTGAGCAAAATACAGCGGTGCAGTTCAGGACTGTCAAAATGATTCACGTCAGCACCCTTACGTAGTAAAATGGCATCATTGGTGATTGCCTTAAAACATTGTTGGCCTGTTGTCTCTGAACCGATATTGCATGTATTGAAGGGCTGTCTTAACGGCAATGACAAGTGTACGCTACCAAGCATACGCTTCCCAAACTCTGCACCATGACCAGTATATCAAAGCGGACATCATGAGTAACCCAATGTCCTTGCTTGCCTCATCTTCAGTTGCCGAGGCCTTCTACGTCCCAAATGTTTTCACTCTCACCATCATTTAAACTTTACCGATTGTCCGCAGAATTGCTTGTTATTCCTACAATGGTACGTGGTCAAAAAGGCGGCGACAAGACTACCTATCACAAATTTATACTACGTTTGCAGTGGGATTATCAGTGTCTCCATAACGTTTCCTGGAGTAATATCGTGGATGTACATATTTAAATAGATCTTTATTTTGACGTAGCTGGATTGGTGGGCATAGGTACGTGGCCAATAGAGCAGTCCAAAGTTCGACGAAGCGCCCTGCATTGGTTCCATGGGAAAACGTACCAACCCTCTCCAAGTTGCCGATTGGACTCTTGCCTGGCTTCAGTCACGAATATATAAGACTCCTCTTGCCATCTATTATCCCTCACTTTCACCCTGCATTCCAGCGTTACAGACTTCCAGCCTCCCGAAAATCTCGCAAGTTCTCGAGACAAAATGCGCGCAAACACCCTCTTCAATGTCATCCAGGCCACCTTACTGTTCGCTTCAACTCTTGCAGCACCCATACACAACCAGCTCCTCGGCAACTTGCTTTCGTCTGCAGAAAGCAATGGCCTGGCATCCGAAGAATCTCTCTGGTGCCACAAACTCGGCCGCAAGACCGACCGCGCGGACCTTATCACCGCAGTCAATGTATTCTGCTCCACCCACAACGGCGCGCAGGCCGACATAGATCACCCGTTGGAGTTTACGATGGAAATTCCGAAACACAAACTTGCGGTGGATCTGATGGTAAAGGTTCATACCGACAACGTGGTTGTAGGGATCCTTGGCCCAGATTGCGGGAAGTTGTTCCGCCGTGTTATTGATGGGTGTAATACGGGTGGTGAGAATGGGAAACTGGGCGGCAGCTTCTTCACACAGGGTGTTGAGTTCTGGGTCAACCCGAGGCTTTAGGCGGAGGGGGAGTCGGGTGGGCTGGCTTGGACATGTTATTTGAGGTTGCTCTGGAAAGAGGTTTGTGTGGTAGCCACGTCTCGAAATTAGTAGAATGACCAGCCAAGGCTGAAGTAGTAAATGGGACAATTGACCCTCCATTGAAGGTGACTAGTATAAGCAGCAACAATCGGGAGGAAGCTGTGGATGGGCTGTGTTCCACCAGTGACAGTTCATCGCTGCCCCTGATTCCAAGTCACATCCGAGCGTGAAGCCGGTCCCGTACATACTGATAATGCCAAGGCCGTTGTGCAGCTGGCTCCACCTCTTAGGAACGTTGGGGGCACCCTTGATAAGTACAACCTAGGCCACCGGAGTACAGCCGCTTGAACCCGAAAGCCTATTGCACACTAACATGTTCAGTTTGTAGAGTGCACAAACTTCCGGCGAGGTTTTGGGACTTCATGAACCGCTCTGAAAATTTTCTGAATGACATCAAACACTTCGCGTCAAGGCCATAATACATCTTCATTTATAGATGATACTTCACGAAGTGCCGTTTACTTACCCCTTAATTCATCTACTACGCATGCACAACTGAATGCCCTACATTACAGTTCTTATGTGGGCTCTAAAACCGCACATGCTCATGAAAGCACTCGTATCTTCTTTCGTAGAGGCGCATAAACTAAAAGGTGATTCATCAAACACATAAGTTCCCGGACCGTAAGTGCAGACCAGGGGTTGATGAAAATGCAAACGTGAGACACATGCCATGGGCAAGCAGAATACGATGGAGCAAGCTTATGGCCGTTCACAATCAATGCATTTAAGCAGATGTGAAGGGTGGCTCCTCATTTTGACCCACAATGGTGTTATCACCGGCAGGCTTCTGTGGATAGGGGGATAGTATGACAAAGCGAAATTCTCATTGTGGTCACTACCTCGCAGCGGCAAAAGTTCCCTCTCATGTATGACCGGAATGAATTTCCATTCATGTGCAAATATCTCGGGCCAAAACTTCCATTGTGTGTTCGCGAAGCTCGTGTTCTATCCGAGAGATCAAGATTTTCACCATGATTTTCCTTAGAAAACAAGCTTCGGCTCCACAGTCAAATGCCCGCGCCACAAATCGAACATATACTGAGCATAAGCCCTCTAGTTCGTGGGCGGAATTAGTGTTGATTGGCTACAGGTTGTTGGAGCCTCAATGACACCGCAGCTGTGGGTCCTTGCCTAGCCACACCACCAACGAATGCCAGAATATCATTGGTTATGGAAATCACGACACACCTCATATACGAGGTAAGTGGGTCGCTCAGGACATTTAAGCGCGGCTGGCAGTGAGGAACCCTGTTGTGGGTAGACCCTATTCAATCATCAGAGAGGGATTAGAGAGCCTTTAACGAATAACGAGCTCGGTATAAGTTCTTTGAGAAATTAACTTCCCCTTCAGCCTTATGTTGCCTCGAAAATCGTATTCTCAGCCTTGTAGATGTGATCGGCTGCTCTGCAAAAGGCCCAGCCGGCGGAAAGACCAGGCTTTCGGCTTGACCGGTGCTATTTCTGTCAGCCAAGCCAGATCATGAGCGTTCATGATTGGCAGCACTGTACCGCTGTTTCTACTCTGACCTTTCCGTGGTGGAAGCTCCCTGATAGAGCTGTGAGGCAGCCCACAGAAGTTCGTAACTCTCGACATCAACAATGCCGATCGCCCAACAATCACGGCGACTCCATCACCCAGAGCCCACCGACATAGACCCGGTGGGTAATGCAGCTGTCTATCCCTCGTATCCTACACTTGAACCACACCACGTTGCACGAAGGAGTTTCTGAGCGAGTTAAAAAAAAAAAAGGGGAATTGGATAGCAGGTATATAAGTGCGTCCAACGATGTTTCTCTGAGTCTCATCATCACACCATCTTCCATCCTCACAAACACAACAATACTTTCAAACCAACCGCCAAAATGAAGTTCTTCGTTGCCGCTGCCTTCCTGGCCTCCTCCGTCTCTGCCATCAGGACCATTGTGGTCACTGACACGGTGCGTCTAATTCCCTCTCGCCCTTCGTCTCTTTCCTACTGACTTTCTCCGCAGACCATCCGTGACAACGAGGGCCTTCAGTCTGTCAGTTTCACCGCTCTTGGTGTCAAGTGCTCTGCCTCTGGCAATGCTCTCGGCTCTCGCCAGATTGCTTGCCCTGGCCTCGACTACGCCTGGCACGCGTCCGGCTCCAACTCGGAGTACACTCTGACCTTCTTCGACGGTGTCAACACGTATGTTCACCCGCAAATGCTTCAAGAAGTCTATAAGGTACTGACGATTTGACTAGTGATGCTGCCCAGGCCTCGGGCAAGGTCCCCATCAACTGCCGCGCTGGAGGCAATGGTGTCAACGACAAGGTCTGCACGCAGACCGGCCAGTTCTCTGTCGCTCTCTAAATGGCGAGACGTCATTGATTACCCCCTGTACATATGTATATAGAACCGAGTAGCATCCCGTACCGACTTTAATCTTAATGCTTCTCTCCCAATCAAGTTGTTCAAGCCCCGGACACACGGTTTGAATTTCTCATCTGCACCACTCAGGGGCTGCACGTGACTTTCGCGATCTCATAGTTGTAGCCTGAGGATATAATAGGATTGCCACGGTCCCTGATAATATTTTTCTCAATTTCAAAACGTGTGTTCAACTCTGTATTCTGCAATTCCCCGGCCGTCTAAACTTCAGGATAGCAAAAAGTTATGAACTATCAAAAAGTCAAGGACTCGCCGCTCGACATTGCAAGCGGCACCTCTATAAAACCCCTTTTCAGGAATTTTCCCCCTCTACCCCAGCGAGGAAGGTGGTGGAGTGCAAACGAACTCCGCACCATAGGCCCGAAGGCCCTTAGGTGGAAGATCGAGTTCGCTAATAGACTTTAGAAGCTACTTCAAAATTAAACCCTCTACGTATCTTGTCCTTCCATCTCCAGCAGTTCACCCGACTAGAGTAGATAGAGTCAAACCTTCTAAGGTGGGCGAAGGGATGCAGTTCGAAATGCAATCGATGAGGGGAAACAGCCACACGGCGGGGCACCCGGTGGGGGCATATGGGCGGCGATGACATCGGAGGCGAGCCAGCGATATGCCAAGATTCCGCTGTACATTGGAACTTGCAGTGTACCAATGAGTGCATGCAACACGTTGTGAGATAATAGGGGATCAAGTGTGAAGTAAGCAGAATTGAAGCTAAAAGACGCAAGGCTGAGACAATGGCGCATACGTTTGGCCAACACCATGTGCTAGCTATGCAAATACGAACTACCCCGCAGCTGAAATCCCAGCCTCCACACAGCTTAAGGGCAATCATGCACTCTTGGCAAATCGGAAGAAAACATTATCAGATGATTTTCATTTCTCGTGCTGACACGTTAGTAGAATCAAGGCAACTACGTGCGCCACATCCAACATATACCTGTCCAACCTTCTTCCAATTGCTCGATTAGAGCACTACTCGCAGCTTGCATTTAGCAAAGTGGCAATCTTCGGCTGCGCGATAATCCGTGGGACAAGTCGGAATGAATATATAAGCTGCGCACCCCGAGAGCAACAATAGCAATCAGGCCATCTTACATCTTCGAAACCCTCAAGCTACCCTCACACTGATTACTATCCCAAGAGTCTATTCAAACGACTACCATGCACTTCAACCTGTCCCTTCTCACCACGGCTCTGGGCCTGGTGTCCTCAGCGTCCTTCGCCATGGCGGCAGATTGCTACAAGAACGGCGGCTGCGGACAGTGCGAGAGCAAAGACCAGATGTGGAGGGCACGCGAGGAGCTGTGCAACACGGACAAATGGAAGAACAGCAATGTATTCAATTGGGGCTGGGCCACCGTCAACCTAAATGGCCGCTTCCACGACCAGCAGTCGTGCTGGGACGGTTTCGAGAACATCATCAACCAGTGCTACGGCAAGAAAGACGGTGGACTGGTAAGTAGGCATCATTCAATGTTCTCCAATGGATAAAGACTGATACATTCTCTTCGGTCATTGATTAGTACGACTGGAACTATGACGGAGACAGTGCCCATTTGGATGTCAGCTTCTGTAACTGTAGGTAGATGAATGAGTAGTGAAGGGGTTGCTACTGCATCGCCAGTGAGGAACTGAAGCTGGACAAGCTCTCGAGATGGCCTACATTGTTTGGGACAGCATACACATGTGGGGATTTTGGCACAGGACGCACTCGCTTATTTTTCTTTTTGCCTTGCAACTGAAAATCGGATATGCCGGGCAGCAAACAGAAACATGTGCAGTATTTGCCTTCTTAGTTTCATAGAATGCAATGGATGTTTCAGAATTCGTGTTGAGGGTTAGTCTTGTCGCCAATTGCGGGTCTTCTTGCATCGGATCTCGACGCTCCGCAAGCCGCCCACCAGCCGCTGATCGCGAAAAGCTCACATATCGTATGAGTTGGTGGCTGTCCAATGAGCAGCCCTGCAACCATCCCGGCTCCTCAAGGAGGGTTGGGGTGCCGCGTCACGTCAGATGGATAGAGTTACACCAGAGTATACGCTTGCATTTGCTGAATTTTGTATGAACGAATACCTTTTGGTGACGTGGAATAAATCTACATTGTAATACATGTCTATTCTACATCTACATTCACTCATCAAACCTTGATCTATCAAAATGCCCAGTAGTATCCTGCCTCGAAGCACGTTTGTCACTGGCCTCGATATCCGCCACCGCCACATTCGTCACAGCCACATGGCTCTCCTTGAGTATATACTTCTGGCTCTCAGCATCACTCAACTCCAGCCAGCTGCGCTTCCCCGCCTCACACGTCGTCGATCCTCCGGCTTCGGCGCCGGTGTGCGGCGTGTCGAGCTTGTTTCGGCTGCGGCGGAAGGTCAGGGCGCCCGACAACGCCCTGGACCTGGTGCGGTCGCTGGAGCCGGCGCCGCTATCGCCGCCGAGGAAAGGCACGTATCTGAGCAGCGGGCGCAGCGCAGGCAGTGAGCCGGCGATCAAGCCTATGCCGGACTCGACGATGGACCAGATGGCGATGTTGGCGATGTTGTAGAGGTAGTCTGTCGGGTTGTTGTAGCTGAAAAGGTAGCGGAGGCGTACGAGCGTGGCTGTGCTGGCGCTGTTTTGGACGATTCCCGTTAGCATTTCTCGCTGATGCGGATTGACCTTTTTCGGTTTCTGTTTATGCTGAAAAGAGGAGAATGAGTGGACTTACACGACGCCGAGTGCGAGGATGATGGCAACCGAAGCTTTTATGCGGAGGTGGAGTTGGACACTCGACAGAATGAAGACTGGAAGAATGGCGCAGGAGAAGTCGGTTATAATCGAGATGGTGGAGATGAAGTAGGAGACGTTTGTGATGATGCTGGCATCGGCACAGCTACCTGTTCGCTTATCCCAAGTGGCCGAGATAGGCTTGCACCAAGCTAGCACGGCAATGTCGGTGGTAAGGGCAGCGATACAGCTGAGGAACATTATAGCGTAGAGAGACCAGATATATCTCTTGGCGGTCGTAATGCGGAGTAAGGCAACGCAAATAGAACATTTTATGGGCACGGTGCTGGCGACATAGAACAGCTGGAAGAACATAAACCACTGTAGAGCAAATCAGTGAGATTAGTGTTGAGGGAAACACGGAATGTCGACCTACCTTGCGTCCTTGTCTGTCATAGAACTCATTTAGTCGTTCAGCGCGTGCCCCAACACCATTGTATGCAGCGGATGTGGTTGCCTGACATGCGAGGGTGTACAGTATCTACGCTTTCCGTCAGTACATAGGCTATGAAGTAGGTATGGCGGATGGTGGGTAGGCTTACCAGCCCGGCAACCATAAACCAGTCATCTGTTCCAACTGCATTGATTGTTCGTCGCACAATCAAACGCCCAACAACGGTTACCCATGATAGAACGAGGAGAATGATTGATACAAGGGCCAGAGTGAGACCTGGACCTTCGAGGGTGAGGGTCATATTCGAGCTGTTCAGAGCGCCCTGGCGCGAAACAAGGTTAAGGATATTTGAGCAGAAACAGCCCCATCGCATATAAATATTTGATGTAGAGTACCTCTAGAGCCATGCAGGGGCTGAAGGCACCTGGTATCGGCATATCCTCAACCGAATCTCAGTTGACAGATGACTAGCCCAAAGGAACTTGGCTGCCAGCACGCGTCTGCCGAAAGGATGCATAGACTTTTCCGCTAGCTGCCCGAAATGTCCGATTGGACCCTTGATACGTTAGTGGAAACTTGGGCCGTTGGAGAAGTACTCTTTTGCAGGACTGGAGCCTCATGCGAACGCAAGTAGCTGCACTGGAGACGGGAGTTCCGTCCGCTAAGAAGATTATCTTTCCTATTCAAGCTAGCTCCGGCCTTAGTGAAAGGTACGACGCGGCGCTAAGAGCTTGTGCTAGTTCAAAATGGAGACATCGCGTCGATGCGTGTCCTGTTTCTTTATCCAAAAGGGGTATAGTAAATCTGCAATCCTATCTCTGTGGCTGGTTATCCCGCTCGCCTCGGAGGCACATCCAGCGGTGATGTTGTTGGTTGGAGCAATCGCTCAATTTTCCGAGCCTTCGGCTGATGATCAGCGCGTATCCGAGTACGAGTGCCCCATCGCAACCAGTCTTCCTCAAGACGCCATTCGAATCACGAAGGAACTCCGCTTCACATGCACCGCCTTCGAATAGATTGCTTGGTTTCATCAGACGGAGAGGATAGGTGTGTTCAGTACCCCTAGGTGGCGAATGAAGATTTATACTTCGCTGTGAGTCAAGCAGGCGGTTTTCCAGCGGCTTGTGTTCTCCTTGGCTGACTGCCGAGATGCGTCGGCAGTTGCAAAGAAACTTCCGTGTTAGTCAGGGGAGAAGGGTTCTGGATGCAGATCGAAGGCTGCTGACAGATTTTAGAAAAAGCTTGGCCCTGTGGCGTCAGCCACGTTCCATCGTAATGACGCCCTGAAAGCATGATTTATAGAGAAAAGTCTTACCTGTGTGCCTGAACTCGGCTTGAAAATGTTTTTATTGCCATTAGTTCCTTCATGCGCTTCTGTAAAGATCGTGAACAAGGCCCTGCATGACATGAGAAAAAGACGTATTTCCTTGACGAGTTTCCAGCCAAGGTTGGGCTGTTGCACGATTATTTTTCCTGCGTCTACTAGCGTCAGACTATGGCTGAGACGGGACGGGAAGGCCCCTGCAGGAGCCACTCTGGTGCCAGCGCGGAAGGCCTCAGCCTATGCTTTTGTGGGGAAATGCATCTCAGAGATCCGGCTCGGCCTTCATCATTGGCTTCTTGACTTAAATCCGGTGCGCGTGACGATGTTTACGCCGTCTCTAACCGTGACAGTAACAGTGTCAGCGCTGAGATCAGCAGCGAAGGCAGACATCACCAGTCACAGCCAAGGACTACCTGACTGAGGGAAGATGGAAGGGGATTTTTATACGCCGCCTCAAGCTAATAGACGGTTGTCAACGAGAGCGGCAGTTCTCATGGGGTCATGCCCGTGCCGCGCCGAGAAAACGGTTCCTGAAGATCTTGATCTTTGGCGCTTGAGGTTGGTGGCGAGGCCATTGTGATGACGTTCTGGGCCCAACGAGGTGCATATCGGAGTATTTCAGCTCTACATTCCCTCTAAATCCGATGTGACTCTACAATAGTCCGAGCTTGACCGGCTAATCGGGTAAATGCACAGCTGTGTCTATCAGTGTTCTTCGATCAGCTTCAGAAGTCGGATAGTGAGAAATAGCCATTTCAATCTTTTTCCCCTCTGGGTAAATTTAATATCCGGTTCGCCTGCCATATCTTGTCCATATCGGCTTCACTGTCTTCCGATCGGTAAAGGCCATGCAGTGTGTGATACAATGCAAATGAGCAGCCGGCAAACTGAGCAGGACGCCCTGCGGGGTTACAAGGGGACTTTGCAGGAGTTTGGACCTGAGTAGACATTCCAGGGTCGACCTTCAGGTGGAAACTATCGTTAAAATATTGAAAGTCGACTGTGATGTAATTGAGATATTCATATTGTGTAATAGCATAGATGCCGGGTAGTAGCGGCGTCATGGAGAGAATTGGTTGCTGAAGCTGTCAGTCACCCATAGAATCAGCCTTTCCAGGGCACATTTTAATATTTAAATACCGAAGAATGTGCATCTTGACAATGTCAAGGTTCCATAAAGTGTCGAATTTAACGCCCAAATTTCCACGCCCGGCATGGCCTTTTCGGTAGGAGAAGAAGACAAAGCAAACATACTACTGGGGTGACACCTTGGAGTTCGCGCGTGAAATTTCGAAAGCGCCTTTTCTGCTTCGGCCGTTCCCCCATGAGCAAATTTCTCTACTAGATAGTAGTTACTGGCAGAGCTGGCGACGTGAGAAGCAAGGGGGGTTCTCAGAAATGGATCTCTAGTGGCTCCGATAGCCCCAGAAATTCGATTTGCTGTTCTCTAGGCCTATGGCGCTGCTATCTTTATTTGTGCTGTCGGCAACTGGGGCAAACGGTGACCGTATGCGTTTAGGTCAAGCTACTTCCTGTCCAATCTTGATTCTTAAGCGTGGGAAATGTATTGATACTCAACTGGACCAATGGCATCTAAATTCAAGCCAAGTGCTTCCCGCTAATGTGCAAAAGAGAGACTTGGGCTTCCATAGACCTTCTATTCTCGCAGAAGTTAGCCAACTAATTATAAAACACGCACTTTCTATACACTACAGACAATATTTCCAACGCCATCAAGGCTGTAAGCGTTGGAGTTATGGAAGAGCAACAGAAATGATGACTTCACCGACTCCGACAAGCGTCACAAAGGCCATCAGTTCGGCAGCAATTTTAAATTCTAGGATTACTTAGTGCGCTCAGTACACATACGAAAAGGTCTGACCCATGCCTAAGTACTACATTCAGAAGCTCATTCGTGATGCAGATGATGATTCCTACAATATTTTTCCCGCAATCGATGACCGGTACAACACCTGGCCGGGTGCTTTAATAAAGTCTGTTGGCTTTGATGTAGGGCGTGCTTCATATGATATATTAACAGTGATAAGAGATTCTATGAGGTATAGAGAAAATATCCTATCTCTCTATAGCAATCGTGGTGCCAGATCTTGTCCAAGACCAAGATATCCGCATGTATCTTCAGTGAAAATTATCTCACCAGCCCTCCCGTCTCATTTACAAGAACTTCGGATCCACCCAAAGCGTGTAGTTTGCCCCCAAAACCTCCTCAATCTTCACCGGCGCACTCAGCTGCTCCGAAAACTCCGCCCTGGTTGCATCATTCCACGCGCCAGGTCCCGTATTCCCATACTCGGCAAACGTGACGTTCTCGGTGTTGTTCTGGCTCTTCGACCAGATGGCCCAGCCGGCCGGGTTGATGACCTCACTGAGGTAGACGCCCTGGAAGACGACGCGCGCGAAGCTGCGCCACGGCCGCCCCAGATAGTACACGCCGGCGGTCACGTTGGCACCCTCAACGCCCGCCACGCTGCCCCCGTTGATCACGTACCACCCGTCGTCGGCCAGCTGCCGCCCGCTTGCCGTAACCCAGCCCGTGCCGCCGATGGGTTCGGGGACGCGCAGCGCGCAGTTCTCGAACCAGGCGCCGGAGCGCATGCCGAAGATGAAGTCGGTGGCGCCTAGATGTTCTGTGTCAGCGGGGGTTCACATTCGGAAGGTGGGAAAAGTTTCAGATGCTATGGATGGATGGATGGATGGATGGGTAGACTTACCCTCGATGTAAGTGTTGGCGAAATAGTGTTTGCCGACGTGCGCCAGCAGTGTGTCTTGGTAGCCGGTGAGCTTGCAGCCGTAGTAGCCCTGGTTTGTGGCCTGTGCGGAGACTGCCACGGCCTGGCTGCCCTCGCCGTACGTGTTGGCAATGTTGAGGTTGTAGACGTTGAAGTTAGGCGAGTGCGCACGCAGCGTTGCCGTCAGGTCGTTGCTCAGGTTGAAGGCTTGGCTGAGGCCCGAGGTGATGGTCACGGTGTTGGCCTCGTAGGAGCTGTCGTTCTCCGAGTAGCCATAGATATTGATCGGCCCAGCGTGCTTGGACACGAAGACCTGTTCCTCGTAGACGCCGGACCAGACGAAGATGTCTTGCGGGGAGGTCGAGTTGGCCAGGGAGTCGACAGCCTCCTGGATGGTCTGGAATTGGCCATCAGAGCCGCCTACAGTGATGGCTCCTTCCGGCGGTGCCGTCAAAGCAAGCGCTGAGCCGAGAAGGCTAGGAATTATGAACGAGTGACGCATGTTTCAAAGAATGAATGTAGACAGTTGCTCTTTCAAAACGGCCACAGCTGGGACTTAAGTATAAATTCGAAATGCAGGGCACCTCATGCAGGGGCATTTTGCCTGAGATCTTCCAGATCAATGCCAAGATTGAATGCGTGATCATCGTTACACCCTAACGGAAAGGGATGCCGAAGACTTCTTGGTTCTGGTTGTGCCATGACTGAAGGTTAACCCGCCGATTTAGTCCCTACCAATCGAAATAGCAGAATGCCCGGGGCGCGGGACCATGGATCCCGGAAACCGTTTGGCCGAGCCGCCAAAGCCTCGCTTGAAACATTCATGACTTGCATCTTGTATAGCTTAAAGTTTTCTGAGTTCGTAAACACTCGGCGATGTGGGGTTCTATTCGTTCGCTTAGTTACTGTCCGTATGCACGGATCAATTTCAAGCTCTAATGACTCGAATGCGGCCACGAGTTGATCTTGTAATACTGCCTTAAGTTGTATCTTTCAGAGCTCGCAATGGCTTTTACCCTAATGCAGGGTCAGGCCGCCGCTCTAGAATGACCTGATGACAGATTCTCTTCTCAAACACGCCGAAATCTTGCACACTTGAACACCAAAGTCGTTCCCCGTAGGAGATCGGGCTCGTTGACACCCTTGGGCTACCACAACTATCGTTCCTACTGGAAGTGGATGTCAAACTTGGAATGCATTCAAATTTCTGCGGAAAAGATTCCTCTCGACGAACAGAAAATAAAGCAGTCAGTACTTTCAGTTGTCACTCGCTTTGTCTCTTTGCCATGTGCGAAAGCGTTTGACTTGATTTTTGGAATAGGTAGTTACCAAACTCAACTATCGCTGGCTAGACCTAACTCTTAGTCCGTATGGGTCTGCATTCTCTTATAAAATATCAATTTTTCATTATAATAGATATCTATAGGTTTAGCTATTGCTGCAGGAACGAGGAAAAAAACTTAGATTTTAATAACATTGAAGTTTTTAGTACAGCTGAAAGATGGTGGATTTTGGTGGAAAGTTGGGTTTGGCCGGTCATAGTTGGGTTTGGCCGACGATGGTTGGGTTTGGTAATTACCCCCTAAATTTTTGGCCCGGGTACGCCGGAACACTACGGAGATGTCTTGATTATCTGGCCCGGAAGGGCTCGAACGTGTTCTAAAGCCGGGTCCCGTGCACACAAGCTTAAAGCCTAATTGGCACGTTCCGCTGCCTATCTATTTCTTACACAGTACTTCCTGAAATAACCCCCCGGTTTTCGGCCCGGCCCGGCGCATGCCAGCGTACCGCCCGATCGTTTACCCTCCCAACGTTTGATTCACAAGCATTGATCGGATCAGCCGAGAAATCGCATATCTGTTTGAATGCCTTACTACCATACCATCTGGCCTTATTTGCTCAATTCTCTGACCTCTCGACAAGCTAAAGGCATAGAAGGCCTTGCAATTAGGAACAGATAGCTCTTAAGAACTTAATAGCTTCTCTAGTAGTCGTATTAGCTACTGGAGGGTACCCGCGAAGACGATCTAGAATAAGGAGACCGCTTTATTAAGCCACCAACAACAGAGCATTCAATATACCCCTAACGCAATGCCTGTCACAACTACCAACACTGGCAGTCTGCGAGTGAGGGACGCAGATTCCTCCATCTGGGACCGATGCGGCTCGTCCAAGCCATTTGTTGTGATATTATATCATAAGATCGTCTGCTCTTGACTGTCTTCAAAAATAATCTCTTAACTATACGTATCCTAAGCTCCAATCTTAGTTTCCTTGAAATACTTGAGACCTCTTAGATAATCGTGTAACCTATCATTGAGCCCTACAGAGCGGAGACTGGCCGAGATTCCTCATTTTGAAGACGGTTAGTGCATTTCTCCTCGGGCTATGAGTAACGATCGGAGATTCCGATTAAATAGTGTCACAGTTGTCTGCAGTGCAGTATCCAAGTTTTGCAAGTCCGACGAATGGTATTGTGTGCACTTCCCCCGTCGGCTCAGTCGTGCCGGATCATTTCCCGCTTGTGGGTCAGCGCCGACTCATGTAAGAAACACTACTTATTGCTTCCGTGCGGAAAGCCATGCAGTAAACGGCTTAGTTACTCAGTCATGAATCGAGTCCAATAAGCGGTGTGCCGGTTAGGCGAATCGCCGTCTTCCGCCGCGACAGTTACAAGACAATTTCCAGCCGCGTTTCATAAAGGGTCCTGAAATCTATATTCTCAATCTGACTAATTCTTCTTCCTGTAACATGATTATCCACTGGCTATTCTTGTCATGGACGATGTAACGGTAAACGCGATTTCTTCCAAAAATCATTTTTATCTGGAGCTGGAAGATGTCCCAGTCGCACGTGGGGCGCGCACGCCCGGTCCACTTCATGTGGCTGCCCGAGCAGTTCTCGATGTGGCAGGTCGTGGACTGCGAGCGCGGTGAAGGCGTTCGAGACGCTTTGGCGCGCCGCGGACACCGCTTGCGCTGCATGATGCACGGAGATCCGTATATCGGGAATAAATTTGTCACGCGTGCGGGTGAGCCGGAGTTTTTTTGGCTTCCAATGCCCTAATGATGGGTCCATCACGCACGATGTGGCGTATTTTCTCGTGAAGGCGTTGACGATTGAGGACCGTCGTGTGCATGAACGAAGGCTTGTGGCAGGATATCTCCGGGCTTTGCATGCGGCTGGCGGCGCAAAATTTACGGTCGAGGATGTGTGGAGAGATTACTGCCAGCATCATCTGCACGCATGTGTATGACTGCTCTCAGGACCAATGATGCAGACGACGAAGAGGTGCATGCTATGTCGCTGCGGCACTGCGCGACAATTGAAAATTAGAGGAGTCTGGGAGTGCTAGACAGTTGAAGCGTTGAATGTGAAGCCGATAAAGAGGAGGGTGTCCGACGCATAGTGAAGTTCTAGTCCTGTCAATGAGAAGCGCTGAATGTGCATTGTCAGAAGTTCTGGAGATTTGAATTGGCAATCGTATTCCACCGAGACTTATTTTTTCTCAAAATTAAATGCACTTGCTTAATACATGTTCCAGATCAGACTAGTGATGCACGTTCTGGGTACCAAAGTGCAGGCCGCATAGCTGAACGGCCAGTGGAACAAAAACATCTGGGACTGGAGATATTAAACTTTGATTGAGTTGAAGCCCTACTCGAATCTTTCCAAAAACTATTCACCATGCCCAATATGTCTAAATAGCTATGAATTCTGCAGCACACTACATGGTGCACTGGGAAAAGGAGCCTTTATCTCCAGCACGTAGCGCCTGAACAATAACACCGAGATCGCTGAGCTCCGAATTGAGCATGTTCTTGCATTCTACACTTATCTCTTTTACAACTGCGGGATCATTATTAACGGAATTTTCTGTGGATTATGCATAGATAAAAGTGCTGTAGAAATGGTAAACAAACCAGTGGCAAACAAGTGTGACTTTTCTCTCAATTGGTTAAAGGGTATAACTGTGGGTCATCGTTGAGAGAATCATATTTCCTTACACCCAACAAACAACCGCCATAGAGGCTCTTGCATGTCATTCTAGGAAGTCTTCGTCCCAAAGATATTTCTGAACCAGCTGAAAACAGAACAGAAAAGAAAAGAAATGAGAGGACGAGATAGCATCACTACAGCTGCTCCGCTCCAACTTTGTCCTGCTCACCGCCCAGCCGCTCCAACTCCACCTTCCCAAAAGACCTGGTCGGCGTGCGTGCCTCAAACAGCCGATCCAACTGCTCAAGCTCCAGCCCCTTCATCTCCGGCACAAACAGCCACGCCAACGCCGCCATCAGCAGTGCCAAAGCTCCATACACAAATCCGACCCTCGCACCCAACCCCGCATAACCGTCATTGACCAGATACGGGACGGTGAACGATACGACAAATGCCGTCACGACGGACAGCGAGATGGCCAGCATGTTGGTCTTCTCGACGACGCGGCGGGAGGCAGCCTCGGCAAGGATTACGTATGACAGCGACGCCCACGACAGCCCGTACGACACGCCAAAGAGCATCAGCGACGCGACGAGCGTGTGCTTCTGCGCCTGGGTGGGATCGGCGATTGTGCCCATGCCGCCGAGCAGGAAGAGCCAGAAGGCTTGCGAGAGGCCACCGCCGATCAGAAGGGGTCGTCGTCCGAGGCCGTCGACGAAGAAGCCGCTGATGAGGACGCCGGCGAAGGAGACGGCGGTGGAGATGAGGGAGAGGGCGAAGGCGTTGGTGAAGCCTTGTTGGGTGTAGAAGATGGTGCTGTATTGGGAGGCGAAGGACTGGCCGGTTATTTGTTGGCCGATCATGGCGATGGTGACGATGAAGGTGCGGCGCTGGGATGGACGTGTTAGTACGGTGGGGGCTCGGAGAGGTGTTTGGGGACTCGAGGGTCTGAACTTACCCTGTTTGTGCCCTGGAAGACCTCTCGCCAAGATCCTTTCTCTTCGTTCTCCTTGAAGCTGGAGAGCATGTCTATCTCGAGTTGAAGGGACTCGACTGATGTATCCTTCTTTCGTAGCTTCTGGAGTGCTTGCATAGCGTCCTCCTGTCGCCCTCGAGAAATGAGCCTGTTACTGTCAGAATCTTGCTGCTTTGACTTCATTGGGGGGACTGACCAACGTGGTGATTCTACTAAGATAGGGAGCAAGGTAAGCAGAAAGACAGGCATGACGAATTGGATTACTACTAAATATCAGCATGATCCATTTTGCAATGGGAACAGTGTAACCTACGGACTGGAATGCGCCAGCTATTGTTGTTTGGTATGTTTGCTGTGCCGTAGTTGATGCCACTCGCAACTAGTTGCGAGAAGACGATTTGAATCTGCAATTGCGAGGAGATTAGGCCACGAAGGCTAGGCGGCGCAATCTCAGCCATGTATGCTGGGATCGAGATGACACAGATACCCGTCATGCCAAATGCCAGGATGCGGCCAACAGTAAACTGGGCGGCAGTTGTGGCTGAAATCTGCAGAGACACTGCGCTATCTTTCTGTCAGTCATGTAACTGCGATACTGAGAGGTTGTAGTACTTACACAAGAGACACGAGTGCAATGATTAGCATGGCCTTCTTCCTGCCTAGCCTCTCTGCGATTGGCACGCCCAACCAGCATCCCTTCCTCGTGTCAGCCTCTCAAGCCCATGTCCGTCAAACAATATTCGCAGCATGCAAATCATACTTACGATGAGCTTTCCGAGGAATGGTGTTGAGTTCATGATGGAGGACAAGTAGGACGGCAGTGCACATTTCCCCTGTGGAGTGCAGGTACCGAACCTCTTCTCGAATGCTGTCTTGTCGGTGAGATTGGTAGGTACGATCGGGTGAAGAAAACATACGTTCCATGGCTTGAAGACCACTGAAAACACCAACCTGATCTTGGTAAGCTGGGGTTGAGTATATCAACGTTGGGCTGAACTCACATCGTATCCGTAGTTGAACATGGCGATACTCGTATAGCTACCCACATAAGTCAGAAGAGCATCAAAGGACGATGATAAGAGAGACCAACAAAGTTCCAAAAGCCACCAATGGAGTGAACTCCTTCATTCTGCCCCAAAGCTGCGCTTTGACAGAGTTTGTGTCGCCCATGGTTGCACCTAAAGCCCGATAAAAGCGTAGATAAGTGATGACCACGAGGATTCAGCAGCTTGAGACAGCGAACGTCCTCTTTATGTGCGATTTGCAATTTGATTTGGGTGAGGGGTTGGTCACGTCCTCAGTGTGTCGAGATTGATCCCCACCGTAACCACCAGCCGAGCGAAGCAAAGCCACGGCGTAGGCGCCTTGCCCGAAGCACACTCTCCCACGGTTATCTTCCACAGAGCAGGGTCGGATTGGTTTCCTTCACCCATGTGGGTCATGAAAAGTCATCCTATCACTGGTCCGCTCAAGTCAGTGTTTCACACAGATGGCCGATGTTCTGCCACATACAAGAGTAGTGCTCCGCGTGTTGATGCACAGAATTAGAGTGGGACTGCCTTGCGCGGGAAAGCCACGTCGCTTGAACCCCGGGTATCGAAACTACCCCGCTATCATCGGCTTTCAAGATCGCTTCCCCGCATTCTGTCCGGCACATTTCCTCTCACGAAGGCTTATGTTCGGAAGAAGAATGCTTCGTGTATCGGGTGTCGTCGCAAAACTCGTATGCGTGATGTAGATTTTATGGAGTAGAAAATGTAGGTAGCGAATTAGGTCCATTGCGTGATTGACAAGGGTGTTCGCGTGACGCAGCTCGACCGACCATCACTCCCTCCGTAACGGCTCTTTACCGGCTCTTCACCGGCTCTCAACGTCGGACAGAACTTATCTCATCCGATGCGACTGCGGTACTTATTGCGTGGCCAAGCGTCGCAATCTCCAGATCTGGCACCAGTGCTCTTCTACTCAATTTTACACAGGAATCCTGACCATGGCTCCATCAAGCTCTACGAAAAGGCCAAATTTTCTGGTCATTGTTGCCGATGACCTCGGGTACAGTGACATCTCACCATTCGGCGGAGAGATCAAAACGCCAACTCTCGAGAAGCTGGCAAAAGATGGCATCCGCCTGAGCAACTTTCACACTGCTTCTGCCTGTTCGCCAACCAGGTCGATGCTGTTCTCCGGGACGGACAACCACATTGCCGGGCTTGGACAGATGATGGAGCACATGGCAGCATTTCCTGACGTCTTCAAAGGAGTGCCTGGGTACGAGGGCTACTTGAACTGGCGTGTTGCAGCGCTTTCAGAACTTCTGGAAGATGCTGGATACTTGACCATCATGTCGGGAAAATGGTGGGTGCTTTGACTACACATTGATAATGAAAATAGGGCTACAACTGACCCGTATTGCAGGCACTTGGGCTTGACGAAGGAACTTGCACCCTGCTCTCGTGGCTTCAAGAAAAGCTTCAGCTTCCTGCCGGGTTCGGGTAACCACTACGGCTACGAGCCTCAGCTCGACGCCAATGAAATCAAGATCCCCTGCCTCAACACCGATGAGCACTGGATGGACGGCGACAAGTTCATCGACAGACAAAAGGACCTGCCGTCCGACTTTTACTCCACCAAGTACTTCACGGATAGGCTGCTCGACTTCTTCGAGAAACGCACTCCTGACGAGAAGGACCAGTCATTCTTCGCTTACCTGCCTTTCACAGCGCCGCACTGGCCTCTACAAGCCCCTAAGGAGGTGATTGATCAGTACGGTAAGTCTTCTCGTTGACTACCTTCCAAGTATCTCATAGCTTACAATGTATGCAGCTGGAATGTATGACAATGGTCCCGACGAGCTCGCTAAGCAGCGGCTTGAACGCCTGATCTCTCTCGGACTTGTCCGCCCAGGCGTGGAGCCAGCACCGCCGTCTGGCAACATTGGCAAGCCATGGACTGAGCTGACTGACCAAGAGAGGAAAGAGTCTGCAAGAAAGATGGAGACCTTTGCCGCCATGGTTCAACTCATTGATGAGCACGTCGGGCGTGTCGTTGATTACTTGGAATCAACTGGAGAGCTTGACAACACTTTCGTTCTCTTCATGTCTGACAACGGCGCGGAAGGCGTTGCCCTCGAGGCTCTACCGGTATGTAATCAAATTCTAAAGTTTTGAAAAATTCGCTAACGGAAGGAAGCTCATGGGTGGTCCGCGAACCATGGCCGGAGTGATTGACCGGTACTACAACAATAGCTACGAAAACATCGGCGACAAGACGTCTTTCGTCTGGTACGGTAAGTCAAACCACCCCATCCCACAAATCAGCCTGCAATGCTAACACGGAGACGTGTAGGGCCGCGGTGGGCATGCGCCGCAACAGCGCCAGCGCGTGGCTTCAAGTGTTGGATCACCGAAGGCGGCATCAACTGCCCCTGCCTGATCCGCTATCCGAAGTTCGCCGCTGGTGCCGCAGACCAAGAAGGCAAGATCTCGCACTCCTTCACGACGGTCATGGACATCCTGCCAACCATCCTCGACCTCGCCGGCGTGAAACACCCGGGCGACACCTTCCGCGGACGCAAGGTGCACCCGCCGCGTGGCAAGTCGTGGGTGCAGCACCTCAACTCAGGCGACCTGCAGGGCACGTCGGTGCATGGCGAGGACGTGCATGTGCATGGGTGGGAGCTGTTCGGGCAGCGGGCGATTCGCGAGGGCAAGTGGAAGGCTATCTGGATGAATGCGCCGAGAGGTAAAGATGACTGGGAGCTGTACGACGTCGAGGCGGATCCGGGAGAGTTGCATGACAGGAGCGGAGCGGAGCCAGAGGTGGTGGAGCGGCTTGTCAAGCATTGGGAGCAGTATTTTGCTGAAACGGGAATGATCCAGACTCCTGTTTTCGCTGTGACGAAGGCATGATGGAATATGTAAGGCTTCACGAACTGCTTCGCGTTGAATAGCTCTATACTTTCACGATTTTGGCGCTTCGGGCGTTTCTCATGATTAAGTTGGAATGCACTCGGACCTTGAACATCACCCAATACTGATGGATTTTTATGCTACGCTAAAGCCAAGCAAAGCAGATACTCACAACGGATGAACATCGGGCTAAACCGCATTGTATTCAACGTTTTCCAACGGCCTCTCTGCTATGAAAGAAGGATGACACAGAACCTGCGCTCCTTCCATATCTCCAGGCCAGAAAAAGGTGCATAAAAGACATGTTGTGAAGGGAGACTACTTCTGCTATCTGTAGTCGCGTGTCCTGCCAGAGCCCCTGAGTATGGATGGCATCCACCGTTTTAGTTGAGAGTTTTCTCAAATGCAGCCCTGCATTAGGCCCTATCGGTAGGTATGGCTTATTGGCCATATGCTGTGCCGTCTTTCAGCCTCAATATGCAGCTAAGGCGGGGGAAGGCTGGCTGAGCCGCCGGGCGGGGGCCAGACCGTGCCCCTGCTTGTGCTATCACGCAGCATGGTCTATCTTCTGAGTGATCATCGCAAAGAATTTATTGAAAGCTGAATTTTCTTGTGAAAATTACTGCAGGTATAATCTCCCATCACGACAGTCTTAAGATGCCAGTTCTTTTAGATGGCGGTCCACAACCGTATTTGTGTAACATACCCTGCTGGCTAGACTCGTCCTTACCAGCCACAAAGCCACGCGCCAACATGGCTGAGCAAAACCAATTCCTTGGGATATCTAAAATTACAACATGTCAACAACTTCGCCACAGTACAGCCTTGCGTCTGCAAGCCTCCTTGAGCAGACCGGTCTCAGGCCAGCGGTTAGTGGTGGCTTTGGTGTTACCATCACAAGGCTCTCTGATACTCATCCTTTTCCTTGGCACCCTCGGGTAATAGTCAGCCCTGCTTTCTGTCGGAGTCCAGACCCATTTCAATATCAGTGTTGTTTGCCTTTGTGTCAATTTTGTAGCAATTATGACAGAGACTGAGACATCGATCATTGCCCAGAATGCTTCGTCGTTGCCAGAAATTGTTGCCAGATGAACAGCACCTGGAAGCCACTTGTCATGCGCTGCAAGCCGTATCTGGAAACCGTTGACGCGCTTATTGAGCCAATCTGTCGGAGGCCCGCACGTTCACCCCATGACTCAACGAATCATCACATAGGCTTGCCACAACCGTTGAAATTCCTAACATCAGTAGGAGCTGCTTGCGCCGTACGCAAATAACTCATGATCTGGAACCACCTCACAAAGAACGCAAGTGTTTTGAGCGGGGCAGCTCGCTTACGAAACAAACTTTGGCTAAATCAGAATGGTGGATACACGTGCGCTTTGCAGGCGTTGCTGGCAGTAATGGGACTCAGCACATCAGCCACCTTCACGCTTGGTAGTACGAGGCACGTGTTGCCGACGAATCCTCATAATATCGCAGCAGTGGCGAGCTTATTGGCCGGATCGTCAATGTTGGATGAGAAGGTCATTGCTCCCGGCTCTCAGCGGCGCACTGAAAAAGAGCTCAAGCGATTGGGCCTATTGGAAGACGATAAATTCAGCATGTGATGGTGGAGCAGCGGCAATGACGAATGGGGGGAGCGGAGAGAGGTGCAGGTTCGGCATTGACATTGACCCTGCGGAGTGGTATGACGTGCATGAGGTAAATCCGCGTGGTGCTGAGACATGACTCAAAGCTCTCGTTCCTGAATGTCAAATGACTTTAACTGAGGATCAATCTTTTATACGGTAATTGCTAGACTTTGACCTCAATTTTAGTGGAAAAGCCGAAGCCCAACCTTTGCTAGCTAAACCTACCCCTTCATTAAAATCAATATTTTTTTTTCAGCGCCGTAGACCTTCAACGAAGCCAAAATCTAGATCTCTGCAAGTAGGTTGTGGTGGGTGGTTGGGTTTAGCCGGTAGAGGGTGGGTTTCCGCTTTTCGACTAAAATTAGGGCTGGGATTATTGAAACTGAGGGGGGCAAGACCACTCAGCACGTGTCCGGCCGTTCAGATATTCTCAGAAAGTTGACAAAAGATGGGGTAAAATGCCTTGCCTTCCGAAAGTGGCTAGCTGCATGGCGCCATAGACGGATTTGCCAGGTGGTCGAGCTGAACTGATCAATTGATTCGTATTCCCATCCCATCGGCGTCCTGGTGGCTCAGCTGAGCCAGCCAGCCTTTGCGAAGCGAAGCGACGCGGGAAGACCGGATACGTGATCTGTCTACACAGAACCGCAGCCAATCGCAAAGTTGGCCAAAAATGCGAACACTGGCGGAAGGATTTGGAGTGCGGGAGTGATGGGTTGTGGTCAAGGCTGGGCGGGTGTCTTGGCGTCGTCGAAGCCGTCTGTTGTAGGCATCCCTGTAGCAACACACTTATGCTTATGTGGTGGCTGACAATTAGTGCTGATCACGGCACGTAGCTTCACACTAGCGCCGGCTACGATCCGTACTAGTTTCGGCTGAGGCTCCATCGTGTTCGCTCAGGTACTTTGGGTTCCGAGAATCACTGCCCCACCCGTCCCTGTCATTTCCGTCTGGACCATGGGAGGCGTGCGAGGGGCTGCTTCCGGTCCCGGAATGGCATTCGGGTGTGAGTTTGATGTTCCCTGTCGAAGCGCTCTCCCTCCGCCGCGGGATTCTCTCAACTCGCACCAGCAAGAAACAGGAGGGCTACATAATTCTACCGGTGAGTTTTCGAGTGCAACACTACATCGATAAGCATGCCGTTGCAGCGTGGGGAAAGCGGGGGCACGGCCAATGAGTTGGAGACGATTCGACCAAGGCAAGCTGTCGCAAACTTTAAAATGGCTCGGGCCCCGGCAGGCAGTGTTACCAGAAAACCGCTGGAGGTGGCTGGGTGCCGCCGCATTGATACAGGTGGTACGGCGGGTTGTGGAGCGCGCGGTTAGGGCCCGGTGCTACGGTGGGAAAGCGTGGCGAGTCTCCCGTCTTGAGGCTGGCTGAACCGTGACCCAAATGGGATCATCCAAATTGTGGTGGCCGAAAAAGGAACTTCAACGCAAGATCTTTCAGCTGCGGCTGCGGAGGGGGTCCAGGGTGTTTACAGAGATGGAGAGCATCATCGACTGCCTCGTGCGCGTTAGTTGGAATGAATTTGTCCAGGAAGATCTTTCACCGGTCCCTAAAGAAACCTTGCATGCGTGCCATGTGGGCGACTACGATGAGACTAGCTACCGGAATCCGGCAGTATGTTGTGCACAGTCCCCACATTCAGGTATGCATGCAATCAATCGTACACTGGGGTAAGAGTCAAATTGCCTACTGACCAGTAGATGACGTGTCGAGAGAGCCACGGCGCTGACGGTAAACGTTCTCGTGCGAGGTGATGTATTGGCGTTACACGACGTATCTCCTATAGGAAGTAGCACCACTTGGAACGGGTGGCTCTTTTGACTCTTACCTGTCAATGGTGGTTGGGCAGCAATCAATGGCTAGAGAGAGATTTGAAAGACTACCTATCGCGGACGTGATGAGGTTTGACAGCCTGAAGAAGAACTTAGAATTCCACCGCGAATCACCGCATGCCTAATGCCAACCCGGTGTAGGACAAAGCACCAGCCGAGGTAAATGAAGGGTCCAGTGAACGAAGCATGCGCTCTCCCAAATGCTCAGGACCCTGTTAGCCCGTCCCGGAAGCGCCGGGTGGTGTGAGTTACGCATCTGATCGACGTTCCACGCGTTTTAGGTGGCGCTCGTGTACCACCAGAACGGCGACCCTGAAAAAATGAGCTGCAGCCAATCGCAGGGAATCTGCATGCTACAATGGGTGGTCCCTACCACACACCTGAGCATTAAAACCTCACGCATGCACGGCAATCAACACGATCCATCGCGCGCCCCGAAGAAAAGAAAGGGTGCAGTACCTGTCGAGATGAGAATCGGACATGGGTCCGTAAATCCCCCTGCGTTCCCCAATTACAACGTGTTGAGAACGGATGGCCTGCTCCTAAATGTCAGCAAGGGGTGGCGGAGGCGGAATCCACTCCGACAGTCTGGTTCCGATCAAGCGATGGGGAAATCTCAACAAGGCGTGACTACTTCATCGTGTGTCGTAGCTTCAACATAGCCGTGCCAGCGGCGGCCCGTCTGATCACATTCACAGTTGGAATCATCTTGACTCCGAGAACTGTGTTATCACCAGGGACTTGGAGTGGCTGGTGGAGATGCGGGGTAGCGAGGCGTAGCGTACCAAATTTGCTTAGATAAGTTGTTTGCATGCAAACATGACTTCCGCATATAGGCAATGGTACCTATGATCGACAATTAGCACGGGTCACACTAGCCCCTGCAGCGACGAGTCGGAGATAAGCGTTGCTGGAATCGGTTTCGCCGCAATACGTAGTGCAAGTGCGTCATTTGCTGAGACCCCACTATAGCAGAAGCGCGCTATCCACATCTGAGCGAAGAAGTTGCGGGCTTCAGCCAAGCCCCTGCTTTTGACCAGGCACGTCGCGTAGCTGCAGCATCCCTTCACACCCTGGCCAGTGGCTGTCGCGTAACATCCGCCATCGGGCATTCCCACGGATGCGCCGTTTCTCGCGATGGCCATCGATCCATTTTCCCTTCTCGTCGGTTGCATGCAGTGGCCGTGCTGAATGACATGCCAGCGCCGGGAGCTGAAAAATGTGGTTTGCCGCTACTCGCCATACTTAATTGCCCTTCCTTCCAGCTTCAACGAGGGCATGGGTAAGATAAAGAAGTGGTTTAAGAAATCAGCCTCTTGCTGCTCCTCCGACCCTACCCGTAGCTTGCACCCTGAACCTCCGCTCCAACCACGGACTGTGGAACCGAAGGAGACCGTTGCGTAAGTTATCTGTCAACACGTGAAACCGAACCAAACACTCAATTTATACTCAGAAGCTCCACAAAAGCAACCGCAGTCACCTCAAACCAATCGCTCCCCTCTACCACGTCTCTTCCTCCCACGAACGTCGACATGGCCGCACCGGAAGTACAGTCGACCCGGTCGAGCTCTGCTTCCACCTCCAAAATACAGACTGCCGAGAAGCGAGACAGCTTCACCAGTAGCAATGGCTACCATGAATCCAATGGCACCAATGGATACAATGGCATTGGCCGCTCCAATGGATATGGATCTTCCAGTCCAGTCCTTCATTCCCCTACTTCAAGTACGACGAAGACGAGCATCCTCCGGGAGAGGACTATTCGGATGACTCAATCAATGAGGGTATTGCCACGCCCATCCACAGGTCGGAGCAATGCTAACTTTGCCACATCAGGTACGGTTTGGAGGATCCTCAGACATGTTCCTCGACAACATCAGCAGCTTCGAAGATTTCCTCGATGCCGTTGCTGACCAACGCTTGCGATTCATGCCGCACAGCGGCAGCAAGTGGGACAAAGTCCTCCGCTGGGCCGAAGGATTCTGTACCTACGTCTACGGCTTCCATCACATCGTGCACACGTTCATGCTCCACAGCGAAGACGCGTCCAGGATGATCTGGAACAGTGTTCTGGCGCTGTTGGAGATGGGACCTCGGCACATCAAGGTCCTCACCAAGGTCTTCAGCGTCCTCAACCGTCTGGGGATGTCGATCACGCTGTTGCTTCGTCAAGAACTGCTCTTGACTGCCACTTCCGAGATTCGCCGTGGGCTGGCCCACGCGTATTCTGACCTCATGGAGCTGACTTGCGCCATCAGCATGCACTACGTCGGCAAGAGCCAAGGTAATTTGTCACTCGCCATTTGCTTACCTTGACTGCTCACGTACTTGACAGGCGACCAGCGGATTGACATGGAAGATTTCAATGATCAATTTAATGTCTACATCAACGCGTATTACCAGCATCGGGATCACGTGGCTGATGCTTTGTGGTCTGTCCACATGAAGAGCATCTCGGAAGGTACTTGATCAATCCCCGCATGTATCTCGTGATTACTGACAACGATCAGCGGAGACGGACAACTTCCACGACATTCGCAGCTTCCTTGAGCCTGCCGATAGATCTGTCCAGAAGCTCATGATGGGCAGGCATTCTCTCGGCAGCGAGAGGGCAGAATTCACTTGTGAATGGTTCAACTACCACCTGAACGACTTCGTGATCAGGAACAACAAGATGCTGCTGATCACCGGACCCAGCGGCTGCGGAAAGACGATGCTTTCCGACTGGATTGTCGAGTCTCTGCGCGGCTCAATGGAGTCGGATCAGTACGATGTCGTCTTCTATCGCGTCTGGACTGACATCCCCGAGACCACTTCCGCACTCAGCCTCGTGAAGGACCTCTTCATGCAGACGCTCAACAGGAATATTGGCGATGAAGTTCTCATTTCCAGCGCTCGGCGAGCAATGGACATGGCATCCAATGGCAGCCCTGCTGCAGCAGTTGAGAAGGTCCTCTGGGAGGGTCTTGCCCACGTGGCTTCGCACTCCAAGCTGATGATTGTCGTCGATGGCCTTGATCAAATCACAGGCGACCAGCACGCCGTCTTGGATCATCTCCACTTTGTTGCCGCTGCGGACAGGCATTCCAAGGTCATCGTCCTCAGCCGACCTCTCCAGAAGCCCGCGCCATCGAAGACACAGCACCTCTCCATCAGTGAAAAGAACATCCTCCACGACATCCAGCTGCTCATCGAGTCCCGCATGGACGAGAACGACCGCATGTCAGGCATGAACATCACCGACAAGAAGGAGATTGCGCAGAAGATTGCCGAAAAATCGCACGGCTCCTTCCTCTGGGCCGACTGCGCCTTCCAATGCCTCAAGCACGAGCGCACGCCCTCGGGCTTCATGCAGTGGCTCGCGCGCGCACCGAAGAGCATCGAGCACTTCGTCGACCACCACGTCAACGAGCTGCAGCTGGCCGACGCCGAGACGCGTGCCATCCTCTCCTGGATCCTCGCCGCGCACCGGCCGCTGGCCGTCACGGAGATCAAGCAGCTGCTGGAAATCGACACGAAGAACCACACCATCAGCGTGCGCTACGACGACGTCACCGAGACCATCCGGCACGCCGTGGGCCCGCTCGTTGATATTGTTGAGGGCCACGTCTGCCTCAAGCACCCCAGCTTCCGGCCGCACCTGGTCGAGTTCCAGACGGACAAGTTCAAGTTCGACGTCAAGAAGGCGCAGTCGTCGCTGACGCTCCGGCTGCTAGCGTACGTCAAGCACTACGTCCACGAGGACACGGACGTCGCCTGGCGCCCGGCCCGCCCCTACGAGGCGCGCACGTACTTCGACAGCCACGCGCTGCTCGAGTACGCGACGCGGTACTGGGTCGACCACTTCCGCGTCTCACGCTTCTACAGCACTGAGCAGAAGACCACGGAGATCGATGTCCGCCTCCGCAAGTGCTGGCCCAGCTCGACGCTGCTCGCTGTGCTCGAGGGCGCGTGCTTCGGCTGGGGCACCGTCAGCGTCGAGCGCGAGACGAACCAGCGTGTCGCGTTCGAGATGCGCAAGGCCATCCTCGGCATGCACGCCACGGCGACGCTGCAGAGCATGGTCTTCCTGATCCAGCACTACACGCAGACGCGGCGCACCGAGGTCACGTCGCTCGCGTACGAGGCGTGGCAGATCAGCCGGACCATCTCGTCGTCGGACACGACCGTGGCGCTCGAGTGCGCCCACGCCTTCGTCATGGCTACTGACACGTTGACGGTCAAGAAGCGCACCGAGGTGGTGACGCGGAAGGAGGAAATGCTGCAGTATCTGATCGCGACGCACAAGCGCACCGGCGGCGTGTCGCACGAGCGCACCATCCGCTACACCAAGACGCTGGCCGAGCTCTACGTGTCGATTTCTGAGACGGACAGAGCCGTGTCGTTGTACCGCGATCTGTACAACGTCAGCATCGAGCGCTACGGCTACTTCCATGAGGAGACGACGGCCGTGTACAACACGCTCGTGCAGCATCTGAAGGCGACCAATCGCCATGACACGGTGCTCGAGATTGTCAGGGACTACCATGCTTATGTTTGCAAGACGTTGTCGGTGAACGACGAGAGGCGCGTGAAGTCGACGATGAACCTGGTGTCCATGTACGAGGAGCGCAAGGAGGTGGCGAAGGCCGAGGAGGTGCTGGTCAGCTACTGGAAGAGCGTCATGACCAGCAGCAAGTCGTCGTCGACGTCCATCGAGACCAAGGTCGACATCGCTGTCGAGTACTCGCGCTTCCTGCGGCGCCACCAGCGCACCGAGGAGGCCGAGGCCGTCATGCGCGGTGTGTACTCGGAGGTCGTGAACACCACCGAGGAGTCGCGCCAGGAGAGCTCGTCCGTGTTCAAGCGCGTCAAGGCCATCGCCCAGGAGTTCAAGTCCCTGAAGTCGTTCAGCATGGCCCGCTCCATCTACTCGCGGCTGTGGGAGCAGACCAAGTCGTCGTCCTCCACCGAGTCCTCGTCCATGTCGGAAGAGGTGGCCACGGAGCTCGCCGAGACGGTCAGCGAGGAGATCACGACCAAGACGGAGACGACGACCATGTCGACGTCCAACTTCTCGACGCTGACGACCGAGGACGAGTCGACGCTGCGCGAGGTGTTCCAGTCGTCGCTGACCATGTCGTCATCCAACAAGTCCATGTCGTCGTCGGTCATCAAGACGGGCATGGCGCTGTCGTCCAGCTACTACAAGAAGGAGCAGTACCACGAGGCGGCCACGACCTACTCGCAGATCCTCAGCAAGACGTGGGCCTCGATCGAGACGCGCGAGTCCAGCGTGCAGGAGCATTCCGAGGAGATGATCGAGGTGGCCATGAGCCTGGCCGAGTGCTGCTTCCAGCAGCTGCAGATCGAGCGGTCCGAGACCATCTACCGCAACGTCTTCCGCACGCTGCTGCTTCGCTCGTCCAAGAACAGCAGCCACCACGAGTGGGTGGTGCGCAAGGCCCGCGCCGTCATCGAGTACCACAAGCGCATCTACCGCTTCGACGCCGCCGTCACCTACTACCACGACCTGTGCCTGCACCTGCACCAACGCCTCGGCAAGGCGCATTCTACCACCATCGAAATGTTCATCGAGTACGGCACGCTGGCCCGCAAGCTCGGCCGCCGCAAGGACGCCGTCGAGGCCTTCCGCCACATCCACCTCGCCTTCAAGCACGAGGAGGGCTGCATCCTGCGCAAGGGCGTCGAGCCCAGCCTCACGCTGTGCGAGCTGTACGAGCAGGACCACGCGTGGGGCGAGGCCCGCAGCGTCTACGCCGCCCTGTGGCTCACCGTCACCACGCACGCCAAGGACTTCGATCTGCGCGAGTGGGTCGAGGTTGTGTACGAGCGCTACCGCTTCGTGCTCGAGAAGCTGTCGACCGGCAAGAAGGAGGAGTACGAGGCGCTGCGGCAGGTCGCCGTCGAGTACACGGCCACGTGCAAGACGCTGTACGGCGAGAAGCACGAGCGCACCGTGCGCGCCACGCTGCAGCTGGCCGAGCTGTGCGAGCGCAGCGAGACTCACCGCGAGGAGGCGATTCGTCTGTACGAAGAGGCGCTCAAGCAGAGCAGCAAGACCAGCATGACGACGACCAGGTCGAACAGCTCGCAGTCCACCAGCCAGACCACCTCTACCACCTCCAGGACGACGACGACGACGACCACCGTCTCGTCCGTCGCCCGCAACAAGCTCGCCCATATATACTCGTCCAAGGAGACGTCGTCCTCGCGCGCCGTGTCCCTCCACGAAGAGCAGCTGGCCTCGACGCGCGCCGAGTACGGCGCCTCCTCGTCGGAGAGCCTGACGGCAACCCGCGAGCTGGTCAGAAGCTACAAGCGGCAGAACACTTCCGAGAGCACCTCCAAGGCCGTCTCGACCCTGCGCTCGTCGGTCCTCGAGATCTTCAAGAGCGAGCGCAGCTCGGAGCGCGTGTTCGAGGCGGCGCGCAGCCTGGCGCAGACGTACGTCGCGCACGGCTTCAAGGCCGAGGCGGCGTCGGTCTCCAAGGAGCTGCGCGCCTCCATCTTCCAGCAGCTGCGCGAGACGAAGCGCTCCGAGAGCAGCCTGGCCGTCTTCCTGGCCGCCTTCGAGGAGACGGCCGTCGGGCGCAAGTCGTTCAGCGCCGCCATGGCCGACATCCGCTCCGAGATCTTCTTGTACTCGGCCTACTTCGAGGCGCTGTCGTCGTCAACCAAGACATCGACGTCGATGCACATCACCACCATCCTCGCCCGCGGCGTGCGGCTGCGCACCTTCCTGCTCGAGTCGGAGCGCACGGAAGAGGCCAAGCGCGTCGAGGAGGAGCTGTTCGCCAAGTTCGCCGAGCACATGTCGGTCGAGTCGACGACGACCGTCGTCGACAAGCAGACGCACCGCACCACCCTCGAAGCCTTCTTCTCCATCTTCCTCTCCAACATGGCCGACACCGACGAAGACTCCGAGGAATCCAACTCGACCCAAATCTCCATCACCATCATCGAGCACGCCGTCAACACGGTCCGCGAATACGCCAACGCCGCGCGCTACGCCAACGCCCTCGCCCTCGCCGCCCTGGTCCAGCGCTACGTCGCCCTGGTCGGCGGCTTCGCCTCGGGCGCCGTCGTGCACGCCGTCGCGCGCCTCTGCCTGTACCTGGCGGGCCGCGGCACCGAGAAAAACAGCTGCAAGCAAGCCGACGCGGCGCTGTACGCGCGCTGCCTGGATCTCAGCCGCGCGCTGCTGCGCCACGCGCTCGAAGCCTGCGCCGCGCTCGGCATCTCGCTGACCGACATGGCGGTGACCGAGCTCAACGAGATCGTCGTCGTGCTCGGCGACGAGCAGCGCAGCTACGAGGTGCTCGAGCACGTGTTGGCTGCGCTGTGGCACGACAGGACGGTGCATCGCACGTGGTCGACGCAGTTGGTGCTCGCGATTGGGTTGAGGTTGACGGAGACGAGGGCCGCGCAGGGACGGGTCGACGATGCGATTCACCTCGCCGAGGATATCAGGTACAACCTTCATCGCGTGTATGGGCCGTTGGACGTCGCGACGCTGCAGTTTACGATGTTGTTGTCGAGTTTGTATACCACGCGTGGTAGGCATTCGGAGGCCGTGCAGCTGCATGAGCATGCGTTGACGAGGTTGGCGAATGGTGTTGGTGCGAAGGAGGATGGGGAGGATGGTGTGAGCGGCAGCGCGGATGAGAGTGCCAAGGCGGCCCTGGCGCAGTTGGAGGGCGCCCAGCGCTGCATCGCTGCTGCTGGTGGGTGGAACGGCGCTGGTGTGGATGCGGGCCGCTTCCGCGAGCTGTTTGGGGAGTTGTCGCAGAAGTATGGCGGCCAGCGCGCTTGGGGTGAGAGGAAGATGGCGCCCGTCGAGAAGTGGTCGATGAAGGTGGATGCGAAGACGGGCGCTGGGTGGAAGGCGCCTGAGACGTTTTCGTTGACGGCGGTGGGGTATGATGGCGCGAAGGAGGGTGGTGTCGGCCTGTTTGATGGTGCGGTTGCTGGTAGGGCGAAGAGGGCGAGTGCGTTGAGGAAGGTGAGTAACCATGTCGTCATGCATGGATCGAGGTCTTCGAGCTATGGAAGCCAGATGAGTCAACTGCCTGTGAGAGCAGTGTAAGGGGATACCGGTCGCTGCCCACTCAATCTTTCTCTTTTCTTGTTTTTCCTTTTTCCCTTTGGTACTGTCACTTAGCAGGCATTGGTTCTGTGTTTCATTATTGTTGTTCTTTGCTTGTTGAAAAAAGTTGCTTCAGGCAACCGCCTTCTTTACCTTTTCACCATACAGCCATCATTTCCACTCTCATTGTAACAAATAATGTCTATAATACTTGCGTAGCAATTGAGTTTTCACGGTCATCGGCGTCGTCACTTGTTTCTATACTGCTTGGAATTTCTCGGTTCACCAGTCACGATTAAAAGCCAGTCACTTCAATGAAATAGCATCTGTCTTGATAGTCATGCTTCGTCACTGCGACTTTAGTGATATACCGATGGCTGCATCTGTGACATGTACTCTGACATTTTACAAGCTTGACATGCACCCCAGAAAAACTCTCGTAAGAAAGTCGATCTGCCATCTCCGTCCTGGATCCCACCTTAGCTTGGGACGATGCAGTCAGTCTTTCGGCACAGTTCCCAGAGTACATAGCCAATCAGTGAAGTACATGAACTTGAATTGCCAAGAATGAGGTAAGTCGAACACCTGTGGGGAGCTGGAGCGATCATCCGGACGCATTTGTATGAACAGAATTATGACACTTGCGTCCGGACGATCGCTCCAGCTCCCCATATTTGTCCATTTATCGTCGCGTTGCATACGTTTGCTCTGCTTCAATGCCTTTTCTCTCGTAGCTTCTCGACCCTTGCTAAATTAAAGCACCAGTATTAAACAGCACATGGGTAGTTGAAGCTATCATCCGGAAGAGAATGTCGGATTAAAAACTCTACATATACATCCAAACGATAGCTTCAACTACCCATACTAGTATATACCATGATCACACAACCTTCCAAAAATTCCACTGGTACGTGTATTCGAATGATAAAAAGTAAAGGGCAAAGAGATCACATTCAAAAGGTAGACCCGACACTGTCATTTCTGTCGTCCGTGTCGTCATCTTCAAATTCCTCCGATCCCTCCATCGACTCCAGGCTCTCTAATGCCCGATTGACGCCCTCCTCGATGTAGTCGGCAATTCTATCCTGTACACTCGGATCCTCCTCCTCCGGCTTCGCCGATTCTGGCCGTCCTCCGTCGTCATCATCACCGGTATCAGGGTAAATGCTGCGGCTGGAATCCGTTCTGCCCGAAGATTCAGAGGGAGGTCTCAGAAAGGAGAGCTTGGTAGTGTTTTGTGCCTCGATTGCTGCGGCTTGCGCTTCAGCATGGTACCGTTGGGCTCCCATGCCGCGGAGTTGTGTTCTCAGTTTTTTGACCTCGCTTTCCAGTGCGTGGGCCCTTCTCAGTAGCATGATTTCCACCCCTGGTCCCTTAATATCTTCTTGTTCCAAGTTGTCCGTCATCAACACGTACTCAAGGGCTTTGGCGAGTTCAGTAATCTCTCCCGCCTGGGTGCTGATGGTTTCCTCGCTTTGTGCATGAGCTTTTTGTAAGTGCTCGTTTCGGCGCCTGTATTCTTCAATGAAGTCTTGCTTGCGGCCAAAGATGTTCTCGCATGTCTCGGAAATATCCTCCACTCGTTCTGCTAGGCTTCGAACCGACTCGACCAAATCGTCAAAGCTGGCTTCCATTTATTGGGTTTGTGCATTCAGTGATTCCGTTGTCCTGTTCTGAAAGTCTCGCTATCGCAGGGTAAGCCGTGCGGGCGTTAATCTTGTTCAATGATTTTTTGCGCTCTGTGAAAATGGAACAAGGCCGGACTCTCCGTCATGTACAGAGCGACACATCTCTACGCATTGATTTATATGAAAACAATGGATTTCAAAGCTGTGTCATGTCATGAGTTTGGGTCTATTCCACTTTTAATTGATTCCGCCGCCTTGGCTCAAGGAACAAAAGAGAGGTAAAAGCGAACAATGAAGACAGTAATGACATTTCACCCTTTCCAAATGCGTCGAAACATCCCTTCTTTGTCCTATCTTTGTCATCGTCTTTGTTTCTCCCGAGTGCAATCCCACTCTGCTCACTTCCTGCCTGCTACGTTGAATCATCGGACTGATGTTGCCAGACACAGCTATGTATGCGCTGCCATCGTGAAAAGATGCAGTTCAACTGCAATAGGAGTCCCAGTGAATTGCTAAGTATGATAGCTGGCTGAATCGCAAGAGACGAATTATTGGTGAAATAGAGGTTGCTTTGCCGAAGCCTTGAAACGGGAGCTTAAGGAATCGTATCTGGTGCGCGAAGCGTTACAGAGTACTTGGTGTCTATCTCGGGCGGCATACACTGTATATTGTTATCTTTTGCTATCCCGAAGACTTCTGACAGCTTACACTCCAGACTTTGCTGCTTCATGCGCAAGCCAGTGGGCGCTTTCGTTACCGGCGATTCCTTTGTGAGCCGGAATCCAGTGTAACTGAACTCCCAGTCCAACCCGATGAACTTCGTGCATAGCCTTTCTGAATGTATCCGTGATGTAGCAGCCTGTTTCATGTTTCTGTTTACGAATGGAGCGGAGTGCCATCTGACAATCGCTGAAGACGACAACTTCTGGGGCCTTGGTTTCGAGAGCCATATCGATTGCCATCCAGATGCCCATAAGCTCAGCTGCTCGTACTTTCAGTCCAGGGTCTGTGTCGAGGTAAGCCTGCGAGTATTTGCCCAGAGCAGGCATAATCGCGGCTGCGCCAAGCCTCTTCCTGATTCTGCTCCCGTCTGCATACACTATGAGAGGAGACGCTTGCTGGCCCGATATGCGATCGTGGTTGTCGACCGCTTCAGCGGGATTGTCGGCTATGAATACAGGTAAAGAGGGAGGGTAAAGTAGTCCTTGTTCTAATTCTTCCGTTGCTTGTCTGGAGCAATCATTCGTGAAATATCTGCGCTGAGACAGTGGCCACTGACAATTATTGCTACCTTGCGCAATAAATTTCCATCTTGCGTCAGCCAGCTTGTCTCCCAATGCCAGATACGGAGATTTGGTAGGTGTTTTCCACATTACTTCGTCGGTTGAATGCTGCTTCGGTTTACTTGAATTCAATGAATTAAGCCAGGTGATGTTGATTTCTGGAAGTATTGTATAACATGTAGTTTTCATCAGTGGATGGCGGATGGATTGCTTTAAATACGCCTCCAACTTTTTACGGGAGTGTGCCATGGGATAGCCTCTTCTAGCGCATTTTATGGAGAGGCTGGGCATGTTATCGGTGAAGAGCAAAGATTATCATTACAAAACTATGAAGGAACAGTAGGAATGTATGCAGATATCGTGAGTTACTCGTAAGGATGTATGGAATGATACTCGTGGTGGTCATTTCAGATCCCCTTGAAATTCTCATGCATACTTGGATCGGATGACCTTGCTGTGATTCGGGGCAATCGGCGATCATCTCAAGGTCATATTTGCACTATCGTGATCATAAGCCGGTAAAAGAAAAATTTGGTTCTACGATATGTATGTACAGCAGCGTCATTCGCACGCCAAAGAATTCTTTTAGCTTTGGAAGACTTCGGGGCGGTAATCTGGTACTACAGACATTTGAAAAGTATGTGGAGATCCTGGTGGCAGGTGGGTACATGCAGCTCTGTAGGCCGAGGGGACAAGCACCCCAACCTCCCCGCTACCACTCATACGTCCAGCTTAACCTCAGCCACATTTCAAAATTCCAACTTACTCAGTATTGACCTTTGTTACCGTTAGCTATCGGCCCAAAAAACGCCGCTATCTTAGCATATGAGAGGTGATAGCCCTTGCATTAATACCGCCGATTGTGTCCAGAATTTCGAGAGAGGAAACACCCGCCATAAGGCTCTTTTAGGATGATTGTTCTAGAATTATTGGATATTATGACGTAAAGCGTTGAGTAGGACATGTGATGGGTTATTCATGATATGAATCGATTGCTTCTGAGTAAGGAGGTATTACAAGTCTCCGTCGACTAGATCATGTGCTACTGTAATACAACTGAATCAACACTGATTGTGTACTGCAATCCAGCGCGAGGCGCGGATGGCTAACATTTTTCTTTCTTGTTCGCGCACATTCCAATCTCCAGTGGCCCGCCGCTATCAACCCTATCTAACCTCAAAAATAGCCCTATCATTTCTTTCAAACCATGCATATAAGACAACATGAATTTGTTACCCTCTGGGATTACTTTCGCGAGAATATTCACTACTGTATCGCATCTCTTGCTGTCCCGCTCTACCTACCCTCTTCCCGGAGCTTACTAAGGTCACTGCCTCAACATGTTTGCGAGATACAACAGAAGTCTTGTAAGTTCCGGCGTTGACACCTAAGAATTGATCAAGGAACAACAGCTGATAGTTTATCGCCTGGTGAACCAGTGGCCCGGAAGCCGACAATATCGATCTGTTCCTGCTCACAGAAAAAGCGTCAGACGGCCCATACAACTATCCGGGGAGCGTAAGCCATCAGAAACCGGTTTTCATGCTGTCATCCGCAGATTCATTGCTCGCTACAAAGAAATGCGAAGTGCGAAGAGACTGCCATGTCAAATGCTTTGGAACTTTCTGTTTGGTAAGAGAGTAGACAATCAAAAACCAAGCCAGCACATCAGCCATCATTCAGGAAGAACGCCAACGGTCACGACATACTTTCTAGGAATGTACCCGAGAAAGGATGACCGTGGTACGGGCTGTGACACTGAAGATCCCCAAGAAAATTCAGACCAGCAGGGAAAGAAAGGTGATGCTGGGGACGTTGCGCAGACTGACAAAAGAGCTCGACATCTTCGAGACGTTGAAGAAGTTGAAAATGGCGTAAAAGCGCGCAAGGAGATCAACATTGTTGGAGAAATTGGGGAGAGTGTCGAAGAGAGTGATGACGCAAAAGATGGGGTAGATGATTCCTACACGGCTAAAGTGACGACAGACCATGAGAAAGATGTTCAAGAAGTTGGAAACCTGGAGAAAGCCGATCAGATTGAATGGAATGTTGCAGACGAAGCTAAAGAGGTCGAGAAAGATGTTGACGAAGAAGTCAGAGATGATGTGGATGAAGAAGTTGACAAAGGTTTAGAAGACATCGAAGAGCATATGGAAGGAGATTTGGAAAAAGACGAGGAACATGCCGATGAATATATGGAAGAACACGAGGTTGATGAAGGTCTGGAACAACTAGAGGAAAATGTCCAAGAACTCAAGGAAAGTGTCGACGGAGAAGTAGAAGAATCTAAAGTGGATGTGGACGAAATAGTCGGGGAAGACGTCGATGGAGAAGCCGACAAAAAAGTTGAGGAAGAAGCCGAGCAGTGTCTAAAAGTAGTCGTGCAAGAGACTGGAGAAGAGATCAAAGGGGCTGCTGAAGACGACTTGGAAACCACTGACGAAGATGACGAAATCAGAGATGAGGATAGGAATGTAAGAGAGAGTTGCAGAGGCGGTGTTGAATGTGCCCCTGGAAGGCACGCCAAAGAAGGTGTCGAAGAAGATGTAGAAGAGGTTGAAGAACGTTCAATGAAGGAACTCCCTCCGAAATCATTATTGGGAAAGAAGGGCACCATTGAGAAGACTGAGGAGAAGGGAACAAGCCGCGAAGGACATCACGATGGTTCAAACGCCCCAGAAACACTCAAAAATCCGTTGTTCAAGGCCTGGACATCAGATGAGCCCCCAAACGCAGGGACATATGTTGGAACCTCTGAAAAATCGGAATCACTACGACAAATAGAACTACAGACGGAGCCAACTGAGCCAATACAACCTGGAAACATGGCTATTCAAGCTATGCCACCCTCGGAAGACATCAGAACACTCTTCTCGCAGATAGTAAATTTTACCTCTGCAAACGACGCACTGCAAGGCCCCAGGCGAACAGCACTCGGGACGAGGAATTTCATCAGTTATGTCTTAAACCCCAGGGGAATCCACATCGATATGGACGAGTCCAAGACAGAATCGGCTTTTGACCACTTCAAAAGCATAGAGCCACCACAAGGGTCAGACGTCCAGAAGCATTACACAGACTTCAAAGGGTTACACTCATCGACGGTCTGGATCAGTCCTACATCAGATGTCATACAGGCGATTCACAACAACTACTCTGAGATGCATCAGTCGGTCCCAAAAGCCCTTTGTGAGCCCGAGTGGGTAGATGATGCCGTCAAGTATCTGCTTAAGAGCGAGCCTCGGAGGGAGTTACAGCCTAAACCAAGCAGCCCGCCACGATGGCTTCCTGTTCGAATGCGAGAAGAGAGCTTCCGGCCACAAGATGGTGGCGTCTGGGAAATGCCTCCAGTTGTTCACAAAGATATGCCGGTGGACCTTTCGTTCAACTTCAACGTGCAGCCCGATTGTTCTTACTGGATATGGACTGGTGGCTTCCGTCCGGAGATTAGTGGAAAGTTAACGTCACTCGCATCAGTACGCTTTCGCCGCTCACTGTGCCCATATCTCACAATTGAGGTCAAGAGGGACAATAAAGGCAGTAGCAAGGGTCGACAACAGATTGCAGCTGCCGCTTCCACAGCCCTGTATAATCGCTGGACGCTCAGGGCGAGGTCTCTACGGATGGCCGGAACACCTCTCAGCAGAGAAAGATTTTCAGACGTGAGGCATTATGGGCTTCTGCTCGCTGGCGTCAAATACGAAGTGTGGTGCATGCGGCCACACAACCAAATCGGTGTATCTCGTTATTCTACCAGCGCTTGGTCTGGGTGTAGCATGCGACGAGTCCACTCAGGCGATCTTGACACGAGGACTGGAATTATGGATTACATCAATTGGATAAATGAGATACACTGCTGGGGCAATACAAGACACAGCTCCAGCTGTGTTAGTGACATCGAAGGCCGACTGATACCGGAGGGGAAGGCGTTGACAAATACGTTTGCTCACCTGGCTCATACGAAGATGGATGATCTGCGAATCTGATCAAATTCAGCGTGGAGCGAGAGAAGAATGGGTTTGATCTTTTTCTGTCCTTTGCAGTTTGGTATCGTCCGATTGGTTGAAGTGTACAAAGTTGTCAATTTGATCTTCACGTAGGCGTATAGTCATTTGTGTAGTAGCCAATATGTTTGCTCTATGTTACGTAACTGGAAACTTACGAATGATTGTGTGTATTTGAATTTGCACCAGAGTGGATAACTACGGCTAAAGTGCTATAGGTAGCTTGGTTAGTCCATACTGCGATGAATAAAAATATGAAAAACAGAAAGTTTTCTACAAAACGCGGTAAGTGTAGTTCACCCGATAGATGTCGTAGAGCAAGAAGCACGAACGCCTGCAGGTCGTACAGCGTTTGGCTCAGCACACACAGGATCAATAGAAAGGCGTTATCTGCATTGGAAGCGACGGGGTTCCCGGCAGTGTGGTTCGTTAGGGATGCATAGGGGGGAAACGAAAGGCCGCGTCCAATGGTCCTGCAGCAGATCGCGCATCGGCGAGGCACTTTAATGAAATTTGATGTCAGTCGGGCAGAAGGCGATGAAGGGAAAGGGAACAACAGATAACCACCTTTGACTTTTCGCTTTTCGAGATCATATTGTGAATGCTACATCCACTTGAAAACACCATAACCTAGCACCCGATACGGCTAAAACTGGGACAGACGTCGTATTGTGGAAGGAGATCGGGACCGCAAGTCCCTTATCGCGGCAAATATAGTTCGGTGATAGTGATGTTCCCTTCCTTCTATGGGGTTGATGTTTTAAGCAGAGAGGGCTAGTATGGACCAAGAAAAGAAATAAATCGTGGGTTTTGCATTAGCAAAATTTTTGGCATGCTGATACTTGTGATGGTGTGTATCCTTTTTGTACTGCTTCAAAGGCTATGCAGGGACGGGTAACATTTTTGACCCACGTACTTTCCAATAGATAGTGACATCATCCTATCGATTGAGTTCAGCTTATCTCCCACCAATAGCAGTCCTGCTGTCCGTCGACACGGTCAGTTCGCGAAACATATATATCAGTCTGCTTTGCCCAAAAATATCGGTATAAGGCATCAATAGTCACTTTTCCTTATGTTATCATGTTACTTTCGATCCGTTCTCTCCTACTTCCCCTTAGCGATATTGAATCAGCATGCTTGCTAAATACAAAAGCAACTTTGTAAGTTGGGTGTCGTCGCTCGGTACCTGTCTAGGTATGGCGGCTGATGGAGCTTTCACAAATACACCAGCAGCCCACAATCCGACATTATCGATCCAGCCTTTTTGGGGAAACTGGAGCCGTGCGACCGGGTCCACTTTCCAAGGGGTATATGCCACCGGGCACCGGCTTATCAGCAGCTCTGAAAAGCCTTAGTGTTCGCTACAACGAAACACGGATGGCGAGGAGATTACCACGTCAGGTTCTCTCAAACTTTATATCTCGAAGGGAGAAAGCCAATCAAAATCCAGGCAAGGAAACCAGTCGACCCTCAAGAACGAAATCTACTGCTGGCATGACTTATTCTTTCCCCGCCACGCATATGCCGTTCCTCATGACTGGATTTTGCTTCTTCTTCTTCTTCTTCTTCAATTGACAAATGCCTCCGAAAACCTTCTAGGAAATCATGTTACGGACACGTATCTCAGATGAACCATCATGTATTGTAGTTTGGTGTAACGTTTGCTGCATCTCCCGAGGGACCAATGGATACGCGCTATCTCGATCGGTTGCAGCAAGGCTCCCGGCACTGTGGTTGGGGGAGATATGCGAGACGAGAATGAAAGGCTGTGTCCAATGTTCCTGCAGCAGATCGCGCATTGACACGGCGTTTTGGCCTAGTCGGATGTAAGTCGCAGATGAAAGGGGGGGAAAGAGAAATACAAGGAATATCTATCCCTTGTTTCTGGGGCCCTGTGACCTGTCACAAATAGTGCTTCCACGGAAATAGGAATTGATAAAACATACGCGCAGGATGGCAAGAGGGAGTGCCGATAGCGTATTTGGTGGAAGTGGTCTGCCCCGAGGTGTTTTTTGGGGCAGCCGCCTCTCGGAGGAAATAACTCTAGCACGTCGGAAAGTAGGAACCGACGCTGCAACGGTCTTGCATCTGCGCAAGGAACGCTGCAAGGCTGGTCAGACAGCCGCCAACCATCTGTGGTACAGGACACGCAGAAGATGACAACGCTAGCGACTTTCCGCATTCAGCTGCTGCTGCTACTACGAGCCTCCTTCCCGTAGCTCTGTCCCAAGCCCTCCCCCCTTTCTCAAGCGCCGGCACCACCAGACATGTTACGCAATGAGACATCCGGCGCATGGGGGGAATCAGCAATGACATCAGCGGCGTTTCGCAATCGCCGCTCTCTCTCACGCAAAGCGCACCATCTTCCGTCCAGCAGCAGATGGCGCCTTCCCTCTTTCATCGTCCCGTCTCCGCTTCTCCGTCCTTGCCGGCTGGGGAGTAGAAGTAGTGATGTTTCCGCCGTGTTCCACCGTCACAGCCGCCCGGTCCGACCCGACGTGCGGCATCAAGACCTTCGCCTCGATGGCCTCGCCGGCGAGTTCGCCGCGCAGGTGGTCAGGCGGACCGGGGCCGCCGGGCTTCTCTTGCATAAGCCGCAGGAGGAACATGCCCGTGAAACCGTCCAAGCGGAAGGTTGTTGTCGTCATGGTGTTCGGCGGAGACACTTCCGCTGGATGATCGGGGGCGGACCCGGGGGTCGGGATAGGCTGCCATGCAGTTAGCGAGAGAAGAGCGGAAAAGTATAGTATAGTGTATCATCCCACAACCCTGCCGGCGATCATGACGGGATCATGCTTTTCTTTTTTGTTCCGTTCGGTTACATGCGGCTCAACGGAGATACCGGGGGCAGGGTGGGAGGAAAAAAGTGAGACGTACTGGGACCAAGGGCCGGCGCACCGCGGCGGGTTGGGAGGACTGAGGCCCAAAATTCGACCGGGGTAGGTCGGCGTGGAGGTGGTGCTGTGCTTGCTCGTAGCGGCGCTGGGCTGCTGTGGTTTCGCGGGCTGGATTTGGAATGCGGAGGCTCCGCGGAGGCTCGATGGGGGCCTGACGGTCCATCGGACTGGGAAAAGAAAAGGATGGATGGGGGGGCTGTGGGAAAAGGTTTTTTTGCACCCTGCCGGCACGCGGGTGGTGGCGGCAGGCATGTAGCCGACGGGAAGCTGCAGCTGAGCGGTCACGTCGCGGCCGGGAGAGGCCACCGGTGAGACGGCCTGGGCGTCACCGGTAGAGGCATGGCGCGGAGATGCCGATGGAGTTGAGGTCGAATGAAATCATGGTGCTCGCCGGTGAGGTGGGGAGGAAGTAGGTGGAGACGCTCCTCGTGTCGACCGGTCGCTAGGTACGGCCCGGCCCGGCTGGTGGGCTCCACTGCGCGCGCCTTTTTTCTACGTCATGTCATAGTCCTCAGCTGTGAGATAGAATGGAAAAAGGCCTGGGCGTCTTCCTACTCCTCGCATTCGCCTTCGCTGGCCTCGCAGAAGTAGTAAGATGCGGATCATTGCTCCAGATCACACAGTCACGTGTGTGGCTGGCGAGCGGGCGGGCTAGACAGCGGGACGGAGCGGGAACAGCGTGCTTATCAAGCTGCCTCACTCAGCCCGAGATTATCGCGATCACTTCGACTCTGTCACATTTCGCCGGGAATAACTATTCTCTGCTGTTGACCGGATGCAATAAACAAAATTCTCCGCATGGCTGCGACGATCGTAAACAGAGCAGGGATGTCGCAGCTGTGGCAACACAGTTGCCGATGAGGGCATGTATCCGATGCCCCTGCGCCCAACCAGATGTTTGCCCTGAGACAGGCCAGTTGTTTCGCCGCCCCGCCCATCAGTCTGCCCGCTATCGTTTTTGAAGCCCCGCTGATGCTCACTTATTACTTACTCCAGCCTTGCTGATTTGTCCCCATCCATCGCCACCCATAACAGAATTATCGCCTAGTCTGACAAGCTTCGTCATCCTGGGGAGGTTCGCGACTGCAACAGCTCGCGCGCCTGCCGCTTACTCGCCACCCATGCAAAATCCGCCAATATTGCCAAGGAAACGTGCTCCATCCTGTCGTATTTACATGCACAATTTCTATCTTGCGTTAGTGGACATCGTGAATTCCCTTTCCAATACCCGAGCACCTTTACGAGGGCCAGATCTCGGAAAGCAGTGCGGAGACTGCCCCCCTGTCGCCCGCGCACAGTCCGCTTCGAGTTGTGCCATGCTATTTACGAGGATGTGATCGCTCAAGTCGGAATCTCGCTTAATCTTTGTGCTACAAGATCAACTGGCTTCTATCGTCATTTAACAATGCGCACTGGGTCTACGGGACAAATGTCCGGACCTGTAAGCTCTGGGCGATTTTGACCTCTCTGGGTGTAACAGCATATTCCTAATAACCCTAAGAATCCAAGACGCGCTCGGAGACATCGTCACCAACTGCCATTCCACCTACAGTCCCGCCGAGCACCACGAATACTGCGAGAAGCTCGGCAACGCGGTGGCCGAGCTGCAGGGCGCGAGTGTGTGAGTGGTGTTGTCGCATTTCTGACACCCGAGACCCTTCACATCAGTGCGCTCACACAGGGGCCATAGGGAAGATCAGATCCGCCGCTGCGCTTTGAAGTGCAGGCACATTTTGGGATGTCTGCTCGGATATCTGGAATCTGCGAGACAAAGAGATCTTGGGACAAAGCCGGACATGACGACGATGATACAAAATGTGATGGAATAATGGGAGAACGTTTGCGGAGATTCTTAGAACCTATGATTCTGGGATTGGGGAAGGTTGCGTTGCTTAGACGGAGGCGTCGCGTTCCTGTCGCCGGGGCGCATTTTGGATCTTGACTTGACCCAATCCGCTTAGTGAGTCGATTATGAGTAGTCTCACATGACATAGTTCTTAGCATAAGCTTCACCTTGCCGATTTTAGCGGGCACTGGAAAGATCGAACATGCTGATCAGAAAAAGGCAAATATTTCCACTACGGTAGAGATATTTGGTGTACTATCACAGGTCTGAACCTCCTTGAGCTTCCTGGATCTGTCATGCTGACTTATTGAACTGGGTGAGAACAATAACAGCCTCGTCAAGAGCCTCAATATCCTTCAGCCCGAAGCGCCCGTACTGCTTCTCAGCCTCCCTGATAGCGGTATCTATATCTCGCGTTGCTCGTAAAGATCTGATCGTGATATCCGTGGCCGATGTTTGGAACTTTTCGACTTTTTCCAGCAACTGTGCGAGTTGCATCAGGAGAAGCACCCGCGACGGGAGAACCCATCTGCCCACCACCTGGGGTAACATCTTGACCATCGCTGGAAGCGCCATGCTGTGCTGCCCATTATCGTGACCCTCCTTCATATTCAGCTCTGTGATAACTTCACACTGCTTCTGTAGCACACCGAGGTCCTTTTCCATACTTTCCAAGAAAGCAATCAGATGAGGCGTTTCTAACAAAATTTTCTTGATAAAGAGGCGAATTTCGTCCATGGCTACTTCCCGTTCTGCAGAGGTGAAAGAGTTATCCGGCGAGATTCCCTTCTCCGTTGTGTTCTGCCGCATGGAAGCCCATTTTTGGAGGGCTGGCTTGTTGGACAAATTGACGCTGTCGACCATTTTCTGTACAATGTCAAACGATTTCTGGAGCAAGCTAAAAGAGAAGAAAGAACAGGTTAGCTCAGTTTCCATGTTTCATACTGGATCATCAGGCCTTACTCGCTTATAGGATTGACAATGTCATCAATTGTTTGAATAGACAGGTAGATGATGCCTTCCTCGTCTGTCAAGTTACTCTTCCTGACCAAAGTGGAGACTTCGCTAATGCCCGTTTTACTGTCATGGACGGAGTCCCTCTGGTCATTCGCATCGGCTGCTTGATCGTGAAGATAGGCAAGGTAGTTGCGAAATTTGCCTAGTGGCGAAGAGGTGAGAGAGGTAGACGATTGAGACTGACCGGAGGTTTTGGGTGACGGGGGGCCTCTCGAGATCGTAAGATCGGAACTCAGTGTCGTGATTGGGTGCTTACTATCACTGGGTTGGGACTGTATGATGTGGACCTTTTCCTCATGACTCTGCCCAGGCAGGCAATATCCTAAAAGCTGCAGAGGAGTAGTCAAGACGTTTGAGCCGCAGATCCGAGTGTCTCTCTGTGGGGCATCATCAATGAGGAGGGTCGACGAGATATAAAGACAGAAACATATGGCAATTGCCCATCTCAGAGCTCGCCAGAGCACAGTGGAAATGATCTCGAGACCCTCAAAAGTATCGTTGCGGTCTCGCTTTTCCCGCTTTCTCTTCTTGGCTGCATGATCGATATTGTACATTCTCCCTAGTCGCTGTCACTATCAACTGTTTTGAAATTCAGGATGTGTTGAGCTCACCATGGGGACTGTATAAGTGTGAGTAGTGCCGACTACGCTTATATGAAGACTCATGCGGAATCGCGAGATCGTCGTCGGATCGTGGCCAGGTGAGTTCGGGACACAGAGCTGTTGCTCCGTTGCTTATGTTGTCCGAGTGCCAAGTGTAAGAGCTCGCCAATCTGCCTTTGCGGGTCCTTCCTGCCCTCCGCCGTTGTATGTCGTGCAGAAATTCCACAGGGTTGTCCGGCGTCAGGGTATTTCGCGATGCCATGACGTTCATTGAGCTTTAATAAAATTCTGGCATTATTCGATTTAGGATCTTAGGCTGCAGTTCGTCCATTCTATGTTGCATTAAATTCAAACGCGATCAAAGAAGTTCGTTGCGTTGGCCGGGGAGAGCCAAGCATCCGGATTCGGCGCAACTTCTAAACAATGAACACCTGGGCTTGTCCATGTCAAAGGACTAGTATTGTGAGCATTCCGTTATTTATGATAGAGTCCGCACTTGCACAGTAGCTGCTGACCTTGTCTTACTACAACGCAGCATGTAGTCTCAACTAGAGCTCTGTTTGTTCACAGCCACAATATGGTCTTATCACAAGATGTATTGTGTTCTTCATAACACAGACTTTCGGAACAATGCCAGATATTTCTTTTCAACCAAGTATTTGCCGACTTCCGCTGAAAGTCAAAGCCTCACCATCAGTCATGGCATGACACTGGATAAGTGCGACCACAATGTGTGCCAGACACATCGAGGGGTCCCTAGTCCTCCCGAAGAGCTCCGTGTCCAAGCAACAATCATTGAAGCTGAAGCTTGTCGCCTTCCTGTGCGCATCTAATGCCAAACTAAAGTCTGCAAACGGCCGAGAGCTGCCGAGATGAACTCTAGGGAGTTCTATAGTTGGATCTTTGATCGACAATGTGTACAGCTTCTGTGAGTCGTTACCACCTGAGTTCAAAACCGCCCTTTGTAGTGTAATATTGCGATCTCTTCCTGCGACGGTTGATGCCGGGCGACCATGCTCGTGTAGCAGCTCACTGCCGTACATGAGGCTATCCTTCAGCAGATTGACTCTAAGGTCTGTCAGCAGGGCCTTCAACTTTGCAAATATTGCTCGTTTCATGGTAAGCAGTACGTACTTAACATCCTCCATGAGACTTTCACCATCCATTAGAACGAAAGATATGTCGTTGAAGCGTAAATCTCAAGGTTTGTTGCAATGGATAGGACTTATCTGATTGGTGCACCGTCTGTCTTATGACTTTTGTTCACGTATAACAAGTATAATTGTATTTGAAGGCATCTTATTCTCTTTGATCAATATCTGCTCTATGGAGTCTCTCGAAGTGGCAGCCACTTAGGCCATGGGGTGCTCAGCGACCGGGTAAGCCTCGAGATTGTCACCAGTCATGAAGTCCATGAGGGCTTCGACGCGGGCGAGAATTCGATCAAGGTGCATCGCATCGTCGTACATGAAGATCATGGTCCGAAGCTTCATGACCTTGCTCCTGCTACCAATCAAGCCCATGGCGATCGCAAGCCAGTATTCCCTCAGAGTGTGATATCTCTGACGATGGTAGCGGAGGGTGACACCCGGCACATCGATGACTGGGATGTTGAAGGGCCATTCCGCAGACCGGTATGAGGTATGGATGCGATAAAAAGAGTTCAAGACGTCCATGCGGTCGTCCACCCTCCATCGCAACCTTCTCTCCTCCTGGCTTATCCTGCTCGGTTCAGACAACGTGAACATCTCGGTGCGACAGCAAGGGCATGTACGTTGGAACTCCATGCGTCGGTCACACCAGGTGCCCAGCCATTCCATCATGCAATTCCAATGGAAGAAATGCTTGTCGTTCGATTCGGGACACATGCGTGCCACCAAGTCTGTCGGCTCGATATTCTCATTGCAGATTGGGCAGTTCTTATGCTCCGATGGCACATCTAACCCGCGGGGCAACGCTGGTGTCCAGTCGTGTGCTCCTCCAAGGTCCTCAAGCTTGTCCGCCTCGACAGTGTCTCCAGCGCGCCTCAGGATGTCCTTGATGAACTCCGAACGGTGGGCATAGGCTCGAATCGTGTTGCTCATCTTGGTTGTTGGGGGCTTAAGAGAGTCGTAGGTCTCGGTTTGCGAATCTTTTTCTGCCCTCCATAGTCTTTCGAACAGCAGTTAATGAAGACTCTCAAACTGACATTGTATATCAACACTGATCTTCGAAAACCTCCTCCTGGGTGTTAGAGTGTAGAATGAATATAGTTGTTTTGCCGTTTTGTTATAAGTTGTATGCAGACAATGCCAGGGTAAACCTGAACAATCTGCAGTATATACAGTTTCTGACGCAATTTCAGTAGATGAAAATTACTGTCCGCTCCAGCAACTAGTGATGCTTGCTGACCCGTAGCGGTGGGGGATAGGTACTACTATGTGGGATGTCAGCCGGGACTTTCGTTGCTAGGAATCAAGCGGGGCCCACAAACAAAGGCCGGTGCCTAGTCTGTGGGTCGCAATATGTAACACTGACATTGTTTACAATGATATTGGCCGTTTCAAGGTTCTTGGTCAGCTTCCACGATACTCTCCATAGCCATCCAGCTATCATCATTGCCTGTCTCAGAACCAGCTCATATAGCTTGATTACGCATGACAGACGCAGTGATCTGGTTCGACTGCCCTTGCAGGTGGGCTATCGTCTGAGTTTGTCCCTGCGTCTGCCCTTGCAAGCGGGCAATTTGCAACTTGTGCTGGTCCCGCATGTGTGCGATCTCTCTACGCAACTGACGTATCTCCTCATCGTGCTCGCATAGCTGCCTGCGTAAGGATGTTACTGCGGAATCGATATCCTCCATTGAAGTGTCCATATACCGCTTGCCATCGGTCGGCTCTTTGCAAAATTGCTCTATAGTGACCAAAGCGCGGTTTCCACGTGCACTAGTGTTGACGTTCGCATGGGGCGTGGAAGTGAGCGGTTCATCTTTGTAATTGAAGGGGATCCGGATGGAGCTGTTGAGAGGAATCTCGTACCCGTCGTCAGGAGTATTGTGCAGCGGAACTTCGGCCTGAATTTGCTGGACACTGTACGAAAGACCCATCAATTATGACCCACGAGTCTTTGCAAGTGCGCTGATCGTACCTTTGGACCCACTCTGCGACACTATGGCGGCGCGCCCCTCCCCCACACAAATCGTAGCGCATATGCAAATCAGTATGCCTCCCGCGACGGCGGAGCTGTGGCGAGTCATCGTACGCCTTTGTCCCAGCGGTGTCATGGTGTATACCCTCGTCAGTGAGCCATTTTTCTCCAGCTGCCTTCCACCAGTCTCTCGTAGGTTCAGGCTCAGAGCGCCGACGGCTGTGTGTGATGCCAACCCGCATGTTGCACCCGCTCGTTGCCTGGGGAGCCCGCCCGTGATTATCCATCTGGAAAGGAGGGACCAGTGCCGCTGGCGTAGGTGCCTGGCCGCCGACCCTGCGCTCGCCCAAGCGGAACCTCATACCGGCATGATTTTCTTCGGTGTTTGTGTCCCTAGGGCTGAAAGCGTGTTGTATAGATATGCTATTAGTGGTGTAGTCATTTCTCCTGCCGTCTCCGTAGCTATTTAAAGCTACCCCTGGCGGGGAAAAGGTCGAAGTCGAAGAGGAGTGCAAATCAGGGAGTAGGTAGGAGGGTTCAAGGTTGTAGGGCTTTTGAGAGATGAAACGGACAGCCCTGTGGTGGCCAAACGGGTGGGCCTCGATTGGAGAAGCATAGATTGGAGCTTCCGCTTGAGCTTCATCGTATATTTCATCATTAGAGTTCCTCGCAGGAGAACTACAGCGGGAGGCAGGGGAGATGGTATTGGACGTCATAGGAAAGATGGCTGGAAGTTGTGCTCTAGTGCGATTGGCGAAGGTCTAGAAGGAATGATATCAGAGAGAGATGTCGGTGATAGAGGAACGAGGGTAAGACAGAGGGGCTTTGCCGTGCAAGTTGCCCATGCGGAGATCGTGCCAGCCAAAGTCGTCAAAATGTCTAGACCGCTCAAGACCTGTTCATGCCGAGGCCAATGTAGGAACGCAGAATGTGCAAAGGAAGTTGGCAAGCATAGATATAAGTAGTAAATGGAGAACAAACGCCGGAGCGTTGTGATTCAGTTCGGCGAGACAAGCAAATTGTTGTCGCAGGCAGCCGTGTTGCATGGCATGGCAACACCCGCATCACACACAACAATATCCACGCCTGAGACATGAATATAACAAAGAGATATCGCATGGTTGCAGATTAATCAAAACACGAGGCAGCCATGGTATCAGTTTTGCAAATATCCATAATCGTCACGTCTTTTCTTTTTCTGCTGTTGATATTATTAGAAATCGTAGTCAGGCATGGTCACTCCCACCGTAGTTTGAGCCGTAATACCTCTCGGCACTGTTACTAGCGCTACTAGCATTATGGAGAGACTAGTCCCAAAGTAGTGACCGTTCACATCATCCATGCATCTCTAGTCATCCCCGCCACAGCATGCTTCGGACCTCAGTGGTCAAAGATTATGTCGACATACAGTATGGCTTGGTCAGCACTAGTAGGCTCTTCTGGCACTAATTGGTGGACGTGGTGATTAAGCGTGCACTGTGTGAGAGTGTCCTGGCGTTCGTTACAGTCACAAATGAAAGCGTTTGACGTTTCCCACCCAACGATATCGGCGCAGTGGATGTGTTTCTGAGAGAAGTGATAGTGATGCAGATTGACCTGGAGTATATAGTTCTGCCATTGAAGCCTCATTCGGTTGAGTGCCTTAGAACCGCTCAGTGTGGGTTTGACATCTTCGGCAGTGTACCCGAAAACGAGTGGAAAACAGCTGTTGGAAGCCTTGATGGGATATCTCAAAGAGTGATAGGTAGCTGCGTTGAACAGGCAGCACTTTGAAAAGGCGCTGTGCGAAATGGATTTAAAGACAGCTTTCAGACGGAGATCAGTTGGAGTTGATCATTGGGATATGCTACTGATGTGTTCATAACACATCTTTCCCAATAACACCTGGACGTTCCAGCCTTGGCGGCGTATTGTGCGTGGACAGTGACTGAATCATGCTCTACATAACCGACCCTAATTTCTGTTCTTCTTCGTTGCCTCCACAACAACCTTTCACGAGCGACCAGTCACATACTCAGAAGAATTTTCCTCAACCAAGCGAAGAATGCCTCCAAGAATGGTTTGGCCTCCACGCCAGTGCCGGGCCTTCTTCCCAGATGGAACCCAATGCAGGGTCCCAAGTATCAGCCCTAGCGGATATTGCGGCTTACACCAGCCGGCAAACGAGCCGATTATTCACCCCACTACAGCCGGCCACGGAGCCTATCTTCCCCTCGGCGCGGATTCGGAGCGTATCGGGGTCCTTGATGCGCAGGTAACGACTTTGCTCTGGCAGCAGGTCGAGAGGGACGTGATCATCGGGGACCAGCAGCGAGAAATCATTGATGTACGGGCACAGAACGCCATCAATGCCTCCAGCGCCCGGGAGTACCAGCTTCAGGCAATCGCAATGCGCAACCAGGCGGCGGTGCAAGCGTCCACGATCCACGAACACGAGAACACGATGCACAAGCTGAGAGATACACTGGCAGGTCGCGACGCAGAGATTTCCGCAGCTAAGGCTACGCAGGACAGGATGCAGAAGGAGATTCGCACCTGGACGGAGGGATATCATCGCCAGACCGGAAGCCTCACAGCAGCGCGCGAGAAAGCTCTTGCTTCGGAAGCCGAGAAGGATAGCCTGCGAGTGCAGCTGGACAACGCTCTTGAGAAGATGGCCAGCGATCGTCATGCCGTACACGATAGGATCACCACACTCGAAGGTCAACTGGATAATGCAGAGGATAGGGCCCAAAAGGCCCAGTGCCAAGCGACAGAGATCGACGCCGAGCTCGACACAACGCGTAGCACGATCAGCATCCTCGAAGGCCACCTAGATGCCGCGAATCGCAGAGCGGAGGATGCCGAGCGCAGGTTGGCGGAGATGGTGTCCACAATCACAGCCATGGGTGCTTCAGACCACATTCAGACGGCTGCATCAGCGGATGACTGGACTGGCAAGATGGATGATGAGGATGACGGCCGAGCCGACATGGAGTGCGACAAGGAAGAGAGGGGCGATCTGAGTGTTCGCAGTCAGAACGAGAGTGGAGCTGTTAGTAGCGCAGATGCCTGGTCATACGACCCCATCTCTTTGGGCTGGTGGCTTGTGCTGATTGTTCTACTTCTACCATTCCTGCTGCTGGAGGCTCGGGCTCCTTGAGTCACCCATAGCCTGACACGATTCTTCCATCGAAGCACCAAAACAGCGTTGCGCTCTTCACATAGCGATGCGCGGCTCATCGAACAGGTTAACTTGAGAGCTTTGGACAACTGGATTCGATTGTACAGGTCGCGAAGGGCGACTTCAATGTAGTTAATAGAAGATGGTCATGAAATGGAAGTTGAGATTCATACAAACCTCTGCAGCCTTTGAACGTGTTATCGGTCGAGTGTCAAGCTGCAAGTTGGACATTGGCGGTCCAGCGAGGATTGTCGTGTCTAATGTGCATTTCCCATGTTCGAAGATTTGAATGTCCGATAACGTTTAGCATTATGCATCATTAATGCTCACGATACAAGATCCGTGTATACTTGTATTAGAGCGCGGAATTCAAGATCCATCATAGGAGATTTGTACCCAATCACCGATGAATGAAATTCCAAAATAGCAGTCAAATAATTCCATAAGATCACAACATAAATTCAAGTCCGGGTGGAGGTAACGTCGAGGACATTAATCCCCGGTTTATTTTGGCCCTTTCTGTGGCGTCCTATCACTTTTCTGTGCGCGTATAGGGGCTTCCTTACGGTGGATTGATCGTAATGATAAATTTATTGATGGATTCTGCCGGCGATCAATGTTATGAAAGCCATAAACTCAGAAGAGGTGACCAAAGAGGGCGCAACGGGAGGAAGGGCCCCGGTAAGAGCGGTTTGGGATCCATTAGGCACATATAATTCTCTTCTACTCAGTTGTGCCGAGCTTATCCTGGGTGTGATGGGATTCGAATGACATCATTTATCATGGACTAGATCTTTTATTGGCAGAGTATCTGGTGGATTCCACGGTATTCGCCTCTCTTCAATTGTTGTTTGCTGTTTGTTAGCTAAAGGCGCGTATATATTCTACGCTACCCACAGATAGCTTACGGATTATTCTGCGTGTTCTTTACTATATATATTCAAAGCGAAAGCGGGGATTATGGAATCCTATTATGGATTCTCAATCACACGAATAGTGATGGGTGATAACACCAGAGGTGTTAGTTTTGGGGACGAAAGTTGTAACACGAAGCTCTACATCGTCATTCACTGAATATGGGCCCTATATCTGTGGAGCTATTTCAGCTGATATGGCTTTCTTCCCTTTACATCCACCAACCACTTCGGTGTCACAGCAAGCATACAGTGGCCAACCTCCTCTAGAAGATTACCAACTCAGAAGTTCCCAATCATCCACCATGTCCCACTTCAGACTCTCAATTGACATGAACATGGGCAACGGTCCCGCACGCCAGTGTCGAGCCATCAGCAGAGAGGGACTCCGATGCTCCAACTCCCGCCCGAGCGGTGCCGACCTATGCTCCACCCATGAGAGGCAGCGGATCGACTTTAACAGAAGCCGCGACCAGTACCACCGTCCTCCTCCCACCAGTTCCTCGCCGAGCTACCACCACCGCACCGCCAGCGCCACGTCGGCCTACTCGTCCTACAAGCAATCCAGGATCGAGGCCATGGACCGTGAGATGGACGCGCTACGCAGCCAGCGCGCCTCCAGCCGATCCCGCCAGATGCAAGAGCTCGATGCGGAGATCGCCGCTTTGAGCGCCAACAATAACCGCCGTCGGGACAACGAACTCCACGCCTCCCGCCTGAGGACCAACGACCTTGCGGAAGAGCTCTCTACTGCCAATGCCCAGCTTGCCGCTGAGCGCATCAGGAACGGCGAAGCAGCTGGACTGAGGAGCGACCTTGCCAACAGGGATGCTGAGATTGCCGCCTTGCGTGCCCGCGAGATCGAGACCAAGCGTCGCATGCTGGCGACCGATGAGGATGTCAAGTACTGGAAGGGCCAGGCTAGTGACTACGAAGCACAGGGAAGGGATGTTTTGGGCCAGTTGGAAGATGCTCAGATCCTGATCGAAGATAAAGAATATGAGACAAAGCGTAGGGCAGACGATGCCACGTATTGGCGGGAACAGGCTCTGGACTATAAGGCGCAGGGAAGGGGCCTTTTGGATCATCTGGAGGATGCACAGGTCTTCATAGAAGACGGGGAGCGTAAGGCAAGGGAGGATCAGGGCCTGTATTTCAGGGATGTGTGAGCTCATCGTCGCCTTGCAGCCATAGATGAACGTGAAGGGAACAAGTTTACGAGAGAGATAGATAAAACTGCAATGAACTCATATCACCAGACCTGCCTGATCAAGGACGTGGTGGCCATGTGACCTTTCATAGGTTAATCGAGTGTCTACAAACCCTGTCCTTGTCAATATAACCTCTTTTACTAGTGCAGAGCCCATCGTTTGTTTCTCTTTCTATATAGTTCAAATTCAGACATGATCTCGGATACAAGTGCTAGCCCATCGTTGTCTAGGAAGCGATGTCAAGAATCGACTATCAGGCGATGATGACACACCACTACCTATCGCCTTCCCCCTCTCAGTCACCGTCTTCGTCCTCGTCCTCTTCGTAGTCGTCGTCATCAATGTCTTCCATCCGCATGTCACACCACTCATACCATAACCGGGTCCTCGTTGATCCTTCTGAGCTTAGAGTGTGAGTCCACGATCGAAATGGCCCCAAGCCTATGTTGTTCTCCAGAACGCGCCTAGGCACGCCCATACACAAGAAGTCCGAAACGGCAGGTAGAATGCATTGTGCGAAGCGCGCCAGGAGATACTGCGGAGCCACTCCGTGTGGCTCCAAAAGCGGAACGTTGTGGTACTGAGACACGAGCTCTTCATCTGGAGTAAGTAGCTGGACGACCATCCGGCCGGCCTTGGGGACGAATGCGAAGCTCCGATCTTGAAAGCTCGTACGGAGGTCAGCACGGAGATGCAGCAGGTTGGCTGGATCCTCGGTGTTGTGGTACTCAAGGTCAGGGTCGTTGTTGAAGCTGTATTGTTCCATTTTGTTCGACGGGAACCAATCCCAATACATGCTTAGAAGACACACATGGGCGATTCTGCAATCATCGGTGGATCCGCTCATAGGGCAGCTGCCGTTGCGGAGGTAGGCCGTGTCGGAGAAGTCGGATGGGGTGGTGGGTTCGTAGTCGACTTTTGGGGCGCAGCAGGCTAACCAAGTGAGCGGAACCTTGTGATGCGGGAAGCACCATTCACGAAAGTTCTGCACAACCGGGTAATTGTATGGCTGGGAGCCGTCGTGGTCATCAGGACCAGGAACGCAAAAGAAATAGTCGGAGCCAGTCAGGATCGTGTCCGGCGAGGAGACAATTGGCGGGCCGTCAGGGGAGGTAGCGAAATAGCCATCAAATCGGTTGCCAGCAATGATTGCGCACGCGGTGTGAGCAGTGCCGTGGTGGATGCCGCCATCGGGATGATCGAGCGCCGGCAAAGTGATGAGGCGGTTCGTCGAGGCGGGAAAGGCAGGATGACGGAAGTTCGCCTCGTGCAGCGGATTCGTAGAGATGGTTTCTATGCCAGTCGCTTGCTCTGAATCACGGTTCCGGGCGCGTACGTGAATCTGTGGTTCAGCCATGATTGTGGCGAGGGGTTGAGGTGGGGACATGATGAGGACGACGAAGAAGCATTGAAGTGGTTTCGGCTGAGAAGACCCAGGGAAGCGGAAGATATCGAGACCCTGTCCGTGCACCAGAAATGCCAAGGTGCACGCTCCATTGCGGTCTCAAACTCTCATCTTACGTCACCGTCACCAGCCTGCGGACTTATCAGACGGCCAACCATTGTGCGAAGCACCAATCACTTCGCATTTCCAGACTTGTCTCACCAGAGAAATCACGCTACTGGTTCAAGTGCGACTGAATTTCTTAGTTTCATAATACCATCCTGTACCAAAATACTAACCTCAGGTGTCATTGTAGGTGTTAACAAACACAGAAATTAAGTAGACCGCCGACGTAGCCCCACCGCATCGCGCTTCAGTCGGAAGCCACCAAATAATTTACAAGCTGTCTCAAGCGTGTTTAAGGTATTGTTTTAGATAGGCGAGGATGACAACGGTTGTGCTTCAACTACCGACGGATGCTGCGTATCATAAAAAAAAAGGAAAAGGAACAAATGTCTTACATCGTGGATAGTTAAAGCTATCGTGTGGACGAAAATGTAAATTTGGTATTTTCCCCATTTGTTCCATGCGCGCAAACTCAAAGACCTTCATTTCACGCTCGCCATCCATCCATGAGTCCTCTTTTCAAGGTAATTTGCATTTTATAAAGGAGATCCCGTCACCTTCAGGCGTGGTGCGAGAGTTTGAAATCTCTGGATCATCGTACTCTCTTGACATTTGATCCCGACAAATTCCAATCTCTCAAGCTTTGGCCATTGCATGGTCATTGGGATCTGATTTAGAATGTTGATCCTAGAGCATGAAGAGCAGATCCTGAGATGAACTAAACGTTTCGCTGCACTGAGAACTGATCCCAAGCCACAGAAATTCTCGCCGACCATGATGTCGAGCTCTGTGATTTTGGAGAAAGCCATATCCGTTATATGCATGTCCATATTAACATCACGAAAGGAGAGTGGGCCTGATATTCCTTGAGGTGGTGTCCAAAGCAGGATAAGATGGTTCAAGCCCTAGTGACCATACAGGCTCAGTGTAAGCCTCGTCAACTTCTTTTCACAGAACATGTTGCGAAAACCAAGAGCTCGAAGGACGAAGGATAAGGGCGTTGCTCCGTGCCGTAATGAACATCCTGTTCCGTGTGGAAGTTCCCATGGTACCATGAGCTACCAGTTCCTCCACCGAAACGAGTCACCCTCCGTGAAATCAGCGAGCGTTGCTTCAAACGATGTGAGGTTCCGAAATGCCGGGAAGCCATACATGAGTGAAGGGAACGAGTTTACGAGAGAGATAGATTATGATCATTCTACCTCGAACATTTCTGAGGCTGGTAGAGTAGCACAAAATGTATGGAGGAGAATCCCGTCAAAATAACCAAGATCATCTCCGGCTCTCGGTCTTAATTTCCCTTTGTTGACCGATGTTGAGCAACTTGTATTGCGTACTGTTTCCTGATGGGAACTCAACGCTTAATTGATGCATTTCTACGTAGTTGAAGCTAATTTCCGGACACAAATGTTCATTAAACATTTGGACATTTGTATCCGGACAAAAGCTCCAGCTCCGCCGGAATGACATGTTTCCAGAACAGGGCGGGGGAAGAAGGGGAAGAAGGAAAAAGCAGAAATTGGGATGGGATCCCTCTTGCCAGGCCGATAGACTTCCTTTGCAGAACATTGCGCTACACGGTGTCGATTCTATGCCCGGATATGGAGAGTATGGCGTAGCCCAATATATCACGCATACGGAAGAGGTTAGAAGAAGAACATTGTGTTTGAAGTCGAAAGCGTTCAGTAAATAGACCAATGTGGAATATTGTACAAATGGGGTAAAGCGTGTGTTTCGGATCCATGTAAATAGTCTTCTCCTCAACAACCCTCAGAGGGTTAATCCATGAGTTCAAACACATTGAGTTCCGCAACAGGCCTGGTAACTGCATATTAAAATATCTACTTTTGAAGTTAGCAGGAGCCTGAGAGAGAGATTGGCATCATCAAGAGTAAGTGACAATGACAACTCTGTCGTAAAATAGAAAACAGAGAGATCAGTGCTACATCTTGACTTTACTAGTGTAGAGCCCATCCATTCGTTGTCTTTCTGCAGATCCGACAATTTCCGAGCTTTTCCCGAAGGGGAAATTGGCCGACGAAAAATTCTCCTGTTCTACCCACATACCCCAGATCCTCTTGAAAATGCTCTAGGGTCTTTGAGAGTGGCTTCTAGTGGTATTGGGGTACTTTGAAAGAGTATACACTATATAATGGGGTCAGAAATTTCAAGTGTCATCAATCAGCTCAAGAACATCTTCACTTCTTGATTCAGCTGCCCGGCTAGCTCAATCGGTAGAGCGTGAGACTCTTAAACACTCTCTAGAGTGCTATCTCAAGGCTGCGGGTTCGACCCCCGCGTTGGGCTCAATTCCCACATCTTTTTGTTTTGTTGAAGTCTGGGGATGGTGGTGGCTGCGGAGGGGGCCTGAGAACTTTTTTTTCGCCGCACGGCGTTCCTTCGGTGCCCGATACCACCGACTCATGCATACAGAGGGATATCACAGCCGAAGACCAGCGTAATTTTGTTTTTGCTCATATCATGGGTAACTGAAGCTATCGTCCGGACGCGGATGTATAATTATTAATTCTACATTTACATCCGGATTATAGCTCCAACTACCCATACATGTTCTTATTCTTTTTCACAGAAGCTTTCTCTAGGCGCGCTTGGAGAATTAAAGATCGATCTTAAGCGTACCACGAAAATCCCCACATCGACCCAGTTTTTAACGAGGAACCAGGTCAATATGGAGCAGGATCTCCCATTATAAAGAAGATGAAACGGCTTTAAAGCAGCTGTGGTGTGTCGTGGTCTCCGACGCAGCTGGGTTTATATCAGGAACATGAATAGTCATCTGGCCGCAGTGTTTGGTAGATGGAAATCCGTGGCTAAACATGCCATCCTTCGGAGACCTTCAGACCAGCACATTGTAGAGGGCGTTATAGTGTAGCTGTGGTGATACTACACAAGCTCCCTGTTATACTCCGTAGTCTTCCTGCTCAGGAATTTCTTGTTCCTATTGAGGGACTACTCTAGCAGCCCTCCTTCCGCGGGTTACTATGGTTGAAAGAGTGGAAAAGATTGCATACCGACTAATAAACTAACCCTCCCGACTTAAATACATGCATCTTCTGTGATGCTCCGTCGGACCGGTACTATCCGGCCCGGAACGCCCTCGGTAATCCTTCCTCCCGACCAACCTCCCCCGGTACAATAGCTTTAGCGGCTATAGTAGTGGAAGTAGCTTTTCTTTCTTTGCTCAATTCGAAGCGTCGACTAAGCTGTAAGTTAAGGAGTGAAAAACAAAATACCGAAGCTATTTTGATGAAAACTGGTAAAAAAGAAACGGCAGATACAGTAGTCTCATCCATTACAATCGTCTTATGCGACAGAATAGAACGAGTAACTTCAAAAGAAATTTGTAAAAGACCTCTGTCACCTGGATCATTTACTCAGTGAAATTTCTTACCATACCTCATGCTGCCATGTTGCCAATTTAGACGCGATGTGCGCATATTGTGTTACCGGAACTTAGTTTATAGTAGAATATTCGAAGAAGATCTATGTACTCCGCTCTTCTCCCGTGGCATACTGCAACACCCTTTTTGTAGCGAGCAAAACATAAAGACTACCGACAGCCCCTTCATACGCAGTGTATTTGCTTTGGCACCGGCATAAGTCGAGGTTTCTCTTAACACTTGGTAGACTGCAGAGACTTAACAATGCGTTTTGAAGATTCCCAATTACTCAAAATAATCTTAGGGTTCTATTTCATGTGAACGCCATCAGCAAAGAAACAAGATCAATGTACTCATGAGTGATTGAGTTTATGAACAACGCTCTGATCGCACATCTGATTTGGTGTCACCTTATCCGTACAGGATGTTGACACAGATTTCTGACTGCTAAATCCTGTGACTTGCTTGTCACTTTCTATCGCGGAGAAATTTTGCACGCTAATTAAATGGGTTCTTCCGCCGCTGACGGTGATCACCAGACCGAAACAATGCAGTGACCTGGTGAATGCCAATTTCATTCTCACCTACCTGTCTCGGTCTCTAGACTGTGGGCATATGCCAGGCTCCAAAACTTCCTGGGTGATAGAGATTTCGCTGAAACCCGCCCGCCACTCATTCGCCGCCTCCCAACCCTCACTCACACCTGACCACTATCCAACCGCATCAATAGGACCAGCCTCTTTCTCGGCTGTACCTTACGGTCAAAAAAGCAGAGAAGCGTGTGGGTTTGTGGGCTCAACGCACGGTCCACGCCCGGACCGTCCAGCGCCCTGACCAAAACGCCTCCAAAAAAAAAATCATCAACACCACGCCCGAGCAGTCTATACAGACGACAGCGGAGCAAAAGAAGAGTCTCTCCGACGGGGAATCGAACCCCGGTCTCCCGCGCTTGCTAGAGCAGATGCTTTGACAAGCGGAAATCATCACCACTAGACCATCGAAGATGTTGAGCTCCTTGGAGGAGCTGATGGGGTGTTGGCGAATCTCGCTCCAGGTGGTGGCTTTCTATAGTGTACAAAATAAGAGGAGCGTGCAATAGAGGAGCTGATAATGCTAGTTGAAAGGTGGAGGAAAGTTGGGAGGTGTGATGGAAAATTGCCGTAAGAAAAACATGGCTGGCTCGTTGGGTCGAGGAAGGTGAATACAAGACCCTAATGACAACCGGACAGTGCTGAGGAGAACTAGCGGAGTGGAATATTAATTTTTCGGTGGTTATGATGGTAAGGGTAGCTTGGTGTGATCTGAGAGCACCCAGGAGGCGCAATCTGCACATCGGAGAGTAAAACTTTGTCTTTGAATGACGATAATATAGCTTCGGTAAAGGCTGGCTGAACAATTTCAAGTGAGGTAAAGGAAGTGTGGTTAGTATGTCGGTCGATGTAGATAAGAATTAGGTGCTAAGATAGCGGAATGACTGCTTGCATATGTCTATCACTACGCTCGTGTTGTTCATGTTTCCCATGCAAAACCTCTTGCATTATGATGGTGGAAGAACGTTATTGTCTTTGTGGGATAGCTCCAACTAGCACGGGCAGTGGACAAACGGACCAAGAGTAACAACAGCAGGTCGAAGTTGGGAGAGCCAATTCTTGAATATCGGCCTATGTGAGCAGGTGAGTATATCACACTACAATAGCCCTGCTGAAACTTCCACAACCATTGGCTTTATAGTCAAGCCACTTTGTACCAGTTGTGTGCTTCCTTCCCTCTAGGGATTGGGGTTGCCCTTCATTGCGTCTCGAAGAAGGTTGTAGATGGAGTGGCTTCGGTTGTTGTTGTTCTGAACCAGGTGGACGACCGTCACAGGATCACCAAACGTGCCAAAGGCAGGCTGGAAAATGTCAAGGTAGAGTTCGGGGTCCAGGCGGCTGCATGCGTGTTAGTGGAAATGATAAACGGTTCAACGCGTGAGGACACCATAAGTGGAGAACTTACAGGACTGCCTGCATACCGAAGCGCTGGTAGTACTCCATGATCAGCGCCTTCAAGTATTCCTTGCCCTTTCGCAGTTCTTCTTCGTCGGCACGGATCTCCTCCTCCAGCTTGGCTAGGTCCTTCTCGAGCTGGGCTTTCTCAGCAAGGAAGCTGTCGGCGGCCTGCAATTTCGGAACTGTTTTCTTCTTGGACGGCATGGCGACCAGTCTCGTGTGTAGGTTGGCGGGATTTGGATGTTGGCGCAAACACGAAAATAGAAGGCGTATCGCGTCGGATGTGGCGGTGGAGGGTGATGAGGATGAAGAGGTCGTGGTCAGAACCGCCGGGTCCACGGGATTAAATACGGCGCAGAATGATCCGCCGCGTGATCTTAGATGCTTAACACAGTTAGCGGGTGGACTTCCCGCACTTACTCCGGTCGTGATTGTTTCCCTTGCCTTGATGGCAGGCTGGATTGGTTAGTTCTCAGGAGCTACAAAATTATCACCGACCCAAGAGAATGATGAGGTCTCTTGATGATTCTCAAATCCATCTCCCAAGAGCACACCTTGCCACATACCTTTCCTACGTTCTTCATTAAGTTTCCTCACCCATTTGTCCCTTCTATGGATGTCAAATGGCCTGAAGAAAAGGTTGTTGTATAATGACACGCAACGACTATATGCAACGTTCTGAGTGCTTTTGCTGGCGATATATATTTTGCCTGTCAGGACTTTAGTCTTGATTCTGCTTAGCAAAGCACTTGCAATCAAGACGCTAAGTTTTCCATGTTGCAGCGGTGCAAGCCGCTTGATTGGTCGCTTGTCAAATTGCATGTGCTTGTAAGACGCCGTGATATTCTCCACTTGAAAACTACAACAGTGCACTTCCAAATGAGAAGGTCGTGTCAGCGGTGGCAAACCCCCCTACGGAGACCAACTCGTTCGCGATGCTCTACCAATTATCCCACACGATTCGGAAAATGGCACTTTAAGATAGTGTGTTAGAATATTTAGCATTATATGTGTGTCAGCTCCATTTGTCGCGCGGAAAAATCCCGAGTGTATTGTTGTTGCAGCAGGGAATATCTGAGCAAACATTGTTTTCAAACTACGGGACCCTTCTAGATGGAATGATCAATTCCAGCGCATAAATCGTTGATCATATCATAGATTCATCATGATTGCGGTCATAGACATATCACGGTGCAGGGCGGGAGGCTAAATTTGAGGAACTATTCTGGTGCGCCGCAGAAACAGGTGGCAATTGCGCTGGAGTTCGTTTTGAGGGAGCAGGCGATGATTTCGGGAGCATTGAAATCAGGACCGGTATTCTGACGTAGTGAAAGCCATCCAGGAAGCTGGCGATGCCGCTCACTAGTTAGCAAGTCACTCAAGCCTTTCCCCAGCTGCCTCGAGACATTTCAGCTCCTCACCTACGCTGTCTCCACCAGCATCGTCTATCTACTAGCGCAGCCCTCTGGCCTATTGTACCTTGTGCAGCATCAGTAACATGTGCTGTCCCACATGCGTGCTCGTTGACAGTCCCTCGTCTTAGAGACTTTTTCAACACACACATCGATATGCGCGCTTTCTTCGTCAGCCGCCGTTGCACGTAAAAGCCGGCAGTCATGCATAAAGCTGGAAATGTATGACCAGCCATTTTCAGGGCAATTTTCTCCGGGAATAAGCAAGCTGGCCATGGTTGGGCCGGGTTGTTAGCATGCCTCGTTGAAACGCGTGATGCAAAACTGCGCCGCCGGCATAATCCTCTACAGCCCCCTCTCGCGGCCGATGGCTAGCGTGAATTTGCTTTTTGCTCATGTCACGGGTAGCTGAAGCTATCGTCCGGACGTGTATGTAGACTTTTTAATTCGACATTCCCGTCCGGACGATAGCTTCAACTACTCACATCTGTTAATTTTTCCAAGGCACAGCTGGGGCATAGTTACGCTATGTTCTAGAGTCCTGCTATTCTTCGCGCCAGCTATCGGCTGCAGCACCCCTCTGTACAAGAAGTCGCCCTCCCCATATTTGCCACAGTGCCTGCATATTTGACCTCACGCAGTGGTCAATATTGAGTACTCAATCTTAATAATAGGCACTGCGGAGAGTTGTGCCGTCTACCCGATTTGCCATTGCACCAGCCTGATAAACGGCACACTCCGGAAGGACTGCGACGACTGCGAGCATTGTAACTTTCGCCTTGAGTACGTTCCACTAAGCATAACCATACTACGCTATCCTTATCTTTTCCATCCATTCCGCTAATGACAGCAGCTTTCCTGCCATTATGACCGCCTCTTCCATGCTCTGCATAAAATCGCCCCGTCTGCTGTACCCCTTGTATCATCCCGGTGAAATTTTAAGGGCATTGATCGGCTCTAAGTGTAGTAGACGTAAAGGTTGTGTTTCCACAGCAGCTTATTTCCGGTTTCATGGGGACTGGATTCGTAAAGGTGATGTTTCTCAGACGCTAGAAGCAATAGATCGCGGTTGTAAAAACAGGTATTTCTTCCATTTTACCAATCAATGGCGGCGATATAGGTTTGTGACTTATCTGATCGTCAAGAGGCAATTTGCATGCATGGCTGAGAGTTGAGGGGCTGCGCAGTAGCTTATGGATCACAACTGGAATAAACGGCTATCTAATTGCCTCTGACTGCAAAGTTGATCTTTTAGTAGCTTGTGACGCAATCCAGCCCAGTCCTTACCTTTCCTGGAAAGGCTTCGCACAATAATTCCTCTAAGATACTACTCAGCTTCAGCATATTTGCCACAGATTTGCGCGGCAAAGCACTGCGTGACTTGATTGATACACCGCCTCTTCCCATCATTTGCCCCTTCAGCCCTGGCTGAAATAAAAGCACCTCTGATTGGAAAATTGCGCGTATTGTTGCATATGCAGCTTCTACTCTCCCGCAGAAGCGGTGTCACCTCTCAAAATGACGTGCACCACAACGGATCCGGCTGGCTGCATGGGAGACCCCGCACAGAGAACACACACTTGGCCAGCTTCAGGATAATCTAAGAGTCACACAACTGCCAAAGATTCCGCGTTTCCAGGTCTGTGCTGCCAAGCTTATGCGCTCGCTCGACAAGCCTACAGACAGACGTTCTCTTCCATCCACCACCACGCTGTCAATCCACAGAACTCTTATCGATGATCGTGCTTTTAAAGCTGTCATGACTTAAACAAACGCAGGACTAATTCTTTCTCCATATAAACCGCAAGGCTACAAGTCCGAGCAAGCCAGCGATCATGAGTTCGTCTTTTCCAAAATCTTCTTGCAACTACTGTTCCACAAAGCCCACAGAGAAGGAAGTCATGCAAAACCTATCTCTACTTCAGCAGAGCCAGAAAGACCTCGTCGGTCAGCATGACACAAGCAGCGGCGCCGATGCACCACCCAAAACCCGACTGAAGCCTCTCACCCTCGACTCTGACAAGTATATTCCAAAGCTGACTCTTCCAGATGCTGCATACGGTATGGCGCCCGCTTCTCCACTTTCTGTCGCATCTGACTTCTGTGCGTAGAAACGAAGTAGACCATTAGCATTCCCGCCGATCTTTGCAGTCACTTCACGCTTGACCCAGTTACTTGGCCGAATCAGAGACCCGCGTTGCCTGTGGGCTGACAATCATTTGCCCGATATGTCACTTCATCAAAGCAGACAGAGTGCGGTGCGCTGGCACGAGATGTGGGAAAAATGCCGCCAGGTGCCTATGTAGTGTTGGAAGGTCAGCAATGAATGCTTTATTTAAAGATATGGGTGCCATAGTAGTGAGAGATAAGCAGTTATAAGATTTTAATTTTCATAGGAATCGCATTGTACCATTCACAGTTGGATATTCAATCTGAGCAGCTACCACGAGGCATGAACAATCATACCACCCAAGACGGCCTGTGTTGGAAGAAATGGGAAAGGGAAAACAAGGAATGCAGGGTCATAGTATGATAGAATATATGTACCCTATCTATCGTAGATCAGGAGTAGGAACCATTGGTTGAAAGTCTACTCCAGCATAGGCATAGGCTGTGAGGTAGCGTAGTACCTCCGTATAGCCTTATCTACTTATATCAGCCTTGACACTTACTAGTAGTCTCACTGGTGCTAGTAGAGGTGGTGGTTATTATTCTAATGAGTCCGCTCTTTGAGCAGTGTGTCGAGCTCCCTCTTAGGATGCTCATCGTGCTTCGGTAAATCATTTTCGCCGTCTATTTCCACATCTTTATGTCAATTAATCTTTTTCTTCTGCGTCGGTCGCTCCAACTCCGAAGTGACGGTGAACGATTGAATGCCGGGTGTGAGGCACGTTGACAGTGAAGTGAGACGGTTCTCACGAAACCTACTCTACCACTCTGTATGTATGGGTCAAAGGAACGCCGTGCGGCGAAAAAAAGTTGTCAGGCCCCCTCCGCAACCACCACCATCCCCAGACTTCAACAAGACAAAAAGATGTGGGAATTGAGCCCAACGGTCGCGTGAGGAAATATATCAGCACACACAACTTATGAATGCCAAGAAATGGAGCGGACAGGAAGCAAGTTTTGGAAGACATTTTCGCAGAAAGGCATGTCGATGGCATGCATACCAAAAAGCAGGATGTCACACAATATCAGGGCACTCTTAAATGCGTGTAGCGGATGCTCTGCTGTGGGGGTGAATGTAGTGTAACATACTTTTTTGAGTACGTCCGATTATTTCCTCCAGCTTTCCAGGGAGAGAGGCTCTAGGCCGTTTCAGAACAGGTGGAGTTCTTAAGCTCAGTGAATTCTCGAGCAGGTTGTTAGTTGAAGCTTTGGAAAGCAACTATGGAACTAAATCAACTCCTCAAGTCTGAATCCTCACCCAAGACACCGCCGTAGCTCCGATAACTCGCGACTCCTCACTCTCTCACCGTTGAAATGGAGATCGATCTTCCACATGGCGCTAACGAGCGTTCCACCGAAGTCGAAGACCAGCACGATAAGCTCCCGGATATCACTGCCATGGTTGATGCCACTACCGACATTGCAAGCTGCTTCGAGGAAGGCAGCGCACTTATCGCCCAGGCCTGCACCGAGCTCATCGAAAATGCTTCCTTCATCGCCTAAGCTGCCACTGACCTCACCATCGCTATCGATCACGCCAAGCAAGACAAAGATGTCATCGAAGCTACGATCGAAATCGTAGGCTCTCAACTTCCCTTCACTCAGGAGTTCATCACCAAGATCACGAACACCATAGGAGAACGGGTACGCAAACAGAAGGTCCGGTAAGGTGCTCTCATACACGTTTTCTTTGACTTCTCACGAACAAACACAGCTTCGGCAACCGCGGTGACAAACTGGAAAACAGCTAAACTGGCAAACAATCACTATGTTGGCAATCGGCGTTAAGGATTACATTCATTTGAACCTTACAAAATGATTTTGAACTTTCTGAAAGGCTTGAAGGCGATCAACACCTCGTGCGCTTCTCACTTAGATGAATTGCTCCGCCACCTCGAGATTACTCCTCTCAGAACGTTGGGGCGGAAGCGGGAAACTTCCGGGAAGGTCACCGATGTCGACTGAGAGCTTAATGCGGATACTTGAGGGCACGCTCTCATTGTCTTTCTGTTCTCAAGTGAGATGCTGATTTGCGCGCAGCTTGAAAAGTGAGGAGCACGCAGTGGATCACACAGGTCGCACGCGGAGATGAAACATAGGGTCAAGGAATTCCTTCTCTTCGTGACTAGGTCTAAAGCATATATTATCGATGGTTTCCTCCAACATTGATGTCCGTGTAGTGTGTTTCATTCGACCAAATCGGCACACGGAGCTTCTCCCGGCGGTCAAGCAATGGCGCGACGCGGCGGAGCGGTGGTGCTATGTGTGTCATGGTCGGACTCTTATTTACACTATGTTGTTGCTTGTGGCAATATGCAATGTGCGCGGCGTCCCCGCAGCTGGACTTCTACGCCTTCAAGGTTATTTTCGCGACATGTTCCAGTGCTGACGCAGCCAGAAGGTCTTAGCCGATCTGCTGCGTGTCGGTAGCTTCAGTTCCCGCGCTGGTTTCCCGCATCTGCTCCCCGGAGCCGTGTATGATGATGGAATATCTCGCTAGCCGACCATGTTGGTGCTTGGTGTCTGCTTTCGCATGTTTCCTGATTTGGACCTCGAAATGCGTACCCCATCGTACGACCGAGCGGTGCAGGCAACCTACGAGGGTGACGCATGCGCTTCAGAATCGAGAAGGACGAAGAGTGAGTACAACACGGGCAGGTGCCATCAACACCCATCTAGCCACTTTAGGACTAGCGCGTCCGCTCTTCCCCTTCTGCTCCAGGCATAACATCACCCCAACTCCACGCCCGATCTTCCTTGCGCAACCTCACCACCAACATGACGATAGGCACGCGTGACAACGCCGGTCCACCCAGGCCTGACCGACGCAGATTCTTCCAAAGCTGCAATTTTAGGATCCCAAACATACCCTGCCAAATCTTTCACGGCGCGCGCGGTCCAGCCGCTATTGTCCGTCTCCAGCACCATTTGGATGGACTCGAACGCTTTTCCATCAGGGCTCGCATGATCCGCGAGGAGACGGATGCCGGCTTCGTCCGTTCGCCACCATTCATTCCAACCAACAAGGCCCGCGAGAGTTCCGCCCACCGGATTGTCGTGTAGGTCCGCCGCAATCCGCTTCACATCTTCTTACTAACCCGCACGCTCAGATGCCTCAACAACAGAGCCCGCTCCCTGAACAGCAAGCTCGCTACTGCGCCACCCTACACCAAAATCGCCGCACTGCACTCGCTCCAGACATACAAGGCCATACCCGACTTCCCGCGCACTTTGGCTGAGATCGACGAGCTTGCCGCTGCACAGCTAACCTACATGCTCCACCAACTTGGCAAAGAGGCTCCAAAAGGGCTGACCCCGAAGCGGAAGGCGTTCAAGAAGGTGATCGGGCTTCCTGACGTCACCTCTGTCGCACAGTAAGACGCCTCTACCGCCCTTTAGACCGAGTATTCACGGGTGTTGCTGGATATGGACAATGGGTACAACCAGAATGCCGGCCGTACACGAGACTAGGCCCCGAAGAAACTAGCTTTCAAGTATGGATAGCTCTCAAAGCCGACCTGCATGCCTACTTTGACGGTCTGCTCTGGCCGAACCAAAAGCGTTGATGGTACCCCTGCCCACATTCCCTGCACACCCCCGCTTACGGATACGATCGGCAATATCAAACGGAGGAAGTACTGCGGTACGGCCCGCCCCGCAACAGCCAGTCGTTACACAACAGCCTGCCGAATTGGCGTGCAATGCCAAGCATGCCAAGTGTGGGGAATTGTGTTGAACTATTACTTCAAGGCTGGAGGCTACCACGCGCTTCGGTCAATATGATTGCTCTCATGATATGGGCTTGTCATAGCACTGCATACACAGCTAGCATGCTGTGACAAACACTCGGCTCTGCGGTTGTGGCAATCTCTGCGGTGCGGCGCTCTCTTCTCTTTCATTTCTTATCATATCGACATGGTGCCTAATGGACGTCTTGCAATCATACATCTGTATCACGGTAGAAAGCAAACAATTTAATAAGTATGAAACAATATCATCAAAAAGCTCAACTCTTAAACACTCCATTGCTAAAATAATCCTCAATTCACCTCGCCGAGTAACTCAATCACCGTAAGCTGCAAAATATACAGAAGTTGGAACAGAGCCATCTCAGACCGCACCAGAACCGAGCCGCATGCCTACAAAACAGCATAAATCCAATGATCTTCCCCCAATCCGCCGGATACCTCCGCACTGACCTATGGCCCCCCCGTCCACCATCAAGCAGATTCAAGCGGTCATGACCCAAGCACACGCAGCCTCCATATCATACCTCTGCAACTTCATCTTCCTCAGCAGCGTGTCTGCCATCTCGATGGCTTTCCTCACACGCCGCCGCGTACTCAAGATACGATGCACTTCATCGCTGTCACGCAGCCCCATCGGGACCAACAAGACGTCTTCCATCTTAGCTAACACGCCCAGATATCTGCGGGTACTCATCTCGAATACCACGTTCCGCAGGTCGACGTACGCCTCGTGGGAGCCGAACGCGCTGCTGTCGGGCTGCGGGTTGTCGCAGAGGACGTCGTCGGGCCGCATCACGTCATTGTGCATCCAGTCGATTAAGGTTGTGATGCGGTGGAGGTCGTCTTCGAGCTTGGCGGTGTCGAGGTACTCGAGCTCTGTGTATTCGTAGTAGAAGTAGGAGGGGATGTCGAAGATCTGGGAGAGGATGGTGAGGAAGATCACCAAGAGAGCGAGGCTGCGAGCTATGAAGTGCCAGTTCATGGTTGGGCTTGGTTGGCGGGTGGTGGCGGTTGGTTTTCGGGGTTGTGTGGATGTGTGGGGGGGGGGTGGATGCTGGTGAGAGATGCGAGAAGGATAACGAAGGAAATTGAGGGATTAATATCTAAGGCTTTATCACCTGTTCGTGGACAAAAGGATTGTTTTTCAGAAAAGATGGTGGCTTTATTTCAACATGAAACATGGAGCATGGATTGTTTGTGGGTGTCGCCATTGTCCGGTAACAGAAGATTCGAGATTCGCTTCCTCGCGAATAATTGCGTTGGTGAAAAAATATCTGCTACCGCAGTTTGCTAAATGACGGCCGTCTCTAAATTTTGTCTCTGACTGTTCTTTATCTAGGAAACGGGAAGAGTGAGAAGCTGGCCTTGGTGATATCCCACTACAGATTCTGTGCCATCAGAAAACAGAAAGTCTCTGAAGAGTCTATTTTTTATCGGGCATCGCCCTCATTTTGCTACAAGACTTGATAAGAGCATTTCCTCTGTGTAGCTGAATAGGGCTGGATTGAGCTGAAATATGTACGTTCTTCATTGGAGTAGTCATCTGGAGATCAAACGATAGACTCAGCGTCTGCTACACGGTTGCATCTACCAATAGCTATTCTGAAATGTGATGCTGGGGCTCTTCTCGCGATGGGTCGAAGTGATGTCGGCTGGATATGACTAATATCTTTTCGAAGGTGATTTCAAGAAGATGAGGCAGATGTGATCTACCTTGAAAGAGTTGAGAATTCCCCGGCACATCATCCATTCCTTCGCCTTTTGCTAGTATACAATGACTTCCCCAATTTCACCAAGCAACCCCTATATCGATACAGTGATGGGCTTCACAAAAAGCCCCATCCAATGCTTTTTTGAATTTCCAACATGACCCTTGAGACACAAATTCTCCATAACACCCGCTAATGACCCCAGAGTTGATAAACCCAAGAACCAGATACCCATTCCAACTTTTGTCGTCCATTATTAGTACAATTCCTTTTTCCGTTCCTCCGATTAAAATTATAGTTTCTTCCGCAAATCTTTGTCGCAAAGCCAGCGTCCAAGAAAAAGAAGGCCGCCGCCAACAACAAGCGTCACGCCCTATGGATGATCGTTAGCACAGTCACTATTTAAGAGCGCTAAGAAGCTTACCGTAAAGAGTATCATGTTCGTGTAACCATCAGGCGAGCTCTCATCAAGAAGACATCCGGCAATGGGCGAACCCATGAGGGTCGCCAACGCCGTAAGTGTAAAGAATGCGCCAATCCTGGCACCGATCTTATCATCCGGCAGAATCTGAGCAACGGCAGGAGGAGTGACGCTGATAAAGACACCCGAAGTAAATCCGTAAAGGCAAGCAAACACCATGATCATGGCAATACCCTGATCGGGCAGCCACAGTGCGAAACTCAATACTCCAGACAGGATCGTCATCGGGTAGAGGAGGTTCAGACGGCCGGTCTGGTCGGCAGCCCAGCCACCAAGGATCCGTCCGAAGAAGCTCGAGCCATTAAGAACCGGAAGGAGGTAACTGTGAATAGAAGCAGAGGGGTAACGAAGTAATGCGTAAGATCCTATCATGACCAGTTAGCGACATGCTTGGAAGGAGACAACTGGAGACCTACCGATGTAGTAGTTCGGAACGTAAAGACCGAGGGTGGCCACGAAGTTTCCAATAGCCAGCACAAGATAGCGCGGGTCTTTGTATCCGTTGAAGTCGAGAAGGCTAGACACGATGGATGTTGTCGGCGGCTTGGGGGCTTCTTTCGTGCGTGAAACGGCCATGGCAACGAGGTAACAGACGAGCAGTAGAAGGGCGACGACACGCACGGCCCAGCCGAAGCCAATCTTGGGAACGAGGTACGACAGCATGATAGGTAGCAAAGAGCCGCTGATGCTGCTGGCGCCCGACACGATGCCCATGGTGAGCGCCCGGCGCTGTTTGAAATGCTGGCCTACTACTGCCAAGGCGGGTTGGGTGTTGAAAGCCACGGCGATACCAAACAGAACGCCCTGAAACACAAACGGTTGCCATAAGACTCCGGGCTGGGAGAAAGATAGTCCGATGAGTGAGCCGCAACAGCCCAAGGCGGCGGCAGGGTAGATCCACTGGGATGGTTAGCACAAGGAATCCATGCGTAGATCACTGATGATGTAATATACCTTCAGACCAAAAATGTCGGATAAAGCACCAGCAATTGGCGCTACCACGTACATGAGTGATATCTGCAGTGTCCCGATAAAGGCGATAGTGGAGGGTGGGTACTCGGGAAGGTAGTGCGTCTGGTAGTAGTCCTGGAAGAAGCCGAAGCTGTTCGTAACACCGAAAGAGGCAAAGTAGACAAGCGAGGATCCGAGAACGGTTAGCCAAGCTCGGACGTTGTCTTCGCCCAATGGTGTGTCTTCAGGGTCCACCACATCGCTGGACACTGTCACTTCGACACCTTTTTCCACCTCTTTCATCGTTGGGATTTCTTCGGTTGAGTCCGACATGTCCGCAAGGCGGCTTGACGTAGGAATGACGGATAGTGAGGAGCAGACTGGCGATGGATGCAATCATTTTGCGATGGCATGGAAAAATAAAAGGTCGAGTTGCTCACATCCAAGTTGCTATCACGTAACAGTTCCAAATTACAGCCCAACAGAGTCTGCATTGAGGCTGCTCACGCTCAGTGCCCGTATGACCGCTGCGTAAGCGCCGTGAGTGTGCCGGTATTGGGAGTAACTCAACATGGGCATCGTTTCCAGCTGTCGTGATTCAAGCCAAGATCTAGACTGGACCACAGGAAGTTTTGTCCGCTTTAGGCTACCACGATCGCGGACAATGCTTAAAGGGACGACGAAATTGCGGTTTAGGAGTCTCTGGGGTCGGAATTTGGCCGAGGCGGGCCGGTCCGTGGGTCTGTCGGACCCTTCTCGATTTCCTCGCTAAGTAATTTTTAGCTCGTCTCCTTACTAGCCGAACCATTCTCTCGGACCGCCACCGGCCGCAGTAGATCTCGCATGGACTCACGTGGCGTGCTCAGGGTCTAATTTATATTTGCGCTTGTTCGTTCTGAGTTTTCATCACGTACAAGTAACTGATGGAGCCCAACTAGAAATGCCACAAAGCTTCGAGACCGACCTCGATCTTCTGTCTTAGAAATGAGCTTGTCGCGCTCGACTCCCAACGGGACCTCGCGATGGTGTGGGCTCTCCTGACTCTACGCGTCGGTCACGATCCACTCGTATACACCAGCTCTTACCTCCGAAATATCCACGGCCAATCACGCAAGAGCGTGCTGATCATCCGCAGCTATCCGGGTAGCTATGTTCGCGCGCACATACCATGCTCCTTCGTGGGTTGGTCCTTGCGCCGACAGGGATGATGGTTACCGAAAGTGCGAGAAGCATCCTAAGATAAATCTGATTCATTCCTCCCGCTCGTTTCACCCTGGGGAGAATATCAAGCTCTGGTATTGCTGCGGGCATGGAAATTTTTCTCGCGGCAACTGACCTTTCGCCCCACACTTTCGCAATCCCACAGGAGCTTGTTCCTACAACGGGACAACATTTCCAACCGAAAAAGGTTGATGTGCATAATTGCAGGACATTCATGCGTCTCAGGAAGTAAAGCGATGGTTAAGAAAGACTCGGAGGTTTCGGAGTTCGAAAGCGAAGAGGCAAGTTGAAGCGTCCTATGATTTTACCGGCCAAATACATGTCTCTGCACTCGTAATGACCCTGTCGCGTAGCAATGCAAGATGAAACGCTTCAAACTTCTTGATGTCTGATTCAAGATGAAACCATTGTTATTTGTGCTAATCACATGGTATTCCCTAATCAAGTCATGAGCTCCGATCTCGCTGTTGGACAACCAACGGACAGTGAGGGAGGCTGCTCCACCCCGTAAAGTTGAAACAAATCCATTCCCTTCCATGAAAAATGGTGCAATGCTAGAATGATCTGTAGTCATAGCAGCTAATTTTGTGCAGACCACGGGACTAACATGGATCATTTCCATCCCTCTTCGCCTCCCCCAGAGCAAGATTCGAGGATCTCTATTATTGGTAGGATAAGCTTTTCCTTGTATGGTCCGCTCGATGGACATCGAGCACAATCCAAAGGCGTCTTTCCATAATTGCTGAGCTTTCTGAGTGGTGCCCCATGGTCTAACAAGCTCTTCGCAATTGCAATGTGGCCTCTTCCAGCCGCGTAATGAAGTGGCGTTTCTCCATATTTTTCTGGTAACGATGGATCGGCATTTTTTGTTTTTGCAAAAGCATCTCCTGTGCTTGCAATTGGCCACGCTCAGCGGCCACGTGAAGTGCAGACTTTTCATGGCCCCCACTCGTATCGTTGACGTTGGCATATTTGTCAAGAAAGAGCCGAACAACCTTCTCGCTATTTCCAGATGAAGTAGTTTGTAGAGCATTCCCGAAGCTTCTGCAGCTGGCGTTCATATCGGTACCATTCCTGAGGAGTATCAGAACAGCCCTCCCGTGTCCTTTGCATGAAGCGGCGCGGAGAGCACTGTCGAAGTAACCACCGCCGGCGTTCACCTGAGCACCATTTCTGAGCAGGCGCCTGACTGAAATTTCCAGACCACCAAGCGATGCGTAATACAGAGGCGAGGCCATGGCCTTCGCCTTTTCTGATTACTTGTCGCCTAATTTGTCGCCGGTGTACAGCAAGTACCAACCCTCGTATAAGTGTTCCGTTAAGAAAAACTCTAATATGAGTGCACGGAGACGCTCGTCACTCCTCTCGGTCAGAGCAGCATAGCTCATCCAGTGATCAGCGGAGAACTGTGCGAAAGGAAATGATTGCCAGATCCCGTCTGGAGGGATGTCGGTATTCAACGCCAGCAAATAAGATAGACAAAGGCGTGCAGTGGCCGCACTGGAATCAATGCTCGAAAGCAGTCCCGATATATATCTCTGAGGAAGGTATTTCTTGACGGTGAAATGTGTAAGTCGTACTTCAGTTGTTGTTGCATCCTCCGCGGGATCTTACTTTTCTTCAACTGTGACCAAGCTCTTGCAATACCTCAGACTCTCATTAGGCATTGGTGCCCTGTTGCTTGGATCGAACCGCTGCTGGCTTTCTAGATCCACGACAATGGCGTCAACTATTTCACGGAGTGACAATGGCCTTTCCGCAAAGGCTACGAACTGGAAAATAAGCCGTGTTTGGTTCGCGTATTCCGGAGGTATTCCAGCCAGTGTTCGAGCGTACCTCTCATCAAGAGACCGAAGTGGCGAACGGGGTGTATTTTGCAACGCCGAATAATCAAGGCAGTTCTCAAGCGCATCAAGCTGGCAGGCGGCCCAACGGAACCTATATTCCAATTAGAAAATCAAAATAGCACTTGTTCTGGTAGTACTGACATTCCGTCAGCTTCCCTGACTAGAGTAGTCTCGATCTCAGTTTGAAAGTCCAGTTGGGTCCGCCACCGTTCCAGACCCCGGTCGCGCCTGACCCTTGTCGATATAAAGCACGTAAGTCGATTATGATCAACTCGCTTTGATTTGGGATGACGTCCTCGTTGCGAGCCCAAACGCCTATGGATGACTCTATATCATGCTCGAGTCTGCTTGTAACAAGCAGATGGACTTTTGTATGCTGCGGACGACAGATGTACTCAATCCATGAAAGCAGTTCACTGCTCATTTTGCACTCATCAAGCGCATCCAGGACGATCCAAACTTCTCCTTATTGGCATACCATGTCTTCGAAGATTTGGCATAGCATTTCAGTGTTTAACTTTTGTTCGTCTTTGTTCTCAAAAAAGAGGTAAAGTGCGTTAGTGTCGCTTTGAACATGTCCTACTCTGCGGTAGAGCTGACTGATGAGTGAGCGAAACATCTCTTCGAGAAATTACTTATGATCGTCAATAAAATTCAAAAAGATGTAGAGCGGACCTTAGGAACGCACCTGGCTTCTCTGCAGATCTTCGATGATGATGCAACTCAGAATATTCTTGCCGCATGCAGGCATGCCAAAGAGCCAGAGAAATGAGTACTGCTCTAGCTTCCAAGCTGAGTATGCCGCACTTTGGATAAACAATTGACCGGACCCTGGGTGGCGATATTGAAGTCCCTTATCATAGTTGATTGATGGATCTGGTGGAGATAGCCATGAAATCATCTGGTCGCGTCCTTGTTGGTCAATCATGCTCTCAACAGCATTAGCCGTTTTCCAAGTGATCACGGCGATGTCATTGAGTCTTGCTTTCACTTCAGAGCTATTAGCCATCTCTATTCAAATACGGAAAAGCATTTCCAAGTAATTTGTTTCACTGATTCGTTCTTTAGCTTCAACACGGTGTGCGAGAATCCGTCTCAGAAGGTCTTTGACGTACCCCTCTAGAGATCTGTACGACAGTGGACGGCCCAATACCAATTGTTACAGCGAGGCAGCTACCATAGCCTCACGCAGCCTGCACTTGACGCACAAAATCTAATTCCGCCGATCCAGATAGCCTTCTCCAGCTGCAAGCCTGACGAAACATTCATGCATAAGCAGCCTCCCGCAAATTCCTCAACTGATCCCTTAAAATTGCCCAGTAAACTGTAGTCAAAGAATAAGTCATCCATAAAGCTTCTATTTACCACCAAATCGTCTGGTCTATGTACATGTCGTATCCTTCCTCCTCCACGTGTACATAGAGTTCAGGATGTTGAATCCTTACCAGTAGTCAGCACCATATGGTCATGCCAACTACTTGAGCTCATAACGCGGCTTCTCAATCTTGCCGTTCAGTAGATCCCCCAAAAAGTCCCTGAATGTGATGGGATGAAAGTCTGGGAAGAGTTCCTGAGCGTCGAGATAACCGAGATACTTCGCGTACTCGACCTGGTTGTCTCCTCGCACGTACTTGCTGTATTGATAGTCCCGGAACTGCCGCATTCCAAAATTGACATTTGTGGGCTCGCGCTCATAATTCTCTCTGGCCTCTTTGCAGAGAGTCTCCAACTCGCCGTAGGAAAGCTGATGCAACTATGTTAGCTCAAAATATTGAACTTGAGATTTGCTGTTCCATACCGTCTGTCTTTGAAGCTTTTCCCCGGTCACCTCCTCCACAATAGAGAAGATTTCATTGTCGCTGAGGCTGTCACTCCATGCCAGAACGTATTTGTTCAAGGTGCGCTCGTCATCCAGAATGCGCGCAGTCCAACGCCCGATATCGCGCAAGTCTCCAATGACAGTGCTGCGTTCTCCGTCACCGTGGACAAGATTCATTGGCACCAATGCTGCGTACGAGAACCTACCTGAAGGGAGCACCCCTGGGAAGGAGACTTGGTGCCAGGTCCCGACATCAATCACCGTGAACGGAAGATGGAGCCTCTTGATGTGGTTGTACACGTCCTCTTTCTGATTCGATAATCAGCTTAATTGACTTTTGAACCTCACATCGGGGTAAATTCATCCACCCACATGGTCGCGTGTTACCATGACGCCTCCAGCCGGTGCCACAGTGATCCAGGCACATGGTACGAAGCGTTTCACGCCCGCCTGTTTCGCAGCGGTGGCGAGATTCTTCTGTGCATGGAGCGAATGGGCGTCGATGGCGCTGATAGTCACATCAACTCCCCTCTGGATGTCGACGAGGTCCTGCACCGGACCATTGATGTCGGCAACGACTATCTTCACGCCCCGCTCGGTGAGCTTCTTCACTTCGGGCTTGTCTGCCGACGATGGTCGAACGAGCGCTTGGACCTCCTGGATCACCCGATGTTACTCTCCACTCCAATGTGTGTTCGTTCTTTGCATAGCCTTCCTCTTCACTTCAATATACTCACATATTTTCCGTACTCAAGCAATCCGTCAAGAATAGATCGGCCTGTGTGGCCCGTGGCTCCGAGAAGGAGAACTCGTTGCTTCTGGTTTTCCATTGATCGATTGGCGTAACCTTAGATGATTGAGATGATTGGGATGATTGAAAGACATCTCTTGGACGTTGACGGTACTCAAATATAAGAACGTCCCATCTTCTCAATCATCACGATATCCTACGGTTGTGAGTGATTTACAACAATTGTTCGTACATTCCGCGCTTGTTAAGCGTCAAACGGCCTCGGGGTTGCTGTACTCCGAGAAGACCAATAAGAAAGGCAAAGGATCATTAAGATTCTCACTGAAAGACACAACTGACCATGAAAATCATGCGACGACGTTGCGGTTTGATTCCGATGCTTACGTACCGCATGTCCGGAGGAACTCCGTCCGAAGGACCGAGCCGGACGAAAAGACGGACAAGCCTCACCCACCTTATTGCTCGACTTTTATCTTATCGCTTGCTAGCAAAGCTCGTTTCTTTGCCAATGAGAAGAAGATCATTTAGAAGGCCTATAGCTCAAATTTTCATGTACCAATCCATGCTGCCTATACAGCCAATTCCGTGAAAGTAATGCGCAGAAACGGCCGGTCCGGAAAGCCTACGTCAACGACACCAAATCAACGGGAATTAGCCTCACATCACCGTGGCCATATATTTGGTCAAATCGCCGTACATTTGCTTTACGAAACTCTATCAATTGCCTTTGGAGGCCACAAGCTGCTCGCTGATCTCCCACAGTTTCGCCTCAGTCTCATGATCACCAATGGACCAAGGTGCATAACCGACAGTCCTCACCCTTTGGCCGTCAACCACAGCCGCCGGCTCAGCCTCACCACAGTCCTCACAATACAACCCGCCCTTCCCCTCCAGTCCCTTCGCCGTCGCACACCACACCGTCGTAGCAGCGCCTTGCTCAAAGGACTTGAAGATGAACCAGTACGGCTCAAACATAGCCTTGGTCGCCTCCGTCGCGCTATCGAGGAGCTTCGTCTTGATGCCGCCGGGATTGACGCTGAAGCCGCGGACGGGATGCTCTGGATCAGAGCCGTACAGGCGGTCCAGGTGGTTGGCGTGCAGGGTGCAGGCCAGCTTGGACGCGGCGTACGACTGCTCGGTGTCGAAGCCGCGCCGGGAGAAGTCCAGGTCCGTCAGGTCCATCTGGGCGTCGAGGTACAGGTTCGTCGTGCCGGACGTCAGGTTGACGACGCGGCTGGCGCGGCCCGGGGAGGCGGCCGCGGCGAGTGCGGGGAGCAGCAGCGAGGTGAGCAGGAAGTGGCCGAGGTGGTTGGTGCCGAATTGCGCTTCGAAGCCGTCGACGGTCTTCTCGGGCGACAGCGTCGTCATGCCCGCGTTGTTGATCAGGAGGTCGAGCCGTTGCGATTGGGCCAGGAACGCGACGGCAGCCTTCCGCACGGAGGCTAGGCTGTCGAGGGACAGTTCCAAGATCTTGATTGGCCCGTGGCCTACGGAGTTGGCCTCGATGGACGCTTTGGCCGCCTCGCCCTTGCTGGTGGAGCGCACTGCGAGGTAGATTGTCGCCCCGGTGGCATGCAGCGCACGCGCTGTCTCGAGGCCGATGCCGGCAGATGCGCCGGTGATCAGCACGACCCGGTCCGGCCAGGCGTTGATCAGACCCTCGTCCTCGACGATCTGGAGTGCAGTCGGCCTGGCATCACCTGGCCCGGCGGGGCTGGCGTGGAGGTGGGCGTACGGGGCAAGACGCTTAGTCTGCTGATACATGGTGAGAGATTCGATGATGAGCGATTGACTTAGAAGAGGATGATGAAGCATGATATCACTGTCTACATGTCGACTTATATATACATACATCGACTGTTCCGTCCATTGTCCGTTCGGCGTTAAGACAGCCTACTTCCGCATTTATAGCCCGGAACCTGGATCTTTGGGCATCCGGCCTCGAGCTGATTTGTGTTCCTGACTCGAAATACGGAAAAGATCTGTTTTGGTGTTTAGGGCGTTAAAGCTGGCCAGTCAGGATTTTCGTAGCCCAGTACAAGATTAGAATAAAATAGTCTATTTCGGACATGTAACAAGACATGACCTTATTCCCGGCTACCATGTTAAAGCACGATTTATTGGCTGACTCGATCGTTGAGCCCGGCAACTACTGCTGTTTTGCTCTCCATCAGGCAATTCCATCGGCCATTCCTCGGGAAATGCAACACTTGTGGGGTGAAGTGAGTGTCAGAAAACCATGACGGCGAACAGTTTTATCATCAGCTAATCATTTTCAATTAAAGGATGTTGAAGTCTGAATAGGAGATCTGTTTTAGCTCGGTCCCACCTCTGAGCGTACATACATAGTCTCTGCTAGTTGCATGCCCCTTCGGGGATTGATCAATTCTGGCTTTCAAACGAGAAGGCTAAGACTGTTCCATGTCATCCGTTCTACCAGCTTTTGCTCTATAATTAGCATAACTGAGAGATCAGCTTGCCCCGGCTTCCTCCTTCGAAGAGCCTCATCCAAGTTTTCGGTATGTCCTGAAGTACGGTAAGCATGTGTAAATAACAGGATGGACAGATCGACGTCGCACATACCTCGAACGCCGTCTCAAGAACCATCTCATTCTCATCCCCCAGCACAATCTTCCCCTCCTGCGCCGCCCTCACCAACTCCGCGATCGTCTCCGGCGCCTTGTGCAGCCAGTCCAGCACCACGAACCCCGTCAACTGCAGCCGCATCGCGACGACCTCGAACCAGTTCCGCAGGCGCGTCCCGTCCTCGAACGCATTGTACGTCGCCATGCTCCCGCACACCGCGACGCGCCCGCGCATCTTCATCCGCGCCAGCATCAAATCCAGCACCTCGCCGCCCACATTGTCAAAATACACGTCAGCGAAATCCGGCGTGGCGGCGGCGAGGTCCTCCGCGAAGCTCGCCGCCTTGTAGTCGACGCATTCGTCCGCCCCCAGCGTCTCCTTCACCCACGCGCACTTGGCCGCACCCCCCGCGATGCCGACGACGCGCGCGCACCCCAGCAGCTTCTTCGCGATCTGCACGACCATCGACCCCGTCGCGCCCGCCGCGCCCGACACGACGACCGTGTCCGCCGGCTTCGCCGCGGCGACGATGGCGGTGCCGTAGTACGCCGCGAGGCCCGTCAAGCCCAGCGCGCCGAGGAAGTGCGTCGGCGCGATGCCGTCGGCCGCGGGGGCCGGGTTGCAGGCGGACGCGTCGAGGATGACGTGCTCGCTCCATTCGCCCAGCGCGGAGGTGACGAGCGTGTGTGGAGGGAAGGAGGTGGAGGTGGACGCGACGACTTCGCCGAGCAGGCTGCATTTCATCGGGGCGCCGAGTGAGAGTGGCGGGAGGTAGAAGCGCTCGGGCGCTACGGTCGTGCTGATCCACTGCCGTTGGGCGGGGTCGTTGGAGATGTATTTGACGCGGATGAGGACTTGGTTGGGTTGGAGGGGAGGGAGGGTGGTGGTTGTCAGAGAGAAGGTAGCGTCGGGCCCGTCAAGAATGGGTGCGCCGCTGGGACGGCTGTTGAGGAGCCATTGGCGGGTGGTGATGGATGTCATGTTTGGCTATTGGGTTGCGGGCTGGAAGCTCTGAGTCCGCGGGTAACAGCTTGGAGCTGTGTGCATTTTATAGACCATGCGGTGGAAAGTACACCTGATTCAGTTGGAGTAGCTGAAGATTCCCTGTTCATCAAGATAATGATTCCGTTAGTCACAACATCTCCATTCCGTTTTAAGTTTCAAGATAAACCATGTCAGCTTTCTTCTCTGCCGCCTCCTCCACAATTTGCTCTTGGCTGGGCTTGTGGCAAGGTTAAGCGGCTTATTAAGTGCTAAGCATGTAGCTTCTAAGCCCGCTTAATAATCCTGAGTTGATGACAACCCTGATCATCAGCACTCGTGGGGGTGTTAATTAAGCTCAAGGCGGGTAGCGCTGCTTGCGCCCTAGTAATCTGGACTTACAAATGCAACTTATCATGAGCTTGGTAAGCTTGACTACTGCTCAAGGGTGCACATAGCCAAACAGAATCTGCGGTATATCACACCAGATATTGGTAATTTTCTATCACATAGATGGATGAGCGTTAACTTGATGGGGCGTGTAGCAAAAGCAGGGAAGCGAGAACAGTGCGGATGATAGTGCTCTGGAAGGAATCTTGCATTGAGGAGGCGTGTTAACAGCAGGCGGGCAGCACTTCAGCAGTGTCCTGAAGGAGGAATTTTGATATATATTCTTGGAATTTTATGAGCGAAGTGCTCTTGCAGCGATAGATGCACGCTCCATGTGTCACATGACAGCCGTTGCTCGTGTTCACGATTACTTGACTCAACTTCGAATGGCGAAGTCCCAGGGTATGACGCATGCCCAGCCGTCCAAAAAGGGTAATAAAACGGCATGGAGCAATCGGTAGGATCCGGCAGCAAAGCGAACACTCATGGCTTTTCATGGGCGCCTCAGCTAAGCTCTTGGCACTAAAGCTAAGGGGTGAGAGGCTGAAGCAGTAGGAGTGCGCTGAAATGAATAAAAAATGTTGTGAAACACACGCATTGAGCTAATCATCTCTTTAACGTTTCTGAAGATGTGCCCGATGCTAGTGGGCTGTGAATCGTAGTCTTTACCGCAATAGAGAGCCAGGGTTGAAGCACCTGCCGTTGTGAATGGCCGGCAATGACATTCCTTACATTGGTTGGTGCTAAGGGCAGCTAGCGAATACAGCCGCTCCGCCAATGTCAACTATTTAGTTTACCGGGAATAGTATAGCGCTACTTCACTTTACTACAATAAGTATAAGCTACCTATTTTTACCAAGGGCCTAGGTCTCTTCTACCACAAAGCTATTGGAACAGACACGTCATCCGCTTTTCCACAATCCCTTTGATAGCCATATATCCAGGCCCTTATTAAAAGCCCTCCAGAGATGAGTATAAGATTCATGGCTTCCGGCGATTTATTAGGTCTCAAATGCCAGTATGCCCTTCCGCAAAACGATTGCAAGGCAAGCGGAGGCTAGAGCGCTGTAAAGCGCCACGCGAGAAATGCTGAACCCGGAAAAATCCAGATCGGCCGATGGTGTGATAGACGGTTCTTTGGTTGATTCGCGTACCTTTCTTCACATCACGGCCCAAGCCTGTTTTCTACTAGCTTTCTTCTCTCAGTCCGTCACATGATTGCTGCGTGCTGTTCTGGGTCGGGCCATTCCGCGAAGACAACCCGTTAAATCAAGCCGCCGCTGACTTTCTCTTCAGCCATTTGCCTACAATCTTTTTACAATTATTCCTGCATTACCATTTTCTGAGGAGTCCTCGTCGTTTGTCGACCGCACCGATCCTCCTGCAGTTCGAAGTATGCCATACAGTACAGGTGTGGAACACCACAGTCAGGCTGATCCTGAGAAGCGCCATGGAGGAGAGCCGAAACGTCAAACAGAATGCAACCAACACCGTCCGTCAAACTGCTCATCTCCCCAGCCGGGCACATTTGGCCAGGATGAATCAGCATCGCATCCGAACTCAAAACCCAGGAAAGGTCACAAAGGTACCCGGCAGTCGTGGGTCCTCTTCTCTACAGGTACTTTTGGTCTCCTCTGGTTGGCGCCCATGCTGGCCCTGATGTATCTCAACTTTACCGAAAAAACAATTGGCGGTACAGCATGGTGTATCAGAGAGCCGTGCGGCGTTATCAGCTACTACCAGGGGGATACCGCCAATACCAACACCAACTCATTGATTGGCAAGTACAATAAGGCAAACCGTAATTTACTCGGTGGTCTTCAATTCGTTGCCAAAGCCCTCGAGGTGTGGTATGTTTTCGTCGCTGGAAGTTTACTTTACATCGTAACATGTATGCTTGCCAAGCAGAAAGGAGGTCCGTAGCCCTAAAAGGTCATTATTGATTGATCTAATACTAATATTTACCAGGCCTCCCCACGGGTTATTTCCTGGCATTCTTACAGTTCCGAGATCTTCGCTTCCTCTTGGATTCAGGCTTATACGCAGCTCCCCGGGAAGCACGAGGGCACCACAGCGCAGGAAGCCGTTTTCATGGACTATATCTCTACCTCTTCATGGCATTAACTATTTCCATTTGCACCATTGCAAATCTCATGGGCCCATCGGTAGCTGTACTCCTTATACCTGAACTCCATTGGCTAGACACACCGGAAATTCCGGATATGCAGTTCAACGAGCTCATGTCTGGTAGCCCACCAGCAGGCAACCTCATTCCCAACTGCACGTCGGAGGAGCTCAGCATGCGAAACTACACCTGCTTCCAAAACCATCATCGGTATGACCTCGACGCGTTGATAATTAATAACGCCGTCCAGATCAACAAAATGGTCGATGAGAACCCCGAGGGCGATCTCCTTGAGTTGATACCGGACTCGCCAGTCCTATATGAAGGAGTGATGCCCTTTATTTTTAACGTAACCTTCAGCCCACAAGCCTTGTCATTCGTTACATGGTCCCTCAATAGACAAGTTCTGCGCCTACTCTCCAAGGACTTTGAAGGACTCTTCAACGTGGTTCGAGGCAATACCACAGCAAACCCTATGTATACCGAGCGGTATGCGCCTTACAACAGTTCCCGTTCTCTCGTTCTGCAGCGCATGGGGCCGGTCGTAGCGGTCGGGGCTTCTGGCTTTTCTGGCAACCTGACTACAACCACAGTCGGAAACGACCGCGATATCCTTTGCTATGACTCGATGGACGGCACAAATCAAAATTTTTCAAAATGCTTTCGGTCCGGGGTCGGATGGAATGAAACCAACTCCGTCGCCTCGTTCATAATCAACGCCACAAACGAAGACTCTCAGCCAATAAAGGTCCGGTCGTACTGGTCAGATAGGTCGGTGAATCGAAACATCGACTCGTCTGGAGCGTGTTTTGTAAATGGTACCGCCCCCGAAGGTGATCAGTGCGATTACGACAAGCTGTTTGCTCCCGGACATCCACCACTTTTCGACGGAGACCAGACCCAGGATGTCCTCGTAATGGAGTTCTCGCGACCCACATCCGACAACCCCAATAGTGTATGGTGGGCCGAATTTATCCTGTCGTACAGCTTTACCAAATACGCGTTCGACGCCACAACAATCATCCCCAACCTCGAGAACGCTCAGATCCCCGACCCTCCGGACCCGGACACTGACAGGACGTTCCCTATGGTCTTCGATCCGAATTGGATCCTAGCTTCATGGGGCATCAGTCCCGGCGCCCAACTCACCACCGATTCCACCGCCGTTCGCATGCTGCAGCAATCGGCAAACAAGGTGGTCGATCCCAAGTTCCCCGATGCCCCAGCTTCCTCGTTGGCTTTCTTCGGAGCAGTGCAGTACATGCTGCTCCAGGCCGCATCCCTCGTCCCCTTCACGAGCGGCCAGGCTGACACTTTGGACCTGCCGAATGCCACCGATGAGAAACCGGTGCTCTGGATTAATGTTCGCCGCGAGGCCTGGGGCTGGAGCATCAGAGGCCGCACGTCTGTCCTGGGCGTTGTTGTTACTATAATCGGTATCGTGACCGTCCTTGCACGCACGGTGCTGCTGATTGTGACGCGCGATGATGAAAGGGGGAGCGCGGAGCTGGTATCAGCTGCAATGCAGCATGAGTATGATGGGGCATTTGGTGATGCTGTCAAGGAATCAGACCTTTCTCGTGTGAGATACAGGATCAGAGAGGACGAGACGACGGGCAAATTGCGTTTTAGGGCAGTGTGGTAATTTTCACTGCACTGATTTAGTCTGTGGTTCTGGTGAATCTCTAATGCAATTTTCTTTTCCCTTAATTTATTGCGTAGATATTATCGTAATTCAAATTTCAAATTTCTTCATATCAAACATAACACATATGGCTACACAGAGTAGACACTTCCAGGAACAGCTTTTTTAGATGAGGAGAGTGCTGTATAGTAGACGGCATATTTTCTTAGATTCCAGCGTGGCATCTTAATCGAAAGGCAGGAATTCTATAACAGGCGAGAAAAATTCAATTAAGGCTTTCACTTCAAGTATGCTTAAACGGATTGCTTTATTACTAGTACTACTCTCGATGTACCATTCCGAGGCTCGCAAACCTCGCTTTGAAAAGCAAAAACTGGTATGTAATTATGTAGCTTGATGAAAAATATCACCAACCTTTTTTCTCCGTGTTCTTTTTGATCCCACGCGCTCGTAATTGGACTACCATTAATTGCAGTATATGTCCAATTAAAGCCAATTCCCGCAGTCTTGCGGTGCTAAAACATGCTCGAATGAACTTCCAATGAGCATTACCGCACCATTCTCACCTCTTACCAATCCGCCAGCTTTTGTAACGCCTGTTCACTCCACTTCTGGCATCTTGCAAAGACGCCAGCCGACGTCCTCCCTCAAGATAACCACTTTTGACCCTTTCAGTCTGCGATTGACTGCCACGTCCGCACCGACATCGCTGTCCTCCGAATAACGGCCCTCGCCAGCCTTGCGCTGCAACGATACCACTCTTGGTGGGATATCAGTCTTCCGCCGCCATGATTGCAATTCTGAATCTCCCTGTAACGGTCCAGCTGCTGGTGAACTAGCCCCTCAATAGACACAGCATTTCTCAATTCCCGCGTCTTGTACCTCATTTCGAGATCCGGAATCTGACAGTTCCGACGAAGTTCCAGGAGGCGGCGACGCGGGTTAGCCGTCACTCCGACCTTTATCAGGCCACGGGAACGGGATTTGAGGACGTAGACATATCCACGAGCGGACGAGAATCGAATTTGTCTGATGTATCGTCGTCGCCTTACCATGTCCGTGTTCCAGTCCGAAGCTGATGTTCTGACTCTGTGGTATATGTGGTCTGGTGATTTGTCGACTTCCGGAGATGGATGGGGGAGTTGGGCAGTCTTCGCCTTGATTGCTCAGCTGCGTTTGCAAACTTTTGGCTGAGAGATCTTGACGGTGAAGTCGTAATTGTCTCCCTGGTTGTGAGCGGCGGTGAAAATTCTTTCGAGCTAGATTGCGATAGTAATTGCTTCAAGGTGAGAGGCACCAATAATTACTTTGAGGAGAGAAATGCGCCCAGATTCTTTTGCAGGGTTGGTGATGACGATTTTCGCGAGACCGGGGTTGGTCGTGAGTGCTTCGAGGTGGATGATGATGGCGATGCCTTGCGGGCGGAGGGCGATGGTTTTCCTTTCGAAGCAGTGGTGAGTGCGTGAGGTGTTTGACAGAGAAACGAGGCTACTTTCTTCCAAGTAGCGAGGTGCGATGATGCGTCCAAGGTGACGGTAGGCTGAACGTTTTTAAGGCAGCAAATGAGAGCTCTTCGTGGTGGACGATAAAGGTGGAAGAATCAGAATAGAGGACGGAGTTGATTTGTTTGAGCAGGAAGGTGAACGTGAGAACTTGAGGACTGTGGAGTAGAGTTGAAAGCTGAAGGGAGATGGCAGTGACTTCAAGGTAGAAGGCGAGCGTGCTGCTTTCAGCATGCAATGCTACGGTAATTCCTTTGAGGCAGGATTGCCGTCAGGCGCCTGTTGCGAAGAGCTCAGCAAAGATACCACGGACGACTTCGGTAGGAGAGATAGAGGAGGTCGGGAGGTTCAGGTAGCTATCCTGGTTGGCTGTGAGACTTGAACTCGGGCAATACCTCAGGCGGTGGCGCTGGGTTTCACGTGCTGACGAGTGATCTAAGATAGAAGGAAGGTACCTTGATGTCCGCAGCGTCTTGCTTTGGACTTGCCAAATCTGGTGTTTGTCTGTTCCGAAGGATTGCCCATGGAGAGACTGCTTCAGGGTGATGGATAAACCTTAACCTCTATGATTATGGCCGAAAATAGCGACGGCAAACTACTTAGCCGCGCTCACATCCTGGACAAACCTTCCAATTGCCGCACCATACGCCAATCAGCAGTACGTTTTCCGAGGATATAGTTGCCGTTTCACTTCAGAGCCGCACCGGCTTTACAGTTCGGGAGCAGCAGTTGTTCAGTTGCGCTTCGAGGCCGGTCGCAGGTCGTCATTCCGGGTGCGGCTCGTCTCATCAAGAACGGTCGGCCAGTTCTCGGAAGATGATAACTTGGAATTCTCTAAACAGGTGGACACCAGGAACCGAGGGAGGGCATGATTTCCATAGTTTCTATCGGGCTACAACAAAGCAAATGATAAGCGCCATTCGCACCTCTTGCCCTCCTACTACTTCGCCGCATTATGTATTATCTCTTCTCGAAAATGAAAAAGCCTCCTAGACGCGGAGAAGCTGCTGAATAGGCCTAGGTGCAGAGCTATCGACAATTGCTCAGCCGTTCACATTCAATAATCGCCATCATCAGGAGGCATGGACACGTCCAACACGGACTCGTAGAGCCAACGCCGGTAAGTTCTCTGCGCCCAGATGGCAATCCAGTGCAGAGTCGCGACAATCTGCTGGACACCAGACTCTGTCATAGTGTCACTAAACATGATTTTCCTCCAGATAACCTAGTCAAGCGATAATCAGTAAACGTTTTGGCCATAACGGACCCGAGGCGGAAGGTTTTGTACTTACAGTCTGGCCGATGCCATTCAAAGAAGCGGCGAGAAAGCTCCATTCGTGGCCGTCGATAATGATGAACGGAAGAAAGTCGTACGCGTGCTTGCGCCACTCCTCGCCCCATGCGCTCTTGACCAGCTGTTCCAGCCGCTTGAGTTGAGCGGCGACCCAGACGCTGATCTGAAGCTGCGCCTCATCCCAGGTCTGGTCGGGACGCTTCGTAAAGATGCTAAGGGCGATGGGGGTGGCGATGAGTGGGTCGTGCAATGTTTGATTGATAGAAAGGCTTTGTGGGTTGGATTTGAGTATAACGTCGCGCATGCATTCCAGGTCGTCGTCTCTGTCGAAGCGTAGACAGACGGCGAAGTCCACCATCTTCGACGTCAGCTGATATTCGGTCAGGCGCGGCCATGATGGTACGAGACTTTCTGGCTGAATTTGGGCGGTGTTACTGGTGTCCAATCAGTAAGGAAATGGATGCAGTTTCTCTAACAGCCTTACCAGTTCATGAAGCAAATACGTTCGGTGAAGGTCGTGTTGTGCGGGGCAAGGTCCAGTACCGCAGAGTGCACACGCGCATTCCAATCAGCCACACAGTGCTTGCCATTTGAGCATTCCCGGGCCACCTCGACAATCTTCTGCAAGGCGTCGCGCGTGAGAACCGGAGCATAATACGGGTGCTGGACGTCTTCCAGGAACTCAAAATCGCGGTTCGTCTCCGGAGCTCTGGGTCCCTTCTCCTGCTCCTGTGGTCTAGGTCCGCTATGGCGGACACACACAGAAGACGGGCCTAATGCACCTCGTAGAAAAACACGTGACGGCCGGTCTTGATGGTGTAGATGCCCTGCACCATAACCGCGAGCGGGAACGGCGGCCGGTCCATCTCGAAGTCCCGGACAACCATGACATCCCCGGGCAGTGCCAACGTGCGATTAAGCCGCTGTTGCTTCCTATAACCGTTGTTTGGTGGCGAGCTGGTTGAGGATGGGGTGTCTACATGGCGCCTGCGCTGCAGCCGGGGTTCCTCCGATTCTTCGTCGTCATCGTCATTGTCATCGTCATCGTCATCGTCCTCATCATCCTCATCGTCGTCGTCGTCATCGTCCTCATCATCGTCGGCATGGCGGGGACGCGCTGCCAAAGTGGTGCTAGTGCGTGCAGCTCCCGTTGTGCGACGGCGCTTTACTCCAGCGGCGGATACTGGCAGCCTGGCGGTGGATGCGAGAGACTCGCTCTCGAAAGATGAGGACGACCGTTCGCGCATCGAGCCTTCAGGACGGAAGAGTGGGAAAGACGACGGGAGCGGCAAATAAGGATGGTCGCCGAAGGCGAAGATACCCGATGAGATGGAAATGAGTGGCGAGCGCTGATTGGAGACGACGACGTCGGAACTGGTAACTGCGTATGGATGCACCGCGTTTCTAATGTTTGTTACGCGACGCGTTTGGGTGGACGCGTCGGAGAAATTTTGGCGTCCTCGGCGGCGAAGCTACTTACCAGATCAGGTTGAATCTTTCCGTAATTTTGTGTTAGTATGTAAAGACCGGCCGCTGCCTCCGTGCACGGGCCATGTAGGAAGCTGTGGCTCCCCATTCGCAGAACTGGAGTGCAGCATGATGGAAGCGTCGATTATGATCCAGTGTGAGAGCGTACATTCTTGTAACAATTGCCAGGGCATACTGCCAACGCTTCCAGTACCGCTAAATCAATAGTACCACGTGGACCGACTTACATGCTGTACAGCCTCTTGAGACTCAGCTGCGACCTAAGCGACATGGATTAGGCATCAGCCGAACGCGCTTTTACCAGGGGGGAGATTTCCCACGCAACCCCGCACAAACGACTGTTCTTCTTCTCAAACCAAGTCCTCTTCAACATGCGTCTCCTCAACACTCGCACACTCGCACTCGAATCGACCTATGGCCAAAGTCCCCCTTACGCAATCCTTTCTCACCGATGGAGAGAGGGTGAAATTCTCTTCGAAGACGTTCAGCCAGGTGCACACACCGAGACAAAAGCAGCTTATAACAAGCTGCGCATGGCATGCGCCCAAGCCCTAGCCGACGACCTCAACTACATTTGGATCGACACTTGCTGCATAGACCAAAGCAGCAGTGCTGAGCTTTCTGAGGCCATCAATTCCATGTTCGCCTAGTACAGCGACGCACGGGTGTGCTACGCGTACCTAGATGATGTCCCTGATGACGGTGATGTCAGTTATGACAACAAAATTGATGCTATCGACTCTGCTTTCGGCCAAAGTGAATGGTTCCGGAGAGGCTGGACATTGCAAGAACTGATTGCCCCGCAAAATCTCACGTTCTACTCCCAAGGCTGGGGTGAGATCGGCCGCAAATCGACACTAGCGAAGCCGCTGGCCGAGATTACCGGTATCGATGAAGACGTGTTGACAGGCGAGAAGCCGGTACTAAGTTGCAGCGTTGCAAGGAGAATGTCTTGGGCGGCAAAGCGGGAAACTACAAGAAAAGAAGATGAGGCGTATTGTCTGATGGGTCTCTTTGACGTCAACATGCCAATGCTCTATGGTGAGGGCGCAAAAGCTTTCATAAGACTGCAAGAGGAGATCATGAAAGAGACCGATGATGAGACGCTGTTCGCATGGATCGACAAAGATGCTTCGCCTCAATCCCTTCACGGCCTGTTAGCAAAGCGTCCAGCTCACTTCGCCGACTCAGGAGACATTGTCCCCTTTGACACCAATGACGCACGCGAAGTATTCACGAAGACCAATCAAGGGATACAAATCACCCTTCCTGCTGTCAAACATTGGGCTGTTTGGGAAGCTGCTCTTAATTGCACAAGCCCGTCGCGCGGAATATTTACCATTGGACTCAGAGAGCTCTCAGAAAGAGGTGGAAGAAGACAAGTTGCTAGGATGTATGTGAACTGCAGGCTTATTCCCCTCAAAGGAGGTTATCTGGATTCGCCACCAATGGTACGATTTTGCATCCACCAGAACCTCGTTCAACGCGAAGGCGTTCCACGACCTCGTCTATTTTGGAACTGATGCGTTGTCAAAATTGCGCACCGGACATCTACAGGGCTGGTGGATCAAAGACACAGTCGCGAATGCTGAGGCTGCCCGCAATATTCTACCGGGTTGCGGGACCTTTCCGATCAATGGCAGTCTAAGAGAGAGAAATTCTTGTAACAATCATCATCCAAAACAAGCAGAAAAACAAGTAGATTGTTGGAGTATTGGGATTTGTACCAGAGAACGGCAAAGTCGGTATTGGAGTAGACGTGGTGCCTTGTTCGAACAAGAAAATGAGCCTTTTTCGATTTTCAATCCGCATTCGAGGATAAAACTCCCCCATTCGAAATAGACCTTGGCTACACGATTGTGAGGGTAGCTATCACGCGAAGATTGAAGGATGGCAGGTGTTGCTTTGTGCAGATATGTATATGATGTAAAAGCTAAAAGATAAATGAGCGTGCAGAATCATGGAGATATACATTCAGAGTTACGGGGGCATTTCCTTCTAATTTATTATGATTCAAGGAGCAAAGCTTCAGCCCTACACGACAAGGGAGACCACCAATACTGGCGCACTGCAAAAGTGGCACATGAAAATTTCATAAAGCTATGTAAATGTTTCTTTCTAATTACAAACCACCTAGACAAGAAGATTCCAAGTCAGATCACGAAACACATTAGCTCGAACGACTCAAAGACTCAGACTGAATTCTCCCATTGTTATGATCCGCATTTATCAGCCCACTCAGACGTGGCAACCCCACTTGGACGCAAGCTTGTCGCGGAAAGCAGCAATGACGCAGTCCTCCACAGAATCACCGACGCCAGCAACCTGGTTGTTGTCGACGACCCAGCTCTGGTCAGCGGCGCTGTGGTAGCAGGCGATGTTGTTGTTAATGGCGCTGCACCCTGAAAGCACTGTCAGAACCGAGTACAAGGTAGCACAGGAGGAGACGCGGGTAATACTCACTGGTGATGGCATCGCCGCCGAATTCGCTGCAGGACTGGCCGAAGGTATCCGAGTCGATGTCTTGCCTGGTGATGGAGAAGGCAACGCGGTAGCGCGTAAGTGCATCCTCGGACCACTTGCGGATGATGGCGGCGTTAGCCACGCAGTCGACTCGCTTCTCTGTTATTACTGTGTTAGCTGATTGCTTCTGTAGTCGGTGAAATGGTGTTTTTACCGATGTCGAGCGAGGCATCGCTGTTAGTCGGGGCTGCGACAGCGGAGGAGACGGTAAGGCCGAAAACGGCGGCGGTGATGGCGGAGCTGAAGAACTTCATGGTGAGGGAAGATGAATTGGCTGATTCGTAATAAAAGGAGTCAAAGTGGATTGTTGCTGTGAATGCAGTGCGAATGTGAGTGTGCTGATGAAGCTGCTCTTGGGCAAGCACTCTGTCGCTTTATATATTCATTTCGAACCGTTCTCTGGCCTGAAAATATCTGTCAATCCGTACCCACTGCTGCCCCGGTGGACCATTCGGCCATGAAGCCGACTTGGAATGCTGACATGGTCTTTGCTTCAACTTCGAAATACTAAATTCCTGTCAGAGTCCCGTGGTTGCCTTTGCTTCGCTGGCTGGGCGCTATGGCCATGGCCGTGCGGAAATCTGTGTGGAGTGATGTTTCATTGGTCGAACAAACCGCTTTGTATCTGGCCCCCAAGTTTGAGGACCCGCAGACGCATGAAATAGGAAATAGGGCTAGCAACACATACCTTATGAGCAGCATGTTCCTGCCGATCTTCTGTTGGATGCGGTTGATCGTGCTTCTTTTTGGCACTTTCATTGTGCACAGCCCCGTCTCGGGTCATTTTAGCTCCACATCGACTGCTCACCGCCACCTTGATGGGAGTACCAGTCATTCAGGTAGATCTCAGACAACGTTGGTTGAACATACAATCTCCTCTCGCAGTCAATGGTCGACATGAATTTGGTTTTTCACTCATATCATGGGTAGCTAAAGCTATCGTCCGGGCATGTATGTTGAATTTCATATTCCTTCGGTGCAAACTTGATAGAGGTCGATGGGTCTTACTGGCTCAGACTCCGGTCAAACTAGTGCTTCTGCTGCCTGGCGTTTGCTGCCGATCCCGCGTTCCGGATCATTTGCTCTATCTCGTGGGATCCACATAAAATGTATCCGTCATAGAAGCTAATTAAAACCTTTTCGCCAGATTCCTCAGTCAGATCGCTGCCTTTATATGGACTCGATGCTAGCGTAGGGTGCACCCTTTTGCGTCTAGTTTTTAATTCCACATACACGTCCAGCCGATAGCTTCAGCTACCCACACATGTTATCTTTCTAAGGCAGAGCTAGGGCATATTTACGCTATGTTCTAGAGCCCTACTCTTCTTCGCGCTAGCTATCGGCTGCAACATCACTCTGTAGGGAATCCCAAAACATCACGTGCCGAAACACCATTTGCCTAAATGAGTGTCGCTAGTACTATTGCAGAGGGGAGTAAATAGGCGGAGCGGCCACTTGGGATAAATCTCTGATAGAGGATCGGCGTTTTCACATTGTAAATTGGCCACTCTGTTTTGTTGGCAGTCCTTGCCTTTGCTATTTGATTCTCTCAGCCGTATCCCGCGCGTCGTCTGCTGTTGCTTTGATTTACACTCATCTCTACACTTCAATAGTAGCCTTCAAGGCAGGCTGTACTTAATAGCGTTTCATACGTATATTATGGCTCTCATATATATTTTGCACAGCTGATCTACGATCCCGCGCTATTGTTTGGTGTATACTTTCATCGGTTGTCGTCCTGTCTTTTCTGGCAGAGGAAACTTAACGAAGGACCTGCGACACCCGATGGTGTAATTGCTATTCGTTCCAAAACATTTGCGTATCCCAAACTACAAGCGAACAAGTTCGGAGTATGTCTTGAAAATCATTCACGAACTTTCCCCATCTCGTTCGTTTTTGTTTTTCAATGTAACCAATACATGCAGAGAGAAAGTCTCTGTCACGCTGCATAAAAAGCAGGTATTAGAGATCATTATCATGGACGTAACACTGACTCGTAAAGAAAATACACCGAGTTGGATAATATCGATTGTATTGACGAAGGAAATGGGAATAATGTCACAAACTCCAGGCGGATTTGATGCCACAACAGAATTATCGTTACTGGAGCATTCTTCAAAAGTGTGTCTTTCCCATTTTTGTAATTAGTGGTGTTATTTTACTCGTTGCAAATATCCATACATATGCTTCGAATGCAATCAGGCGAGTGGCTTATTCGACCTCGAAGCCAACGTCCTCCTCCAACGCCTTGCCCCCAGTAAAAGGCGGCTGGGACCTCATCATAACCAGCAGAATCCTCGCCCACTGGTTGGTCTCGTTCTCCCAACCGTGCATGGTCGCCTGCTGAACGACCACATCGTTCGCCTTCACCTTCGTCCTCGAACCGTCGTCCAAAGTGAGGGTGACCTCACCCTGGACGACATAGACGTAATCCAGGGAAATGGTCCGGTGGAGCGGGAACTTTGCGCCAGGGGGAACATCCAGGATCCTCAGAATGGCACCGTCGTTGACGAGGCCCGTCTCCAGCTGGCCCTTGTCTTCCGGGGATGAGACATCGGCGGGGAGTTCTTCCGTTGCCCACAGGGGCGTCAGGGACGGGCCGATGCTGAGAGGGATTCCGGGAATCTCAGCGTCATCCTTAATGACGGCCGTCGCAGTTGAGTTGTGGCCGGTGACGATCCTGCGAACCGGCGGAAGCGGAGATGGAGATGATGCGTTCTCGGCCATTTTGAGGCTGTTACTCTCTTCAGTGAGCTGATGGATCTAATAGGAGATCGTCTGAGATCTGTACATACAAATAGTTTGAGTTTAGAAGGGAAAATATATATGTTGTTGGTATAACAAAGGAGCTTAACACGGCCTGAGGTAAATCCTGATTTATATAGAACACCCCGCTAACCCCCTGTCACCTTGCGCGATTTGGAATCCATGCGGAGGGGTAGGGTGAACAGCGGAGGTTCAAGGGGATTTGGTTAATGATATGCGTCAGGGGCGCCAACATGTGGCACCACGGCCCGATTAGGAAGGCCCTCGGACCAATGGTTGCTCCGTGTTTCGTCCCAGTCATCGGCACCCGGCTTTCGTTAGTCGCATTACGCAACACGCCAGCTCCTCTTATTATGCTTAACTCTACTCTTCCCCTGAGGATCTGATGTCGATTCCGCCAGAGGAATACTAATCGCAACTTGATGATCAGGTTAAACCCGCGGGTGTACGGCATCAGGACTTCACGAGCATGTTGGAAGTTATCAATGCTTTCCCTTCATGTCTCCTTGCCGTTCAGGGGACACAAACCATGTTCAGGTTCGAGCTTATCGCGTCTCAGAGCAGGACGGATTTCTCCACATACCGTCCCGATGCCCCGCATGGCGCTTCTTTAACGGTTCCAGAACAGACATTAATGTGGGGGCCAGTCCGTCTCCGGCCTCCGATGCGCTGTTCCTGCACATATTCTACCCACCAGTATGACCACCTTATGGCTAAGATTCATCCTCTTGAATCCCACATGGCCACACACAATGCTTTCTTGTGTATTGTGCTTCATTGTTATAATCTTAGCGCACTTTTTGTGATTTGCATCGGACCCCCTGTCACCCTTTTGCTTGTTTCTACACTGGTCACGTTATCGAATAACTTTGCCGTTTAAGTTTATCGACTTACGATAGAATAGTAACGTTTCCAGTGAAAGGAACAAACAGGAAGAGTATCATAGGAAGAACATTCATTCATGGAGCCCCAGCATGTCGTTGACGACTATTTCCGCGGCATACTTCCATGTGGGCGCGGCTCTATATAAGACGATACTATCCTTCTTCATCAATCTACTAGTCTCCTTCCTCATGCCATGATTGAGCATAAACAAAACACTTCAATGCTTCTCCACGCCGCAAATCCGGTGGGCCGGCCTCAAACGGATCATCACCGCCCCCTTCCCCTTGCTTGACGGAAAGACACACAGGGTTGCAGAACTTTAACTTCGAATTTGTATGAATAAAGGTAGATAATACCACTTCTTCTACTATTACCAACAACTAATGCAACGCTTTCAGTCTAGACTGAACGTGCCCTCTACCGAAAAGTCCGCTAACCCAGGGCCTTCAGAATCATAGGAAGAATCGTGCTCTCCAAGTAGGTCCAGTGCACGCTGGTATAATCGCTCACCCACGCCGCACCCGCATAGTACGTGCTCCTCTTACCGTTCAGCGCAAACGCCTTCTGGTAAAAGCCCTGCGCCACATCCGCCCACTTGCCGCGCATCTGCAGGGGCTTGTGGTTGCCGAAATCCAGCCACTCCAGCTTCTCCTTGGTCGCATTCAGCGCGCCCGTCTCGGCGAACTTCGCCACGGCATCGGCCACCATCTTCTTGGCGCCCTCCGGTTCCAGCTTCTCGTCGCCGACGACGTTGGTGCGGAACACGCCGGGCAGCATGCCCGAGTAGATGACGTTCCAGACGAACGACTCGCCCTTCTGGCCGGGCAGGTTGAGCACGCCGGCGGACGCGTCCGGCGGGGCGTTGACGACGTCGAGGTTGTCGCGCAGGCCGGTGTTGTTCAGCACGCCGACGTAGGCCGAGCGGTAGGCCCAGCGCGTGAAGACGTCCAGCTCCGCCGCGTCGAGCTGCAGCGGCGCGAGGCCGGATGCGAGCGGCGGGGCGGTCACGAGGAGCTTCTTGGCCTTGATGAGCTTGTTTTCGCAGCCGTTGACCTTGACGATGAGGGAAACGCAGTTGTCGTCGCGCTCCGCGAAGGCGACCTGGGTGGAGTAGAGGACGTCGGTGGGGCCGAGGTGCTTGGCGATGCGCTCATACAGAATGCTGTTGTTCATCGTCGTCGGCAGCAGCAGGCCGCTGTTGGCCGTCGCGTTGAGGTGCACCGCGCTGAACTGGTTGAGGATGTAGGCCGTCGATTCGCGCAGCACGTCGCCCGTGTAGCTGACGAAGCCCCAGATGGTCGGCAGCGCGGCTTCCAGCTTGTACTTGGCGACGAACTCGCCAAACGGCAGCGCCAGGTCCTCGGGGATGGCGCCGATGGGAAGCTGGCCCAGCGAGGGGAAGGTGTAGTTGATGTACTTGGCCGCCAGCTGTCCGTAGGTGCCAAGCGCTTGCTGCACGGCCTGTGGGTTGGCTGCGGCGGTGGCCTGGTTACCGGAGGTGACGGGCTTGCCGGTGCTGAAGTCGACGTAGTGCGTCTCGAAGCCCGGGTTGGGCGCCGGGAAGAGTTCAATGTCAAAACGTTTAAAGAAATCGACGACTCCGGGGAGCTCAAGGTAGGCGATGACACCAAAGTCGAGTCCAAAGGGGAAGTTGGGTGCGGAGTAAGTGTTGACGTGGCCGCCCTGCAGGTCCCATGCGTTAGACGAAATAATTTTGGAGTTGTTTTGTAAGGGCACGTACGAGATGGTCTTCCTTTTCAATCACGACAACACTCTTTCCAGCATCGAGAAGGCGCACTGCAGCATACGAGCCGGCCGCACCTCCGCCAAGGATGACAACGTCTTTTTCGATTATGTCCTCGGGCTTGAAGTCTTCATGTCCGAAAGGCAAAGCCAGAACCGACGAGGTCAGCCCTAAGGCAACACTGAGGATGAGTTTCATAACGAATGACTGGCTCTCCGAAGTCAAATGAGTGTAGTTGGTAGTGTTTGAACTTGTGAAGCGCGACGTGGGCATTTATCGTGATGGAATTGCCCTTCGTCATGGGCAACATCCGTCAACTGCCGGTCCAAGCCGATCCGTGCGCAACGTAAGGAGAATAACCGGCTGCCAAGCATTTTTAAACTCTTAACAAAACCTTGCAAACATGGATTGTCGCCTGTTAGATCCTCAGCCTTCTTAAACGTCTTGGAAAACATCTGAGCCCACCTGGCAGACACCAGCTGCCAATTTTACCCCTTGAGAACGCGGCTATTTTAGGACTGGTTCTGTATGCACGGCGACTCAGTATAGTATTTTTGGCGGAAAGTATATATAATTAGGTCGTATTTAATGACTCAGCCTCACGTCTTTACATTCACGGAGTATCCCGAACCAAGGAATTCGTGGTACAAGTGCTCGAAGTCAGAATGTAGAATTATCCGAATGATCCTCGGCTAAGTGAATCTCTGATGCAAGGCTATCTATCGTGCTCAATCTGCCGGACACCATTGGTTCGATGGAGAAGCAGCAATTACACGGTACCTCCCTTTCCATGTTGCCAAGCAAATCTTCTATTGCTCTGTCCAACGCTTATGCCTTTGGAATAATTCTTCAAACGTCTCCTCCCTCCCGCCTTTCGGACCTAGTATGCTTTCCAGTTCACTACTCCACGAAGGTGCAAGTGCCCGATTTTGGTATGGATCTTTTTCCATCCACACAACCCAACAGTTTACGACCCGCTTCGCAAAGCTCAGCTCACACCGAAACCACTCTTTATGGTCTATCGCCCTATCTGAGCCCTCGTGAGCGCACGGTAGGATTTCTCGAAACTTCCTTAGCTGGAGATGTACCAGCAGCTCCGCGCGTTCGTGGTGCGGCACATCCCGCCACACGTGCAGGACCCTCAGGTCATCTAGGTTGCAGTCACGCTCTATTTCATTTCGGCGTTTGGTCGGATCCTTCGCCTTGCCAATCTTGATGAGGCCCGGGTGCGCCGGCGTTCGCATGATGTAGATGCAGCCGCTGGACGTTTTCCTACCAAGGGACTGCAATATTCCATCGTGCAGTTTTTCACTGATGCTGCGCGACCAGCCGGGCGTGAGGATGGTGGCATTGGCGGCGCTGTTGGAATCGGAATCGCTGGAATCGGAGCTGCTGGCATCGGCGTCCCGCTTTCTCATGCTTGCCACCAGGTCTTCCTCTACCTCATCCTCATTCTCTTCTGGGGAAGGACTGCACGGCTGTCTGAGAGAATTTGATTGACGCGGTGTGACACGCAGGCTGCGCCGACGCTGATCAGAAGGCCTTGGAGTAGGCGAAGGGGTCATTGGTGCTTTAGACACGGAGATGGACGGCGTGCAGGGATTGGTTGTCGTCAACCGTCGGCCGTTTTTTCCTTTCGTGGGTGTTTCCGGACCTTCAGATTGGATGCGAATGCTGGGGCTACTGGGTTCGAATGGCGAAAGAAGCCCTGTTTCTGACGTTTTCGGCTTGATTTCTTGCATCTCTGGTTCTTTCCAAGATCGGGTAAGTCTTTCCGGGGCGGACTGAGTCTTCCATGTTAACGCATCCATCAGCCGCCTAGGTGTGCTTAGAAGACCATAGAGAGTTGGAATAAGGCCGGTTGGCGCTGGGGTACCCGACTGAATTGGTGAAGAGGAACTGTCATCATCTCCTTCAATAGACTGGTATACCTCTGCTCGCGGTGTTGCGTAGCCGCCGGAGAAGTCTTCAGCCTCACTAGCCGATTCAGAATCCGACCAATCATTGCGACCTGCATCAGCTGTTACGGTCCCTGACTCGGAATCCGACCAATATTCCGAATCCCCAACGGCAGAGTCCTCACGTGCAACGTGCCTTTGCCATTCGTCGTAGTAGAACTTCAGCCAAAACCAATGGCGATGATCGTTGCAGAGAAGAGCGTGAATGAAAGGCCAGAGATGCTTTAGTGGCGAGTCGGTACCTTCTTGCTCTTCATCTTCGGAGTCGGGGTCTCTGTATTCCTCGTCTTCGTCACCCTCCTCCTCTCCGGACAAGGTATCGAACATGCTGCGAGCAATGGCTGAAGACAGCTTACGACCGCATCGACCCATCACTGGATCGTATGCAATGCACTGGATGCGGTTTCCCTGATCCTGCAACTCCGAGCTTGCGTCGTAGAAGTGTACCAAACCCGTTCTTTCGGGCAACGACGACGGTGTCCCAAGATCAGGCTCGGCGCTCTTGGCTCTGGAGCTTCTAGAAGGCACGACATCTGTAGTGGGGTTTAATGAATTTCTTTTCCGTCTAGGGAGGCTGGAATCGTCGAGCCATCCTTTTGATGCTAAAGCTTTTGAAGCCATGAGCGCGAGGCGAAGAGGCGTGAGATGTTTCTTAATGTGTCTGTGTTGCTCACAGAGGAGAATGCGGGAAATTGCGATTGCATGCTCCTCGCTAAAGGGTGGTTTTGTGGTGCATATCACCTTAATAAGCGGCTCAATGTCTTGGGTCCATGGCTCGTAGCGTTTGTCGCAGCAGTGGGTGTTATTACCGACGAGGGCGCAGCATCGCAATTTGCAGCCTTCAGTTACATTTCTCAGTCGTTGAATTATGGCAGCCAGCGGTGGGGCTAATTCTGGTTGAGGTACTGGCCCGGAAGGGGTTGTCATCCTGGTTCGACGCTCTGGAGGGTGAGGTTTGAAGTGGAGTACACAAGCAGAAGGACGCCTGTGCTGCGGCGCTGCCCTCGCGTTTAAGTCTCCGAGACACGGAGCGGTTTGTTTCAGAGACGGCGGCAGGTGATACTTTGCGCCCCACCCTCGTGCAGATTTTGGGGGCGACAGTGCTGTGCCGCAGACCATCACGAGGCGCAGCTGCGATAGCGCCACTTATTTTTACACAATCAATATGAAGGGGAAAATAACTCGACCATGCGACTCAGCTGGGCATCTCAAAAAGCGATGGGAATATCATGGTGTGTCAATCCCTTAACTTTTTGCAAACAAGGTTCTTGATTATGCTTATGTCCAGTAATACACGTGGAGACCCTGGCAGTGACTCTACAAAATAGAGTCTACGGGCCGATCTGGATCTAATGATAAGTTACCCCACATTTCTCTTCCCGGAAAATCTGTCTCGAAATGTTATCCCTGCCAATTCGCTCGACGGGAACCGGAACCGCCACCTGCCGGACCAATGGGAAGTGAAAGAGTTGCAGCTGTCGCATACCATCAGGCTACCATCAGGCATTACTGCTAACATCCCATCCTCCAGATGGAATGGCTAAAGACAAGAAGTCGTCAAAGGTATTGCGCGCGCAACACGGCTCTTGAGGCCTCTTGGCCCTTTCATTTCTCTACTAATTCCAGATTAGAAGAATTCTCAAGATCTCTCATTTCGCGTCGCTTGTAGATGAGTCTTGCATGTAGAGAGAGATGATTCTTCTTGAGTAGTGAGGCTTAAAGAATTTCGCCTAACAACTTTTTCCAATGGTCAGGTTTAAACTTCGACACGACAATCCACAATATTCGAATAGTTGAGTGATTGAGTGAAATGCTACATTCATTCCTGCTTAAATATTCAATGACGATGATGAGGAAACGCCCGCAGGCTTGGTATGTGCTAAATTCTTGCTAAAGGGATGCTGATGTCATGACAGTGAAAATAGCAATTTAAAAGCGTGCCACATGCCTGATGCAGTAAGAATGTGACAAAATGGCCCTGAATTGATACCAGAGTCACGTTATATGGATCAATTTTCAGCGTATAAATCTGTGGGCGTGCTCTGTCGACGACACCAAGCTCCTCCCCAAAGCTCAATCCTGTCCTCCCTCAACCCCGTCAACACCCAAAACGAATCCATATCTGCGCAAAGTAGGTTCAGATCTCCAGGCACTTTTTCTTGCAGAATATCTGACTACGACAATCAGATACAATGCGACCATCACCCAGTCTTCTTTTCGCGCTTGTCCTTGAGTTGCAAAGTCTTGCGCACGCCGGGCCAGCAGGATATGGAATTAGCCAGTCAGCAGTTGCAGAAATTATCCCCGCGCATAGTTGGCCTGCACAGGTGATTTGGCAAACTGAGGTAGCGACTACAACAGCTGCTTGGGTCTCATGAAATGCCGGGTCTGGATTCTGATCGACTGCCTCTGTAGCAGCATTGCTTACAATACGCTTCTGGGACGACTTCATTGTTATCGCGCCATTTCAAACGCTGGATTGAGACATTTGTTGCTATGGATCGTGTTCCAAGTTGCTTACCCTCTGATATTTGAGCGTAATGAGCGCTTGTTAATGCGAAATAACTTTTAATGGATCGCATTTGGGCAACGTGATATTTTTAGCGTTCCACTCTTTTCAGCTGGGAGAAGCATATCACTCCTTATCCTAGCCATTTATCCTAGCAAAAAAAAAAAAAAAAAAACCTCGCGGAACGACATCAGTCCGTAGCTCAGCAGGGTCCAGCCGGCTTCGCTTTACTGGCTATTCCTACTTATAAGTGTGATGGTGGGAAAGACCTCACATGCGTTAGTTGTGAAGTGCTGTTCCTTTTCTGCCCATCAACAATGGCCGGCAACCTCGATACTAAATGCCATCAAATGTTGTGTTGCTTTGGTTGTCGATCCCGAGCGCTTCGAGCGGTACCGCTTTCTTACCAAGACGAGATAGAACGAGACAGAAATAAGCAACAAACGAGCTCGCTCAGGCCCGAAGACCTGTGTCCATGAATGGAACGCCCGATTTAGCACCGGAGGTTGGCGCGCCAACGAGATTTGCCGCTGTTCTGCAAGAACGCATTAATGCACTGGATGTTGGAGCAATGCCATTGGCTGGTGGACGCAGAATGCTTCTTGAATCTTCAAAACGGAGAGCAGTATTACCGAAGCCTGCGAGGAATCATCCAATGTAACTTTTTATCAAAAACAACTGGAAATTTCTGTCCACCGGATAACAGTAATGATGTTACGATAGGAATTCAGTTCGCGCATATTTCTTTCCACGCGTATTGTGTACTAGACTCTATGTCTGATATATATTTGGGTATGGTGTTGGAAATAAAGTATTTTAGCAAGCGAACAAATGTTTATAGTAGACACTCTCAGGCGGCCCTCAGGACGCGCTTCCCCTTGAACTACATGTTCAATAAATACGTGCCTGTTCCCCAGGATCATTTAACTTTGTTGAGGCCAACACAAACCTTGACAAGCTTTGCTTCACGAGAGAACCATCACTGAGAATCTTTGAAAGGCTACATTCGAGGTTCATAGCAAGGCATTGCGCGGACAGAAGGGATGAGATTGGTTTCATTCATGTAGATCGCCATGGAACTAAGAGTACCGGCGAAATGAAAATCTACGTACATCAAGGACCTCGAGATCGGAGACCCATCTATCTAACCATGTCAGAGATCTTCCAGCCGAGCTCCGTCTTCCTGAATGTCAGGCGCTGAACGCTTGAATCGAGATCGGGCAAGACGTCGGCGATCAGCTCCTCCATCTCGGAGACGTCGGAGCCAGCATCGCTCTCGTCGTCCATCTCAAAGTGCCTCCTGTGGTAGAGGCTGCGCACCCACTTGACGGCGACATCAGCGGCGGCCTTGTTGGACGCAAAAGCCTTCTGGATGTTCATGGGCAGCCTCTTCGGGTTGTCGAAAACCGTGTTGTATATGTTCTTGACCGAGCGGTCCTGCTCCTCGATGACGGTCCCGGGAGCATCGAGCGAAAGCGTGAACAGCTTCGACGCGACGTCGCGCAGATGGGCAGGGAGCTGCCTGATGATGTGCTTGCCCTGATCGCGGGAGTGCTCGAACGTTTGCTTGTGGTGATGGCGGATTGACTGCTGCAGCTCTTCCACGCCCTGCTCCAGTCTGTGGTGCGTGGGGTTGCGCTTGTACAGCGTCTGGAATTCCTTGACCCGCTTGTCGAAATTTTCCTCGAGGTTGTGCACGAGGTTCACGCTGACGTGCATCAGGTCGTTCTCCGACGGCCTGTTGTTGTAGTCGCGCGAGGCATTGCGCATGTCGCAGAATGTCGTCCAGTGGTCGGCACCCTGGATGACGTTGTGGGCAACGAGGGCATGGAAGGGACCGTAGTTGCCTGTGGTAATGCAGAGCAGGATGAGATCGATCTGGCGGTCCACACGGGTCTCCCAGTCAATGTTGTTGGACTTGTCGAACATGTTGGCGTTGGTGGTGACTTTGACGGAAGTGTCGAATCTCTCTCAAGTTTTAACCGACGTATGCGGATGTGGTAATTGTCAAGGAAGGTGGGGTTTCCTGCTTTCCCTTTTATATCGATACAGAGCCAATGATAATACGGGAGACCGGGGCGTGCTCTACTACGTCAGTTCATATCATCATATCGAGGGATTTCCGTGAACAAGGGGCACCATTGCCAAGTCTCGTAACCGCGGGTCTGGCGAGGTGTTTGCAGCCCTTTGCACGTGAATTCTCATACCGTATTGCCCGGGAGTATTACCCCACATTCGCTTTGAACCCTGGAATCTCACCCCACATTCATTCCGTTACTCAGCGCCGTCTTCTTGTCTCCGCTTTCGTCCCGCGTGCATTTCCGCTTTCACCGTTGACGTGTTTCCTAATTCCGTAAATTCCAACTTCTATCGTGTTTATCTGTTTTCGCTATGGTGATCCGTTTTCACACCCCATCCTTTTCTTTTCTCTCCTGTCATGCTAATTTGCGTTCTTTGCTAAGTTCTATTTTACGTAACTTTCCGTTTGCATTAATTGACGTCAAGGGATGAGGTCTAGTCGTGAGAAATGCTAGTCCGTTTGGGTTGAATCTCGACACCATGCTGCCAAACAGCTCAAACCAACTGCATCCAGGAATTCTCTCCTTGCATCTGAAATCGTCATAGTCGTCTTATGATTTTGCCTCAGTCTCATCAATTTGCTCAACCTTTGGTCACCCAGAGTTGGACGGTACCTGCAGCTCTCAACAGGATTGCGGGGAATAGAGAACTATTTGACTCTGCTAGTAAGGATTGATAATTATATATAGGCAGCCTTTGTCTCGTCCATCACAGTCATCATCCTCCAACTCAGCTTCTCATCAGCAAACAACCTCCAGGAAAGTCCTGCCCTCCACGTAAGACTTCAACCACTTTCGATATCCTCAGAGCAATAACTAAACGCCTTCGCAGCAAAATGTCCGCAAACTCTCTTGTCGGCCCCGTCTACCTCGACTGGGAGCAGCGTTTGGAGCAGAGGCTCGACCTCATCCACTTCGCTCTCAAGCAGGGTGACTCCAAGATCCTCGCAGCCATCTTTGCCCAGGATCAGTCCAGCCCGATTGATCACCACGCCACCTTCAACGTCCAGGCCAGGAACCTTGGCCCCCACGTCAGCGAGAATGGCTCTCGCATCCTCAGGGATCTTGAGGACCACGTCCTGAAGACCAACGAGCACATCCGCTCCGACAACAACCGCATTGACAAGAACATGGAGGAGCTTGCCCGCAGCGACAAGCGCAACGACCAGGACGCCTGGCACAGGAACATCCAGGAGAACATCAACTCTCTCCGCAACACCTCCCGGCAGCAGGTTGAGCAGCTCCGCTCCTACGGTCGCCAGAAGATCGAGCACCTCCCCGAGCAGCTCCGCCAGCCCGCCGTCGACATCTTCAACGGCGCCGTCGGCGTGGTCTTCACCTTCGTGAACACCACCCAGCAGTACCTCCAGGATGCCTCCAACACGATCCCCACCTGGATCCGCCAGCCCCAGGATAAGGTCCAGGAGTTCCGCCGTGCCTACAAGTACTGGTATGAGGGCTCCGAAATCATGATCAAGGGTTGGTTCAAGGGCGCCCGCCACCTCCGCGGCGTCCCCTCCATGAACGATGGTGCCCCCGACGGCGACAACATTGGCGCCATCAGGGACATCGCCACCAAGCTCCAGTGCATTGGTCTGGAGAGCTTCACCATCGTCAGGAAGGGCAGTGGTTGGGCTCTTGAGATCTCCGAGGAGTAGGATGATCGTCCACTCACTCACTCTCAACCGATCAGATACTCAGTCGCACCAAAAAATAACTACTTGAATTAGGTAGAAAAATAATAGAGGAGTGTCTTTGATAAAACTGCACAGCTGTACTAGCTACATATTTTGTCGTGACCATCGGTCTTTGCTAACCTTCGAAACATTTTCCCGAAATGTGCATCCTGACAAGCGAGAAGTTGGGAGAGCGCGCCGGAGTCCTTAAAGCCCCTCATAGCTAACAATGATGCAAAAATATCTTTAGCTCATGAAACCTACAGCCTATTTTATGTAGCATCAAGCATGGCTCCGACTGTTGGTTGTATCGTGGCATCCTGAGCCATCTCACCAACCATCCCGCTCTGCGCTCTTAGTAAGCGAAACTAATCTACATGTGCCAAGTAAGCCCGGAGACTGCAGCTTATGCCTACAAGTAGGTATGAGCGTTTGGTATTTCCCTCTACGTGGATGTCGGTTGTAAGATGATGCGACAGGTAACGACTGACAGTAAATCTATGAAGGCACTGAAGTTCATCACTTCAAATCAAAGGGAGACTCACTCGACAGGTGGCTACTACAGGATTTCACGATAAGCTTGACTAAAATGACAGGCTTCACTTACAGGCCCGATCACTTACAGATAGACTATTCCTCGCTTTTTAGACGGCTCCGAGCCCACTGAAACGCTCTCAACAACACTTACCAAGATTGGCACTCACGAAGATCACATTAGCAAGTTCCCTGTAGACGGCCTCTGAGATTTGCAGTGTGAAGAAGGATATATCTGACCGGAAAGGAGAACCCATAACCGATACAAGAGGAGTTCCTGTTTTCTGGAATATTATCTGTTAAGTTTTTAGTACATCAGCACCATCGTTGTTTTCCTTGCATTGAATGAAAGGCTTTGGATGACAGCCCTTCGCACACATCGACCTTGAAAACTGTGCATATGGCCTGATAATGATCCCATATTTAGAGTGGATGATAAAGCATGCGGCCAAGGGTGCTTGTGGGCTCTCAGGCATTTGTCAGCGAACCAGTCCGCAGAAGCGCCGATCGGTTCCGGCGACAAGGCCCCTCGACCTTTCCTCCGAATAGCCATAGTGCGGTTTTCATTTCCACCTGCCCGGCCACCGGGTTTTTGGATTGCCCAAGGCGCCGTTACAAGCCACACGAGTGACCGACTTTTTGTCTGTCGTCCCAGTCGTCAGTGAGCGATCTTCGTATTCGACATTTCTGGCGGGGGACCCCAGGCCGGATGCTCTCTACGCTAGGCGTAGAGGGGTCAAGCGGCCCGATGACGGGCCTCGAACGCACCCTGACGGCGAATCTCGCGTCGCTAATCCCCATTCATGCCTACGGGTAGAAGCCCATGGGATTTAGGGCTGCACCAGCCGTTTTCGCCGTTGCGGTTTGTCCAATTGTTGCCCACCGCATCTTTGGGTGACAGCCACTTCGCACTTGTGGTCGGGCGCTGGCGCGTTTACACAGAGTGCAAACGCACCACCCACACCGACTGCGTGGAGGATTGACTTCGACTAAAGGAAGAACGTGTGCAAAATTGATCAGAGCAGCTGATGAGGAAGCGGTGCCCTCACCGACATCAATAAGCGGTATACATCTCCTACGGGAATACCACCGAGCTTTGTCACTCAAAGTTCTTGAGCGATTGCAGTCCGTGCAGGCTAAATCTAGCTGGGCAGCCAAGAGGTGCTGCATGTCATACATTCAGCTCAGCCAGATATACTTGGATACACCGTGCGTATCCGTCCCTATTTTTGCTTTTGTTCTTGGCCGGGTATGTGGCCGTGATTAGCCATCATCCCCGGTGCGAAAGCCAATCATCCCTTTTGGCCCCCACGATGTCCCTGTGAGATACCCCTGCTTCCCAACCACCATGCCAGCCGCGAGTCTAAGCTTGCTCATCTCTTGAGCACGCTTGGTCATGCTTAGCAGAGCAGGGGCCCTGGTTGCCAGCAAATCTACGTCACACACAGAACGGTCGACACTCCGGTCAGCAGCCCCTGAACGACGGGCAGAAACCCTCGCTATTAACAATTAGAGTGATGCTTTCTGAGAAACTGCTGGAAAATAAGCAGGAGAGCAGCCCGCTTGGTTGTCGATTGTTGAGCACTGCAACTAAGTCCACATCCGGGAGAGAGTCCCGTGCAGATCATTCGTATCGAACACTGCGTATCCGGACCGCACCACCATTTTCGGACGCTTCATGGCGTTGCCGCTCAATCAGCCGCACCAGGCTGACAGCTGCTTCCCACCATTACTGACCCCAGGTCGCGCGCGCAAACTTTTCCTCTTTAGCTTTCCATCCCTACCGCATCCCCTCTATACCAGGCTGTGGCGCAAACCGATGATCCCCTTCCATCTCCGCCGGCGGCGCTCGTAGTTCCTCCATCTCTGACGGACCTTTTGCCGCCAGCTCATACTTGTGCATGCCACCGGCCTGCAGTTCCGACCGTGCATGGTCAGATCCCATTTCGTGCGGATGTGACTGCTCGGAGTCATGCGAACCGCTCGCTCCAGCCTGTCTCCTTTTCCGCAGAAAGTAGAACAACGCGCCGGCGATGAGGGCCAAGCCCGCGACACCGCCCACGACTCCGCCAGCAATCGCTCCTGTAGAAGAGCTGCTGCTGTTGCCGGACGCGCTGGAAGAGGAGGAGGCGGTGGAGGTAGAGGACGACGACGTGGTGGATGCGATGTCCTTTGGCGAGATACACTGGTCGATGCTGTAGTACACCCAGGATGTGTTGTAGCAGGTCGCGAGCTCGGCAACCTGAATGGCTTCGGAGGAGCAAGACAGGCTGTTGGAGTTGCTACCGTAGATGGTCACTGAAAGCGTCCGTCAGCATTGTTTTGGGCTCCCTCCGCATGGACTGGTGCAAACCGTCTACTTACCCCCGCATCCTTCATCCAAGTCTACGACTTGGAAACTCGAAAAATTGCTGGTCACCCGATCCCGTAGCAGTGTGCAGGTTCCATCTGGATACCCGTTGGGGCCGTTGATGTTGTCCTGAGACACCAGGCATTCTGAGTCTTTATAGACAGTGATGTCTGTTGCGCCGCTTCGTGCCACCAGGAATTGGAGGACAGCAAGAACAATGAAGCAAAAAACGCTACTAAGTGGCGGCCGTGACATCGTTGTGCTCTGTGGTTGTTAGTAGTGAAGCTTCGAAGAAAAGGCGGATGAACTTTTTACCGTGCAGAAAATTTTCGAAGGAATGGAAACCAGTGTTACATATCTCGTGGGAGGGAGGCTAAAAAGAAAGACTGGAGACAGAGGGGCTTTGGAGATAGCTAGGCTCCGCCCCGATGACGGTCCCTGCGGTGACCTAACGTGCTGGCTACTGCATGTGCGGGAAGTGGAGACATCAGTCAGCTACGAGTCATTTGCCTGGTTGCCTGCCTTCAAAGTGGCTTTGTGCGCCGAGACAGGTTGGCCTTAGCACCGTTTCGGGGAGGGTGATCGTCAGCCTAACAGTCCTACCGGTCGATGTGACCAGGGTTGATGGAGCATCGACACAAGCACAGTTGCTTTTTTCTTTCGTGAATTTGGCCCCCAAACTCCACTATGTCGACTTTTGGAATATGCTTGAACCTCAATTTGGCAGGCCTGACATCTATTATTGGCCCTTAAGCCCCGCTTTGGGCAACCTGCACAGACCGTTGCATCAAAGCGTTAGCTCAGCCCCAGCTGGACAACTACCATTCCAGAGGTTCCCATCAAGGGTCGAAGAAATATAAAATCGTTTACATTACCGCACATTGTGACCAGCATCCAGACAAGTCCTTACAGAAATCAACTCGTACATCTGAATTCCAACCCATCATGCACTGCACACTCCCAGCCCTCATCGCCCTCGCCTCCTTCTCCATCGGCGTAGCCGCCGATTGCACGAAGATGGGCTACATGACGCACACCTTCTACGGCTACCCCGACAACGACCCGCCGGGTCCGGCCATCGCCTACGACTGCGGCCGCGGTTTCTCCGCCGGCGGCACCGGCACCTACAACGACCCGCTGACCTTCGCCTCCGCCGAGGGCGAGTTCGAGCCGTGCGAGGTCATCTACGACCCCTACACCCGCAAATACCTGCGCTACGAAGACTACTGTCAGGCTTGCACCGACGACTGGGCCAACGGCAAGATCCGCCACCTCGACGTGTGGACCGGCAGCACCACGGTTAATGGTGGTGATACCCAGATTCAGTGCGAGAACGACTTGACGCCGGCGGAAAACAGCCAGACTATCGTGAGGAAGCCGGCTAGCAACCTCCCGGTTGACAGTGAGTGTTCCTGAGATGTCTCTCTTCCTCTGAGAGGGAGTCCTTGCTTTGGACTTTGAGCTAACACATACTTTCTGCGTAGCAACGGCACTGTTCGCCAATGGCAAATGCCATACTGATCATATCTACGACGATTACGACATCAACGACTACTGCTCTCATTAGGCGAACTAAGTCTCGAGCGCTCATGAACAACGTTTCAGAGGACTTGACGTCTACTATTTCTGAGATACTCTTTATGTTTTCACACTCGTTCAGATAACATGAATGAAAAAGCGCATTGCCCTGAACTTTCTGGAGTTGAACGATTGAATTCTCGACGATGACAACATTGGAGAATGATTGATCACCCTGATTATGTACATGAAATACGAGAAACAAGCAGACACCTTTTTAACAAGAATCTTCCCTTTTATTATCTGACTGCTACTTACAGGATCACCATTCTTAGATTTTATTTTGACTGTTAAGGAAAGAAACATGGAGCTTTAGTGTACTCTAATTAACAGTTTAGTAAAGATACGTATCTAGCTAATCTTTAAATACAGTATAACGTATTTAACATATGTTCGATTATTAAAATGGGGGAAACCATTGGTGTGGGGCATGTTTCATGTCAGGTTCATCCACACCGAAGGGTTTCAGAAACGATGCATCCAATTAGTGGGAATCCAAGTCTCAATTAATTAAACAGGGAGTATACATAGAAAGCAAAAACCGAATTTCAAAAAAAGATGCCTGACCTAACGAAACAACCTCCAATGCTAATGATTTTGTTACAGTCCTGCGGGCAGCTCTGCACGGGCAGGCCTGGTGGGAAGCTCATATACCTGTTGAGACATTTTCAGCTGGTAAGAGATGCCATCCATCTCGACCCTTGATTCTTCAGATGCACTGGCCGAGATTCTTCCCCGTCTGCGGCGCCTGAACAGGAAGAATAGGAAGAAAGCAGCAGAAGCCACTGCAAATATACCCACCGCTACTCCAACGCCGATTCCCACCTTGGTTCCATCCGTAAAGCCGGTAGAGGACGACGGTTTTTCAGATGTTGTCGATGTGGAAAGTCCGGTAGTCAACTCCGACGCTGTGTGAGTTGAATAGAGAGAGGCTGCGTTCACTTGAGCAGTGATGTCCGATGTCTTTCGGTTGAGTTGTATGAGAGGAGCAAATAACGTCACAGTTGGCGCCGGCCCACTGGTGATGCTATTTGCGAGGGGCAATGTCCAGTCTGTTGTTGATACGGCATCCCCGTTTGAACAGGTAGCTATCCTGAACGTAGAGGAGTCCACCGCTTTCATACATGTTTGGCGCTGGGAATCCATATTCCGCGCGCATGTATATCCTCTTGAAAGTACTTGTCAGCAGACAAGAAAGCAGTATTGGGTAGCGACTTACACTGGACAACATCCATACACTGCTTCATCGACAAGGGTGCTGAACTGGAATTGGAAAGACGGGGTATTGCTGTCTTGCTCAGATGTCATACCAGCCACACACGCGGTCGTATAACCACTTGGGCAGGAAAGTCCCGGTGAGTAGAAACCCCACCCTGAAAGTGTACGGTCGGTCGGTGTCACAGTCGCCGTTGGCCAACAAGATGGGTTGTCGTGCAAATCGATTGTTTCGCATGATTGAGCCTGCCAGGCGTCTCGCCATCCGGATTGAGCCGCGGCTTGGAAGAAAATGGTGCAGTCGCTGGGTCGTGTAAAGACCGTTGACAGTGGTCCAAGCACTGTCCTGGACCAGATACCTGTAGTTGTAGCCGTCATTTGCGCATCCAGGCCTGTGTTGGTTGATGAGGGGAATATGGTGATGGCGAAGAGAAATGAGCGAGAATGTCTGGGGTTTTAAGCATACGAAAACATGCGCTGTGGGATGTAGCTAAAGCAACAAGGCTCGTATTACAGAGCTGCAGCGGTGCCACTTAACCAGCCTTGCTCAATAACCGCCGTGGATATCGATCATGACCAATGATATTCCAAGGTATTCGCCACGGCCCCTGCGCCACTATTTCAGCCTTGCTCCCCCGACGACGAGTTTCCCGGCTATCATACGATTATACCATTTTATGTGGATATGATTTGTCTGTATTTATTCTTGCCTACCGAAGATGCATATTGGCTTAGAAAAAGGGTTGTTTGATGAGGGCTTCCCACCCACTGCTCGGTTTCAGGTATGCATGAACGCACGTTTTAGGTTGCAAAAAACCGCCACAAGCGGAGACGCTGCTGTATGCATCAATGTGTTGTCAGTACATAATCCACTCACAATACTGCATTGTCTCCGTGTGCATTTCGTATCGCATAATATCACTGATCCATTTCAGAAAGTTCGCACAATTGTGTAATTAAACTTGCTACAAACGCCTCTTTCAAACAGTCTCTTGTCTCAATAAACTTTTGTTGTCTGGCTAATAAGTCTGTCTAAGCTGACGACAGCTAGAGACCCTTCGCGTTGTGAATGCCAAATAGCCGCGCGTTGTCACGGGTCAACTCATGACCAGTTGCCAATGCTCCTTAATACTCAATAGAAGAATTAAAATCTTGAGAAACCGAAAAAAAAAATAGGTGAAGCGAAAATAGAGGCAATGCTGTGTAACAAGTGGAGACATGAATATACAACATGGAGTTCAAAGATAAACCACCTCGTCAGAAATTTTTTCTGGCAACCTTTGGGTTCTATCGGCTTTCCTCGTGTTATCAACGTTACACGTGATCTCAGCTGGGTTGGTATGCGCCACCTCGTGTTCTGTTCTTACCCTGAGACAAATGGCAGAGGCGGCTGTAATACAACTTCGTCCACTTTTCAGGTAGTCTATGAGCTCATGACAGGCCGCAAGAATTTAACTCCCTCTACTCGGGGAGAGCAAGCCTCAAAATCACCGCCGGGTTTCCCCTGGAAACCTCGGATCGGGCTTCCTGATCTGTACTGTTGCGCATAATAACTAAGTTAGAAACGTCTCCGGACGAGTGATGAGGTGCGGGTAGCGGATTTAAGAGGTATAAAGGTTGTACAAAGGCGACAGCTTAGCGCCGTGGCTCGATTTCCTCCACTTACCCCGCTCTTTTGTAACATATTTCCTTCAGCCTCGCCGTGGTTACACAAATAATGCTGCTGAACCTAATCCCTGCTGATCTTGGCGTAATAACAGCGGCAAAGTGCCGGGTTCCGAGATATCTCAGCCTTCTGCAGCACATACGCTGATTAATTCAAACATATTTGAGTCAGTGGTTCTTACGGCACGAGAGTCGCATCGATGATAGCTGGTATGCTTTATTCTACAGCCATCAAATACATTTTCAAGAGCCTGCCGGTCGTGCGCAAAGTCGGAAGGATCTGTCGCACAACTCTATCGAGTTCAAGCGAGCAAGGTCCCTTCTGCTTCACTATTCCGTTGTGCTTTGTAAGTCAGCTCATGGACTCCCCTACAGTAGTTTCGCGGCATACATGGCAATTTAAGAAAGTTAGTAGGAAAATAGCAGCATTGTGGATTAGAGTTGAAAAAAATGGGGACAATTCGGCGTGGTGTATCTCACCTCTGGGGGCGGAAACATTTCTTACACAGACGGGCACAGGGCTCGGAGTGCTCGGGGTTCTCGGAATGCTCGGGGCCTCGGGCACGGGACCATTGCGGGGCTTCGGGGCTTCGGGAACGGGCCTATCATCCCATCGGCGGGGCCGCGGACCACGAAGGATTCTCAGAAACCCACTCCGACGGCCGTATCCGTCTGACAACGGAAGCCTATTGGTTGTGGAGAGGCAACGAGTTGGAACACCAACAGATGGCAAATGGCCATATTTATTTTAAAAGGGACCGTCTCCCCTCGTCCATCCATCATTCAAACACCTTGCGATCAACTCCATCAACTTCATATCGACATTTGCCAGCAGCTTCGAATTCATCTACCTAAAAGAACGCCAAGATACCCTCGAGATTTTGCCAACTCCAGTGTCGCAATGCCTATTTCCACCGCCCTCCAAATTCTGCACTCCCAGCTCTTCGTCACGGTACCCAAGCCTACCGCCAGCTTCAAAGATCGTGTCGTCATCGTCACCGGCGGCAATGTTGGCCTCGGCCAAGAAACAGCGCGTACCATAGCTTCCTTGGGCGCTGCCAAAGTCATCATTACCTCCCGCTCCACCGCGAAAGGCGAAGAGGCGCGGAACGACATCATCTCCTCGACGAAGTGCGATGAATCAACGATCGAGGTCTGGCCCCTCGACCTCTGCTCCTTCGAGTCGGTGCGTGCCTTCGCCGAGCGCGCTCAATCGCTCCCCCGTCTCGATGCCCTCATCTGCAACGCCGGCATCGGAACAACCGCGTTCAAGCTCGCGGAAGGCCACGAATCGACAATCACGACCAACGTCATCTCCACCTTCCTCCTGTCCTTGCTGCTTCTTCCCAAGCTGAAGGAGACTGCCGTCAAATTCAACATCCTCACGCACCTCGACATCGTCTCCTCCGATACCCACTTTCTCACCGACTTCCCCGAAAGCAGACTCCCCGGTCCGATTTTCGAAACCCTGAGGAGCGAAGAGAAGAGCATGATGTCGGACCGCTACCACGTCTCGAAACTGCTCGAGATCTTTTTGGTCCGCGCGCTGGCTTCCTCTCTCGCAGCTGCGCCTTATCCCGTCGTCATCACTTCGTCCAACCCGGGATTTTGTACATCAAGCTTGCGTGACGAGGTCCGCGAAGGTTCGGCCGTCGCGCGTTGGGTGATATGGCTTATCGAGAGGTTGGTTGCGCGCACGGCCGAGGAGGGGTCGAGGAATTTTGTCATTGCGGCCAGTGCTGGCGAGGATTTCCACGGCCAGTGGGTGAGCGATGGCAAGGTGCAGCAGGTGGCGCCTTTCGTGTTGAGTGAGGAGGGAGAGAAGGTTCAGAGCCAGGTGTGGGAGGAGTTGTGTGCGATACTGGAAGAGGCTGTTCCCGGAGTCACGAAGGGCCTTTAGAGGGCAAGCCTGCGATCATTTAATCGAAATAGTGTATTACAGGAAGGCGTCTGCGGGTTTTTACGATTAATTAGCAATGAGTTTTCGTATAGAAATCATGAAATGTTTTCATTACCTTGTTGTTGATGCCTTGGTTTAAAAATTTAATGACTCCAATTTTCTTTGCGCCTTAACGAAATCTGCTGCGTTAACAATTTTTTAGGCCGGAAGCTCTTTGATTTTTAACCTGACGTGGACTGCTGTCTCGATATGATTAATTAAATTGCAACACACGCATGCTACATGGGTTGTTAATTAGCTGAATCGGATTCATCGTGAAATCTGTTCAATATCGTCCAAGTATGTACCGGAATATGTTACGCTTCAAAACACTACCTTTTCCCATCATTTTCGGCTGTCTCCAGGTAGCTCGGAAATGTGATTACCCCCTAGCTCTGACGGGGCCGTATCTACTGGTAGCTCTGAGCGTTTTTCGTCGTAGAATTTGGATGCCGCCGTCCCGGGGAGCTCTGGGACGGTCTTCTCGGTGGCGGGCAATTCCGAAATCTGCGCTTGTTGGGCAAGTTCGGTCCTGGGTGGCTCCAGGGCCGCGTCCCTTGCCAATTGCTTCTTCCGTTTCTTAAGGCGCCAAAGGAGGACCAGACCGAGGATGAGGAGGAAGACGCCACCAGCGGCGGCACCGACTGCTCCCTTGCCACCTGCTGTGAGGCCATCGGTTTTCTCACGTTTCGAGGTGGAGGACGTATTTGCGGTGGCGGTCGCTGACGAGGAAGCTGTGGCTGTTGCTGCTGCTGCTATACCGGGAGACTGAAAAGATCAGTATATGAGCTGGCAGATGGTAGGACGCTCGAGCACTCACGCTATAAGTAGAGTACTTGTCGTTGTTGATGTCTTCAAGTGCAGTGAACTTAAATCGCTGGCCTGTCTGCGGCGCGGTGATGTTGGAGCTCATGCGAAAATAACCATTTCCGGTGTGGTTCAGATGCCAAGAACTCCCGTTCTGCGCATTCTCCAGCCAGAAGAGGCCATCACTCCACGCGCCAATATGCCAGAACATGGAGCTGTCGAGGAGTGAATAATTTCCCATGATGGGCTTCGTGCTGCCGGCGTTGACTTCTCCGTCATCATCCTGTGCAACAGCGGCACTTAGGTAGTTGTCCGGCCCTGATGCGCGAGTTCGCATGACCACTGTGGTCGAATTGACGTTGTAGATTTGCCATTGCTGCTCGCGGTCTGTTGAATTGGAAATCCGTAGGAAGACGGGGCCATATGGTTGTACTGATGTTGTGTTGTCCTCAGTGTTCGCTGGTGTCCCCACAAATGATAGCACATCGCCTGGTGTTGATATCTGGTACCATTTGGAATCGTCAAAATTAGCCATTACTACAGGTGACTGAGTAGTCAAATCGGCAAGGAGGTAATTAGTGACTGAAGAAGATGATACAGAGAGGGAAAACAGTTTGGCGTGGAGATGATGCCGCTGGCGCTTACGAAGGAAAGGACATCCTTCCCATCCTTTAAGACTTAATCCCCGGAGGTTAAGCGAAGTGCAAAGCCGATGCCCAGGAATCCCACGCGACATTGGCAGAATTCGAATTGAGCCCTGCTCTTTCTTATTGGATGCGTGAAGTGTTTGAACATTACTACGAAACCTAGCCTCGCTAGATGCTTGACTAGCGTAGATCCTACAGCCGGATGTGTTGCAGTGTTTTGCTAGCGCTTACATGCAAGTAGCAGCCACGTTCCTTCCCGTACGACCCCAACGAAGATCAATAGCCTTCTCAAGCACGAACCGTGAAACGAACAAAAGTCCACAGCGCCGCATCGTGACGTCTCCCCTCAAACACAGTTACCGTCATATGTTGCGTTTGGCTGTGCGCTCCACAGAGGTGGGAACCTACGACATCCTTCGCTTTTATAATGAATATGAGGGAACTTTAATTATGTTTTGCTGTGGTGTTTTAACAGGTTTTGAGCAAGCCTCATTGCTGATCAATGTCCATCGTTCCTACTTCGGCACCTGCGGGGGCCGCAGGATTAGAATCCTTCCATTCCCCACCGCCTCATGCTTTCCATTTCTTTCCTAGCCCAATGCTTGCCTAATTAATGCCCAGCTAGAACATCATTACACACCGTCTTTCTATTTATAGATCAAACACCTAGAAAATTGGACCTTTTCAAGTAAGCCTTTCACTACATATTGCGAGTATCCGTGTCAATCGATCAACAAATGCAACCCTTTTACCGCTTTTAAGCTCCGATGTGCAATAAATGGCAACATCATTGGGTACACTACGCTATACACCGAGCGTTACTAATTACAATCAGAGCAACGTTGGCGACCACGCCGAAGCCTCATCTATTACGTGGTGGGAATCATTCATAATGAGGCTCCCTGTATATGACCTTATACGACTGGCAGATGAGGAGAACGGAGTACATTCGGAAATCTGTTGCAGATTAAATAGACTTCAATGCCAACTCCGCTCATTTTTCTTGCGCTTTCTAGCATTCCTTTGCGCTATAAGTTAGTCAGGAAAAAGGGCATATTAATGAACAATAAATACGTCTGACCATGCCACCGAATGGCATACGATGCAAAGTCTTCTAGTGATCCAAGAATTACCAGAATTCTAGAGCTTTGTGACTGCTCGTGGTCTCATTCAGCGGATATTGATATTGACGAGTAAAACATTACAAGAACATGCTTACAAAGATATTTGGTCCACCGCGAATTTCTGCTGTGGTGTGAGCTCAATAGGTTACGAGGGAGCAATCAAACTCGGGCATGTTTTTGGAATGCTCGCAACTCCTATGCCATATATACACTTTACAGAGAACACAACACTCACCTACCGAGGACTTTGTCAGCTGCCCAACTTGCCACTCCTTCCGCCCGCCTTATCTGCTGGAATGCAAAAGAGCAACCCCGGACACCATCTCAAAAGCCCAGTAGGGTTCAGCTCCAAGCTGGAGATCGTAGTCCAAGATTTGTTCCGTCACAGAACAGAGAAATGGTGCTTATATTTTCCATGGCGTATTCATCACTCCCCGTCGAGAAGTAGGCTATTGGATGCGCCATGCGCTTGGGGCAGCAGAAGAATGTGACGGTCGTGCGATATGTCGTACAGGACACGGTTGAGCAACAATGCAGTATATCTAGACACGGCAAAAGAAAAAGATGTATCTCTCACAGCTTGGTTGGAACACTCACGGGGTATGATTGGCAGAAGGAGAGCTCAGCTTTACACAGCGTAGTGAATTGGGATATACTTCCCAGCAGACACAGGTGTCCTTTCTCACGACGTTATCGGGGATCGATCGCTTTTTCACCTAAATTATAACCTATATTTGCGCTATTAGATAACTCTCTGTTATTTACAGAATGCGATAGGCTCAGTACAGTCGTAGACCGAGCGCGAGACGGGACAGCGCTTCTGCGGGCCTTTCCAAGCTGGGATTGGAACCAGCACGCTGCATGCATGGATATTTAGCCTATGAAATGGACGGTGGCGCTTTTTTTCATCATCAGATGTGCGGGGCTCCACCTGACTGAGCCTTGCTGCGCCCCCGCTGTCAGCGTCGTACAACAGCCAGGCAGCGTCGCAATGCCAGCTCGGACGAGGCGACCAATCCGTATTGCAGCCGATATCAAGACTGCAGCGCCTCCACGGCATACAACAAGGCTACCACACCTGGTTTCACCATAGGCACCGCCAAGGGCTGTGTAAAACTGCCCGTCTTATGTTTCCCCGCAGCAGTCCGTCTCAGCCTCGCGGGCGGAGCGATGAAAAATCACACAAATCGCCCACATTTATACAGGTGATTTGAAGGCTTGAGGCTGTCATTCATTGTTCGACAGGGGTGTTTGCAGGCTTCTTTCTAGGCTGAGGCAGCCCCACCTCTCTCTTTTCTGCCCCTCACCAGCCTTGGTTTCTCGTCTTTATTTTTACAGAACTATTGAGCATCTCCATGCGCACCCTTACATTCCGCCTGATTCTACATCTGCATCCAGTCTCCGTTTCTAGAACGCCATGGGCAACAGACGATCGACAATCCTGGCGAAATAGCGACCTATCCTTCTCACGACATCATGGCCGACGGGCTCTCTATAGCGGCCAGCATTGCCGGCCTAGTCACTCTCGCTGATGTGGTCTTTGTCCGAACGTTTCGGTATATAAAGGATGCAAAGGGGACCGAGAAGGAGGTCGCAACCCTGGCGAACGAACTACAATCCCTCTCCGGAGTGCTCCACTGCCTGTACCTGCGAATCAACGGACTTGGGGGCGACGAACATGACGATCCCGCTACGTGCCGCCCTGAACTTGTAGGCTCCTGCCTCCGACTACTAGTAGGAGTAAGAGACAAACTCCAAGAATACAAGCCTGGAGAGCACAAACAGAAGATTTCTGGGACCGTGAGGAAGCTCAAATGGCCATTTTCGATGACCGAGACCAAACATCTAATCACGGATATTGAGCGCCAAAAGTCAACCTTGACTATGGCTCTTTCCGCAGACAGCATGGCAGCTGCTCAAAAAATACTTTCCAGTCAAGACAAGCTCCTCTCTGGCATGGAACAGATCAGGAGCGACTTACAAAAAAGACGAAATTTTGAATCCAGCCTTGCCGATGGCCTCATGGCCGCGGCTTTGGACAAGAAGCAGAAAGAGGTTATTCGTTTCTTCGGAACCGTCGATCCACGAGAGAGGCTCCAAACAAGTCGGAGCTTGCGACATCCGAACACTGGCATGTGGCTACTGGATAGTGGTGAGTTCCAGGAATGGCTCAACAGAAGTTCTTCCCGGCTCTGGCTTTCAGGCATCCCAGGAGCAGGAAAAACTGTGCTGGCATCCGCTGTCATCGATTCTGCAATGAACCAATGTTGCAATGACTCTGATAAAGGACTGGCCTACTTCTACTGCGATTACAAAGATCACCAAAGCCAGCAACTCCACAACATTCTCGGGTCGCTTGCAGCGCAGTTGGCCACACAAAACGATAAGAGCCTCCATTTACTTCAAAAGCATTATGACATGTTTCATTCTCCTGGGAAGCTGTCTGCCAGCCCGGTGAAACCATCGCTTGTTCAAGTCATTCAGGAGATGAGCGCGTACTTCACAGAAGTTTTCATCATCGTTGATGCCCTGGATGAGTGTTGCCACAATGTCATCACGATTGTTGAAAGCCTTGCAAGTCTAAACACTAAGGACACGTGCAACATCAAAATTTTGTTCTTGAGCAGAGACGAGTATGCTATATCAAGCTGCTTACAGAGCGGATTCGCCCACATCCCTATAGCAGCTCGCAGCCACGATCTCAAACTCTACGTTGCTTCTCAAATTGAGACAAGGATGAACTCGGGCAGATTGCGGATCAAAAACCATGCGCTTAAGGATGAGATCATGGAGAAGCTAGTCAACGGATCAGGAGGAATGTGAGTACTTGTTTACCAAATAAATATTTCATTCACTAAAATGCTAAAAGGTTTCGTTGGGTTGCTTGTCAGATTGACCGCTTAGACAAGCTTCCGCATGACACAGCGCGCCGAAAGGCTTTGCAAGACCTTCCACCTGATCTAGATTCGACTTATGAGAGGATTCTCAGCTCCGTCAATGAAAACGATGAATGCTCTCGTATATTGGTTCAAAATACATTGCGTTGGATCATACTCGCCAAAAGGCCGTTGAGGATAGAAGAGCTCTGTGAAGCCCTTGCTATTGAAGATGGATCTAAAACCTTAGACCTTGACGGTATTCCAGATGAGGAAGTCATCCTTGATCTCTGCAGCAGTTTGATTCGAAAATCTGTCAACGGAGATCGCCTCGAACTTTCACATTTCACTGTGGAGGAGTATCTAAAGTCCTCAAGGATTAGCTCCAATGGCCCTCTTGCAGTATACCACATCGACCCTGCAACAGCCACGCTTGAACTTTCCAAGAAATGCATGGTATACCTCAACATGGAGGATTTCTGCCAGGATTTGCCTTCGACGAGTGAAGCCTGGATGGATAGGCATGATGCTTACCCTTTCCGAATGCACGCTGTCAGGTATTGGCACCAATACGCCACCACACACACAGATCACTTCGAGAATGATAGCTTTTTCAGCCTCTGCCAAAAGCTATTCAATCCGAATGAGAGTTTGAACTTCCTTAGCTATGCCCAGGATGACTGCATGGAAGTAGGTCGAAACTCAAAAATCTTCTATTTGCATGACACAGGGCAGACTCCACTCCACTATGCAGCCATCTATCATCTTGTCCGACTTCAGCAGTGGTTGTTGTCCTGTGGTAGTGATGTCAACAAGTTTGGATTTCTGGGCTCACCATTGCATTGCGCTCTGATCGGCATTGAGTCATTCGGATTACTGGATTTTAAGACAGGCCCTATGTATGGAGGAGTAATAACCCCGGAACAAATGAAGAGTATTTCATTACTCCTTCATGCAGGAGCTGATTGGTCGATCCCACTTAGGGATATATTCAACCGACCACGCTCAACGTTGGTGGCATTTCTTACTTTTCAGGGTACGAAAGAAGAGGAAAAGGCATCACTGCTGAGAATTTTCTTGGATGCAGGTGCATTCCTTAAAGAAAATGATATCGAAGAACTGGAATCTTACTGCAAAGATTATAATCCCACACTTGACGCCGTTTTCGAGATAATACAGCGCCATCATATCCAGGAGGCTTCAATTGGACGGTTTCTTGACTTAGCATCCAATATGGAGAGCTTTGCGCCTTTCAACTGGTCAGGGGCCAAATACGATCCCAGAACCAAATCTAAATCGATCAATCGTAATGAAGCAGCCGCTAGACTCAGATGGGCTGCAGGGTGTGATCAAACTGACAAGATGTTGGATCTTTTGAGGGAACAAGAATTGGACATCAATTCTGCAATGGAGGATGGCAAAAGGACAGCGCTGCATATTGCCCTCTCCAACGGATCTATCGAAGCTGTGAAGTTATTAGTCGATGCTGGAGCAGACGTCAATCTGCCTGATGGCTACGGGAATACTGCTCTCCACCACTACGCTTACAGTGAGATTGAGGATCCTAGCATTTGCACCTTACTTGTCTGTAGGGGAGGTATTGTTGGACGCAAGGATGCAAATGGGCTGACAACATTGGACTTGGCCGCAAAAGAAGACAATGTCATTATGCTGCGCGCACTCTTAAGTCTAAATGAACAAGAAGAAGGAACATTATTTGCGCCGACTTGTACGACATCAGCCCTCAGAACTGCCGTGGAGTACAGGTCCTTCGATGCAACCATGGTCTTGATCGACTATGTCGAAGATCTGAACTACTCTAGTGCTGAAGGGAGATCTCTGATTCACCACTGTTGGAGGTCCTCCACAGACATATGTCGTCTACTCATTGAGAGAGGACTGGATGTGGAAGCAATTACAGAGACTGGAGAATCAGCTCTACACCTTTTCATGTCTAGAGTGTTTCTTGACGAGCACGGAGACGATCCAGTGACGCTGGTTCATCTCCTCGCAACGCCCGCAACAATCAACCACTCAGATTCGAACGGAATGACACCAGCTGCCAGATTGGTCTCAAGAATCTCTGGTCTCTCATCAACAAGAATTCTTGCCATTCTTGAAGCGCTACTGAAGCACGGAGCAGATTTTACCAGGGCAGACTCTTCCGGCGAAGCTCCTCTCGATATTCTGATGTCGTGGCCCAGTAGCTCTTTCACTTCGGCAGTTATCGAGAGGATCATTCAACACATTCAAGATGTTGGTGTTATTGTAAGAGAAGATTTCTGGAGCAAGGTATTCATTTGGGCGCTCAACAATCAAGAATTGACATTGGCAGTGAAAGCTAGTTCGTACCAATTTATCAAGGGTAACGAAATGGGTGGCTAACATACGGCAGGCCATTTCATCAACGCGGGTAGTCATAGCGGGCTTCGAAAAATCCTTGAATCTTCAATCCACGAAGGGAACTTCGGCCTCTGCCGGAACTTAGTAGATTCCGGCTTTCGGACAGATCTTGGTCACAGCGGCGGTAGCGGCTGTAATGCAGTCATCCAGTCTCTTGAGAGACATAGGCCAGACTTTGCGAGAGTCTTGGTTCGTGGTGGGTTTTCTACTGCTGGAGAGGCATGCTGTAATAGTGCTTATCCTGGCTACACTCCTATCCACCTAGCATCTATATGCGGACAGTGCTGCAGCATCCTGGAATTCCTTCTAAACAAAGACTCCGCGGAGGGCGATTTCCATATGACCGCTCCTGTTCATCCTTTACATATTGCAGCCGCATGGTCCAACACAGGTGCTATCAAATGCCTCCTGGAGAATTACTCGCGAATCGTGCAAAGATTCACTTCCAACAGCAATATCGACAAGAGGGACGAGGAAAGTAGTTCATATACCAGCCCAACTGTCTCAGACCCCAAAAACCATGGCATCAGCCCCATGGCCAGAGTTATTGTCAATCTGCATATTCGCGGCAGCGATTTGCGTCGGCCATGGAAGCTGACGGACTACTTGTGGACGACTGGACTTGAAGAAGCAACACCTCTACACCTAGCCACGTTGGTTGGTGATTCGGAATCGGCAGAGATACTCCTCCTCTACGGAGCTGACGTTAATGGCCTTTCAGGGTCAAACGAAACACCTCTACATCTTGCGGCAGAGATTGGATCTATCTCCATGGTGAGGCTACTGCTCCGGTATGGAGCAGCCCTGGACGCTCGAAATTCCACGTATCGAACGCCAGCTTTGGTAGCGGCAATTAAGGGTCAGTGGGTTGCATTTCAGGAGTTGTTGGAAGCAGGTTCTGATCTTTCCTTGAAAGATGAGAATAATCTTGGCATCGCTGATTTTATCATACGACTCCCGAGCAAGCTCATCCTACCCTTCTATTTGGATAATGCATCGGTAATCGATAGGGTATCGGCACTCCAAGTGGTAAACCGTTCGGCATTGTGGTGGGCCTGCGGAATCCCTGAACCGGCTTTCTTCAGTTGTTTGCTGAACAGAGAAGGGTCCCAAACAGATCCTGATAGCCTCGATGGCGTTGGAGCATACCGATTGATTACTAGGAATCGGAATGCCTTACTGAAGAGGCTGTTTAAATGGCTACCGAAGGATTGTCCGGCTATAGAGTCGATTAACGAAAGACGACCGCGTGATGCACATAGCCCTCTATGTGTTGCCGCGAGCGTATGCAACATCGATGCAATGCGGCTTCTTCTGGACTTCGGTGCTGATGTTGACTCGGAAAGTCACGACGACGGCACGCCTCTCATGGTTGCTTGCAAGGCAGGGCACCTGAGAGCGGTGGAATTCCTTGTCAGACAAGGGGCTCGCATCGCTTATTGCAGGGGCACAGAAGTTTGCAACGCTATCTCGCATGCAGAAAGATATCCAGACATCAAAGCATGGCTTCTTGTTGGGCGCTACACACAACAGCGCAAAATTGATGTTGCTGCCGAGAAAGATGCACCAGAGAGGGTATGTCAGCCATGGGCCGGGCTGGTGAAGGTGGGTGTGCCGCTAATAGCCAGATATGGGCAATTTTGTGAGGAAAGTCTCCTTCAGTATGCTATTCGTCTTGCGCAGTACAAGAGAGATTTTGAAGGACATGTGTTGAGGTGGGGCAATGATGTTCGTATTCCTTTCATCACCTTAAGCCTATAGCTTCTGCGATCTGTAGAAATTCGAGTGTGAAAGACTCGAGTCATGGTTTGGATCTGATACTTTTTTCTTTGGCGTTTGGTCAATGGCTATTCGAGGGATCCGGACTCTGCCGTATGTTGTGGAAGGGATTCGTTCGTCCTGATATTATCCTTTTCACTTCTATGCTAGAGGTAGATAGCGTCTTCTGCGTCGTCTTTCTATGTGTTGGGAAATTCGAGCAGTTATTCTGACATGAATGTGGAATTGACAGTGGCACATTCATGTCTTGACCATAGCGCCTACTGCCTACATATGTTGTTCCTCAAAGAAAATCGATGGCGTATAGTTGCCCTTTTTTCAAGGCCTTGCTAGTTTTCGCGCTAGTTTTCGACTGCACTGCCCCCTCTGTTGTAATTTTTTGAGGGGCTAAAATTGGCATTGTTAGACGTGTACGAGATGGTGCGACGGAAGGGTCTCCGCCGCGGGGCACAAGGGCGGGGCGGAGGCGGTGAATCAAAACAAATGTGTGGGGGCCGAAACTCGAGTTTCCGTAGTGGGCAATTGATGGTGGTCAAGTTACCCTAGAGCGTTGCTGAATTCGGGCCGAGATTGGCTGCCTGAGCAGAGCGGCAGTGCAAGGTAGGATCGCAGGCGTGGGTGCAGTGCGTTGTGCAGTGGAATAGAGCCGGGGTTTTGGACAGTGCGCGGATAACCGATGCCGGATCAGGACAATGATTGGGCTTGATTAGAGGGCGTTCCCGAAACCTAAGGCCAAACGCAGTAATTACCCACGCTAATCGATGCAGGTGCGGGGTAGCTCTGATGGCGCTAGGTATTTACCCTGCATGTTAAGAGTCAGGGTCTTGCGGCTTCGCCCATTTTCAGGGCAAACGCTCCCATTAGTTTGCAGCCGCCTGACCCGCCTCATTCTGCAATGGCACGTATATATAGTGAGTACGTAGCTACCAGCTTTCGGGCTTCGAAAGGCAGCGAGCAATTCCCTTCTCTTTCCCTCAATCACTCTTCCCCCGCTTTGCGTCACCAGAATGGGTGATATTCCAGTCACAAACGGTGCTGTTGCCACCAATGGCGCAACAAACGGCGTCACAAACGGCGCTGCCCCGCCCCTCCCTGCTCTTGCTACTGACGCCGCCTCTTTCCTGTCCCAGTCTTACGACTACATCATCATTGGCGGCGGCACTGCAGGCCTCGTGCTCGCCGCTCGTCTGACTGAAGACCCCAATGTGACTGTTGGCGTGCTCGAGGCGGGCAAGAACGCGCTCGGCGATCCGCTCGTCGACACGCCGGCGCTGTTCTTGCAGATGCTTGGCAACCCGGAGTATGACTGGTGTATGAAGACGACGCCGCAGAACGGTGGCCGTATTCACCACCTGCCGCGTGGAAAGGTGTTGGGTGGAAGCAGCGGAACCAATTACATGATGTGAGTGCTGCTGCTGGTCCTTTTTTCCCCCCCTTTGTCCTCTGTAGTTGCAGCAGAGCAACCCTTTGGCTGCCATATTGCCCCTTCTCCTTCTACTTCTTCATAGCTATGAAGCGCAGCACTAACCCCCCCTCCTCCTCAGGTACGTCCGCGGCTCCGAACGCGACTACGACGACTGGGCGGCCCTCGCCAACGACCCCACCTGGTCCTTCGAAGGCATGCGCCCCTACATCGCGAAGCACCAAACGCTCACCCCGCACCCCCCATCCGACACGGGCGTGCTCAACCGCGCGGGCATGGCGACGATCGCCGCCAACCACGGCTTCAGCGGGCCGATCCACACCACCTTCAACGACTCGCGGCTGCCGCTCGAGGACGCGTGGCTGGCGGCGGCCGACGCTGCGTTCGACATCAAGGACAAGCCCAAGGACGCGTGGAGCGGCGACCACTACGGCTTCTACAACGGGCTGGGCGCGGTGCACAGCGACGGCCCGCACAAAGGGAAGCGCAGCTACGCGGCGCGCAACTACTTCGAGGCGAACGCGGCGAGGGGGAACCTCAGGGTGCTGTGCGAGGCGCCGGTGCGGAGGGTGCTGTTGGAGGGCAAGGAGGCGGTGGGCGTGGAGTTTGCGCACGGGGGTGAGACGTTTGAGGTCAGGGCGGGCAGGGAGGTGGTGCTGTCGGCGGGTGTGATTCACAGCCCGGCCATCCTGGAGCTGAGCGGCATTGGGAACCCCGAGGTGCTGAGGAAGGCTGGGGTCGAGTGCAAGGTCGAGTTGAACAGCGTCGGCGAGAATTACCAGGATCATGTCCTGTCTGGATTGGGGTATAGGTTGGCGCCGGGGCAGATGAGTGGAGACAGCTTGCACGCGCCCGAGGTCATGGCGGCGGCGCAGAAGGCGTACGTTGAGGGCCAGGTGGGTCCGCTGGCGGGTGTGGTGAGTGGGCAGGGATTCGTGAGGTGAGTAATCCTGACGTGCATGAAACGAGTCGGAAACGAGCTGACGCCTTCGGAAGCTACAAACAAATCGCCACCAAGGAGGAGTTGGACAAGACGATTGCCAGCATCCGGGAGACACAGAAGACGTCAACGCGTAAGACATCCACTTTCCAGGCCCACCTCTGTGGTGTATGGTGTGCTTACTGACTCCCAATCCAGCCTTCCAGCAGCGCCAGCTCGACCAAGTCATCAGGCACCTCGAAGACGAAAAGTCTGCCAACATCCAATACATCCTCGTCCCTATCTCCGCAAACTTCGCCGACTCCGCCGTCGCCAACCAGTCCACCCTCTGGCCCCCGGGTGACCCAGCCAACCCCGGCGCCACCTGGGTGGCCTGCCTGCAGTATCCAGCCTCACGCGGCTCCATCCACATCTCCAGCTCCGGTAAGTTTTGTCACACCTTCCCTCCTCCGCAAGCGCCGCCGCCACCACAAAACGCCACTAACACGTCACACGCAGACCCCACCGTGCAGCCCACCATCGACCCAGGCTACCTCGCGCACCACGCCGACGTCGCCGTCCTCGGCACGGGGCTCAAGATGGCCGACAAGATCGCCCTGTCGAAGCCGCTGTCGGGCATCCTGGGCGCGCGCTACCGGCCCGCGCCCGAAGTCGACCTGACCGAGACTGCGGCCGCCGAGCAGGCGGTGCGCGACTGGATCATCGGCGAGTACCACTCGTGCGGCAGCTGCGCCATGGGCGACACGGTCGACAGCAAGCTCAAGGTCAACGGCGTCGGCAGGCTGCGCGTCGTCGACGCCAGCGTCTTCCCCAACCACGTCAGCGGCAACTGTCAGAGCTCCGTGTATGCGCTCGCGGAGAAGGCGGCGGATATTATCAAGGCCGATGTTGTCGTCGTCTAGGAAGGATAGATGTGGCGAAGGCCGGTAACGGTGGCTTAGATTTCCAGTTGCTGTGTTTTAAATGTCGTTCAGCTTCTGTCTGCGGGAGTCAATCTCCCTGTGTGGTTAGTACTTTGTTCCGCTTTATGAAATACCAAATTCTTCACAAGCACCTGCTATTTGGCCTGTGATGGTTGACGCACCGAATCATGAAAGGAGATCTTGTTATTTAAGGGGTAATTACTAAACAGCAGCTCTTGCATCGTGCGACGATTTTATGGCCTTACTTGGCCAAGACCACGCCTAGGTAAAAAGAGGTTCTATTTGGTAATTTAACTCGTGGTTGTTGACGAAGAGAAACGCGACATGGTTGGTCTTTGTTTGTATAGGCATCGCATATAAAATCCTTCCCAATGCACGGTGCAAGAGGTGCTGTTGGGGCCGAGAGGTGCTGTTTGGTAATTGCCCTCTATTTTAATGTTTGCTTCTCCGGAGGCCGTCCAAGTGATGTGATCTGTTTCCCCCACAGTAACTGGGACGTCGTTGCAGGAGTCGGAAGCTTATTATAGCTTGTCCGAAGGCTTCTAAGCTTTGAGTGTCCAGTGATCGAGTTACCAAGCTTTGCGGGGAATAGGGTACCCGCTCCCCCCGCGCTAATCGTGTCGGGTTTCCAAAACTCCCCCACATCCCGAAGAAGAGCCCCACAGATCCTTGCTTTTAAATTCGCTGTTTTCGGTCTGTAACAGTCATTCTACTGATCTTTTCGGCCGACGCGGAGCTTAAGAACCTCCGTCCGATCAAATACGGTATACGATGACATCCGCTGGTGCCCGCCTGCGAATGACAATGACCAGTCAGATGCCCCTCATTTCTGAACATCGAAGCGGGTCACTCATACCACGCCATGGACTGTGGAGACGGTCTACGCGCAGAAAGGCCTCCCGCGATCCCGTCTGATATAAAAGCTTGACCATATAGCACGCAAGACGACCAAGAAGCGGCACTCCCACCACAACCATCACAATGGAGTCTCTGAAGTTGGATCCCCGGGCCATGAGCCCAGCCACGCTGGCCTTGTACACCTCTGCACTCTTCGCGCTCTTCAAATTCCTGCAGGCCATCTACCGCCTCTACTTCCACCCGCTCTCGCACTTCCCCGGTCCCCGCGCCGCCGCCCTCTCGCGCAACTGGCTTTGGCAGCAAGTCCAGACGGGCCACCCAGAAGAAATCCTCGAGCAGCTGCACCGCAACCACTACGGCGGCGCGCGCGCCCTGCGCACCGCGCCCAACGAACTCCACATCACCGACGTCGCCGCCTACAAGACCATCTACAGCCAGACCAACCCCTTCCCCAAGGAGCCGTCGTTCTACGACTGCTTCCACACCCCGCACACCCTCTTCGCCGAGACGGACCCGGCGCTGCACCGCGAGCGCCGCAAGATCCTCAACCCGCTCTTCTCGCGCGCCGGCGTCGCCAAGCTCGAGCCCGTCATCCTCGAGAAGGTCCAAGAAATGGGCGCGAAGCTGCGACGACTCGTGACGACCAACCCCAGCGGCTCCATCGACGTCTCCAACATGGTCCGCTGCGTCACCGTCGACGTCATCAGCGAGTTCGCCTTCGGGCAGTCTGCCGGCCTCCTCGCCGAGCGCCCCGACGCCTTCAGCGCGGCGTTCCTCGACGCGTTCGATATCGCGGCTGTGGTGCCGTACCGCTTGTACTACAGCGCGCTGCAGCGGTTCCTGTCCGCCGTCGTGCCGCTGGCGTGGGTCGGCAAGTTCGACCCGGCGGCGGGCGAGATGGCGCGGTTGCTGAAGTTTGCGAATGATTCGTTTTATTCCTACGCGAAGAGGACGACGACGGCGGCGCATCCGGTTGTGTTTGACTACATGAAGAGCGTGCCGGAGGGGCTGCAGCCGGCGGAGGCGATGGATGTGCTTGTTGCGGGCAGCGATACGACGGCGTATACGTTGGCGACCGGGCTGTTCCATATTCTGCGGATGCCGGAGGTGAAGGCGAGGTTGGAGAGGGAGGTGAGGGAGGCGGTGCCGGATAAGGAGGGGTTGGTGCCGTTTGTGCAGCTGGAGAAGATTGATTATTTGGTAGGTTTTGCGGGAAGCGGTGAGATGAAGGCGGTTTGCTGACGTTTGTTGGTAGAGGGCTTGTGTTAAGGAATCGTTGAGAGTTGCAATGCCGGTCCCGGGCGCGCTTCCTCGGGTCGTGCCTGCGAGGTCGCAGCCTTTCGAGGTTGACGGCAAGATTATTCCTCCTGGTGTAAGTTTTTCTCTTGTTACCTTTGGAAACGGGCGCTCACGGGTTTCCTTCTTTAGACGATTGTCGGCATGTCTGCGTACACTATGCACTACAGCGAGGAGCTGTGGGGCAAGGATGCCAAGGTCTTCAATCCGGATCGCTGGCTTGGTCCGAATGCAAAGCACCTGGATACGTACCTGTGCACCTTCAGCAAGGGTGCTAGGCAGTGCATCGGAATTAAGTGAGTAATTCTACGAGAACGTATCATGAGTTATCCTACTGACCTCTTTTAGTGTTGCGCATACGGAAGCAACCATGGTACTGGCGTACCTATTCCGGAACTTTCAGATGGAGTTGAAGACGAGCGAATTCCGGCACCGTGATGTCTTCACACAGCAGGTTCTTGAGCCCGGTGTTCTAGTTGATTTTACTCCGCTCTGAGTGCTGTGTTTTATCTATGGAATTTGACCTATCAATCCGCTGTATGGGCCGGTATTATCCTCCTAAAAGCATCTCGTTTTGCCTCTAATGTGTGAAGCTTTTGGAATCTTGTGGAGGAACCCTGTATCTCCACGGAACTATCTCGACTTCTTGTATCATCAAATGCATGAACCTTTGTGTTTTTGAATGGATCTTGAAACCAACCTACCACCCATTTTACATCAACCAAAACCTTTTTCCCTCTTTAAGCTAATCTCCATTCCGAATACTTCTTTTCCAACACCGCGCCGGGTTGTAGATATTGGCCTCTGGGTGACTCGACATCGGCATTCTCCGACTGTAAGGGCTGCCCCTGACGCCTAAGCCAGCCTCTGCCACTCCACGTAACGCTCCGAGCCCAAGAGGTACGACCCATAGCATTTGTCGAACTCCGCCTGGGTAGCATCCTTGCTGAGTCGCATTGGCCGGGGCTCGACGATGGTGTGCTTGGGCTTCTCCCGCAGACCAGCTTTCTTGGCAACGTCATTGAAACAGAGTAACTTCCTGTAGCTCTCGAACAGGCCGTCAAAGTCTCGGAAGAGCTTCCAGGCTCCATAGAGCTTGGCCTGGTACGAAGGCGAGTTTTGGAGCTGTCTTTGCGGTAGCAGATATCTTTCCGCGCGTGGTGCCTCACGCATCATGCACGCAAAGTCCTCAGCTGGGTTCTGTCCTATGGCTATGCGAATGGAATTCAGGAACAGTGTCATCAGAGTGGCGTAGGGATTTTCATTCAGCGGTCGGAGGAGGGGAGTGAAGATGCGCAAACAGTCCAGCCCGAGGTACTGCTCGTCGGTGGCATTGGACACCTGCAATTGTAAGCTTCCATTTTCCTCTTTGGGAGACATATCAGAGGCATACCTCAATCCGATCAAACGAATGCGTCATGTGGTAGTCTTTTGCCAGCGTGTTGGGTAGGTTTGCGGCCTCGGTGTGTAGCAGTACGAAGCTGACCTTCATCGTCTGGACCTTCGTGCAGAAATCGATCAGAACATCCCTCACAAGGAAGAAGACGCCACCGTGAATGTCGTGCTTGGCCATCGGCGTGCTCTGCAGAATATCATCGAGCGACCATCCACCAAATGGATCTAAATGGGGCATCATCGGCCAGACATTCGAATGCTGGAAGAACGTCCTGTACAACGTTGTCAGCAATTTGCGGATCCACGTTATAACGACAACAATGTGAAAACTTACGGGTTGGGCATATCGAACATCGATCTCGATGCACCGAATGGCATCAACACGCCTTCGAGGCGGAAGCGCTTTGTTGAACCGCGCCAGCCTGGAATCTGGTCGAACATCCGCATGTGCCAATCGTATCTCTGCGCGTTCGCCAGCACCGAATTCCTCCATGTTCGCTCACAACTCTCTTTAGTTAGTCCGTAAGGAATATCCAAGTATCCCGTCAAGGCGACCCAGTTGCGTTTCTCAAGCACAAGACGGAGACGGCAAGGGCCTTGGGTGAATGTTTTGGCCAGTAGCTGGTCCGCCGGCTTCTCTGCAACTTTGGCGCACACGTCTTGGATGAGAGGAAGGACGGTGGTACGCAGAGTTTGCAGTACGGACGAGGGAATAATGACGGAGTACCAGATGTGCAGGATGGCGGCTGCGGCAACGGGAGTCGGCTTCACGTAGAGAGCGGCCAGGAGCATGATAGCATTGCGAGCCACGATGTCGATCTCGCGGTCATTGATCACGGCAGTGATGGCCTGTTGCTGCGAAGATGATACGCCTGTGATAGTCTTGATTACGTTGCGGATGTCACCTGAGGCTGTAGAAATTTGCGTCAGTCGCGATTTTCTGCTGGCGCGATTCCTAATGGTACATACCAGCGAAAAGAAGGTTGATGTCTCTGTCGTAGTTGGCACCCTCATTGCGGTCAAGTTTGAGTACATCGAAGGCGGGCATATTGCCCCAAAGGTACTTGATCAACGGCTTCCCGTTGGCATCTAATTTGGCTGTCTGTGTCCAGATTGGCTCGTCAATGGGAATGGAATTTGGCTCGTACTCTTCCTTCCCCAGAAGAGGATCCCACGTCGGCTTGATTAGTTCAGCCTTGCAGTCGATCTTATGCTTCTTCAAATGGCGCTTCTGACATTTATTGCTGCAGTACTGTGAGGTTTGTGTCAGTATCCGATGAGTCCGGAAAGTGAGGTCGGCACTCACCGAGACCAGGAAGCAGTTGGAGCATGTCTTGACTCCGGCCTTGCCGCATGGTTGACCGGTCGCGTCACTTGTGTTCGCACATGGGCAAGACGCAGGGAAGATCTGCCCCAGGTCTGGCGACGCTGGCTGGGTGAGCGACATCCTTCCTTGGGTGTCGCAAACCCGTGGGTGAGCTGGGTGTTGCTTGCGTAGCAGGATGGCGGGGCCTTCCGTGGCTCGTGGGCAGGCCGGCGGAGTGAGGTTGAGAGGATGTGGAGGAGCAGAGCAGTAGCAGTGATGGCAGTAATATAGCCACCAGCGGTGCGCAGTCGGTAAAACTACGGCGGAAGGTGACCCTTAGGGCTTGCGCAGTGGCAGAAGAAAGAGCTAGAACCTTTCCAGAAATTCTTAGAGCTTTTAGGTGAGGCTGGTTGAGTAGCTGGTCAAGCCGCGTACAAGCAAACAACATCCAACTCAGTAAAGGATAACTAGTCATTTGCAGCAACCACTGCAGAGATCATTCCACCTAGCTGTAGCGTGGAGACGGCTCACCTGGAGGATACTGAAAGTGCCTTGAGTTGTTGATTGAGGCAGTTCGTGGTACGATGTAGGCAAAAATATCCATTCTGCATGATCACCTTAATGAAACATACTGACCATCACTGCCTAATGAAGAAATGAAGTATTCGTTCTCTTACAGCCCTCTCAACTTCAGAATTCTAGGCGATAGTGACCGAAATCAATTCACTTTTAATATTCGTCTTTGCTGCCTTCCGCCTGCTGGTTCGAGTCAGTGGAGTTTCAAATCAATTGAAGAGTAGCTATTACGAAGCGCAGTCGCGATGATAGCGGCGGGTGGCAGGGGGACATATGCAGAGGGATGTGAAAACCTACGACAGATGGAAAGGAGGAAAAGACGGCGGAAGAGCCAAAACAAACATTATCGAAGATATTTCAATTCAAAAGTACCACGCCACACTACAGTTAAGTGTCGGCATATGATCCTTCATTTCTGACAAATTCTCTGTCAGGGAACTCAGCAAAGGTGTTCAATAGCATTTTCAGCTCCATGTCACGTACTTGAGTTCATTCTCATAGCCCTGTGACATTATGCTGGGGGCTGCGAAACCTTCTCCGCTGTTTCCAGTTGTCTATCAGACCAACAGATCGTACGGCAATCGTGGTGGAATCAAGGTACGGGATGCCATGCTTCCATCGACTTCTACTATAACTGATTAGCGTACTCACTGCTCATTTGCTCGGTATCCCACCTGAGTTCGGAAGATCCGGCATATCGCTGAGTAAGCGACGACGTAAGGTTCGAATGTGGAGCCCTTAGCCTTAAATTGCCGTAGTGTCGTACTAAGTAGCGAGTCGTGTATAATGATGCCGAACTTGCCGAGAAGCTCATCTCGTACAAAATGCCGTTAAAAATTCCGATGTTGATTTTTCCCGGCACAAAACACTGGAACCCTCGGTATAAAGATTTGTGTATTTTCACTTCGAGACCTTGACAGAATTTCCACTATTTTGCCCCACCATGAACGGAACCTTCGAAAGTTTTGATCTCCTGAGCGCAACATACAAGACGGTGGACAACGTCCTCATCAATGTCGACGTTTTGGCCCCGAAGAATCTTACTGCTGGCCTTCACCCATGCATTTTCCGCTTCCATGGAGGTGGCTTTGTAAGTCACAGCATTGACGCAGCTGCATTGAGTTTCTGACTTGTTCGTAGGTGAGCGGCTCCACTCTGCACCCCAGATTCTTTCCTCAGTGGGTACTAGAGCTTTCTCTTATTGTGGGAGCCATCATTGTTCTTCCAAACTATCGGCTGCTACCTGAGTCCAACGTGCCAGACATGCTGGCTGACCTGGATGACTTCTGGATTTGGACTCGCAATGATCTGGACAGCCTCCTTGCTACCGCTTCCACTACAGGACTGCGTGCAGATCTTTCGAGGATCCTTACTGTCGGAGAAAGCGCAGGTGAGCTCCACCGAAGAGTCGTGATCAACTTCCATTAACCGAATTAGGTGGCTACCTCAGCGTCCAATTCGCCATGAACCACGTGCATGAGGGCGTTCGCGCCTGCATCGCGGAATGCGCCTTTCTCGATGCTACCCCGGTGAACACCACTGCTTTTCAGCCGCACATAGGCCCTCCCGTCATCGCCGACCCTACGCTCTCTCGCTTCAACATCATCGATACGTTGATTGCGAACGGAACTTTTACCGATTACTTCGGCAACGACCCCGATGTTTACCCCATCAAGAGGCTGAAGGCTGGGGCCAAAATGCCACCTACCTTTCTCATCCATGGGTTGGACGACACTGTCGTTCCGGATTCCCACAGTATTCGCTTTGCAGAAACGGTTCGAAAGGTCGATCCGAGCGCAAAGGTTCATCTTGAGCTTCAGCCCGGAGAGCATCTAATGGATATCCCTCTGCGTCTCGGACATGCGTGGCTTATTAGAGGTGTAAGGCTTATTTTAGAGGAGTGGCTGTGAAGCACAGTTGTGAGAGCCTAGTTTAATCTTGACGAAGGAACCATCTTGCTCTGGCTAAACAGGCCCTGCGGGCCTTCACCGAAGCCTTACACGACGTTGATACAGTCGACATGGTTGCTGGCACACTTTCGCTCATCTGGCCAATTCTCACAAAGACGGACCGTCTATTCGGCCTGAAGATCGGAGCGGGGGGGGGGGGCTGATTTGCAAGAACACCTTGTTTTGTCGACACGTTGCTTGTAGTGTCCTCATTGATCCGAGGCGGACTTTTCTACTCTGCTCTACCTTTTCATTGCAAGGGTTTAGTTAAATGGCGAGAGAACCCTGTGACTTTACTTTCACCCCTGTCATTTTTCTCAATATGCACCAGCGTGTCGTGGCACCAACTTCCATACCTCGGATTTCGCTTATCTGACGGCAATTTCTTTTCATTCAACTGCGGGTTCCCTTTTAAGTCCTATCCTACTCTAGGGCTAAATAGTTTGAAAGTCAGCGCTTAATACTAAGCGTTTTTGCGAGCCCATAAGTGCCCTTCCTTATGGCCCTCGGCAGGGTGCCGATCATTCCAGGTTTGTGCAAATGCTGACACTATGATCAAGACGGCTCGGCCCGAGCCAGAATCCTGCTGACCCGCCTTTTTTCTGCTTATCTACAGCAGAAGGCAAATTGAAACACAGTGCTGTACCGGTAGTAGTTTAACCCCCCGGCGGATGTGAAACAGCTACTATGCTGATGGACATTTGAACCTCAGATGAAAGTAAACTGCATTGGCGCGCCCGATATGAACGGATTTCATTACTTCGAGCAAGGCAAACCCCCTACTAAACGGCTGGCTATATATCCTCATACCGGCGCTTGAAGCAAACCTGCGCAGTCGGATCTGGGATGATATCCTGCGCCACCTCTATATTCCTTCCTTCGCAGCCCTCAGCGAATCGCCAGTCATACATGAGCAGCATGTGCGCGAGTGCAACTTTCAGCTCGGCAGCGGCGAAGAAGCGGCCTGGACACGACTTCGTGCCGTGGCCGAAGCCCAGGTGCTGTGCGCTGGTCGTTACATACTGCCACTTATTCCTGTTTCCCTCTTCCTCACGCAACCTGAGGAAGCGGTCACCAACGAAGCGTTCGGGGTCCGGAAAAGTGACAGGGTCACGCAGCGCCTCGGATGAGTAGACAGCCACCATGGACCCCTTAGGGATGTGTAGGTCAGGAGCGGATGGGAGTGTTACATCAGCCATTGCGACGCGGGTCATGAGGGCTACATTATCATCAGCCGCAACACGCGTAACGGAAAGGAAGATGGATCACTTACTCAAATGTACGGGACTAATCCGCTGTGACTCCTTCAGCACGCTGTCCATCAGCCGCATCTTCAGCAGCGTAGACTTCCGCCACTCTCCGCCCTCCTCGGCCAGCACACGGCGTACCTCTTCTCGCAGCGGCTCGACCCATTCGGGGTGCTGACAGAGGTCGAACAGCACGCGCGTCAATGCCGATGATGTTGTGTGGATGGCGGTGAGTGCGAGCGCCAGCTGGCCAGCCACCACATCCGTTGCCTCTTGATGCCTGTTCGACGCATCTTCCTGCCACTGTAGACCATCCGTGAACTCAACGGGAGTGGCGGCATCCTTGGACTGCTGCCTCCTCTTTTCAATAAGAGCCTCGATGATATTTCGTGCCTCTTGCTCGCACCGTGCTAGTCGTCGTCGCTCCGGGAGAAGATATTGCACGATAGGGCGCACTGGGATAGGCCAGTTCCGTAGCGCGCGGATGAAATGGACGGCATCGATAGCGTAGCTGCCTGTGATGCGTAGCCACTCCTCATTACGGCACGCCTCCTCCCCTAGGAAGATACGGGCAGAGAGCCGTGCGACTACGTGTACGGCTGTTGGATAGAAGACAACGGGCGTCCAGTCTGTGGGAGGTATGTCAGCATTCCTTCTTTCTTCCTCCGGCCTCCTACGGGATCTTGGGCTTTCTTTGCTCACCTTTGCTGGGCGGAAAGTTCTGTTCAAGGGAGAGCGTCGCTTCGGTCGAGAGCGCGCCCATTATTTTGCCTGGATTGCAGCCGGATTAGTATCGAAGTCAAACATCCAGTGAATGGTTCCTTTCAGAGAAGCAAAAGAGAAGGGGTTTACGAACTCAGTTTCCTCGTCAAATGCGTCCGGACCATCTCGATAAAAACCGCATCATGCTCAACGATGAACCTGAACCCTGCCATCCCCCCATACAGCGACAACCCGGGAAGTCTGACAAAACTCGACTACACAGGCCACAAGAATGCTCAGCTACACCCACCATGCTGTTCTTCACCATTAAGGTCAGTCTTACCTTGGCAATCGTTTCATGGAAAGAGAAGTCCTTTTCGCTTCTAATTTCTTCCACATGTTTTGTTGGAAGAATTATAAGCGGCCCCGTCGGCGTCAATACCTGGAACGGTCGGCGCAGCTGGCCGAGGCAAGATTTACCATCAGTAAGGGAAACACGCGACCAGGCTGTGTGGGAAAAGTGGCAAACCTTTTTGGTAGCTTCCTCGAGGATGGACCTGGCGTTCTCCGCGTAGCGCTGCTTCGTCTTCGAGTCCGTATCACCAGGTTGTACGCCTACGACCTCGATTTTGCGGACAAGCTTTTCATCCTGCAGGTAGTAGTATGCGGCGCTAACTAAGAGTAACAGCGCCAAGAATGCCGCTGCGGCGAGAGCGGCGTGGGTGGATACTTCTGTGGGGGCCGAAATGAGCGGCCAAGGGCGGCTGTCCCGTTCAGGGCCCGGCATCTTGCTGTGGGAAAGACGAAATTCATTGCGACGGGCAGTGGAACCTTGTTAAATATCCCAAGACATGATAAATCTGCTGACACTGGGTGACGGTGGGGGCGGGCTCGCTGGATTGACCAGTTAGGGAAAGGGTAAAGGCGGCACAGCAATCAGCCGCAGCGAGCCCTAAAGCGCCCCACTTACCAACTGCCAGGTCGGTGGTTAGACAAGGCTCATAAGGCGCTAAACTGAAACGACAGGGGTTCTGCATGTCAGCCTATCGGTGCAACAACTCGTTCCCCCGCACTTAACTAGCCCTTTTCGCCTTGAATTTCCTAGCTTCCGAGTGATAACGCAAAGTTCGATTCGTCGAAGACGACTTTGGTACAAGCGTGGTGGCGGCAAAGACATGGCGCCGACTTCAAGAAATCCCACTGGGTCGTGGAAAAGGATGGTCAATAATGAGACGGCTTTTTGGCAACTACGCCGCCAACCTACGCCGCTGGATCTTCGCGAACCATTCCTCATGTGAATGAAAATACTCTGCACCCACAAAGCGTTCCTATTGACTTTCCTTAGAGCACCGGTGCCTTTGTTGCCGAGGCGCCTTTTACCTGCTGATATGCAGATTATGGCTGGAGAAGGCACCGCCGTGTTGACAGTTGGAACAAGGCTAGTCGCAATTCTACATCTATTACTAACGGTCGGAGAGAACGGAGCCTTCTAATGAGACAGTACCCACTGTTGTTAGCCCGCAGAGCGCCGCAGTGGGTCAAGCTTTGCGGCGTCGCGGCACAGCGCTTAGTACGGCTCGGTCAGTTTCCTAACGAGCCGTATCTATGCGACCTGTCTCAACTCTCCTACGATATCGGGCAAGCACAGCAGGTTGGCTTCTCACAGCTAGGTCACACCTCATGAACCGCCGGTGGGGTGGGGCACGACGCTGTGGATGTACCGGCACGAGAGACGAGTGCGAGCAGGCTAGCCCAGCAGCAAGGGCTCTAATGTACCGGCCAAGGCTACCTTACGACGTTTATGAGGTGAGCTTTGCATTTGGAGTAGTATGAACCCTGACATGGACCCAGCTAAAAGGAGTGGGGAAGGTAGGTCGATCCATGGAGCAGACTCCATTTACGGCGACCAACATCTCGCTTCAGTTTAGTCAGCCGCAATCCCTGCCACATTCTTGTAACTGCACATCATGGCCACTTGGGCTGTACTCGTAGCTTAGATGGGGAATTAAATCTACAAATATCCGGTACATTTTACCGGGAAAATGCCGCTACTTAATAGAGGTGTAGATTTTGAAACTGCCTTCGATGGATGTAAGCAGCTTGGCTTCCTTTTGGCCGCGTCGTGTCTGGCCTGTACTCGATTCCTGACCTGACCTGCTCACCATTCATTTGGTACACACAATAATACGACGGTTCCTCTTTTTCGTCCTGCGGGAGCTCGCAATCCCCTGGCTTTGTAATAATAATCGACGAGGGTCCTTCGTATAGGCGGTATACCGTAAGCCGCTGCAGTTTGTGATTCTGTTTTCGTAGTAGGTCGAACACGTCGCTCCATTCTCCACCATCTAGCTCGAAATGATGAAGCTCCAGCTCTTGTAAATCACCACATTTCCCAATAAGCTCCAGTACCTCGGTGGCAAAGGCTCGGAATCCTCGTAATCGGAGAGACTGGACCCTCTCTCCAACGATGGGCGCCATCATTTTCTGGAACATGGTTTGCGAGGCGTCGTCTTCCGGTTGGCAAGCCTTGTAATACAACAAGTCCAGCACCTCCAACCCCTTCGCCATCGCAAGAAACTCGCCAATCCTGTCCGCACACCCGCTGCGTCTGTGCTGCGTGTGTGAACCGAGGTTCTCCAGCCCGCCAAACGACACGAACCCTCTGAGCACCTTCACCCGCGACAAGACCGCCTCCAGCGCCGGACGGGCGGCCGTAGCATCGATCGCGTCACCGAATGCCGCCGCCATGACGCTCCCGCCCCACGCCCCGCCGTAGAGGCGCAACTCCTCGACCCGCGTCTCCGCGCGCGCCATGGTCCCCAGCACGACGCCGAAATCGTGCGCCATGGCCTTCCACAGCCGAGCCTTCTCGCCGCCTTCGCCGCTGCCATCGTCAGTCTTGTTCACCATCCACGCCGGCACCCTCGCTCCGTAGCTGCTGAAAACCGCTGCTTCCAAGACCACCGCCTTCAATCTCCTCCTCTTCCCCTTCATGCCACCGAAGATGGCAGTCATCAGCTCCGCATCGCGTCCGTTCTTTCGCATCTGCCACATGCTCTCGTTGCGCTCTTGGTACAGCTGGACCGTCTGGCGCGCGGCGGCGACTTCGTCGGCGGTGCAGTCGACCCAGTGGCGGCGCGGGCCGGTGACAACGTATCTTCTGCCGTGGGCGAGGTGCTGAGTTTTGAAAATCCAGGGATCGAAGAGGTATGTGCGGAGCACAACCGTGCGGATCAGGCGGCCGAGTGACGGGTGTGCTGCTACGGATGCGAGCGTGGTGAGGGAAGCTTCGGAGATGTCTGCCGTGCGCGTGATGAAAGCCGCCTGGAAGGGTTCGGAGGATGTGACTTTTGCACAGATATCGCGGCAGGTTGAGCGCAGGGCGGTTACGGAGGGAAGAGTAGGTAGAAGGGAGACGATGTGGTGGACAAGTTCGACGGGGAGGTTGTCGAGCCCCGGTGGAGGCATGTTGTAGGTTGCCGAGTTGTGCGGTCGGATTTGGCTTTAGTGAATTCGAAAAAAGAGAAATGATCAGAAACTTTGCTACTCGTCCCACTTATATATCTTGTGAAGGTGGGGGCGGTGGCGCAGCTCTAGACGCTACTTAGCTGTGCGGTGGCGCAGTCTTTGGAGGGAAAAAACCAAGAGCGTGGATATCGTCGAGAGAATACTATCAAAGAATAGACCTGGATGCTTTTGTGGACCTTGCATAGACACGGAGTATCCGTAACGTCGATTTATCGATAGGTAGACTATGTACTTTTTACTCTGGTGGCGAGGAATCTATCGATGCAGCTACCATTGATTTGCTGACGGATTCACCCTTTGATCCTCTGGACAGGCCTAAAAAAAAAATGAAGACACCGTTGGCCTCTAATACGGTTTAATTAAATCCCAAGAGCCAGACAACTTTCGAGTATACTTCGCTCACGGCTCTGTCCAAGAATATTTCCCTTTTAACCTAGGGCTCGAGGGGTATACAAGTTTCTTTTCAGACACAACTGCTAAGACTATTGTGGAAGGAAAGTAAATGGCCTACCTGCCAGATTTTGCTGATTCATAGAGGAGCTCAGGTGAAAAGTCTTGCGAGAATACGCTGCAGGTGATGGAGCGCGCCTTTCCCTTCAAACGTCACGCATCACAGCACTGGCTAAGATTCACTAAAGGCGAGCAGGTTGAGACCGCAATTTCCCGGGATTTTGGATATCATTCTTGATTATCAGAATCTCCTGATATTGTTTATACCAGAGCCAGGCTCTCCGCATTGCTCGGGCTCGTCCTTGTGCGTTCCACTTGCAATTTTGGTAAACAACAGACTCAGGGTCATCTGGAGCATCTGCAGAAGAATTTATCGCGCGTTGTTTAATGTAAAAACGGCCTCTAATTCAAAATAGATTTCATCATAGGGGAGCGTTGATATTCACGATTTCGTATGTCATGATTCACCAATGAATAGAAATCATTCGAAAATTTTAACACATGTGCAAGTGGTCACATCAGCAATGCTAAAACATTTCAAATAAAGAACTCAATTTCCAGTATCTTGCAAACTATGAACCGCTAATGCTCCAATCCCACAAAATGATCGACAAAACACCCAAAGGGAAACGGAAATGGAAAATCTACTCGTCATCGAAGAAGACGAACAGGCGGACCTCGATAGACCTGCGAGCAGGGGCATCCTCGGCGGTATTGTCATCCTGGAAGCCACCGTGGGGGCAACCGCGAACCTTGTCGGTGCGGGAGTCGTAGTCCTTGAACATAATGACCTCCTCGGGACGGAGGTTGCTGGGGTAGCGGTAGATGTAGTCGGGGTGGTGCTTGATGAAGTTGTCGTGCGACTTGTAGTACTTGGGGTCGTTGCTGCGCTGGATGCGGGCGACGTTGTTCTCGAAGCTGAAGTCTTTGACGCGGCTGTAGTCGACGATGAGCAGCGGCCAGCGCTGCACGGCGTAGCTGACGGGCCGCCACACGTTGACGATGGCCCAGCGCTTGTGCGAGGCGATCAGGCGCTGCGCCTCCTCGGCACCGACCTCACGCGACAAGTGGTCGATGGCCGTCTGGTGCGAGTTGTCGATGTGGATTGTGGAGGCGGGCTGCGAGATGCCCGTCTTCATGAAGAAGATCTCGTCGGGGTGGTAGCCGAGAGTCTGCTTGCGGACCGAGAAGTGCCAGGGGATGACAACCTGGGCGCCGGTCTTCTCCTGGATGAGCTGCTTCATCTCGGGCCAGTAGTGGTCGCGGATAAATTGCTTGCCCTCGGGGGTGGTGTTGTTGAGGAACTGCTCCTCGGTGAGGCTGCTGGGAAATTCCGTGACCTCGTAGCCCTCATTTACCAACTGAGGCCGAGGGTACTGCTCACGGATGTCTTGAATGGTGACATGGTGGACCTTCTTGGGGACCAGGTTGGTCTCATTGGTGGAGGGGTCGAGGTAGGCTTCCTTGCCATCGGTGGTGCCATTGAACATCTCAATGCGACCGGTGGTGAAGGAGGTAGTGACGGAGCCCATTTCGAAAGCGGAAATTAAATTTGATTGCAGGATGCAGAAAAATGGAGAGAGCAGAGAACACAGTGCTCGAGGCAGATGAGTGTGGAAGTGATGAGTGTGTGTTGGTGAGTGATGTATGGAGAAATGCAGTCAACAGGCTATACTTATGGAGTGCGACGCACGAAGGGTCGAACCACCAGAAACGTGCCAAACAACATAGTTGATGGCGCAGTGTGCTACACATGGCGGTGTTGAAGATGACCGGACGGACGGTAAGTGTTGTCCGACACCCGAATTAGAAGGGGCTAGCCGCAACGGGAAATTCGGGTGGGGCTTGGCCCCCATCAATGCAGGCACCGGCAAGCCCCAGTCAGCCCTAGTTGCCTGGACCACAACTGCGGACGGAGATTCTGCGCCACATCTACACGCCGGTTCACTTTACCGCCCGTCGCACCCTGCGTCGGCCCCGCGAAACACAGGACTCACGCGACAAGTGGGGCGCCTTTGCGGCCTGGACTAATTTGAGGCAAGCTGAGGCGGTGTTGGATGACATCGCTCCCGTCTCGTGGAAAATGCTCCTCCTCCGGCTCACCAAGCATACGGCCATTGTAGAATGATATTTCGATAAGGTATAAAGATGCACGGTTCCGCTCACACCACCACGCCACTCATCTGCATCCGCATCTTCTCTCATGTTCGCTGCCTTGCTCGCCTCAGTGAGAGCTTTCCTCATTCCGATCGTCCGCACTTTGCCCACTCAACGCCGCCTCGTCAACAACCACCGCGTCCTCCTCCGTCCCATCGTTATTCAGTAGATGTGCTTCTTCTGTCCCAACGACTCCGAAATCACCGCAATGTCTTCCTCCAAGAGAATCATCGACACCCTTCCTGAGAAGGAGAACCCCATGGAGATGGAAATCCTGATCCTGGGCATGCCCCGCACGGGCATCATCTCGCTGCGCACCGGTCTGGCCCAGCTGGGCTACAAGTGCTTCCACGGCCAGATGATGGACAAATTCCCCGAGCTCTACCCGCTCTGGGAAGAGGCCCTCCGCGCCAAGTACCTCGACGAAGGTGAGCTCTTCGGCCGGGCCGAGTACGACAAGCTGCTGGGCGACTACAACGTGTCGTGCAACTTCCCGGGCACGCTCGTCGCCGCCGACCTCATCGCGGCCTACCCCAACGCCAAGGTCATCCTCACCAACCGCGACGTCGACGCCTGGCTGCGCTCCATGCACCAGTCGGTCGACTCGGCCGTCACGTGGAAGAGCTTCGACTGGATCGCACCGTTCGATCCCGTCTACGGGCCCTGGTGGAAGTACCACAAGTTCCAGCACTTCCTGCGCCCGTTGCTAGCGCCCAAGGGCGAGCGCCAGGCCTTCATCGACCACTACGAGGAAGTGCGTCGCCTTGTGCCCAAGGACCGCTTGCTCGAGTACAGAGTCTCGGAGGGCTGGGAGCCGCTGTGCGAGTTCCTCGGCAAGAAGGTTCCCGACGCCCCTTTCCCTCACGTCAACAAGACTAGCCAGTTCCTCGAGGGCCGCACCCGCCGCTGGTGGCACGCTATCGGCTGCATGATGCAGAAGATCCTGCCGCCTGTCGGTGTTGCGGCGGCTGGCGCTGCCTGGTGGTGGAGGGCAACCCGGGTGTGAGAGCAGTGCATATCTTTTCTTGTGTTTCTTTTGACTTGGTCGCGTTGATATCACTGGGGCTCGGGAGCTATGGGGTTCATTGCATTGAGATCGGAAATTGGGAAGATTGTGATAGACTAGAGTCACTGGTTGCTCATTGTTGATATGACGGATAACGAATTTGATTTCGCTTTCTATTTAAAAACACTTTTTCGTGATGCCTGATTACCTGTATTTACAATGTGAACGCTTCAAAAGCATCCTGTGAAGAATCAGCCATGGCGTTGTTTGTAACACTGCGGTTGAGATTGGTATGTACCTCTACAGCTATCAGGCGTTCTTCCCCACAATCGGAAGAATGCGCGATTCTTGCTGCTCATGTGCGACGTCCGGCCCGAAACTTCCTGATTTCTGCCGTAAGAGATGGCCCTTCAGACCGAGAATCACCATCCTCGGCCGCATCAACGGCCTCAATCTATGTGGCACTTAATCAAAACACCCACCGGTGACAAGCATTGCTTGTAGAACTAAATCACCGTTCGCTCCTGCCGGAGCTGGTGGTGGAGAATTTACTTTTCTCTATTTTTAAGTTTGCAACAGAAAGCTAGGCTCAAAGTAGCAAATGCTAAAGAAATAAATTATACGTTGGCTCGCGCTTTTCGCAAAGACCTCTCTGATGAAGGTAAATCAGCACTTATAATTACTAGATCCAACGGGATCGGAGCTATAATGAATCCTTTAAACGGCTTCTTAACAGCGTTTCAGTTCTAATGATTAGCGTTTGAGATGGAGTTCCTAAAGGATCTTCAAAGGATTGGAGATACGAAAAGATAAGCAGCACCTGCCACGCTGCGCCACCCTGGGGCCGGCCCGCCTTGGCGACCCGATCCACAAACGCTCCCATCTTAACAACGAGACTTGGCTTTTGACAAGGCGACGGTCCGGTTCTTGGGGGCCGGTAACGCACGTGCCTATTTATGCATATATGCACAACAAAAGTTGTGCACGGCCGCAGTCGGTGCGCTAGATTGAGTCTAAATGCTGACCTTGGCTGCACTACCGGAATTAACGCTGTGCGCAGTACACAGCCGACTGTCGCAGATCATGGGAACATATTCCCTGCCCAAAAATAACATAAAGGCCGTGCGGGTTCGCCGGCGCTCTAACGTAGAAGCCTTAAGCGCTCCCACAGAACATCTTTGGTCATCTGGCTCCGGAGGTTAAGCCCACCAAGATCACGTTACATCCATCTCATAGCCTCACAAGCTTCTTTGAACTCCATTCCGTCACAGTCCCAGACAATGATACTCTCACGATCAACTGCAATCCCATCTGGGGACTGCCTCGACATCATCGTCGTCCCCGTTGCCTTTCTTGGGGTTCTCTTCACCTGCTTTTTGGTCTTTCTCATGCTTCGACGCTCTGTTCACGAAAGAAGAGACCAGTGTGAGTGACTTCTACTCTACATTTTCCCAACTGTAGGCTAATCTTACCATCGAGAAGCTGCATACCATTCTGTTGGAGAGGCGTAACGCACGAATATTCGATTTACGGGACATGAAATTGGCAATGATATTCGCAAGCAGAGTTAAAACGGCAATGAAAGTGCTTGACGGGACCAAATAGAGAAGAACAGAACGGACAGTCACCAGAACACCATATACCAAATCAATTTCCTTTGTCATTTAAAATCGAATCTCGATGTCTATGTATATTTTAGTTATCTCCATTTCGTACATGCAGTACAGTTAACATCGAGACTCAACGGATGAAATGACAAAAATACTTAACAGTTGACGAAAATTCCAGAGAGCAAATTGTTGATCGTAAACAAACCATTTCTTTCGTCATGAAAAGCCCCGTCTAAACGTTTATGTATCGTCGTGATCGCCATGTCATGTACAAATCCAAACAAATGCAGCGCACCGAAGACACAAAAGCCACACCAGCCAGTCCCACCCTGCTTACCACATCACACATTTTCCCATTGGGAATTCTTTTGCCCCTTGGATACAACAAATGAAATAATACATATGAAATCAAGGGCCAGTCAGCTCGATGCTCGAGTTGCTGCCGACCTTGGCCCTCTCGTACTCGTCCTCGGTAGAAGTCTTCTTTCCCGGCTGAGCCTCTGCCCAGCGGCCGGCAAAGGCGATGCCCGAATGGCAGACGGTCAACACGATGCAGGCGATGATGATCATGGGGCCCTCGAGGATCATGAACAGCACCTCGTCGTTGGCAAGGTGGCCGTTGAAGCCCTCGTTCAGCTCCGCCACGCGGTAGACGCAGCGGATGAAGATGGTGATGGTCGCGATGGCGATGGCTGTGGTGCATAGCATCAGTAAGTTGCGACTCGGAAACAGGGAAAGGAGACCAGAAGTGCTGGAGAAGAACTTACAGAACATGAACGCCCGGAACATGAAGCTCTTGCGCAGCCCCGCGAAAGCTGGGTCCAGCATGTCGCTGTTCTTGCGCACGCGCAGCCCGTACTCGATGCACAGCGCCATGAAGACGGCCAGCGACGCCACCTGCGAGGCCAGACCGGCGATCATGATGTTGATGCCGGCTTGGTTGAGGTCCGGCTGGTCGCGGTCCGCGGTGGCGGTGATGGCGCCGCCCGCGGCTTGCAGGATCAGGGAGAGCAGATCGCAGCACACGAAGATTATAGTGTAGGTCTTCGGCTTGACGCGCGAGATGGCGGGCGAGTGGGCGACGATCAGGCGGCCCAGGCAGATGTAGATGGCGGCACTGAGGAAGGCCGGGCCGATGGTGAGGCAGATCAGTTGCCTGGTGTATGGTCAGCTCGGTGCAACTGGATTCGATGATCGGCCGATAGGCGGGGAAGTGGCTGGTAGAGGGTAAATCTGTGACAGTAATGCAACTTACATGAGGAACGGGTCAAAGGGGAAGGGGTTGAAATGGAGCTGGACGCGTCCCACGTATCCCAAAATCTCCAGAAGGAGACCACCGAACATGCCGACCAAGAAGCCCCAGGTCTTGTAGCGCAGAGCAAGAATGCATTGAGCAATGAGCAGCACGCCGAAGATTGCCAGGTAGGTCAGGTTTCCAGCCAGTGTAGGGACATAGGTGAAATTGGCAAAATCGAGGGGGCAGAGATCGAGAGTGCAGTAGTCACCCGGATCGAAGTTCGGATCAGTCGTGTTAACGCCGGGGATTGTGAGGTTGGCATATGGAGACATCATTGTGAAAAGCTTGACCCGATTCGGCTTTGCGACTGGTGTTGTTGCTGCTGCGGAAACGCCGGGTAGTCTCTCAGTAGAGTAGCGAATGAAGATCGGGGCAAAAGGGAGGAGGATGTAGCAGTGAGCAGCAGTGATTGTGGATATCGAAAACGATCAGGCAGACAGCGAGCAAGTTATACCAAACAATTCTCATGGCTGGTCGCAGCCGCCAAGATAGGCAACCGATGCGATAGAAAGGATGGGATGGCGGCTGAGTCGAGTTGCATATACGGACGGACAAGGACCTTGGCAAGTCCGTGTCCGACCGTGTGGGGGCTGAAGTTCAGGCCGTATCCGACCACTCGGTTTCCCGAGTGCTACAACGGGCCGGTGTTTAAGGGTCCGACCTATCAGATCCTCCGCTTGGCACAGTCATCATCTGTGTAATTTTCCTGTTGTAGCGGTCGGATTGAGCTTGTTTGCCGTGTGCGCTCATTCCGCTCTCGCATCCGCGCTCGCAATCGCCGACCGACGACAAGAAAAACAAGCGCGGGCCGTTCCGCACTTATTCTAATCTGTTTTCAGCCCTCAGGCAGCTGTCGCAGTTATGCTGTGCCGCGCTGCTGCTGCGCCCCGCCCCACCTACCGTAGCAAGTGCTGACACACGTAGCTTGAAACACCGCATAAAGTCTGCCAAGCACACCGATACGGGCGGACAAGGAGGAGTATACGATGCGGAGTCGGAGTAGGAGCAAGAAGCACAAGTGCTGATTGACGGCTTGATGACTGCCCTGATAATAAAGCAGCTTTTCGCTTGAAAGCTTGTCATTCCCCACAAACGCCCTCTCACTCACACCCCACGTATCTTCCTCCTCGCTTGCTCGTCCACCAACAACACCAGAACAATGCTCTTTCTCTCCACCAATCAGCCAGTCATCCTTCTCCTCCTATCACTGTTATCGCTCTTCAGTCTTTCAAACGCAACAGTAGCTGTCGGGAGAGGCGCACCGGCGTCGGGCCCAGTCTACATTCTCGGCACACCGTCATCATCGTCGTCGGGTGACGGCGCAGCAGCAGTAGCCCGGGTCGGCAGTGCCCTGCGCACTCTCGGCTTCCCGACGACATACCTGCCATTCCTGGCCGACGACGACAACGGAAGCAACAACAACGCGACCACCTACTACGACCACTACGCTGCCATCATCTCGCGCGAACCAGGCGCGAAGTTCATCCTGCCCGCCGATTCCCCTTCCCCGTCAGGGAGCAGTTGGCTCCGCCGGCTGCTACAAGAAAAGCAGCGTACCAATGGCGCGTCGTTGCAGCCGCGCAGCAATGCCAACGACAACGCTCACCCCCATACGCTCGCCCTCCGCGCCCTATTCTCACAGCCCGCGCACTCGCAACAGCTGCTCGAGCTGCGTTTCGACGGCAACAACAACGCCGACTCCCATCAGAGCAACAGCGTCGCGCTGCCGCCGAGCGAGCAGCTGCAGGCGTGGGAGCAGCTGTGCGATTTCCTCGGGCTGGGCTACAGTGTCGTGGAGAGGCTGAAGCTGAGGCGGTTTCCTTGAAACGAGAACAATGATACTGCTAACTAAGATACCCTTTTTCCCCATTTTGTATTATCACTATTGGTTTCTGTTTCGGGAGACGGAGGAAGAGGAATGCAACACGCACGTGCGCGCTTACTGAAGTCAAAGAGGAGGGCTGGGAGAAAGATTAGGGCGGAGCTAGAAGAAGAGGCGGAATTATGACCGGGTAAACGGAGAAGAAGGCGTGGGGGCCGCCTAGAGAAGCCTGGAAGATGGATGGAAGAGATCCAGAATACCCCCACGGACAAGGGGGCCACCGGGTCGCTCCGGATAGTCGCTTAAGTTGTTCGCCTTAGAAGTGTAAGCAGAACATTCTATTCGCTGTGCAGTCAATTTTTGCTATCATGCTCATTTCCATTTTGCATTTTTCCTTTCATCTTCCTTTGGGATCGAGCGAGCGTTTCAAATCTGATTCCCGCCACCCTCCACAAAAAGGTTTGTGCAGAAGACTTCCTTCACAAAAGATTCTGTTTCATAATTCTCTGTCATACTCGTGTAGCGCTAGAGAAAAGTAATAACGAACCACCATCAGCAGGTCCCCTGCTCCAGCAAGCAGCTGAAAGGATAATACTATAACAAAAGAAAACCTCGCCCTCTACCAATATATAATTCTAGACTGTACGTGTATACCCACCCCGATTATAATCATGTTCACCATCCGCGCTACATATGTACTCGTGTTTTCATCAAATCCCAAAAGAGAACTCCGGCCCCCAAAATGCAATATCCCACTAACACCCGATTCGGTATAATCGACCGAGACAAACCGCGTCATCCATGCATGAATCTTCTTCTGCCTTCGCTTTCGGCTTCTACTTGTGCTTCGGTGACACGAAGGGGGCATAGCCGGTGCCTGTCATCGTTACACTTCGGTACCACCCACGCTCTCAAACCAACCAATCCGGCCCGCCAGCCGGATACAGCCAGTCGCCAGCCCCTCCGCACCCTTGCGGCACGCTATTGGCACTACTGCCATCGCCCAGCAAGAAGTCGAGCGGGAGATCAGGCAGCAGCGTCTGGTGGTGCTGTGGGGCGGCACCGTTATTAGCGACACTCACGTCCGGGCCCGGATATGAAACAGACCCCACAGACGGGTGATGATGCTGGATCTGGTGGGGCTCAGAAGCGAAATCTAGCCCTATTGGAAGCGAGTCTGCTGCATGCGGCTGCAGGTAAGACGACGAGGAAGCCGTCGACTCCGCGTGTGGCCGGTGATGATGACGAGTAGTAGTGGCGCTGCTCGCTTGTTGATGCTGATGCTGCATCTCGTGCAGGGACGGACTGCTGCTGGCGCTGCGGCTGCGGCAGTGGCTGCTTGAGCGGCTGCCACTACCGCCGCCGCCGCCGCCGCTGCTCAGCTGCTGCAGCTGCTCCCGCCGCGCCGGCGCGCTGTAGACGTCGAACCACTGCTTTATGCGCCGCACGCGTTGCTCGTACTGCGCGAACACGTTGTCGCCCTGCTGCATCTCCGTCGTACCCTGGCTCATGGCGCTGGCTAGGGCGCCTATGCGCTGTGCCAGGGCCCGCAGTGCGTTCGACATGCTGAGCGCAGCCCGCAGCTGGCTCATGGTCGACACGATCTGCTGCTGCTCGACGCTGCTGCGGTCGACGACGACGAGCGTGGTCGATGCTACGGCGAGGCGGGCTGCCACTGTCAGGCCGAAGCTAAGCTGGATCCATTCGGAGTTGTTGAAGGCCGTCTCGGCTCGGGCAGGCAGCGATAGGTAAGCATCGAGCAGGGACTTGCTTGCTGACAGACCGGCGCAGAGCACTTCTAGATGCAGCGGACTGCTGCTGCCGTTGGCCGCCGAAGAGGAAGGTGTCGGGTCGGAAGAGGATGACGAAGGGAGGGATAACATGCTCCAGTCAACCAGCGCAGACTGATAGAGGAATAGCTCCGCCGTATGGTACTGCATCAGTAAGGATTCTGTTATGCGGCCCCCACAAAACGCCAGATTAGCCAGTGGTCGCCAACAGCGGAGCGTGGCAAAAAAAAAAAAGAAAAAGTGATAGTAAGTGCTTTTTGGCACGCTCGATTTTTACGAGCTGCCAAGGGTGGGGCCAGAACTTACGATTTTCACTCAGCTCGAAAGGTAAGTTCGCCCGAAAGGCACTCAGCTCCGTCCGTACAGCGTGCACAGCCGCCTGGGTTGTTGGGTCATCGCCTCCGACAGGCTGTTGCTGTTGGGCGGATAGGAAATCGGTGCTCTCCATGATGTGCTGCAGCTGGACTATATGGTAGAGGTACTTGTCTGTCGGGGCCTCCGGGTGATTGGCCAACGATAAGCAGCACTCTGCAATGTAATCCGAGTATGGCATCGTGTTGAGCTTTTGGAGGAGTTTTGCTATTCTACGAAATGGTCAGTGACTGACTCTAGGATATACGGAATGCGTGTAGCGCACGTTGAGCACAGGTAGAAACACCCAGCAGCTGCACGCTGCTCTTCAGCGGACCGCAAGGGCGGGGCGGGTTCAGCGTGTGGGTTTCGTTGGCTTCCAACATTCGTTTTCCATGCCGCCGGGGGGCTGCGGTCGAGGCGAAGGTCGATTACGATGCTCACAGCGAGCTGGAGGTACTGCGAGTACAAACGTGGGCGGGCGTGATAGTGGCTCCTGCATCTTGTTAGCATCAGCGGGCGGGAGATGGACGTATGCACACACCATGCCAGGTACACTAGCAGACCCTGAAGCACGTCGAAGGTCAGGGCACCGATGGAGAGGATGAGCTCGCTAACAGCCTGCTTGAGGCGCTGGCCGAGCTGGCGCTGGACGGAACTGTCGTCGAAAGAGGTGACGGCCAGCACAGCGAGGAATAGGAATGGCCGTTCGATGCGCAGCTGGGCGGCCGAGACGTGTGCTGGTACCACGACGAAAGGGAAGTGTGGAGTCATACGCATCCTGAAGATCTCGACCAGCACGTCGGCCTGTGCTGCGGATACCAGGCCAGCGTCGATGACATCTTCATTGAGGTTTGAGGAAGAGACGGGCTGAGGCTCGGGAGAGAGCGAGTTGCCGGCGGAAGAGCTGGCGCGGCCACCCAGGAGGTCACGCACTTGAGCTTCTAATGCCTCTATGCGGCTGCAACGCGGTAATGATGAGCAAAAGCGGACCGACATGTGGCGGGTGCACTTACGCATCGCGCATGGCCGAGTTGTAGCGGCGGGTCGAGGGCCGGAAGACACAGTGCTTCCGCAGGCGGTGACAGCGATCGCATGCATCGCGATTCTGGGTGCGATCACAGCGGATCTTGGCCTGGAAGCAGTTCTGGCACGTTTTCGTCAGGGACATGGTGCGTTGCGGGTGCTGCTGCTGCTGCATGCTAACGGCGCGGGCGGCGTGGGGCTTTAGAGAAACGGCGGAGTGGGTCATCTCGTGGCCGGGGTACGTTCGATACAAGTAGGCAACACGAGAACCAGCCAAGGATGGTACAAAATAGAACAGTATTTCTGGCGTGTGGATCGCAATGCCGGGAGGCTTTGGGGGTGAATAAGCGGGAGCACCTGTATGCGGACGCAGGCACAGACCAGTGTTCCTCCGCACCAGCACGGTGGCTCGAGGCTGGCTGGCGGCACGAGCCCGCGCAGGGATCAGGCCCGATGCTGCGGCGCGAAGGATCTGGTTTTGTGCAATCGCAGAATTCCTGGGTGAGATTTGTGTAATGCGGGCGGACTTAAGGGCCGGTTGCACGGGCACAGTTTAGGCCGCAGCCCTGTCAGAAAATCGCGTGGACGAGTAATCTCTCTCTCTATAATTGATCTACCATCTTGCCGAAAACGCCCCATTGCCCAGCCTCCGGGCCACGGCTAAACCCAATCCTTCGCATCCCAGAAATAAGCACTGCGCCTAAACAACACCTCGAGCCCTGAACAGAAAACGGCCGCTCCACAGCCACCAAGTCACCGCCTTTTGAGTCCACCGCTCCTCGGTATCAGCTACTGCGCCATCGACCCTGTGAAGACCTGCAGCGGCCGCCACAGCATCGGCGTCTGGTGCATCGCCTCGCGCCAGTGTGCCATGACACCCGCTGTGCGCGACAGGCTGGCCATGGCGATGATGATGTCCGTCTCGAAGCCCATGGCCGTGTACAGGAAGCAGCCGTACAGGTCAGCGTTCGCCTTGAGGTTGCGGCTGGTGAAGTATTCGTCGGTGTTAGCCACACGGTCCACCTCAAGCGCGATGCGCAGCAGCGGGTTCTGCTTCATGAGCTCATTGTGCTCGTCCATCATGCCGCGGATGTACTTGGCGCGCGGGTCGACCGTCTTGTAGATGCGGTGCCCGTAGCCGAACAGCCGCTGCTTCTTAGCCTTGACGTCGGCGATCAAAGACGGGACGTTCTCAGGCGTGCCGACCTCCTCGAAACCCTTGTACGCCAGATCGATGGCCCCGCCGTGCAGCGGCCCGTACGCCGAAACGATGCCCGAGATGCTGCACGAGATGGGGTCCGTGAGCGTCGACGCCGCGTGCAGGAAAGAGGCGGTCGAGTTGGTCATCTCGTGGTCCGCGTACAGAATCCACAGCTTCTCAAAGCACTTCTCGATCTTCTGGTTCGGCTTCTGCGCCCCCGCCTCGTGGAATCCCATCATCAGCAGCACGTTGCCGATGAACGAACCGTTGGGGTCGGCAGGGGTGAAGGCCTTTCCGCGCTTGTGGCAGTACACCAACGCGATGGTCGTCGACAGAGCGCCCAGCGTGCGGATGATAGCAGCGTCAACCGCCGCCGTGTTGCCCAGGTACGCCGGACGGCCCGAGCTGTGCGTCTGCTGGGTACCCTTGTCGATGGCTGCATAAGCCGACAGCCCGGCCAGAATCATGGGGAAAGTGAGCGAGTCTCGGCTGTTGGATCGTCAGCAATCGTTCCAAAAAAAGGAAATTCGGGGACTTACGGGAACGCCTCGATGACATCGACCACGCTCTGCCGCACCACCATTGCCTCGGCCAAAGACTTCCTGAACTTACGCTTCTCAGCTGCGGAAGGAAGGTGGCCCCAAATGAGCAGGTGGATGACCTCCTCATAGTCGTTGTTGCGGAACAAGTCGTCAATTGACGAGTCACGGTACTGGATGTATCCGCGCTTGCCATCACTGCGAATCTGTCAGCACGTGAACCCTTTCATTTCGGATTAATCAATACTCACATGAGGGTGATGGAAGATTCCATGCAGGCCGTGTTCAGGTAGCCCTTGTCGATGATGCGCAGGCCAGACTCGACCTGGTCCACCGGATCCGCTGCCACTCCTGCAGCGGTAATTTGGCGGAAGTCAGTGGCCTTGATGGCGTTGTGCTTGATGTCGATGTTGTAGCTGCGGTTCGTGCGGTTGTCGGTGACGGTCAACGAGCCAGACGACTCGCCCATCTCAGCAGCACCGGCCGCCGACAGCGCCCACTTGCCCATGACCGTCGACGAGGCATACATGCCCAGCACCCGCTGCCAAGCAGTGATGCGTTCGGGAGAGAGAATGAACATGGTGAAAGATTTTGGAAGTGGCTAAATTGTGCCTGGGAGCAGAAACGGCAGACGCTAATGCAAGAAATGCAAGGGTAAGCGATTCCAAGAGTGGATGAGTCGAAGAAGAAGCTGATGCTGAAGATAGCTGCGATTGACGTCGCGCCCGCCGCATTTTATGCTGCATCGTCGCTGCCTCTTCTTGCTGAGGAAGGTGCTCTTTTTTTGGAACCGTGATAGTGCTTCGAGCCTCCACGCTAGGATAGGCCTGCTTCACGGCCGTCGAACACTACGGCCCGTAGTGTCGAAACACGGACAACGGGTTGAGGTTGTCCGTCGGAGTCAGTGATGGATGATGTCAGCTGGGATCGGTAGCCGATTGGGGGTCTTGTGGCGCGGCACGGCCTGGGGCTTAGCGCTCCTCCTCCAACACCACAACATGACGCTTGGCACTAGCGCTTCCCTTCTCCGTCCGTATCTCGGCTAGTCGGTCAAATGGCTTCACCCGTTAATACTGTCGACGAGCTCGCTGGCTTTGCATCCATGACACTGAATGCCGCACCATCATGAGAGATAGAGGCGGGCAATCTCCATACTCTGTTGCCGGGCCTATGGCAGCAGCTACGAGTGCAACACTTGTCGACCAGTCGCGGCTATCACGCCAGTCACTGGCAAAATCAAAGAAAAGCAGCGACGACGAAGAAAATCTCAACACGAAACCAACAACTCCCTCACGCGAACCATGGCATCGTCGCCTAAATCCCCTCCGCTGGGGCGCAATTCCTCCGATCCCCGCAGAACGAGCAGTGTGCCCTGAGTACAATGCCGGTTTCTTCGCAAAACTCACATTTGCCTGGATGACGCCTATCATGGCGACAGGCTACCGGCGGCCGCTCGAGAACAACGACATATGGCTGGTCAACCCGGACCGCGGCCTCGACACACTTTCCTCCAAGTTCAACGCCGCCTTCTCCCACCGTGTGCGCGGTCGGCACAAGTCTCCGCTCGCCGCCGCACTGCACGACACGTTCAAGCGCGAGTTCTGGCTCGGCGGCATCTGTCTACTCGTCGGGTCGCTGTGCCAAGTCATGGTACCGTTTACTCTGCGCTATCTCCTCGAATACGTCCAAGAGGCCTATTTCGTCAGCACCGCCGAGAGAAAAACAGCCAAAGAATTGGGCGAGACGCCTGGACCGCCACTGAGTAGAGGACTCGGGCTGGTGCTGGGCATCATGATAATGCAAATCACGCAGAGCATTGGGACCAACCAGTTCATCTACCACGGCTTCATGGTCGGCGCACAGTGTCGCGGCGTCCTGGTCTCCGCCATTTTCGACAAGACGCTGACCATCTCGTCGCGCGCCCGCGCTGGCACCACCGCTCCCGACGAAGCTCCCCTCGGAAACGAGAGTCAGTCGGCAGAGAACGTCACCATGGAGGAGAAGCAGCGCTTCGCGACGCGTTTCTTCGGTGGTCAGAAGGACGCCTCGACGGGAGGAGTCAAGTTACCGACGCACCCGCACCTTCCCGCGCCGGTGCCCAAGGGCGGCTATTCCAATGGGCGCATCACGAACCTCATGTCGACCGACACGGCACGCATCGACACTGCCGCTGGCATGTTCCATCTCGCATGGACTGCACCAATCACCATCCTGCTGACCCTGACCATCCTGCTCGTCAACCTTACCTACTCGGCTGTTGCCGGCTTCAGTTTGCTGTTCATCGGCATCCCTGCACTGACGCTCGCCGTCAAGTCGCTCATGCAGCGCCGCAAGCAGATTAACGTCGTCACCGACGAGCGTGTGTCGTGGACCCAAGAGGTTCTGCGCTCCATCCGCTTCGTCAAGTACCATGCCTGGGAGTCTGCTTTCCTCGAGCGGCTACGAGCTCTGAGGAAGACCGAAACGGGTATGGTGGCGAAGCTGCTTACCACGAGGAACGCTATCAACGCCATCAGTGTCAGCATGCCCATCTTCGCTGCTATGCTGTCGTTCATTGTGTATAGCGTTACAGGCCATACTTTGAGTGCCGCCCCTGTCTTTTCCAGTTTGGCCCTGTTCAACGCGCTGCGTGTGCCGTTCAACCTGCTGCCAGTAGTCATCAGTCAGGTGGCAGATGCATTGCAGGCTGTCAAGCGCATCCAGGACTTTTTGCTGGCAGAAGATCAGCAGGAGGGCATCCTGTGGGACGAGAATTCCCCCAACGGCGTCGAGGTGCGAGATGCAGACTTCGTTTGGGAGAAAGCCCCGGGACAAGATGAGGAGGACGAGGCCGACAACGCTGAGAGGGATCCCTCTACGGAAGATCTCCCAGATCAGCCTGTGTTTGGTCTGCCGAACATGGACTTTTCGGTGGGACGCGGCGAGCTCCTTGCCGTCATTGGTTCAGTGGGTTCGGGCAAGACTTCTCTCCTATCTGCCCTTGCAGGTGAGATGCGCAAGACACGTGGTTCCATTACTATGGGTGGCTCTCGCGCATTCTGCCCACAGGACTCGTGGATCCAGAACACCACTCTGCGAGACAACATCCTCTTTGGCAAAGACATGCGGGACGATTGGTACCAGAGTGTAGTGAGCGCCTGCTGCCTCAAAGCAGACATTGACCAGTTGCCTGCCGGCGAGGACACCGAGATTGGCGAGCGCGGTGTCAACGTCAGTGGTGGACAGAGGCAGCGCATGAGCTTGGCCCGCGCCATCTACTCTGACAGCGACATCATCATCATGGATGACCCGCTCTCGGCTGTCGACGCTCATGTCGGCCGCCACATGTTTGAGCAGGCCATCTGCGGCTTGCTCAAGGGCCGCTGCCGCATCCTTGCTACTCATCAGCTGCATGTCCTTGACCGTTGCGACAGGATTCTCTGGCTCGATGACGGCCGCATCAAGACCATTGACACGTACAGCAACCTCATCAACAATAACCCCGCCTTCCGCGCTCTGCTCGCGTCCACCATGTCCGAGAGTGGCCCCGATAAGTCCAAACTACAGCGTCAGCCTACGGTCAAAGGGCCGCAGGAGACCGAAGCCTCGCGCGAGGAAAGCGGGAACAAGAAGGAGCAAGGCACCCTTATCACTGAAGAAGAGCGGTCCGAGGGCAATGTGCCTTGGAGCGTATACAAGGCCTACATCCGCTCGTCGGGGTACCTTTGGTTCGGCATCATCCCCATCATCCTACTCTGCCTGGCCCAAGGCTCCAACACGTTGACCAGCTTATGGCTCTCGTGGTGGACGTCGGATCGCTACGGAATGACCCGCAACCAGTACATCGCCGTCTACGTTATGCTTGGCTTCGTTCAAGCAACGCTCATGTTCGCCTTTTCCGCTGCCGTCTCCCTGCTGGCTGCCCGGGCATCACGCGTCATGTTGGACCGGGCCACTACCAAAGTACTCCACGCACCGCAGTCCTTCCACGACGCGCAGCCGCTAGGCCGTATCGTCAACCGATTTTCCAAGGATGTCGACGTTATGGATAACCAACTGCCGGACGCGCTACGCATGTTCATGTACACGCTTGCCATCATCACCAGTGTCTTCACGTTGTTGATCTACTACTTCCACTACTTCGGCATCGCCGTCGGCCCGCTGGCCATCCTTTTCCTCCTTGCCACGGCCTACTACCGCACCTCGGCCCGCCACGTCAAGCGCCACGAAGCCGTCCTCCGCGGCAAGCTCTTCGCCCGCTTCGCCGAGAGCGTCAGCGGCATCACAAGCATCCGTGCCTACGCCGCCCAGCCGCGCTTCGCCGCCGCTGTACGCAACGCCGTCGACGACATGAACTCTGCGTACTATCTGACGTTCGGCAACCAGCGGTGGCTGGCGACGCGCGTCGACGTCGTGGCCAACGCGGTGGTAGTGACGGTCGGGTTGCTCGTCGTGCTGATGCGCAACGAGGTCGACCCCAGTATCTCCGGCGTCGTCCTCTCCTACACGCTGTCGATCGTGCAGATGATGCAGCTGCTGGTGCGGCAGCTGGCCGAAGTCGAGAACGCGATGAACGCAACGGAGAGACTTCATGCATACGGCACCGAGCTGGAGACAGAAGAGCCAGAACACGACAACGGGTCTGACCCATCCCACAGCAACGCGCCGCCGCAGCTCAACAACTGGCCCTCGGCCGGCGCCATCACCCTGACCGCCGTCTCGATGCGCTACCGGCCAGACCTGCCCCTCGTCCTGCGCGACCTCACCCTCTCCATCCGCGGCGGCGAGAAGCTCGCCATCGTCGGCCGCACCGGCGCCGGCAAGTCGTCCATCACCTCCGCCCTCTTCCGCCTCGTCAACCCGCTCGCCGCCGGCCAAATCGCCATCGACGGCGTCGACATCGCGCGCGTCCCGCTCCAAACGCTGCGCAGCCGCCTCTCCATCATCCCGCAGGACCCGACCCTCTTCGCCGGCACCGTCCGCTCCAACCTCGACCCCTTCGCCCAGCACGACGACCTGCACCTCTGGCGCGCCCTGCGCCAGGCCGGGCTCGCCGCCACCACGCGCCTCGACGACGCCGTCGACGAGGAGGGCGCCAACTTCTCCGCCGGCCAGCGCCAGATGCTGGCGCTGGCACGCGCCCTCGTGCGGGATTCGCGTATCGTCGTGTGCGACGAGGCGACGTCTTCCGTCGACCTCGAGACCGACGCCCGCATCCAGCGCGCCATGCAGGACGCGTTTCGCGGGAAGACGGTTGTGACGATCGCGCATCGCCTGCGCACCGTGCTCGGGTACGACCGCGTGTGCGTCATGGATAAGGGAGCTATCGCCGAGCTGGGCAGCCCGCTCGAGCTGTGGGCGCGGCAGGGCGGCATCTTCAGGGGCATGTGCGATCGGAGTGGGATTGAGAGGAAGGACTTTGAGAGGGCGATGGCCGGGCCGGCCGAGGAGCACCTGAGGCAGGTGCCTAGGGCGAGGGTGAGGAGGAGCGTGGTGGGGAGCATCGGTCGGAGTATGATGGGCAGCGTGGTAGGAACCGTGAGGGGGGGTGTCAGGGGAAGCGTCAGGGGGAGCGTGAAGGGGAGTATCAGGTCGCAACATAGTGTGCGGTCGAATCGGAGGTGGAGCCAGTTCGGCATGGGCGGGGTTGACGAGGGCGACGGCATGTGGGGGAATAACTTGAACGAGATGCTGGACGACGTGCTGAAGATGCAGTGGCGCATTTAGCGTTGAGCATTTAGCCTGGCGTTTTGATTTTTCTCGGAGAAGGTTTGGATGAATGGCGGACTAATGATGATACCTGTAGATGCTGAGATTACGCGATATGACTGCATATAGGAAATAGATACGAAGCATGGAGATTGACTTCTTTTCAACATCGAATTCAAAACGTGAAGAATTGGGGAAAATACCAAACAGGACCTTTTCTGTGAATTTGCTACTAAATGAAAATGATGCTGAGCTTGAGAAGCTACGGCAAGGGAAGTGGATGTAGGAGATTTCAAGGTCGGCCATTGCATGTTCAGGGGTGTCGTTAGGATATATGATGGATTCAGTGTCCACCGACCAAAGTTTCGGTGGCCACGTGCTTGCATGAGGGTTTTCATTCAAAACATCACGCCTACATCTTTCACCAAAACTAAAGAAGGGCGTCCCAACCGCAGAATCGTCCACAATCTCATCCACTGAGCCCATACAACGGCGTCAAAGTCCTCCAAGCCCACGCGGCGACACCATCGACCATCCTCAAATCTTTAATCCACTCCAGCATCAAAACCACGCTCTCCTCAATCCTCGCTCGCCCCAGCCTCTCTCTACAGATGTCCCACAAGAGCTCGTTCTCCTTGATGGCCCGCAGCACAAGCAGAAACATGACGAAGCTCTGCGTCCAGGCGAAGATGTTAGGAACAAGCCGCTTCTTGTCGCAGACGGGCGAATACGCCACGGGCCACTGCAGCATACTGTCCACGGCGTTGACGAAGCCGTCGACGACGACGGTGGAAGACGCCTGCGCGAGCAGCAAGGCCGGCGGCACGTGCAGCGCCTTCCACACGTACGGGCGGAAGATCATAAAGCGCGCGTAGTAGTAGCGGCAGCGCAGCTGGGCCAGTAGGATGTCGATGTGAGGAAGCAGCGTGCCGCGGGAGGACATTTGCTCCTCCATGTTGTCGTAAGTCGTGCGCGCGGCGTCGTCCCAGCGCAGCTCGGGCGGGAGGAGCGAGCGCCAGACGTCTAGTTGCCGTGAAAGCTCCGCGATGATGATGGTTCGGTCCGCTTTGTCGCCGTCGTTGCCGCCGCTGGCTGCTGGAGGGCGTTGGCTTTCGTTAACTAGTCGGAAAATTATGCATAAGGGGCGTTGATGGGATGCAACTTACGGTCGTAAAGCTCTTCAAACGAGCGGTGGATGAGACGGCGAAGGGATATCATGCTTAGGAAGTTGTACTGGTACTTGCTCTCGATGCTGAGCTCACCTCCAAAGTCTCGTCGGTCGTCGAAGTCTGGCAGGGCGATGAACTCTTGAAATCCTGATGCGTCGCTCCGGGGAAGGTTCAAGTCGAGGTAATACCATCTTATGCTCGTCAGCAAAGCGGCTTGATATTCTCGAGCCAAGTTCCCCATACGATTCTATAACGTTGCACGTCCAGTAGACCCTTCTAACCATGTCTACGCCATGGGAGTTCCAGTTCCGTTCAATCCGCAAGACTGCCTTCATTACCTCTGTGGCGGTCATGATCAAGCGCCAGTGTTCCTGGGCATTCAGTCAGCTCCATTTCGCTCTGGGTATCGGGCCTGTGATTTACAATGTGTTTGGAGCAGGCCTCGTAGAACATCCTGTAGAATCCCATCAACATGTAAGACTGAATAATTTCTCAGTAGATATACTCACGCCATCAGCACCATTGCTTGTGCATTTTCCACGGTGCATGAACCCATCACAAAGCCAACTCTCCTCCTCGCTTCATTGAAAATCTCCAATGCAGGAGGTCTCTCAGCCATACCGCCACGTATTCCGCTTCCCTGTACTAAGGGGCTTCCGTTTGTCCCATCACAGGCCAGTGCACCCAAAGCCAGGACCAGCAAGGCGAGCAGGGAATATAGGCATCCGTCTGCAAAACCATATCTCTTGACTGTTGGCAGCACGCCGTCCATAAAATCCCGGCGATCGAGAACCGGGTAGACCAGATTGTACGAACCAAAGTATGTATGAGCGTACCTGTCCATCACTTCGGCGGTTAAGTCCGGAAAAGCGATCCGCGACTGTCCTTTGTCTCCTCTGACGATGTGCAGGCTGGTTCCACGCAGGAACACATCGCACGGCAGCGCTTTGGACTCGTTCAGTATCGCATGGCGCACCAGCCAGCCCGAGCCTTCAGCTAAGATGCCCTCCAAATCCTTCGCGGTGGTGCGGTCCGCGCCGGCGAGAAGTAACTGCACCGACGGCCATGGGAACACGGACAACGCCCCCCGCAGATCCTCCTCATCCAGCACGTGCGGCGGGCGCTGTTGCCGGGGGATTTCCAATGGGGCCATGGAAGCGACGGCGGTGGCGTCCACGTGCATCGGCTCCAGAACCTCGCCGCCTTCCCTCCAGGACATTATTGGGGGAAGCGGCTGCGGCTCAAACCCTTGTGGGCGCTGTTCCATCATATGGTCTAACTTCCTGTCGATGCGCTGCATTGTGGCCAGTATCGTTTCAGCCGTCTTATCTCTCCTAAAGTCCGTGGGGTCTTCATGTCAATTCTTGTGCGCTCTTCGCTCATTATTCTCCTCTGCTCTCTTTTTTTCTTCCTCGTTCCCAGGCTCCTTTGACTAATCATTTGGTACCAGTGCTAAGACTCGGTCAGGGTAGAGAGAAAGAGAAAGAGAGATAACGGCACGAACGAACCCGCACACTCACTTCGTCGGCCGAGGTTCGCGATATAAACATATCAGATCCAGTCTTTCGCACAACCCACATCTCGGCCGCTGCTCATCGCAGCGCGTTTTCCTCGTCCGGCACGTCTCGCACGCCTGCGCGGCGATAGGGTTGCGACGGCGGGCGGCAGCAGTCGGGCTGCCCGGATGATTGACTGACTCGCCCGCTGATCCGGACGATTGTGACGTTTCGACTGAGCGTCTGCGCATGGCCGTGTTTTTATCGGCGCTGTTAGCTGCACGCGGCGCTTCTTCTCCGTCTTCTTCTTCTTCTTCTGGCGGGGTAGGAAAACAGAGTAAACGCACCTTTCCGCGTAGCTGGACACGCTTCTACTTGTATCAGTATTTCGCAGGATATCTACCCTCTCGAGATTTGTGTCGTCATGGCATCGCCATGATCGTTGAGATCGTTGGGCCTGGCGGAAATGGTTCCGACGCGGGAGGGGTCAACTCCGACGGCGATCCATTCAACCACGTGTTGGCGTTTTCGTTGCCGGACTCCGCCGTGATATTATAGGCTCGGCGAGACTGTGCCGGCACGAGGGGGAGCCATAGTATGCTGTCGTGGAGATCGAAGTCAAAGACATCGTGCCGTCGTCAGGAACGGTCACTAGTCCAGCGCCTGCGTCTGCAAGGGCTACCGTGCACCCCACTGGTTCGGAGGTATGCATCGGATTAAAAGAGTGGGTCGATGTGGAAGGGAAGCGTTTCAGATCGGGAGGATGGTGGAAATCGTCTTGCTTTCGCTGGGCCCTGACTGTTCGTGGTCAGTTTATTCGTCTATGATGAAACAGTATCGCAAAAGGTATGTCGATTTTTGATTTCTTAGTGCGATACGTAAGCTTTGAACCACGTTATCTTTGAAGATTTTACCACGTGACGTATGACCTCACTGCAGACCCATCTTTTTGGCTTTCTGAAGAGAGAATTTGCTCCCGTCGGCTGGCATGGCAGTATATGATAGAAACTCGAAGGGTAATTTTGACATGGGTTGGCACCGGCTGAGAAAGAGAGACATCTCCATCGTCTGATTCCCTGCATCAGATATCTTATGTTCGAATAGACGACTAATGTAAGTGCTGGGAAGCCGCAAAACTTGCATGCTCCCTTTTCAAAGGTCGATGTTGGACATCCAGATAAGGCTCATGCAAATATGTTGAAATTAGGCGCAATAGAGAGGATCGCACCATTTTTGAAGAATACTTTCCTTTTACCCTCTGACGGATGAAGAAAACCCAAATTTGCTGCATCCTGGTAGCCCACTACACATAATCATATCGCAAGTATTATATGATTTGTATGTCAAATGAAATATAATAGGTTGGGGTTCAATTCTGAGGGTGCCTGAACACCAGCGCGGTACATAAGGTAGGGCTGGACGGCATGCTGATGAAGACAACGTTGGGGAGTGAAATCTTTCAGCCTCGCTAAAAGCTGTGCAAATCTGACATTCAGTATGGACAGCTATGGAGTCAACCTTCATGTTTCTCCTACTAGTTTAGGACACCCACGAAGTCTCTCGGTTCAAAGAAAGCCGAGAGAAGGGCGGGATTTACTTACGAATCACACACTCGAGGCTGGATGAAAGTACGACATGGCGTCATCTTCCATATTTCCAGGTAAAAGGCCTGTGTGTAGCGGTCAGTAAAGGAGTCCATTCCTAATCTGCGAGAACCACTTTGCCGAGGCATATCTAGTGATTAGTTTAGTAAACAAACCGCTTGCGACGGCTTCATACGTCTTGGCGTGCTGTACCGAGGCCGCTCATTATCTTCTGCTAGAATCCGGCATGACAGTTCGAAGCCCAACATGTATGTGGCGCCGAAGTCTGACATGATGGCGCAAAAAAGATAGCAGAGGAACAAATGGTTTCCGGGACGAAGCGTAAAAGTGGAAGTCTAAAGCCGTGCCGTGACGCTTTTCTTCAGCAGCGGCACATAAGCCACTGACTAGAGGACAGTCCAGGCCGTGTTTGCGGCATATGTTTGCCATTCAGGGATCCGTCTGGCGGGCTATTCCTACCATTGTGGCTGTGAGCTTATCCGTGAGAAAGTTTAGCCCGAGCGTATTAGCGTGTTTTTAGGTAAGCTTCCCGAGCCACCGGGCTATTCGTGCCGTCGCGGCTCTTAGCTTCCCCGCAAGCAAATGCCGGCCCGAGCGCCGACCGGTACGTCCTGCCACGCCGGATTCGAGCTTCCCCACAACCCCAGAATCTCTGCCCCGGACTTCGCCCCGCAGTCTACACCCCAGATATTCGCTCGTGATATCACCTGTGTATATAAAAGGATGCGCACGTCCATTCCCTTCGTCCGTACAGCCCAGTCGGACACTTCTTTCCTGTCCCCTGCCAATCTCCTTCAGCATGGCGTCCATCGACATTTCCAAGGGCACCGAGCACCTTGAAGAAGTCGTCGTCGAGAAAGACGACAACCGGAACCTGGACACGATTGAGGATGGCACACCTGGAGCCTTCGTCTGGCTGTGTGCCGCTGCCGCCGCCATTGGAGGCATGCTTTTCGGCTACGACACCGGAGTCATTTCTGGTGTGCTTGTCGTAATCGGCTCCGACCTCGACAACAAGGCCTTGTCCAGCTCCGAGAAGGAGCTTATCACCGCCCTCTGTGCGGCTGGCGGACTTTGCGGCGCAGTAATAGCTGGTACGACGGCCGACAAGTACGGCCGCCGTCCTGCCATCTGGTTCGCCTCCGTCCTCTTCACCATCGGTGCCGTCATCCAAGCCAGCTCCTACACCATCTCCCAGATGTCAGTCGGTCGCTTCTTGGTCGGCCTGGGCGTTGGTTCCGCATCCACAGTAAACAGGCCCCTCTTTTCCTCTTTCCCTTTGAACTCCCCTCTGACAATACCTAGGTCGTCCCCCTTTACATCGCCGAAATCTCGCCTGCCCGCTTCCGCGGCCGCATGATCTCCGTCGACATGATCTTCCTAGGCGCGGGTTCCGTGCTTGCCTACGCCTTCGACGCGGCCTTCGCAAGTGTCCCACACGGCTGGCGCTACATGGTCGGCATCGGCGGGCTGCCGTCGATCCTGCTCGGCATCCTGCTCTTCTGGTGCCCCGAGTCGCCACGACAACTGCTCTTCCACAACCGGACGGACGAGTGCGCGCGGGTGCTGCGCAAGATCTACCCGCGGGCGACCGAGGAGCAGCTGCGCGACAAGGTGCGCAGCATCGAGCTGGGCGTGACGCAGGCGAAGGCGCTGAACGAGGAGATCTCGGTCGTGGCCGCGCTGCGCATGCTGTTCGGCGTGCCCGCGAACCTGCGCGCCGCCGTCGCCGCCTGCGGCCTGATGGCCGTGCAGCAGCTGTGCGGCTTCAACACCCTCATGTACTACTCGTCCACCCTGTTCGACATCGTCGGCTTCCACAACCCTGTCGCCGTCGGCACCGTCGTCGCCGGCGTCAATTGGATCTTCACCATCCTGTCCATCTTCCTCATTGACCGCGTCGGCCGCCGGCGCATCCTGCTGTGGACCATGTGGGGCATGCCCGTCTGCCTCGTCGGCGCTGCTGTCGCTTTCAAGTGGATCCCCATCGACCAGCAGACGCTGACTGTGACGGAAGATAAAACTGGGCCGCCGGCGATCATCGTGCTGGTCTGCATGATCCTTTTCGTGGCATTCTATGCTGCTGGTCTGGGCTGCGTGCCATGGCAGGCGAACGAGTTCTTGCCTATGGAAGTGCGCGCTATGGGCACCATGCTCGTGAATATCTGCAACTGGTAAGATCTTCTTTGTTCATTTTGACCATATTTTGCTGACATATTTTGTTTTCAGGGGCCCCAACATCATCGTAAGCGCAACGTTTCTGTCCATGATGAAAGGAATCTCGCCGTCCGGCACGTTCGGTTTCTACGCTGCGCTGTGCTTTATCGGATGGATCTTCGTCATCTTCTGCTTCCCGGAAGCAGCCAATATGACATTGGAGGAGGTTCGCTGCGTGTTTGAGCACGGGTTTGGAGTGAAATATGCGGAGGAATGGAGGAAACAGCGGAGCGTGGATATGAAGCAGGCAAAAGAGGAAGTTAAGGTGTAACTTAGCATCATGCACGCCTTTCAAGGCAAGTAAACAAGTTAGACGAAATTAGTACTGAGAAATCTTGCGTAGCCGAAAATGTTAGATGAAAAATTATCACCGTTATCAACTCATTGTAAGAGTAGTAGATCAAGAAATAATAATGAGCACACGAAATAACCGCAAACAAGAAACCAAATCTCCTCGTCGATGATCTATTTCCTCTGCAATGACGTGTACTCACACAACATAGAATAGCGTGCGCTCGTTGTCTGATCGACGGAGCCTGCCGTTGAGCCATTTCAAGTTCCATCTCATGCCCCAGGCAGCAAGCATACACGCCAGAGAAAATCCTGCGCTGGAACCCATGGCAATGGCATATCGCGGCTCGTCGCTCTCCGGCCAAAGATACTGCACATCGCGTTAGCGTGAGATTTAAGGTGATAACGGAATACATACCGGGGTCCAAATGAAGCTGACGTTGGCAACCGAATTGACGATGCTGTACGCCGAAGCCTTCTTCTCCTGCGTTTGCCCACAGGTGCTCCCAACCCAGCCGAGAATAATGCTATTCACCGCGTATGTGCCGATAGTGAAGACGAACATAGCAAAATACCGCACGCCTGTATTGAGCGTCGCGCAACCCGTCACGAATCCAGCGATAGCGATAATCTTGGCCACCGTGATATGCCACGTCCTCTCATTGAACCGGCCAGATGATATTGACCAGAAAATGGATGTCAGACCCGCAATGAGGTATGGCGGGCATGTGAGCACCAACGTGATGGTCGTGTTGAAGCCAAGGGTTCTGCACACGTCAAGTCAACTTCCACCGCGTCGAAATTTAGTCATGCCGGTACTCACTCGACAACCGTGGGAAAAAAAATTCTTGAACCCGTTAGCAGCTAGGTGCATGTGCTGCATAAAGGCAAAGACCCAGACGCGATAATCCAGAGCGGCTTCTTTCAGCCCCGCAAAGGTGGATGAAGCTTCGCGCTTGCCAACAGTGTCACGAACGATCCGATCGTGAGCTAACTGGCGCTCTTCAGGCGTGAGCCAACGAGTCGTGAGAGGGTTGTCTGGTAGAGTGAATACTGCGCCGAGAGCTACCATAAAAGTAACAGCGCCTTGGAGAATAAAAAGCCATTGCCAGCCGGCAATTCCGCGAGTCTTGTCGAGGCCGTCGAAGACGCCGGCAGCGATAAGCCCCGCAAATGCAGTCGCAATAATGTTGCCAGTGTAGAGAATAGAAATACGAGTAGCGACTTCCTTGCGTGTGTAGAAGGCTGAAAGAAGGTAAAGCGCTCCAGGGTAGTAGGGGGCTTCAGTAACACCAAGGAACAGGCGAGTGAGCAGTAAGCCAGTGTAATTGTGGGCGAGGGCAGTCAGAGCTGAGACAATAGCCCAGACAGCCATCCAGAGACTAAGCCAGTATGACGGGCGGACGCGAGTGAGGATCATGTTGGACGGAATCTGACCTACAAGGTAGCCAACAAACAGAATTGAAACGCAGGTCTGGTACTCGGTGGACTTGAGATTAAGATCCTCTTCTAGGTCATTGAGCCGCGCGAGCGCAATGGCATTTCGATCCAGATAGTTGAGCCAGAACATTAACCAAAGAGTTGGCTGTCGTGCGTTAGTGGTACTGTCTGCCACAAAACTCCGCATCAGATCGGTAGCTCACCATAATCCACCAATCAAGCTTCTTCACGAGCCTTATTTCCTCGGGAGAACTTTTCTCGTGAGCGCCAGAGTAGTCCAGTTTGACATCCTTCTCTTTCAGATCATGGTCGACGAAAGAAATGTTGGTCTCGCTATTCTCAATACGCTCCAGGGTTGCTTTCTCGGCCATTTGCAAATTTCTGTCAAATTGGATGGAGATGCAAGAGAAGAATGATGGTGCTGGTCCGATAAGTAGAGAGCGCAAAGCGATGAGAAACACTTCATTATAAAAACGCTTCATCGGCCTTCACGAGCCTGTATCTCCGCAACTCCCCAGAGTCTCGCCTTATTTCCCCGCATTCCTCCTCGCTTCCCCTCATTTCCCCAGATTTAGCCTCGATCCTCTTCCTCGCAGGGTCTGACATTGTCTCCAATACACGTAGGCATTACGGTGAAACCGAGGCACAGGACCGGTTGATCATTGAGCCTGAACTTGTTTCCAGACTCGCGCGTATCTGCTGACGGCAATGCAGCGTCAGTTATCATGTTGAAGCCAATCAAGCAGTCGAGGTGCAATGGCGAAAGACGAAGCATTCGCAAGGTGGTCTTGGGGCCTTGGAGAGTCTTACCAGGGCTCCCACTTGGCAAGACAAGACAAGACAAGCCAGGGTTACCTCCTGTCTTGATCAAGTCAGCTGCGTCTTGAACAAGACGGTCTTATCTTGTGTTGTCTTGACATCTTGGCAAGGCGTCTTGCCAAGTGGGAGCCCTGAGTCTTACAGCCTGACCCGGCCCCACGAAGGGGGCGGTGTCTTGAAATTGCCAGATCAATTCAAGTTTGACTTCGTGTGTTAATAAGAATGTATTTTCTACAGGAATCCTCAGCCATCGTCTATGCACCGTTCTGTTTAGGCTGCTGCTCTGGTACGATGGTCAAAAGCTCCTGACCCAACACCGCCCTCTTTGCGTTCTCCATAGCATGCGCCTCCATCTGAGCCAACGTCTCCGTCGTGTGAGTGCCTAAATGAGGCACCAACAGAGCGCGCTCATTCTTCACGAGCCGCTCATCAATCAAGGGTTCCCGCTCGTACACATCCAAGCCAACTGCCGCAATACGTCCCTCATCCAACGCGACGGCCATGGCAGCCTCATCGATGATGGCTCCACGCGCCGTGTTCACGAGAACCACTCCGGGCTTCATCTTCGCTATCTCCTCGGCACCGATCAAGTGCCTCGTCTTCGCGGACAGGGGAACGTGTACGGAAATGATGTCGCTCTCGGACAACAGCTGATCGAACGATACGTAAGAAGCGCCGGCCGCCAATTCTTCCGACAGAGGATGCCGGTTGTGGTACACGGTCTTGAGGCCGAACGGATCTGCGCGTGCCTTGACCGCGCGCCCTATGCGACCCATGCCGAGGATGCCGAGGACCTTGCCCTGCGGGTCATGGCCAAAGTCGACACCTTTCTTGAATTGCCCGTTGCGCACTTTGCTCAAGGAAGGGTTGAGCTGTCTCAGGGCGCCGAGGAGAAGGAAGAGGGTGAGGTCGGCAGTGGCGGCGGTGACGGGATCCGGAGCGTATGTGACGGTAATGCCGCGCGCCGCAGCAGCGTGCACGTCGATCTGGTCGTAGCCGGCGCCATTGTGGCAGATGAACTTGAGTGATGGAGGCAGGTGGTCGATGAACTCTTTGTCGAAGTTGCCGGCAACTGCTCCGCTGGCTGATGTGCGGTAGATGACCTTGACATCATGATACTTTTGTCGGAGATCGGAGAAGAATTCCTCGCGAGAGGTGCTGGTCACGACTTCCGTAGCCGCTACTCTCCCGAGTGCCTCATAAGCCTGACGCGCATGCCGGACCGGGTTGAAAAATAGGATGCGTGGTAATCCAGTCATGTTGGCCGAGAATACAAGTTTCCCCTTGTACTGTCTGAGAAAACGAATTGAAATGTATATTCATCCCCAGACGTTCGCTTCATTTATTAAGTAAATGTTCTTAGTTCGGTTGAACTTTTAGGCGCAAGTCCACCCTGGCAACATTTTTAGCCATGCGTGGACACGTACCTAGACGCCAATCTCCCGGGAAAAGCGCAGAATATGTAGGTTTTTGCCGCACAGGGCTCCTCCTTGGCAAAACAAGACAAGATAGGCCGGAAGTGCCCCGTTCTTGATTAAGACAAGACGTCTTGCCAAGTGGGAGCCTTGTTGCCGCGTATAATTCATGTCTTTGCTTGTTAAATATGTAGGAAATTTTTTCGGAGAGAGCTCTTGTTCTAGGTTATTTACTAAAGACAATATAATCTCTTTTCACCAAGACCTTAAGATTGCTGCTATACCAGGCGATGGCATTGGTAAGGAAGTCATGCCGTTTACACAGTAGTCTGCGCTGTTTGAAGATCGAAGTCCGACTCGGCTCGGAGCTAGACCGCTATATCCGACTCTACTATACACCAGCCTACCCTCCCCCGCATTAATATTAGCACCAACAAGCTGTTCATTTTTCGTATTTGAGTCTTCAGCTCAGAGCGAAAAAAAAAAAGCCATGTGCTAAGCATAGAAAGATCTGAAGTAACAACAACTCCCGTCCCTAATGCGCACAACCGTCTTAACTGATGAGTAGAGAAACAATAGATAAACCAAAACACCAAAATGCATCCGCACAACCCACTCACGGGCTCAACCTCTGCACCTTCCATCCCGCCTCCTTCCCTTCCGCCTTTGTGTACCTAAACCGATCATGCAACCTGCTCTCCCTCCCCTGCCAAAACTCGACCTCACTCGGCACGATCCTGACGCCACCCCAAAACGGCGGCACGGGGATCTTCTCCTGGCCTTCAAATCTCCTCTCGACCTCCCTCACCCTCTCCTCCAACTCCTCCCTGCCGCCCTCCAACACCTCGCTCTGCCGACTCGCCCACGCGCCCACCCTGCTCCCCCGAATGCGCGTATCGTAGTACACCTGGCTCTCCTCCTCGCTCAGCCTCTCGACGCTCCCCTCGACCCGCACCTGGCGCTCCAGCCCCTCCCACCAAAACGTCAGCGCGGCGTGCGGATTGCTCGCGACGTCCTTGGCCTTGCGGCTGGTGCCCCAGTTGCTGTAGACGACGAAGCCGCGGTCGTCCAGCTCCTTCATGTACACGACGCGCGCCGAGACGCGGCCCGACGGCAGCTCGGCCGTGGCGAACGTCGCCGTCTCCGGGTGCGCGACGGCGGCGCTGGCCGAGGCTTGGCCGAACCAGGTGTGGAATTGCGTGAGCGGCGAGGGGGAGAGGTCGCCGAGGTCGAGCGCGCCTTTGTGGAATTGCGAGGCTTGCGAGGCGAGGGCGCCGCTGTCGCCCGGGGCGAAGATCAGCTTTTGTTTGGTCGTGGTGGTCGTCGTCGTGCCGTCGGCGGCGGCGGCGGCCGTGGGGTCGGGTTGTTGCTCCTTCGCGGTGTGGAGCATGGTTGCGGTGGAGGAGGAGAATTGAGCTGCGTGAGGGTACAGTCGTGCGAGTGGTTGTTGCGCTGCTGTTGAGTCGGAGTGCCGGAGGCGGGGCAGGATCGTAGTGGGGCGGAGGAGCGCGCGTCTGGCTAACGAGCTCATGCGGACGGAGCAGCAGCCCAGAGGTGAGGGTGAGTTATATATTGTCACTGGGCGAGGTGGTGCGATGTGGAGAGAGGTTGGAAGAAGGTTCGACGACTCATTGATGCACGACGTCGGATGACTTGCATTTTTGCAGTGTGTATGACGCGCTGAAGATCGCGAGACCAGCTGAGAGCTTGGGTCCAAGGGGTCCGTGCGCGCGCCTGGTCGTCAGGTCGTAGGCCCTTAGTTATCTAACCGCGCTAGAACTCCGCTTGAACCTTTTTTTGATTTTTACTACTATTAAACAGATCCGGACGGTATCAAGCGACTGGCTGGTAAAGAGCGATGAGGAAGAGATATGCCGAAGAATACCACGGAAGCCCAAGCGTCCCCATGCGATTCTATGCAAGGTATTAGAGTCATTCAATTGTAGAATTAGCCCTCCGGGCAGACGTACTACGCCTTTTAGCAATATAAATCACTTTCTAACTATTAATCGAAGTGTCAGTTTATAAGCGGAATAAGATCACTTGACAGATAGCCAGATTATCAGATCCCAGATGAAGTGCACTCACGTTTTTAGCAACTGAGAATACTGAAGCTGTAGAAAGCGTAGATACAATCCTTCGATGCAGACTATCGCGCGAATATGATAAGTTTCTGTAGTGGACCATTATGACCGAACACTAGAAGCGCCTTATTCGGGCAGGACCTGTACAATCGGTGCGGGGCTACCACGTGTCAGGCCAGCTGGTCTCCATCCCCCGTGGGGCCGGCGTGGACACAGCGGCGCTTCGCCAATGGGCTTCAGTTGCCCCGGATCGTTACCCTGGCATGTCACGCAACCAGATGCGGGGTAGTTGCATTGACAAGCTCCACATCGCCTGAACATTGTGCCGACTAATGATATCGAAGGAGCTTGAGCGAATTAAAGATTGCTGGGCGTGGGGGAACTTGAACAGCATGGCCTTATTGCAAACCAAGAATGTGCCCGACACTACTGCAATGGCGGGCTATATAGCCATTGACGGCAAAGTCTAATACGTCGTGCCAGGCGGCCATGTGTAGATTGTGCTATCTGGTTTCTCTTGATTTAGCTGTCACAGCCGACAGAGCTCTGTCTTTTTGCTGTTTTATTGCGGCCTCATTACGTAGTCTCTTTGCTGTGACGCGTGGCTAGCTGCGTCATTCGCCAGTGTGCGGTTAATAATTTAACCATAGCTTGCTGCAAGCAATTCAGTGGCCGTATTGTTTGCCGCCATTTGAGTCTCGACGTTCATCAATGGTTCTATTTGCGTCATTCCCGGGTAATTTATAGACCGCATCTTTGAATGACGCTGCAACTGCGCATAATATAAAGCGAACCAAATCACGCGGTCAACTAAAGAGAAGAGAACATACAGGTCCGTTATTCGCCAATGCGCTAACTTTCAGAGTATTGAAGCACCATCACCATGACCAAAGTGGCTGTCCTTGGTGCCTCCGGCCAGATTGGTCAACCTCTAAGTCTCCTCCTTAAATCAGTACGTCCTGCACGCGCCTTGAATTGAGCCCGACCACCTACCCTGCTAACCTCTTATCATAGAGTCGTCTGGTGACTGAGTTGAGGCTCTATGATATCGTCCACTCCGTCGGTGTTGCCACCGATCTAAACCACATCGACACACCAGCCAAAGTCAGCGGGTACTTGCCAGCAGACAATGGTCTTGAGAAGACCTTGACAGGAGCTGAACTCGTCATAATACCAGCTGGAATCGCGCGCAAGCCGGGCATGACCCGTGACGGTACGTGACGTAAGATAGAATACTTCCAGCCTCAAAGCCACTAACATTCCTTGCAGACCTCTTCAAGACCAACGCCAACGTCATTTCCGAACTGCTCTCTGGCGTGGCCAAGTTCTGCCCCACCGCCTTTGTCGCCATCATTACGAATCCAGTCAATAGCACCCTACCCATCGCCGTCGAGGTACTCAAGAAAGCCGGCGTGTATAATCCACGCAAGGTTTTCGGCGTCACGACCCTCGACGTCGTACGTGCGTCAACATTTCTCGCCCACATCTTGAGTGAGCAGGATCCGCAGAAATTCAAAGTCCCCGTGGTCGGCGGGCACTCCGGAGCAACCATCTTGCCCCTGTTCAGTCAAAGCCAACCGGCGGTCGACTTGACCAGAGAGCAGTTGGATGCGATAACATACCGTAAGTGGGATCTTTCTTGCATTCTGTGCTACGCCCTTCCCAATGGCTGATCGTGAACGGCTAGGCGTCCAATTCGGTGGCGATGAAATCATAAAGTCTAAGGCTGGCGCTGGCTCAGCCACCACTTGTATGGCATACGCCGGCTTTCGATTTGCACAAGCCATCATCAAAGCGTCGAAAGGCGAGTCTGGGATCATTGAAGAGGCATATGTCTACCTTCCTGGCGTGCCTGGAGGCGAGGAGATCGCAAAGAGCCTAGGCGTGGAGTATTTTGCAGTGCCAATCGAATTTGATTCAGAGGGCGCCAGCAAGGCGTTGCCTATTGGAAAGCTGTCGGCGTACGAGGAAGATTTGCTGAAGATTGCGGTAGAAGAATTGAAAGGCAATGTGGCCAAGGGTGAATCTCATGTCAGGGGAGCGGCTGCCTAGTTGAACGCAGGTCGAACCTCGAAACTTTATGTACATAGCTTGGATCTGCATATACCAATTCGATTGCATTACCGCCCTATAGGACACATGCGCTGCGATGGAAGAGAGTAAAGCTGCTTACAGGCTCTCTGCGAGTGTTCATCGGGTTGCACTCTTGACCTTTTCTACTTGCCGCTTATAGTTGCCGCTATAATTCCAATCCTCGCTTTAGTTTTGTTTAACAAATAAAATTAAAATAACCGTAATTAAGTTGCAGAGACAATGGCTCATTCTCTATTTACGTAAGGGGATCTACGGAATAAACGCCCATTAAATCTCTGGACAAGCCGCTGAAAGCTACATTGTAAACCTTGTGATCCTCTCAGTCTGTCTAATGGCTTTCAAGATCGGCGCGTGGCTCACATAGTCAAAACTGCTCATAAGATGGGTAGAATATCGGTCTAAATTGCTGTCCAACATACGAGTATCACGAGTATGAATTTTGTGGTTGGTTCTGACAATGTTTGAACCGTCTTCAATTGTCTTGGGCCCAATGGCGTTTCTGTTGCCTATTCTTATGAGTTTTGTAGCTGTCCTCGCAGTCTTTTAATGTCTGCGTGGCTGGCTTTGCAACAGCCACCTACAAGAAACTCCTGAAAACAACCTTTTTCGTACGATTCCTTCACTGCCCGGGAAAGCTGCAGCTCCCAAGGCTCCTGCAGTACAAATGAGCAAGCTATCATGGCATGATTATTGGGCTAGGAAACACCTGTATGTACTTACTTTCTGCTGGGTCTCCTCAGACGAAACATCCGGTCTTTCCCATTGTTTGGTCGTGGTGTTGTAGATTTCCCCATTCGTCCCATCAGGGTATAATACAAGGCTCGGGGATGCATCCAGCCTACCCGCCTTCTGTATCTTCCTGACAGCGTCCTCGAATTTCCGAATCAAACCCGGGAGCTTGTGCATCTTGGTACAGTTGATTCCAATACCCCACAGTCTGGAGCCATCATCAAGATGGTCTAGCATAGCCTCAACCACTTGATCAATCGTGCTGCCATCAGGAAGATTGTCGCCTTCACCCGGGAAGACGCATGAGATCCAAAGACGAGGACCGGGCTGGTTCGTGGTAATCCCAGCCGCGTGAGCTGCTCTTCTCACAGCCCGTATCTCATCCAGTCTTGGAAGCGTCTCGAACGCCACGTACTGCACCCTTTCCTGGAGTCTGTCCACTGCCGTGAAAAGATGCAGTCGTTCAAGGTGCCATTGATACAGATTCTCCTCCGTGTCGTGCTCTGCATCGTATTTTCCGCTGTATTCCTGTCCGGGGATCATGCTTGCGCCGTATGGCCCAAGGCTTAAGGCGAGCTTGGCCGATCCATGGCTGCTCGCTTTCTCTGCAATATCAATGGCCTTGGCCAGGAAAGATGGGATGGCGTCCTTCGGAATACCGTTCGGGAATTCAGCCGTCTTGGTCCTCGCAAAGCCCTCAACGGACACTTGGTAGGTTGCAGAGAGAAGCACGTCGGCGCCTGCTTCTACAAAATCTGTTTGGCAGGCAAGGAGTGTGTCCTGATTTTCGATAACGAAATGTGACGACCACAGTGGTTGTGCGTGATTAAACTTCACGCCGTATTTATCCTCCAGGGAAGTGCCAAGCCCACCGTCGAGGATCTGGACTGTTGCCATTGTGGGTGGATGTCTTGATGTGCAAGTATGTTGTCGTTGGCTGCACTGTACCTGACCAAATTATCTGACGCTATTTGTGTGGTTTGTGTGGAGGGGTAGCTTCGCTAGTGCCCGATATCGGAAGACGGTCCGTTAAGGCTTACAAAGTAATGTGCTCGGCGATGCGTCTCGTACTCGACTTGGAGCAAGCTGACTTAGGGCTTCAAATGCATTCGGATTTTTTTGCAAGTTCCGTCGGCTACGAGGCGAGCAGGTCCACAGGGAAAAGCCATAGCTAAATCGTTCAGTTCTGTATCCATACTACCATCTGATGCATTAATGAGGACATAACACTTACAAGATTTGAATCAATGAAGTTGTAAGACCAGCTCTGGATCATCCTTGGCGCGAGGATCCCGTTCTTGCTCCAACCCTGCAGAGGGCGCCGGTACCAACCTTCCAGCAAACCATACATTCATAAAGGTATGCTTGGTGACTTCACGATACTTCAAGGAGTCCAGAGCATCAAGTATTTCCCAGTGACGAAGATTGCCTTTGCCACATCACGTCCGTGTTTACATCTCCCCTATACAACGCCTAACCATGACAGCGGCCAATTGGAACAGCACCCCACCATTGATCCACGCTATCCATTTGAGGAGCGTCGATGTAAATGATGGTCTGTGTCGAGCTGCTTGTCCATGGGGAATTAGCAAATCAGCAGCTGAGAAACCCGGCCGACCCGGCCACGCCAGTAAGCAATCGGAACACATTTTGGAGGCTTACTGCATATGCCGATGCATATCTCTGATACTCAGCAGATGCATTTTGCAGCGTCTTCAAACCCGTAACGAAGCCCTCGGCATCGTGCGAAACACTCTATGGCAGGAGATGCGACTGAAGCATATTCTGAAACATATTCTGAAACACGGCCCCGCTGATAGCTACGCCGATGCTCATTTTGAGAGAGCGGAAGAAGGTGTACATTGAGACGACATATGCTGCGTTGCGTTCCTCGGCTATGGCCTGGATGGCGAAGTTCAGCGACATGAGGATGAGGCCGCGGCCGACGCCGACCAGAATGAAAATCATCTCCCAGCCGCATGTGGGTGTGTCGACATCGAGTACAATCAAAGTGTCGTTTTCGGCGCATGTGACCACCCAGCTAGACCAGACGGCCAATCGGAAGCGAGACAGCAATGGCGTTTGAGGCAAGTTGGGCGACGCAGCTGTAGACACTTGTGAAAGATGGGCCAATAAAGCCTCGGGCATTGTGCATCAAGCACGATGCTGATTGAGCCGATGATTTTTGCGGACTGGAGGAACTTTGAAAGGGGGAAGCTAGTGTTCAGGTTCTGGAATGTCATGCAGCTGCAAATGTTAGAGGCTAAAGGCTCGTAAGCACGGTGGTCATTGAGGAATATCCTTATGTCGGTTGCTACTATTTCATTACGTCTTTCAGTTCGTTGCTTTCGTTCCTGAGCAACTTTCCATGGATAGCCCATGAGAGAATGCAGATTCACTATTGATTCGCAACAGCAAATCCAGTAATTTCCCATCCAGGCAGAATCTGCGCAACATTCGACAGCAATAATCGGCATGGTCGGAGCGGACTGCGCAGGAACATGCCAGCAGGAATGCTTACTCAGGATCAAGATCGGCAGAAGCTAGGTCGTTGTTGGAAAACGTTATCCTTGACGCCACCACCGAGCCAACGTCCGATCCCATAACTCTAACAAACTCCATGACGATGCCTGGTCATACCGATACGAACCTCCCCGTCGATGGTCTGTACATGATGGAGACGACGTAGACGAGCGGTAGTCACTGCCACGAATCCGGACAAAAGGCACATGAGGAAGCCCGAAAACATTTTGATAACTTTAGACATGTCAGCACCCCCGCTGCCATGTTGCCAAATATGCAGCCCACCAAGATCATCTGGACTCGATCGGTCCTTACCCCTGAAACCTGTACTCTCCTTTCCATCGCCGTGGCCCACTATCAAAAGTTCCCCGTATCATTGATCGCTCTTCCCTGACCATTTGATAAGTCGCCACCCGCACGAGCCTGGATTTTCGCAGGGAAATTGACCTCAATCTATCTGTGCTCCGTATCATTCCGCATCACCTTCCTTCGCGTTGGCTGACTACCTATCGGTCAACCGGAAGTCTCATCGCGTTATCATCCGCTTATCCCCGGCGCTAGTGTCCGGAGCCGCAAATATCCCTGGGGAGCACCATCGGCCCGTTATATTGCCACGAGGTCCTAACGACAGTGGCGTGTTAGCCTCTAAACTACCGGCCGTTTATTCGGAACATCAGCTGCGCCACCGGGTAAAAACCTCCGCTTCCGCGTTGGATGTATAAAGTTTCATTGGCCGAGGAAAACGTATACTAAAGGGATGTTATCATGTAGCTTCCGAATATTGTTTAGGTCGCTTCGTGGCGCTTAACGTCGGCGGTTTTGAACGTCCTTCAGGATGAAAGCTAAACCCTAAATCAAGGGGGAAAGTAATTGCCGCTGCTGGTCGATTTAAAGGATGGGTTTCTATGCTGGTTATCGTAGGCCTATGGCTTAACGCTCGCTCTGCTGATTCCCAAGACCCCCACTATGGGCCTTTCAGCAGCCCTTCTCGAGCAGTGGGTAGAGTATCCCATTGGTGTTACTGTTTGTCTTTTACGCCTTTTTGCTCGTGTACGCGTTGTCGGCTGGGGGAATCTCTACTACGATGACCTTTTCGCCTTTCTCGCCATAGTAAGTCGTTTTATATCTAGAAGGAATCGAGAAAACCAGCTACCTAATTCCTTTACATATAGGTCTTCTGGACTGTTGAGACGGCGACGATATATCTCATGAGTGAGTTACACAGTTAGCACTTATTTATGGCCGCTAACGCTCTGAATAAAAGACAAATATGGCAACCTTATTGGACTTAACGATGAAAAGGCGGATGCCCTTACCGACGCGCAAGTGCACTCTCTTACCATAGGGTCTAAGGCAGTGTTTATAGCATGGCTGGCCTACCTCTGCCTTATCTGGTCGTTGAAAACCTCGGTTCTATTCTACTACAACCGTCTTACGTAAGTTTCATCAGGCCGTAGAGCCTTGCATTTGTCGGCCTAAGAGTGACCAGCTAAAATCTTTGCAGGAAAGGACTGAAAGAGCAAAGATTCATTAGGATACTCGGCTGGTTTGTCGGTCTTAGCTGGGCCGCGATGATGTTGCAGATCCTCCTTCAGTGCCGGCCGGTTCAGAGGAATTGGCAGATTAAACCTTACGTCGGAGGTAAATGTTCGAAGTAAACGTCTTCGACATAAGTTAACATCTGACGGACAGATGACTGCACTTTGACCTACGCTCGATACTATCTCCTCCTTATCCTCAATGTCTCGTGAGTCCCCTGTCGGTAGTCTCACAACTCTCAAACACACCAACCATACTGACACGGCTACTTGCTGCCAGTACTGACATAGGCCTCATGGCTTTCATTCCCGCCCCGATCCTCTGGAAAGCCCAGATTCCACTCAAACGCAAACTCCTGGTCGCACTTGTCCTCTTCTCCGGTATCTTCATCGTTGCCGCCGCCATCATCCGCTGCGTCATGTCTGTAAGCGACATCCGGCACATCGGCACCTCGGGCATCTGGGCCATCCGCGAGACCTTTGTGTCGCTCTTCACCGTCAACGCGCCCGCCATCAAGCCGCTCTTCTCGCGGAATCGCCACAACCTCGGCAGCAGCAACAAGTCCAGCAGCGCGGGGGCCAAGTATGGCAGCAGGAGCAACGGCACCACTATGAAAGTGAGCCGCCATACGGCGTGTGAAGTGGATGAGGTCGAGCTGCGGTCGGCGGCGCAGTGGAGCCAGAGTGGGAAAGATCACGAAAGCATACCGGATCTTGAGCGCGGAAGCAGCTCTGGAATCAGTATTGACGGTGTTCCGGCGACGAAGAATGATGGATTGCGGATCGAGGTCACACAGGGCTTTACGACGATCTCGGAGGCGGCACAAGGGTCACGGAGAGCAGAGGAGCCGCGGTCGTGGAGCGAAGTGGCAGGGCATACAATGCATGATAATACGAGGACGCGAGAAGGGTGGACGTAAATTGGGGAGAGGGGCCGTAGGATACCGTTCCCGGCACCTGCTACGAAAGATTAGGGATGAAAACATTTATATCAGTCTAGTCAAATTTAATATACGCTTATTGATAGATCCTGCAGCACAGCTCCAGCATATGCGGCCAATGCAGACCGTCCTCTGAACAACTCCGGGCGCGGAACCGGATCGGTCGCTCCATGGACTCCCCAGACTACTATGGCCACTGCAGTAAAGACTCCCACAACGAGGAGAAAACCTCCGGTCCAGTACATGTTCAATAACTGGTGCTTCAGTAGTCTGTGTTCAGCATACAGCCGTATCACGAAGGGGACAACGAGAAAGCCAATTCCACAAAACTGAAAGTTGATGTAAAATAGCTAGCGCCACGCCGATCGGTCCATGGACACTCCGCTTAGCAATGACGCAGTGATAGATCCAATAGCCCATGACAACAGGTTGATTCCATCGAAGGTTAGTCATTGACGTAAAGGGATGACGTCGGTGACCAAACACGTCCGACAGGGTCACAATGAAAGGTTGGAAAAGTGCCTCTGTCAGGAGGCATGATGTACCCACCCAGAAATTTCAATTGCGTCGCCATCAAGAGAGCAACGCTAGAGTTACGATTATCATCCATTCTACTTTCCCCGCCTTCCACTCTTGCTCCGGGGGGGTTCTTCTCTATTTCTTCTCCTCTTCTTGTCTAACGGTGGGCTTGCGTCTGAATCTCACGCATTTGCCTTCTCTATTGTTGACATGGTTTGTTTTGGGGAAAGGAGAATGATGAGAGAAAAATAAATAAAGAGTATTGAATAGCGAGGATTTAAGTCTTTTCACTAACCTTAAGCCAAGGCAAGCCTCTGGCTTATAAGAAAATTCCGCGGTGTACGCTATCCTTTCTTGCAATATTTACAACCCAGGAAAGAGCCAATGTTCCAATTAACTAGTCGTGCAATAGGAAGAGTTCAAATGCTGTGACGACAACTATAGAAGTGCTTACAATGTAGCGAATAGTTGGACAAAGGAATCCCGACCTTGAAATTCCATGTAGTGCAGAAGGTTGGGCGGAGACGGCACCTATTGTGGCACTACGGAAACTTTGAGCCTCGGAGTGAGTGTGCACTGCCCCCTCGAATTGAGGGCTTGACGAGCTTAGAGTAGGAGGCAATGTGGAAGCTTATCGAGAAACAGTGTGCTACGCTGAACCTCTGGAAAGTGGGTAGAGTTGTCGAGGGAGTATACCAAAGTAAGCTACGCAGCAAGTCCCCAAGAACCACACTCGTTTACAGCAGATAGGACCTTCGTAGTCAATTCCAGTCATTGATTTCTACTCTATCTTATATACTTTCCCTGTCTGACTACCGCTGTTGTCCTCTATACCTTTGTTCAGCAACAACCTGGTAGCGGTTCCTCATCGCTCGGATTTCCTCTTCCAAACTCCCTCGTCCCCGTGCTTAATCTCAACTGTCTGCGCCAGATCCATCTTCGCCATCTATGACACGCAAGCATGGCGGTTCACTTCCCAATCTTGGCAAGCACCTGCCTGGCTACCTCGCTGCTCGGCTCCTCCAAGCTTTTGGATGAGGGCCAGTGACGGGCAGGACTGTTTCCAGGACTCGCCGCGAGGAGACGTTAGATAGGATTTTGAGTCCCAGCCATATTGCTTCTGGGCTTGTATGAAATTCCATTGAAGCCTCTGTTGCAAGCCAATGCACATTGCATCTTTGTCCCCCAGAAAGCCAAGCTGCCGGGCTATCTACTCCTTGTCCTCTTCCGTGACGTCGAAGACCGGCATGCCCTTAAGAGCTTCGGGAACTCGGAACTCCGGGTCACGGCAGTTCGCAGTAGTCGCAACGGCGTCGAACCAGGTAAGGACCGGGCGACAGGCGACGGGCAAGATGATCTCGCAAAAGACTCGCTCACCAGAGGACAAGATCGGGTACTACCTCTATCCCCTCATTTGGCATGCTTCTCTCACTTGACCTAATCCAGTGAAGGCTCAGAATTCAGACTAAGGTCGCAAGCCCAACTTTTTCAGCTTGCAGCAATTGGAAGCCTTGTTTCTTCCTTCAACGGCCTGGTAAACCATGCGGTTTACTGAGTACAACAACGAAGCCCGTGGATGATTATTACGCCAGGTGAGTAGCCCAGCGTCCAAACATTGCTGTCTGCCGGGAAGCTCTGGTTGGGGGAGAAGTGAAGAGTTTGGTGGTTGTTGCTTTTCGACAGCTTGTTCCAGCCCTCAGATGATTGAGGAGTTTGGAGTCGTTCAAGTGTGCCGGTTGAAGTGTGTAAGTAAAACGGGGGATGCCTGGTCGGAAGTCCGAATGCATCTTTCTGTCATCTGTAGCGACAACACTATTAGTTTTGAGAGCGATTTTCCTCCAGGTCCCCGCTCCGTGTGTGGTTGTTTCGCTCGTTCATTGTGAGGTGCAACCGGCCATGCTCAGAGATCGGCCATGGCGTGCTGCTTGAACTTCTTGTTCGCGCGATCGGGCGCCCTGTTCTCGAACTGCGAGCCATGCAGCTCAAACACCAGATTCCTCGGTTTCTCGGCGGCATCGTCCCGGGACGCAAGTGGGATCTCGAAGCGGAAAATCGTGTGCTCCTTCGGAATCGCTGCTTCAAGTTAGCTCTCACCTTCACTCCGCAAAGCCGCTCTAACCCGCGCAAAAACAAAGAAAACTCACTCTTCACCTCATTCCCCCTCGTTATCACCTCAAACGTAAACTTCGTATCCTTAACCACAATGCCCCTCACCCCCACCCTCCCCACACACCGACACCTCACCACCTCCACCTCAGCCCCATGAAAATCTGCACTCGCCAGCTTCGGCCCCACGGCGGCGGGTGTGACGTAGTCGCCACCATTCTCCTTCAGCCCCAGCACCTCCCGCACATAGCCTACCCACATCCGATGCAGCCCCTCGAAAACCTCGTACCGCCGCTGCGCCTTTGGTATCTCGTACAGCCCCAGCGCGCGCTTCTGCCGCGCGGACAAAGGTGCGGGCTTGCTGGCGGATGACTTGTGGCGGCGCTGCGCGGCGAGGCGCTGGCGTGCGGCTTGTCGCTGGCCGCGCGCATTGGTGGGATCGGGCGAGGTGGGGCGGAGGAGGAGCGGTTTCCTTTGCACGCGGTCGGTGTAGATGCGGAGGGTGGTGTCGGGGGAGTGGGCGCGCGAGAGGAGCGCGTGCGAGGGATTGTCCTTGGTGGTGGTTGGCGCTGGCGCGGCAGTGGTGTCGGGCGGCGTGGTCATGGCGCGTTCGTTAGTCGATGGGTGGAGGTGCAGAGAAGCTGTAGGTAGGGTGGATGCACGACGTGACGGAGCGCGCGAAGGCGGGCGGGGCGAATGCGTGCGCGGGAAGGTGTGAAGAGTTCGAGATATTTTTGAGTCGCAACAGCTTGGACCCCGCGGCGTAGAGAAATAAGCTTCGGCCGAAGCTCTGCCGAACAGGCGTTGCTTATCGATAAGCAGACGCTCTCGAAAAATGTCGGAGGTTTTGCGCCGCCGCAGCACCTTGCGATCGCAACACAGCTCCCTACACCTTGCGATCGCTACACAGCTCCCTGCGCCGGACTCTGCAGGCCAGTCTTCAACCGCTAAAATGCCGAAAGCCGCCAAGAACAAGAAGAATGCCGCAGGGTCAGGCGGCCCGTACGCCGCCGCCGCCGCCAAGTCGAAAGCCGCCAACGCCATCTTCAAATTCAACACCGACCTTGGCCAGCATATTTTGAAGAACCCGGGTGTCGCACAGGCAATTGTAGACAAGGCAGACCTCAAGCAGAGCGATGTATGTCTGAGTTCTGACCCGCTGGACTTCTCCGCTAACAGCTTCAACCTAGGTCGTTCTCGAAGTCGGTCCCGGTACCGGTAACCTGACGGTCAAGATTCTCGAGAAGGCAAAGAAGGTCATCGCCGTGGAAATGGATCCGCGCATGGCGGCAGAGGTCACAAAGCGTGTACAGGGCACGCCGGCGCAGAAGCGGCTCGAGGTGATCCTTGGCGACGTGATCAAGACGCCGCTGCCGTACTTCGACGTCTGCATCTCCAATACGCCCTACCAAATCTCGTCGCCGCTCACTTTCAAGCTGCTCGCGACACTGCCCGCGCCGCGCACTCTCATCCTTATGTTCCAGCGCGAGTTCGCCATGCGCCTGCTCGCCAAGCCCGGCGACAAGCTCTACAGCAGGATCAGTGTCAACTGCCAGATGTGGGCCAAGGTCGACCACATCCTCAAGGTCGGCAAGAACAACTTCAACCCCCCGCCCCAGGTCGAGTCGTCCGTCGTCCGCATCGTGCCAAAGAACCCGCGCCCGCAGATCAGCTACGACGAGTGGGATGGGCTGCTCCGCGTTTGCTTCGTCAGGAAGAACAAGACGCTCAGGTCGAGTTTCTTCGGAACGTCCAGCGTCATGGATATGCTGGAGGCCAACTACAGGACTTTCTGCGCCCAAAACGATATTCCGCTGGACGACGGACCGCTCGACCCTAACGACGCTACTATGGAAGTTGAGGAGGAGCAGGAGGAAGAATGGAATGGCATTGATGAGGATATGGATATTGAAGAGGACGACATCCCCGCATTTTTCAAGGAGGAGGCAGCTGAGAAGGCGAAATTGAAGAAGAGCCTTACGCCAAGGAAGAAGAAGGGCAAGGTTGCTGAACTAGTGCGCGAGAAGGTTCGCAGGGTGCTTGAGGATGAGACGGATCTTGCGGAGAGGCGTGCGAGGATGTGTGAGGAGGGCGATTTCCTGAAGCTGTTGTATGCCTTCAACAAGGAGGGTATTCACTTTAGCTGATTGCTACGGCATTTGTTGTCCATGCGATTTGCGAGCATATGCGGCGTTAGTGGGTGGTCTTGGTGGGGAAAAATGGCGTTACCTGGCTGGCAAGTAGATACCTTTTTCGTTGTGCACTTGAATGCTGTTGCTGGTGATAGTTGTGAAATGCGTGTGGATTGGCATTGTGAGCGAGAGGAAGGGTCGCCTGGGGGGAGTCCCTATCCTTTGTCGGTATTGTACACGTGATATGCAACACACACCCTCACAAGCTTGCTTCTGAAAGGAAGCTCATGATCCTTGGCGTGATGTTGAGCCTGCTATGTCCTGCCTTGCCTTGCCATGCCATGCCGTATCTTGCATGCCTGCGCCGCACCGTGAGTCGCTCGTGTTGTTTTAAGTTCAGTATCACCACCGACTTCGTCGGAATTATACTAACTGTTTAGTCCGCGATCTCCTCTATCAAAAACGGCGGAACCGTCGTTCTTATTAGACTGGGGGCTACCAGTGTCGAAATTGAAACAAATTCCTTTGTTACGCGGAGCATCACAGTGAAGGCTTCGATCGGCACGTCAAAAGAAGACACTTAATCGAGATGAAGAGGGGCGAGAACGTAAAGCCAAAAATACAAAAGCCTTCAACGCAATCGATGGAATGAAAAGGACAATAATGCGCCGACAACCCTTCCCGACTGCAACCAGCTGCCTAGTGCCTCGGCCGATAGTTGCTAATCTAAGGTCTAAGATCCATTGCAGAATATCTAGGTAAGTTTCTACTTGATATATGTTCTTTTGCGAAGTTCAAATACTCACAACGCCAAAAATCTAATTCATGGGATAACTCCACAATGACACATGGCATTGACGTCCAAGAAGCTGCATCTTCCTTCTCACGGTCGTACCTTCTGCTGAGTAACAATTTTGCCCCCATGACACGTCAGGGTGATGAGGTGGCTCAACGTTGGCCATAGGGCCCCTTCCTTTTTTTTTAAAAAAAAATAAATAAAAACCGACTTTCAAACTTTCAAGACATCTATACAATGTTAAGAGATGCTCATTCAGAAGCCTAAACCGCAAAGCTGATAATCTCTCCACAAAGTATATCAGACATCCATCCATTGTGCCCCTCCGAACCCGATCAACATCACCATCCGCCTTAGCTTTGACACGCTTTCTGGCACCGGATCGACCCGGCGATTTAAAACGCAAAGCGCTACAGTGACGGTAATCCGACCGCGCTCCCGAACGAGAAAGAGAGAAGGGTGTGGACAACGTCGGAAGTGACATACCACTCAATGAAGTGAACACAATACAGGATCTTAAGGACAGACTTCCGGCTCGGACGATTCAGCACTTGAGGAATCGGAGCGTGCAGCATCACGCCGCGACCCGGGGGCATATGGGCAACCGACACAGCAGATGTTTGATCCGTCGACCTCAACATCAATGCTTTTTTCACCAACTTCTACAATTCAGACGGAACGCTCAACTTGGCAATCTATGGGTTGGAGAGCTTGCGCTATGTTGTTTTCCTGTTTCAATACGGTATATAAATCCCATGCCTGAGCAGCTTAGTCATCTCTCAACCCCAAGCATAGGTGGATCACCGCCTATTGCCTATACTGCTCTCCGCTTGGTGTAGTTGGTTTATCACGTTTGACTGTAATATCTCGTTGCCATCAAAAGGTCCCTAGTTCGATTCTGGGAGCGGAGACAACCAACCGTCTCTTTTGCGTTCTCTTTTGCCGTTTCGATGGCATGCACGGACAATGTGGAGATTGGCGATGTGAAATTTTTGTTCGCGACCGCCTAGACCTTCCTTTTTTGGGCAAGCACCGAGGCGGACTCAAAACAATAAGATACCAACAGGCAATGCGTGATTGGAGCCGGCATGAAGAGGGGCACTGTCGACAGCTATCGGCTGTAGCAATATGATGCTCACCAGTTGGAAAGAAATTATCCAGAAGATGCCGCCTGGAGTAGATGGAATTTACACCACAGGCTGAGAGGGTAAGCAGCAATACAAACGAGAAGGAAGAATATTCCCATGCTTGCGAAAGATTACTCTATTTTATATCACAACCATGAGCAATAAGTATATAAAACGATCTATATTTTAGGTTACTACCGCAGAAAACAAAACAGGCTCATACTGGCAGACGTGTAGGATTTCAAGAAATCGGGACATTGTTCATGAGAGCTATGGTAGTTGGCCGTTACGGAGGAATCCACCCCGTTTGCTCCATCGGCCAGCGAATGTAAGTTTTTGCGGGGTCCGGTAAAGCCTCATAAATGCCAGAAATGAGATGGTAAGTCCACCCAGAAAGCACCCAAAATCCAGACATTTCATCCAAAAGCACCACATAGTACGCAAGAATAGTCAGCGCCACTGGATCCTCCTGCTGCATACAGGAGATGAAGCCGTCTGAAAGCCTCATGATCCAGATAAAGATGATTGAACTTAACCCACGGGTGTCGCTGTCATGCTTTTGTGTGCGATACAAGCCGATGTAACAGCGGGAAAGATCGTCGACGGCCACTTTGTATGTCTCGTACTTGGGATGATGGAGCCCGAGACGGTCATCACATAGCTTTCGCAGAGCAGCTATCGGCTCAGGGTCAACAAGCTCATTCGGCCGAGCGAAAACATCGACCTTCCGAAAAGTAACGTCGAAGTAGTCGGCAAGGGCCCCATTCTGCATTGTATTCAAGCCGAGCTCAAGGAATGACCGGAAGCCCTTGCGGTAGGTTAGCCACTCTGACGCCTCGCCGAAAAAAAGGTAGTCACGAGGCGCCGGCCCTTTGGCAAGTTTGTATATGCAGGATAGTTTTGAGAAGATATAAAATGCCGTGTGGCTTTCGTGGTTGACTTTAGAGACCTGGGAGGTGGCGAGGAAGAAGGCGTGGTTCCAATGTTGTTCCGCTTTTGACCTGAGTTCCCCCCGGTCCGGTTTGAAGCGAGAGAGGTGTATGGCAGATAGGGCGAGGGTGGCATGAAGGACGAATGGGTAAGAAAGTCCGACTTCTGGGATCATGACTTTCCAGAATGCGCTCACGCTGTCCGCGCTAGAAACGAATCTCGCAATGGATGGTGCCGTAGAGTTCTCCCATGTATGCAACAGCTCCAGGTCAATGAGGTCAAATGTTGCAGGAAGTGAGCTCTGAGCTAAAGAGGGAGCGGAATTGGCAACTTCAACAGAACGGGAAGATGTAGCAGCTGGCAAGCAGAGAGACCCAGAAGAAGCTGCTTCTGCTGAATGGTGTGATGGTGACGGTTCTCCAAGTCGGGGCTGGTCTGATTCGTTCTCGTACTCGCATTTGATATCCCGCTTTTCACAATTCGTACATGCAGGTTTCTGCTCGTCACACTTGGCAGTATTAGCCAGGTTCGCAGAACAAGGTGCCTGTCGCATCCCTGACGGGCTCTGATCCGGGCTCACCCTGTTGGCAGTGTTGCCAGGAACACGAAATCAACGCACCAGAACAGTCTCCATTACAGGTCATTGATAATGCGAGGGATTGCTCTTACCTTAATTCTTCGCCGCCTGCAGAACGTGCATCCTGTTCGCGATTTGCGGTGGGTCCGCCGTAAAGCTTTGCTAACTTTACTGCTCATGGAGGGCTACCTATTACTCCTTACGATGCTCTACAGAGCAGGTGTTGTGCGTGTTTGAAGAAGTGTTGCCTGACTCAGACGCATTGCTGTTATGAAGTGGCCGGAGTTGCGAAAGGAGAGTTGTTGCCTTGGGAGCGCACAGATCAAGCCTCTTTACTCTTAGCGTTATTATGTAATAGAACCCATCCAATGGCGAAGTCCTTAGCCCTGACGCGACCGACGTTAGTCATCAGGCACTACGGAAATGGGCCAACGTGCTTGCTAGCATCACAGAAACCTACACAAAATTTGAATGGACATGATAAGTAAAAGCAAGCACAGGTCAAGCTTCTTGAATGTTCAGTTATTTTCTGTGGCTGAAATTGATATTCGTATCGGGACAGTTGCTTGAACCATACATGAAGATACTGATCACTTTAATTCAGTTTGCAGAAACATTTGTACTAGGGGGAAAAAAAGAAGCATCGTAGGCTCATAATACCCTTTTCACTTCAACCTCGCCTCGTGCGCCTTATACACCGCTATCTAGTGCATCCTCGCCCGGTGTTCTTTCTCCTCAGCCTTAGCCTTCATCATGCTTGCCCATCCCTTGTACCTGGGATCAAACTCGGGTACCCAGTCAGATCTGTCTATACATAGCTCAAAGAGCGCATCCCAAATTCCTGGATCGCCTGGATCACTCTGCGCTTCTCGATAAGATGTGTCTCGGGGTATAGCTCGTTCACGCTCCTAAGGTCTGCAGCGAGCCTTTCAATCATCTGCCTTCAGCGCTTGGGTGCGCAGTATTCCCTGGAAGTTCATGCACCTCCGGCCTTCTTCCCTCGCCATCCATCTCCGCAAGCCTCTGGACCCCGTCCAGCTCCGCAACCGTCTGTAGACCGTCCATCTCCGCGATCGTCTGCGAACTGTCTGCCTCCGCAACTTTCTGCAGGCCATCTATCTCCACACAATGTTCCTGGTCACCATGCAGCTCCGCTCCGTACGTCTTTGCTGGTTCCAGTTCGCTCACTTCCGCACCCTCGGTTGCGAGCTCTGCGCCCTGAACAGTTGCCCCGCCCTTTGCAGATGACTGAATATCCAGCTCGGATGGCTTTTCAGCCCTATCACCAGCGTTATCACGGCGGTAACGGCGGCGATACTGCACAAAGATAGCGATGGTGAGGACGACTGAGACGGCTACAGCGCCAACGACAATACCAACGATGGCTCCAATACTGAGAGAAGAATTGGAACTGGACTCTGACTGCTCTGTGCTGGACGTTGTCTCGTTGTTAGAGCTTGGCGGGCGGATGGGAACGAGGTTCTGCTCTGCGCTGTCGTCCCATCTGCGTTGAGAGAGCTCGAACTTGTTTTCTTCGTAATCGGCAATGAGGTAGGCTTCCTGCATGAACGCACGACCTAGCGTGTACTGCCCCCCAGAATCAGTAATGAAGTTGAAATAAGCCTTGCATGTATGGCATTGTGCAACTTACTTGTGTGTCGTTTGCAGCTCGTTTCAGTGGAAAGTATGGCTGCGACTCTGACGCCAATGGCCATGATGCTGTTAGGTCGAACGCACTGTAAGGGAACACAATATCAACAGTCGATCCACCCGATAATGTGTTCCCCAGTTGAAATGTGACATTTGCGTTCTCGGCAACCAATGAGTCGTGCAATGTTGAATTGAGCATGTACATCTCCGACGTCTCATTCCACGAAATTCCGAAGGCTTCTTCAAAGCGGCGGCATGCCTCCACAGGCAACCAGATATTCGGCTGCGATGAGTCGAGCACTGCGAGAATTCCGTTGGGTAGTAGGTCAGTTCTTGTGTCGTCGACAATCTTGGTAATCGATTGAACCGCCACGACGAGTTCACGACCCGCGTTGTCGGCAAAGTTGCAAGAAATAGACGAAGAACCGTTCAATGACGCATCATAGCCGCCGAAAACCATTGAACCGAGGGCATTCCTCTTGGTTTTTGAACGTGCATATGATCCGGCGGTGAAGCTGTAGGTGAGGCTCGGTATTATGTTATTCGTTTTCAGTTGAGAAAAAAAGCTAGGTTGCTGGGTGCGAGTTGTTAGTCAAGGTCGAAGTAAACTAGAAGATCAGCCACTCACCGGATCGTTGAGACTCGAAGAATTGCTATTCTCGACGGTGAAGTTTGTTGGGCGAGGGCTGACTCCAAACTGTCCCAAGTAGAAGTTTGTCGTTGCGATGCCTGCCACTACCGTGCGGTTTAGTGACACGCCACCACCTCCGTTGAAAGATAAGCCAACGGTATCAAAGCCATACATTCCATTCTGGCATCTTGTGGTGAGCTGCAAGTTCCAATATGTCAACGCGGTAGTCTCACAATGTACGTACACCATCGATACCCAGGTTCATCAGGACCAGCGTGGCAAGCGCATAAAGCCCCGTGTTGTTCCAGATCTCGGTGGTGGATTGCCATGTGGATGAATCATTGTAGGTGAACAAGCCTCCTCTCAAATCAGGGCATTCATTAACATTTGGTGCGGAATCAGGACAGCCTTCCGGAAGGACGACCCAGGTCTCTTGACCAGTGATGGAGACGAAAGTCCGGACTTGCTGGGAAGGGGTTCCAACTTGTAGTACAAAACTCGACCACGGCCCGTCGTTGCCTTCCCTATGCTGCGTCAATAGGTCGGTTTTTCATAACTGTAAACCGCGGCTGTTACCATTGTTGGCTTGCCTGGACAACGACCGGGGCTGGTGCAGATGCTCTGGTCGATAAATCCCGTCCGGACGCAAAGACGCCAAGAACAAAAAATGCTAACAAGAAGAGCACGAGAAGACCTCGTGGCTTTGATGTGCGGGCCATTCGGTGCAAAAGGGACAGAATGACAAGAAAGAGCGCAGTGCGGCACTTCAAGGGTAAAATGGAAAAGCTATAGTAATCGCTTCCTATTCATCAAGGCCCACTCAAGGCTGCGTTTCCGTCCGATATTGGAAAATGCTACTTCGTATTCCAGGCTTATGGCTTCATGCAAGGGGGGAGTTGACAAGGATGGTGGCTTAGGTTGGGGGCCATTCTTACCCAATGCTCTTAGCGGCCCATCGTGCCAAGATGAAGGAAAAAGAAGTCCGGTATCCTTTAAATTATTTCGGAGTGTCTTACACATGGTGCATAGCCGCTTCCGGATGCCTAGAGCACAACAGTAAGCAGCCCAAGCACTGTTCGTCAAATATCATCCACCCACTGTGTGTTTCGAGAGACTTTGGTTTCTTGGCAAGATGACATGCATTTCAGGACTATTGGATCGGCGTAACACAACATCTTGGGATGAAGTGCCGTCTTTTCCGGCAGTTGTTTCGGTTCAGTCTATCGTGGGGGCCACCACTTAATCTTTTCTATAAGCCGGGTGTCCCATTTGCGACTGGCGTCGCTTTCACACACGATTTCTATCTTCTTCTTTTCGTCAAGCACTTTGTCGGTCTTTGCACGAAGAACAAGGATGTGGCGGCAATCTTTATCGCCGGTTGTGGCCTTTGCCTGGCTTGCATCAGCGACGCCACAAATCAGTGTGTTGCTTTCCTGATGTTGTATTCAAATGCTAATGGCGTCAAGCATCCTTCGCGTCCTTCTCTAATTCCACACGTGGTCCCGTGACTTCAGCAACAAGTTCAGCACGTTTCGACCCCGAAGTTGGGTTCATGGACATGTGCTCTGGTGCTACTCTCAACGTTACTTGCCGTCAAGACGTTGTCCATATTGGGGTTACCATGATCTACTGGCTATCTTCAACGACGCTTTACCTACCTCCTCAGACGATACAATACGACGTAGTTCAGGATGGATCCACCGTCATTACGACGGCCACGCACACGAAACAAAGCAACGTATCGACGCTAGACATGCTGAGCTACACGGATCTTATCCCCACTGCGCAGCAGGGCGGCTGTGTGGGCCCGTATTGCATCAGCACCATTGAGCCCGTCTACGGGACAACCGAGGTTCTTACTTCATCATACAACGGCACAACATGGAGTGACACAATGTAAGTGACATCGCCTCTTTACGGTACGCACGGTAATACTTATCGCTTCAAAGAACCTACCCAACGCCCTATGGTCTCGCACAAGGCATCAATTTCGGCCAAACTGCTGTCTGCGCTGATGGCCAAACGGTAACATCATCCGGGAGCATAATGGGTTTGCCACCAATCCCGGCACCGCAGACGCTGGACTACACGGCCTGGGGCATCGAAATCTTCAACAGCATCCCTGGGTTCGGAGAGGCGGTTGCAAGCCGCTATCCGAAGATTGCGCACTGCACTTGGGGAGGGTTCAATGGGCAGCCGCTGCCCAAGGTCGTCGTGAGCGCTCTCACAGTAGAGACGACAAACGTCGTGACCACGACTCGGGACTCGGCTACCACCAGGGATGTGACCACCAAGCCTACGACAAGGGAGGCCGCGACGACCACGACACCGGCACAAACAGCAACAGCCACCGCTGAACCGCAACCTACCAGCTTGCCTGCTGCGCCCCCAGTAGCTGAGCCCACGCAGACACAACCACCGCTGGAGGCCAATCCAGATACCTCAGTACCTGCCAGCAGCCCCAGCCCAGGCGCGGGCTCACTCATCCTCTGCGGTCTCGGTGGGCCCTGTCCTTCTGCATCCCCATCCAGCCCAACAGATGACCAGCCACCGGCGGATGATCCTCCTGCGCAGAATTCCAACAGCCAGCCTGCTTCGTCCTCTGAGCCCGAGTCGATCTACACCGGTAGCTCCGCAACCTTTGTCCTGGGTCCTTCCCCGTCATCCTCTCCCTCAGACGCCGACTCTCCGCCAGACGCACCCGCCGACTCCCCCGTCCCGATCTACACAGAATCCGGCGGCGCAGTAGCCGTCGGCACGCACACGACCCTCTCCGCCGGCGGTCCGGCGGCAACAATCTCGAACGTCGTGGTCAGCGCGGGGACGGACGGCGTGCACCTCGGCGATAGCGTGTTGTCATACAACAATGGTCCATCGGCTGCCTCTGCTGTAGCAGCAGCAGCACCCGAAGCGACCTTCGTCCTCGGCACAGACACCTACACCTACACCTCCGGCGCAAGCGCGGTGGTGCTCGGTGGGACAACCGTGCAGCTCGGCAGCGCTGGCGCCGCTGCAACCGTGTCCGGCGCCATCCTCAGCGTCGGCACGCAAGGCCAGCTCAACGTCGATGGCGCACCCATATCCTTCGCCGCGCAGACAGCAGCAGCAGCAGCAACGGCCGTGGCCACGTTCGCTGTCGGTGGGGAGGAGTATGCTTACACGCCCGCTGCTGGCACGCTTGCTGTCGGCTCCACCACCTTGACGGCTGGCGGCCCTGCGGCGACCGTCGGGGGGCAGGTTGTCTCGTTGGGGACGGCGGGAGTAGTGATTGATGGGAGTACAGTGGTGTCAGCACCGACTGGTGTGGCTAAGGCAGTTTTCACGGTGGATGGGAATGTGTATACAGCTACACAGGGAGGAAGCACGGTGGTTGTCGCGGGGCAGACGCTGACGGTGGGTGGTGCAGCGGTCGTTGTTGATGGGGAGACACTGAGTTTGGGGCCGAGCGGTGTGGTCGTCGATGGGAATACGGCTTCTTTCGAGGCCGGAGCAGCCATGACGGCGGATGCGGCTCTTGTTACCGTTGGAGGCTCCGAGTATACGTTCAAAGAAGGGGAAACCACGCTCGTGATCGGGTCGAGGACCTTGACGGTTGGGGGCTCGGCGGCTACTGTCTCGGGTGAGGTGGTGAGTCTGGCCTCGAGTGGTGTGGTTGTTGATGGAAGCAGGACTGTTGCATTTAGTAACACTGCTGCACCCACCGCATCTGGTTCTCAATCCGGGAGTGGGGTACCGGCGCAGTATACCGGAGGTACCAGTAGGTCAGAGCTGTGCAGCTCGCATCTCACATGGGCTGGCGCTTTCAGTGTCATGTTTGCATTGTTTGCATGATAGACAGGAGTACGGATCTACGTTTCAGCTTGAGTAGCTGCGCTTGCAATGCCTCCGCTTTGCTGAGGACAAATATTATTTTCTTATTTAATGAAGGATAATGGGCAAAACGGAAATTGCAACTCTGGCTGACTTACTGAGCCGGAACAGTTTGACGGCAGAGAAAGAAAAATATCGTCGTGCTAAACATAGTCAAGAAAGCTAACGGGAATTTGCAGCCAAATGTAATTTGTTCGAAGCGGATCTCTTAGAAGCAGCTGTGACGATAAAAATCATTCTTAGATAATTTAACACAGTTAACATCTTCGCAACTTTCATTCTTATACCCATTTCTGAACAAATTCAGCTCCGTCATCTTCGCTGCCTTTTCTTTTGTCTTTATAGCCGTCATCATAGCTCTCTACGTTACTTAAGCGACTTTGTTAAGCTTTCCCCCCTTCAAGTTACGAGCTAAAGATGCGCCCAACCGAGGCGGCAGGATCTGGTCTTACTTATCAGAGATTCTGCCTTCCACTGTATCCTTCTTGTATGTATTTAAAGCTAGCTGCTGCTGCGTAGACCCCGATGTTTTCTTAGCGTTCTCGAACAAGTTTAGTAAGATTTGCCTGAAACGGAAAACTTGCTCAAACAGGAGCAACTCCCAAGCAGCCAAGACCACAACGCAATATGTGCAGATACTTTTCCTCACCCGTCTAAGCGAAGTCCCTGCGGATTCTTCTCAGATGCCTGGGTTTTGCTTGGCTTTAATTCGCACTTAAATCCCGGGGTGCAGCGACTGTGCTGACAGCACCAACCTACGCATCTTTGCGTCGAAAGAAACAATGCGTTCTTACTTACCACTGCTTTGGATTTTTGCCTTTTGCGTCCCGTCCTTAGCTTTCTCTATACGGCCGCGAACTAATAACTCGACCAGTGAGCTCCTCCATTCAGAACCCCCTACTTTCAAACGTCTCGTACGATGATGACTGATACCTGGCATGCAGTGCCCACCAAATTCGCCGTCCTCCTATTTCCCGCCTTCGAGCTCATCGATGTGTTCGGGCCCATTGACGCGCTCTCGTACCTCAGCTCCACCCACCGCATGGACCTCTACCTAATCTCTTCGTACACCAACACGTCCCTGGCGCCGGTATCCTCCAAGCCCCGCTCCGCCAGCATGAATCCGTACAACAACTCCTTCGGCGCGTCCATCGTGCCCACGCACACGCTCGCCAACGCCCCCGACGACATCGACGTACTGCTGGTTCCGGGCGGCCTGGGAACGCGGGCGGCAGACCTCGCGCCCGCCATCGAATTCATCAAGAACGTCTATCCGCGCCTGCAGTACCTCATCACCGTGTGCACTGGCGCCGGGTTGGCGGCCCGCGCGGGCGTGCTGGATGGCAAGCTGGCCACGACGAACAAGGGCTCTTGGAACAGCACGACGGCGTTGGGGCCGAATGTGCTGTGGCAGCCCAGCGCGCGCTGGACCGTCGACGGTAACATATGGACGAGCTCGGGAGTGACCGCTGGCATGGACGTGTCGTTGGCCTGGATCGCGGAAGTGTATGGCGCCGACGTGGCACGGACGGTGGCGACGAATATGGAGTATGTATGGGTGGATGATGCGAGTGCTGATCCTTTTGCTGTGTCTGTATAAATACTATGACTGAAAGCTTGAAGCACTTGAGCAACTAGTACAATAAACAATTCTACGTGTGATTCAATCAAACGAAGTGCCTAATTTACCACCCAAAAGACTCGCTGTACAGCTAAACTCCGTTGAAGGGATGGGTACGATAATATGAAGTTTAGAAGCGGGGGTCTCTGGTCGTGTAGATCGGAGAAGTGGAGTGAGTATGTGACCTTTGTTGAAAGTGTAGGGAGCGTCAGCGGGATTCGCATTGGAGGAAGTGGTATCAGGTCTTCTAAAGCACTGAGCGATAACTTGTATATCCTGGGTAGGGCTTTCATTTTTTTTAGCTTGTATAAAAATAGTTTAGTACGTAGGGAAATGGTCTATGTGATGAGACAGGGTATGGGAAACGTGCTGCCTTTCTGGTTTTATTCGTGACATACGGCCTAAAAAGCTCTCCTTTCGACTGAGTTCTATTCGTGCACAACGCTGTAGGCTGATGGCTTCTAGTTTTCTCTATGCTTTTAGTTGCTAGTCATTGTCTCATTGAATTCGGTTGATTGTGCTCGTGGCGTTCCATTTTAGATAGCGTAGATACTAAGCAACAGTACCAAGATTTCTCCGTTACGTCCATCTTTTCTACAGCTTTGAGGGAAAGTTCAAGCTAAAGAAGGTGAGTGAATGGATGCTTTATAGTACTGGGGTTGACTTACTTGACGTGAACACTCTTTGGCTCCAGGTACTCATATAAACCGTATTTTCCGAGCTCCCTGCCGTTTCCACTTTGCTTGGTACCCCCGAAAGCAGTGTTCAACTCTGGCAAGTACGGCGAATTGATTGACACGCCACCGCTCTCGAGCTTGCTTGAAACACGTAGAGCGCGGCCCAGGTCATTGGTATATACGTTAGCTGTTCAATGAATCAGTTTATTTGCGAAATTGAACTTCCCAGAGGAATTCGTACCTGCGAGCCCAAATGAACTGTCGTTAGCTAATTCTATTGCTTCGTCTTCCGTATTGAACGTCTGAACGGTCAGAACAGGTCCGAATATCTCTTCCCGAACGATGCGGCTGTCCTTTTGCGGATTGACGAAGAGTGCTGGCTCGATGAATTGGCCCTTTGCGCCTTTCTGGCAGCCTCCGGTTAAAAGAGTTGCACTTTGCTTTCCGACTTCGACATAAGACATGACGCGGTCAAAGTGGCCCTTGTCTACTACTGGCCCGTGTTCGGTGGACGGATTCAATGGGTCCTGGCCAAGTCCCTTGGCAGCAGCCTCAAAGACTGTTTTCGCAGCAGCAATGAACTTTTCTGCGATAGTAGCCTGGACAAGAACTCGGGATGAAGCTAAGTAGAGTTAAATCCTTTCATGTCATGAATGTTTGGATACGACTTACCGACGCAGATTTGGCCGGAATTAGCGAGGAAACCGCCAGCAACGCTAAAAGATTGTCAGTCTGGACTGTGTTGGATCTCTGAGTATCGGAGTGATCTACCTCTGCACAGTGGCCTCAAAAGAGGCATCGTCAAACACGATGGCCGGCGATTTCCCACCCAACTCCAGTGTAACCCGTTTCATGTTGCTCCTTACTGCCAACTCTTGAATAGCTCGGCCAGCGTCCACAGAGCCGGTAAAGCTGATCTTTGCAATACTCGGATGGGACGCCAGCGCCTCTCCTGTTGACCGGGCGCCGGAGACAAATTGGACGACACCGGGGGGAAAGCCAGCTTCCGCGAAGAGGGATCCAAGCGCCAACGCACCCAGGGGTGACTTCTCGGAGGCCTTGAAGATGAACTACAATACAAGGCTCATCAGCACTCCACCTCATCTCAAACAGCAAAAAGGGCACCTACGCAGTTCCCTGCGGCCAAAGCCGGTGCCATCTTCCAGCCAATGTACAGGAAGGTCGCATTCCACGAAGCGATGCCCGCACACACACCAAGGGGCTCGTATCTCACGATCTTGTAAACGCCATTCTCCTCAGGATAAGAATCGCCGCTGATCTTGTCAGCCATGCCAGCGTAGTACCGGTAGACCTGGACCATGTGAGCAATGTCGAACATCTTCAGCATGGTCACCGGCTTGCCGGACGGCAGAGATTCAAGTGTTGCCAGACGATCGGCGTTCTGCTCGGCCAGTTCGGCAAATTTGAGAAGGCACGCCTGCCTCTGGGCACCAGAGAATGTACTCCATGGTCCTTGCTTCCGTGCACGATGGGCAGCTGCTACTGCGGCATCTACGTCCTCCCGGCCTGCCGTCTGGATGCCCGTGTGGATGATGGAATCGTCGAAGGGATTGACCAAGGTCAAGGTCTCTTTGCTTGTTGCGTCGACATACTGTGTTGTTCAGATTAACTTTGGTACGATAATCATCCCTGCATGTCCGGACAAACCTTGTTGTTGATAAAGAGTTGTGACGGTATGTCATGTGCTTGGTACCTGGATGTCGCCATTGTAAGTTGAACAGGTGCTAATGACAAACTCTGGCATTGAACCACGAGGTACTTCGCGCGCTTTCCTACACTTAAAAGCCAGAGTTCAATGGGGACAGTTACCGGTACGGAATGATTCCGCGGCACTGCGGATTATTGGCGAGTGGGGTGCCCCGCATTATTCTTCCCGAGCGGCAATTCGGAATCAACCCGCCCTCCACGACGGCTTCTGCAGAGGGGGATTGCAGCCGAAGGATAACGTGGATCTGTTTGTCGCTCATTTCATGGGAAGTTGAAGCTATCGTACGTACGGGAATATGCAATTGTTATGTCACCTTTCAATCCGGATAATAGCTTCTCTACTGCCCACATATTTTGTTTTTCATATGTCCCAAGGGCTTGACGCTTCACGTTAGCCTTCGGCTACAATCCTCCTCTGTATCCTCCACCCCAAGTTGTACCGCACTTCGGCTAATTAGTCCGGTCGATCAGTTCTCCTTTTCTGGAAAATCTTCCGCGTAGAACCGCATTAACTTAGAGGATTTGAGGGATTGTAAACTCCAATGTGGCGATTGTTACAGCGTGTTAATACCTGGAAAATAAAAAAATTCGTTGCCTCAAAAGGCGCCATACTGGCTGCTAATGATGAAACGCGAAACATCAATTTCATAAGCTGAAAATCGTCATATGGCCTGGCCAAGGTTGCTCGGGGCAGACACTCTAATACCACTATAATAATGCACGGTCACAAAAGGACTGTTTGTTTCATTGCTGCGCAACTTGTTATTTGCATAGAAAAAGTACATAGAGTAAGAGCGGCCCAGAGTTACAATTTACCAAAACCTCCATGACCAACAATATTCAGACAGCCAAAAAGCAACCAAAGAAGCATCATCAAATACCCAACCACTTCCAAGATATTCTTCCAGTTTGGTCTTGTGTGCCCAAGTCACGCCGACCCACCAGCTCCTCTCCTGCCAGGAATAGCACTCCACGCTTCGCCCACAATCACAAACTTCGCCTCAGTGGCAAAGCTCTTTCCGGCGGCCTCGGCGTCGTTAGCCTTCTGGCCCTCGCCCAGTAGCACCGTGTTCTCGGGGTATATCTTGCCCAGCAGAGCGAGACCCACGAGTTGGTCCCTGACCGGAACGACGTGCAAGCCGCCCTGCGCCGCAGACACGAGGCCATCGGCAGGCTGCTTTGAGAGGAGCTCAACGGCGTCATGAACGGAGAGAGACTCCCCGCTGAAAACGTCACTGGTTGTCGAGTCCGTCTTGGACGACTGCTTCCCGGCGCCGCTGTCGCTGGCGCGGTATGAGTAGCGACGTCCGCGGGAAATCTGGCCAATGTCAACCGCAGCGGTGCGGCCATCGTCGAAGCTGAGGACGAGGCTGAGCGCAGCAGTGCCGCTGGCGGAAGATTCGGTTGGCTCGAGGAAAGCCTCTGCGATGCGAGGCGCGGCACTGAAGACTGCAGAAACGGCATCCCTCCAGCCATTGGTGGAGATATTTGCGGTCTTCTCCGGGGCCTCAGAAGGCTCGATGCGAGGCGCAGAATAGTAGTCCTGGGTGGCGTAGTCGAACGTCACCACTTCTTTCTCTCCTACAACGCGTGCCGGAAAATAGTGCAGCAGACGCAGGCTGCTACCACCAGCCAAAAACGCCGGCAGAGCCACGCCGTTCGCGTCTTGCCACCCATACCCGACACTCTCCCCCCTCTTCTTCTCCGGTATGCCCGCCACCGCCCGCGCGAAGCCGACGACCGCCTTCTGCGTCAACACCTTGGTCAACAGCACCGTCAGGAACCGCTCCCTCGCATCCTCCACAAACCGCATCCCCAGCCCCTCCCCCTCATCAATCCGAATCAGCACATCACCGTAATTCTCCCACGGCAGCAACGCATCCCTCAGCAACACCATCTGGTGCAGCCACTCGTTGTACAGCTGCATGAGATGGCGCTTGCTGCGCGGGCCGAACATCAGCTGCGCGACGACGGGGAACAGGAGGTGGCCCTCGCACGGGGAGCGGATGTCGAGCTTCGGCTCGAGCTGCACCTGCGCCCTCTTGGCCTCGTCGTCGGCCACCTCGCGCGCCCAGCCGACGACGGCCGCGCCGACGCGCAGCGCCTGCGCGTGCATCTCGCGCTTGCTGGCGTCGAGCGTGTGCGCCGGCGGCAGCTGCAGGCTCGACTCGCGCGTGTCCGTCTTGAGGTTCGACGCCAGGTTGTCGATCAGCAGCTTCCGCGCCGCCGGCGTGCCCGAGTTGGCCGGGTCGGGCCCCAGGTGGTGCAGCACCGCTTCGAGCAAGGGTGCGCACGAGGCGACGATCTGCTGAGGTGTGTATAGGCCCGACGGGATGCGCCAGCGCGCGTTGCGCACGCGTGGGACGCTGCCGCCGGCATCGGGGTGTGGGGTGAGGAGCGTGCCGATGGTGAGATTGGCGAGGGTTGGCCCCGCGGGGGTGGTGAGGAGGGTGGGTGTGGCAGAGGGCATGGTGGAGGGTTGGAGCGGTGATGATGTTGTTGCGCTAAGGGTTGCGACGGTGGAGAAGAGATGGAGAGGGTGGAGTTTGTTGGCGCACGTCTGTTGCGCTGTGGTGAAGTTTGCCTGGTGTGATTACAGGTTAAATTTCAATCATGCAGAAGGAGAGGCAAGTCAACTCACTGTTGTGATGAAGACGGCAAATGCGCTTCGTATGCGGAAGAGACGAGATCGCATCAAGGTGTGCGCAGTTGCTGCCAGAAGAAAAGGCAGCAGGCCTGGTCAGCTCTCTCTTTTAAGCATTGAAAACTGCTTAGAAATGCAATTGGACTTTCTGCGCGGTTTCATGGCCGTCATATGGTGCTGTCGGAGCAGCGTGTCCTGGCTCCGGAGTTGGATGGTCGTCGCGTGCCTGATCGCCGCCGCCTCCGCACCTGCCGCCACAACCGCATCACCCTGCCACCCAAGACCATTCATTCCGCCGCACCTTTCGTCCGCTTACACCGCAGTCATGCTTGACGCAAGGCATTGAATTGCATGTATTGGAAAAAGTAAGAGACCGAATCGGAAGTAAACGTGGATTCTATCGTTGCCGCTCTGCTGCATGCATGCAGCCACACTTGCACTCATCATTCGCCCGCCGGCCAAGCATGGCTCCCCTCGCCATTTACGCAAGAGGCTTACGGCCCCGGACCCACTTCAACCGCGGCGTATATCCATACGTCTTCATCTCCACCACCAACCTGTCCAAGAACTCATGATACTCCTCCGCCGTCTTCGCAACGCCAGGAATGCCCTCCCCTGCAGCTTCAATTAGTCTTCTAAAAACGGACTAAGTAGGAGGAACGAGTGAACTCACCATCCACAATCTTCCTCGCCACGTGCCTAAAGCTCTCCACCCACAACTCTGCGCTGCGGCGCTGCACCTCCTCGCCGCCCTTCGCCGTCTTCCCGTAGCCGAAATCGAAGCTCCGCAGCTCCACATCGACCAGCCCTTCTTCCTTCATCAACCCCTCCAGCTTGTCCCACACGCGGACGTCCATCCCGCTACCCGCCGTCGCCCAGTCCTGCACCAGGTTCAGCTTGCGCTGCTCCGGGCAGTTCGCCGGCGCGCCCTCGTTCAAGATCCACTCGGCCTCGACGAGCTGCAGCACGCCGACGCCGGGCTTGAGCGCCGCCGAGAGGTGGTGGATGGCAGCCGGCCAGTCTTCGGCCTGGATACCCCACACGAGGAGGCGCTGGTGCACGAGGTCGAAGCGATCCGTGAAGCCGAAGGACGCGGGGAAGGGGGTGCGGATATCGTGCGTGCGCAGCGTGAGGGATGGGTGCGTGCGGAAGAGGTCGGGGCTGAGGTCGACGCCGTGGAGGTCTAAGGTGCGGGGCTGTTGGGATTGGAGGTCCAGAAGCCAGGTGCCTGTTCAGAAGACGCCAAGGGTTAGTGTTACGATTCGGAGTGATTTGCCGAAGATTTGGCCTTTCCCAAGTCTCGATTACACTTTCTGCATGGGCAGCTGAAGCAGACATCCGAACGTGCAGGACACTATCCAGACATAGCCTTCAGTCCCCCATAGAAGCAAGGTGTTATGCTCTAGCGAGACACTTTCGGGAAGGTCAAATCCTTGTCATCCGCTGTAGTGTAACTTCAAATGGAAGGATCGACGTGAGATGCAGAGTGAGAATGTTCCGGACGAAACATAGCGGAGAGGCAGATGATGTGTGCTTGGGTGCCATACTGCGCTTAAGCTTCGCATGCACCTGACCGCACGGCCCGACCCCCGATCAGGAAAGAGAGAACACTTGTAACGGACAACGAATAATGGATGAGATACTCACCGTCGGCACACCCGGAGTCCAGAACAGCAGCTCCTGCCGGCAGCACATCAGGCACGAGCTTGCCATCGGTAGCAAGCTTGATATGCTGGTGCTGGCGCTGGAGCCGCTCAATCTCGACGCTGTTGTGGGGCAGGAAGTAGTCACCCTCGGTGCCCGCAAAAACGGCATCGTCTTTGCTAGCCGGGAGGACCGAGGCAGGGACAGGAACATCCTGGGGCAGAATTTGCGTGGTCATGATGAATAATCGGTGGAGCAAATCGATCGAAGAAAACGGAAGTAGGTAGTGTGACGATCACGAGTCTACTGGAGCAACTTTGCAATCAATGGACGAACGCACGGCTAGTTATGCGTCGACACCAAAGGGAAAAATTCCAGACAGAAATCCTTCCAGCGGAAGGTGCATCGGGGCTGACGTGCATGGGGTCGGATGGCGTTGGTGTAGCGGACGCAGGGTAAGGCAGGGGTGGTGAGGCTGGACGTCCATCTCCGGATTGCTAGCGCCGGAGCAAAATGGTCGTCGTTGCGGAGTCGACTAGCCGCTTCCGGATGTCGTCAGCACCAACTCCGCCCGACCGCCTTCGTGACAGATGCGTGTCCAAGGCAGATGCAGAGAAACAGCGGCCTTGGAGCTCATCATGCATCTCTTTCTCTTCGCCTTAAAAAGACCTCGAGTCCCTCTACTCGTCTGGCACATGAACCATCATCGCTGAAGAGCTTGTTCAATCATGTCGGACAGTTCCATCAAGTCAGCAAAGGCATCGGACGTGCAGGACAGCGCCGTGCAGAGCGATGTCGAAAAAGGGCCCGAGCCAACCACACCCCAACGTGCCATCAGGGGATGGAGGGTAAGCAGAACGCCTTCGGCGTCGGTGCACAATCAAGGGGAAATCACTGACTCGATGGCTACAGTGGTGCCTGGTCGTCATCGTGATGCTGTCTAGCATTTTCCTCTTCTCACTGGACAATACCGTTGTCGCAGATCTGGTCCCGGTAGGTTGTTTGGATCCAGAAGATTGCGCGGCTCGCTTGCGGATACTGACATTGATAGATCCTCGTTACTGAATTCGACGCCGTTGACCAATTGACGTGGCTATCGGTTGGGTAAGAACTTTCCGCGGCTTGTACAATCGGGGAAGTACTGACTCGAGCCTTCAGCTTCACTATCGGTGCTGTTGTCCTCGCCCTGTCCTGGGGGAAGGTCTACGCGACATTTGATACCAAATGGCTGTTCATTGGTTCTACCCTCCTGTTCGAAGCCGCATCAGCCCTCTGCGGTGCTGCACCCAACATTTCTGCGGAGATAGTCGGACGTGTTCTTGCCGGCGTCGGTGGTAATGGAATGTACCTGGGTACTCTGACTCTGGCCTTCATCCACACGTTGGATACGGAGCGACCTCTGTACCTGGCCTCCATGTTAGTCTCACTTGACCACACATTGCCTTTCCCGAAGCTGACTTTTTGTTTGCAGTGGAATTCTCTGGGGCCTCGGCACCGTCCTTGGACCTGTCGTGGGCGGAGGCTTTGCCAAAGTCGACTGGCGCTGGGCCTTCTACATCAACCCGATTATCGGAGCCTTCCAGCTTGTGATCTGTTACTTCCTCATCCCCAGCACCGATCCTGCTCCGGGGATTCCCTTGTCGACTCGCTTCGCCCGGTTCGACTACATCGGCTCGGTCCTTATCACTGGTGCCATCACTACGTTTGTAATGGCAACAAATGTCGGTGGCACCATGTGGTCATGGGGCAGTGGCCCCAGCATAGCCCTCTTCGTCGTTGCTGGCGTGCTCATCCTGGCGTTCGCAATCCAACAGGGCTTCAAGATCCTGACCCGCTACGAGGATCGCGTCTTCCCCGTGCAGTTCCTTTGGAACAAGGACGCGGTCCTGCTCTTCATCTGCGCGGCTGCTTCAAACACAGCTGCCTTTGTCCCCATCTACTACATTCCCATCTACTTCCAATTCACCAGGGGGGATACGCCACTGGAGTCTGCAGTCCGTCTCCTGCCTCTCATCTTTCTCCTCAGTGCAACCGTCTTCACCAATGGCCAGGTCATGTCCAAGTGGGGCTCCTTCCAGGACTGGTACATCGGCGGCAACATCTTGATCATTATCGGAGGCGCTCTGTTCTGTAAGTTCATATGGTAATCTTCCTGGATCTGGGCTGACTGGAGGGGCTTTAGCGCGGATCACCGCTGAGACGTCTACTTCGGCAATATACGGCTATGAGGCTCTGCTCGCTCTCGGTTCTGGCGCCATCGTACAGGCCGGATATACGGTCATCTACCTCTTCATCAAGCCCGAAGAGAGCGCTGATGGAGTGAGCTTCATGACCCTTGGTACGTCGGAATCCTTGAGTGCTTGATGCAACTGATGCTGACATATCCTTAGGCCAACTGGGAGGCATTGCTATTGGTCTTTCCGTCTGCGGGGCCGTTTTTCTCAATCGGGCAATCGTTTCGTTGCAGCCGCTCCTACCGGACATGAGCCGGGTTGACATTCAACGTGCCGTTTCAGGAACCAGTAGCAGCGTCTTCCTCTCATTGCCCGAGGAGACAAGAAAAGCAGCGCTGGACGTGATCGTTAAATCTCTGACCAAGGTGTAAGTGATCCTTTGCAGACGTGATATTTCAGTACTGAAAAAGTGATTTCAGTTTCATTCCGGTGTATGTTGCCGGTGCGGTGGGACTGATTTGCTGTGTTTTCATCAAGGTACGTGTGGCAGGGATGACAGGGTTTGGCGACAGCAACACTGACACGAAAACAGAGGAAGAACATTGGCCGAGTCATGGCTGGTTTGGAATAGATGATCGTCAGTAAAGTCTATCTTTGTCTTTTGAACGATAGAAAACGGACCCAAACTCCAGGTGATAAATCTCTTGGAAGGAAATTGTAAAATGGCGAAGGAACGAAAGTCTAGAGTAGTAAATGACAAGCAATGATCAAATCTCGCAGTGCGGATGAACTTGAAAGTCCCGGTTCGGCGGAGTACAGGCGTGCAAGGACTTGATCGCGGTCCGGCCCTTTGATGCTGTCAAGGGTGTCGGCGAGTTCATCCGACCACCCAGACCGCTCACGAGCATCACGCCATTCCGTGGCTGACCGAGCTCCCCACACATCATTGGGGGCCGGCAGCGGCATGGAAAAGATGTAATCATCATCCAGCGGCTCATAGTAGTAAGACGCACGACCGTTCTCGTCACTGCCGGTGAGGATGTTGATGATGTTGACCATGAAGAGCGTGCGACGGACGGTTTCGGCCACGAGCCAGCTGGCCCAGTTGGCCGCACCACCAGAACTTAGCTCTTGAGAATGGTTCTTGCGGAATATTCGGGCCATCTGTTTGCACACGCGTTAGAATATGAAGGCAACTATAGTGGATTGCACGAGATTTCATCTTTGATACTGCACTCTTCGTCAGTGGGCAGTTGCAGCAAATGTCCAATGGATGCGAGATTGAAACCTGAGCAATCCATCCGGACATGAGATTCAACTACCCACGTGACAAGCATGCGAGCTTCTTGGAGTTAACCAAGTTGGAATGATGAAATCCGATGCGAACGGCGGAGGTGAATCTCCTACCTTGAGAAGAAACGGAATATGGATTTCAGCTGCCTTCATGTTGGTTTTGGAGCTGCCCTCGCCATTATCCAATAAAGCCGAGATTTGGTAGATAAGCATTGCATGGAGCGCATCCCACTCTTCAACACACGACAACTGATGCTGTCACGGGTTAGTAGGACGCAACGACCAAGCCGCGGGAGGGACTCACAAATTCGTGCATCAGACGCTCACGCTGGGCGGCGGTTGCGCGGCGAGCGAAGCGAGCACTTCTCTCATTGGCAGTGGCTGAATGGTAGCACAGGGCAGTTCTCGATTGGACCATGGCTGTGATATCACCGTAAGAGCCTTGGAAGGCGTACAGTGTATGGTGGACGAGCGGGGACCTGTAATCGTCCTCCATTAATAGGTCGGCGTAGTTGCATACGATTGTCAAAAGGTCCTCATGCGTAAACGTGCGACGGTGCTTGTCAGACAAAGGCAGATCGAGGTGACGAGGGCCCGACGAGGTTGATGAGGCGGCAGAGGATGGCGTGTCACCAGTCAAACGGCCGCCTTGGCCGCTCGAAGACTCAAAAAAGGGCGGCATTGTGTCGCTTCCGGTGCTAGGTAGATCGGTCCCTTGCAGGAGCGCCTGAGGAAAGAGGCTGGACCAGTCAGGCAGATATAAGTCCGGAGGGCCGCCAGCGTTTAGCGCTGGATGCATGCTAGACTTGGGAGTCGCCAGCAGGTCACCAAAAGCACCGGGGGTGGGCATTTCAGCCGAACCCGCGCGCGGCGACCAGATTATGGGGCTCGTGGAGCCCTGTAAGCCTTCCATCTGCAGCGAGTGAAGCAGCGCATCTGTATCGGCGTCATGCTGACGGACGGGTTGTTGGCTGGAGGTCTGGAACGAGCAGGGCTGGCGGCGAGCAAGGCAGCGAGAGCATGCTGGGCGGGTGAGGCAGCATTTGGACTTGGTGCGGACGCAATCGTCGCAGGCCTTGCGTTTCGATGTCTTGGAAGCGTTCTGGCAGCGGCGGTGATGGCGGGCCATCAAGTCGCCTGGTGGGGCGAGTCAGCTGAGACGTCAGACGGAAAGGCGCGCGAGGGCAGGCTCACGGCGAGCAAACTGCTTGTCGCAGAGCGGGCAGGCGAAGCGCTGCGCATCCTCTGACATTGTGGATATGGTGTGGTTGTGATCAGCGGAGGGAGGGGAATGATGGCGGAAGAGCGGGCGACGGCGTCTAGAAAGACGGGCAACAAGGGCCCTCGCGCCATTCAGCCCCCAGGCTCCTTCCTGGCGATGCGCCGCTGGGTGGCTGCGCCGGAGCAGCAGCCATGATTATCGCGGGCGCGTTGTATGGGCGAAGCGAGCGCGGGATGGTCCAGAGCTGGAGGAGGCGATTGGCGAACCGTTGGCCTGTGGGGGAAGGCAGCAACAGGCCCTCCCAAGGCCTCTGCGCGGGAGGTCCCGAGCCGAGCTTGGCTCAGGGCGTGCGCCTTTTCCGTCGCTCCTTCCGCTGCGCGTCGCCCCGCACTTGAACGCACAACACTCAATGTCAAAACTCCATTGCTGCATGTTTTCTAATCTATGGCCCCTACAGCACGCTCTGCTCCACAACCAAGCGAACCTCTGCTGCCTGTTCGCCCACGGCATGAGCCGTCGCCGGTAGAATCGCAATCTCGTCATCTGCTCCCCGGGCTGCCGCTGCCGTCAGCGCTTGCACCACCTTCATGGCTTGCCCAGGTGATAGTCGCGGGTCGCACAGCGAGCGATAGTGTGGGAAGCTAACGGCATCGTTCAGCGCCTGCGCACGCTCAACGCACTCAGTAACCTCCTCGCCCGTCTGCTCCAAGTGGAGTCCGCCCAGGTGTGATCCGCACCGCGCATGCACCTCAAACGTCTTGCGCACTTCTGCCGCCACCGATTCCACCATCCGTGTTTTCACGCCGTCGGCCGTGCTGAAGGTGTTGCCGTGACAAGGGTCGCACATCCACACCGGCACGTGTCCGCTCGCTTTCACAGCCGCAATCAGCCGCGGCAGCACGCGTTCAACCTGTACGGCGCCCAGCCGCGTGATGAGTGTAACTCTCCCCGGGCTTCTTGTTGGATCCAGGATAGCCAGGAGGCGTACCAGCTCCCCGGCGTCGGTGCCAGGCCCCAATTTGACGCCTACTGGGTTCCGCAGCCCACGGCAGTACTCGACGTGTGCCCCATCAAGCCGACGCGTACGTTCACCAATCCAGAGGAAATCAGCCGCAGTGTTGTAATGTCCGTGCGTGACGGCTGACTCGAGGTGCAGATTGAGCGCCTCGTGCGATGTGTGCATTGTCTGGCCGCTGCTTTGCCCATCAAGAAGTTCCAGGAATGCCAGGGTCGTCGCCGCTAGGTGGTGGCCAACCAGCAGTCGGCGTGGATCCGGCATGCGAGCTGTCGTATCGCGGCTGTTGATGTTGTCGCCCTTGAACGGTGGGACCTGCCTGCCGTCCGCCAGCACCTCGAAAGCCGCCGACCTGGGCTTTGCAAACTGCCCGGCCATGCGTCCGATCTCCACAACCGGCTTACCCAGCGCCAGCTGCAGCGCCTGGCTCTGTTGCGATAGCAACGCCCTTTTCCCTGCAATGATGTCTCCGCGCACGTCGTCGAAACTTTCGGCGCAGTCTCCACCTTGCATCACGAATGCCCGCCCGTTCGCCACCTCTGCCAGCTTGCGCCGGAGCGCTTCGATGCGTGCTGGTGCGATGAGAGGACGCATGGTCCGCAGCTGCGCGCACACGCGGTCAAGCGCGCCCTGGTCGGCGTATTCAATCTCCTGACTGATGGGCTTTGACTGCCACGAGTCTGGAGACCAATGCTCATGGCCAATGGTGGTGCATGTAGTTGCTTCCAAGTGGATGACAGGAGCACGGGATCCCGTGCTCGAGGACTGTATCTGAGCCAAGGTCGGCATCGTCAAGACAAATGCTTTGTTGAACAAACGATGAGTAACAGAAGATTGTGAGGGACTCCGCCGCTCGACCCCCTGCCACAGTTTATATCCAATAGCTCCTTTCGGATATGTCCTGACAGTCTATGTATGCCTCCGCTCCTAGTCCACAACCTCTCGGCGTGTCTTGCTGCCGTACCCTCGAACTCCGACATGTGCTGACGTCGGTTAACGGAGTCCCTGTGCTAGCGCAGGCAGATACGCCTTCCTCAAACATGCCCGAAGGATTCGGCGGAGTTGGTTGGTGGTGGATCGTGGCGTGCAGCACGGCTGCCCTCTCCGTACGCACCTGCATACGCATCTCTCTACACTCCGGCGAACTGTTGTCCGGAGATTACCATTCGTCAATCACGAAGCATCAATAACCAATCACACTGCATCGGAGCATTCGCACCGGCTCGGTTTCGCTTTCTTCTTTGCACTATGCCCAGGCAAATACGACTTGCTTGTTTCAGAGATCCTTGCATTGCAATGAGCTTATCTAGACTACCAAGGAGGGAAAATGCGAGATCTCAAAAACGCCATTCGCGACACACGGCCATTCTCTGCCGCCTTAGACTTCCAGGTACCGCGGTCCACTTTGGGCAATGCTATCAAGCTTCGAAAGACCCTTCAGAGCCCTCCGGTTGATCTTGAAGCTTACAGTAGGCAACTTTGGCAAGAAAACAAAGCCTCCGGTGAGTTGCTGCAGCCCGTTCAACTTTTCAGCTGCCCACGCTTCAAGGCTTGCATGTGAGGCAATCCTGTCCTTCTCTCCCTCCGAGCTCAACACTACAAACGCCGTTGGGTGCTCTGTAGCAGTGACTTCGTTCACACACCCAGTCACCACCACCTGGGCTACAGCTGGGTGCTCGAACAGAACGGCCTCAATCTCAGTGGCTGCGACGTGCACGCCATAGCCACCGCCAACACGGATGAGCTCTTTGAGCCTGTCCGTGATGAAGACGTTGTTGTCCGCATCGATGTACCCAAAGTCTCCGCTGTGATACCAACCATCCTCGTCAAACGCAGCTGCGTTGGCAAGAGCATTGTTCTTGTAGCCTCCGAATGGGCACACCGAGTTACGGACGAGGATCTCGCCTCGGTCACCTGGTCCCAGATCCTCTCCGGTCGTCGTATCGACCACTCTCGCTTCCATGCCGTTGACCAGGACGCCACTCGATCCAGCCGGGCTGTCGTGGCCGTCAGTCTGAATCGCGATGAGTAACGTCTCCGACGTCCCCCATTCCATGTCGATGTGGACATTGTTGAGGATCCTAGAGATCTTCCGCTGCAGCCCCTCATGCATGGGCGCTCCTGCAGAGAGCAGCCATTTGATGCTGCTGACGTCGGGCTTCGTCTTGGAGGTGTCGTAATTGGCTAGCGGGGCTGCAAGAGCCGGCGGGACGAATAAGAAAGTGATCTTGTGGCGCTCGACAATGTCGAAAGTGGTGGGATCGAAGGGCTTCTGCATGATAACCACCGGAATGCCTAACAAGATGTTCAGGCCCATGTGCAGCTTGGCGTTGATGAAGAAGCCCAGAGACAAGGATGACAGCCATGTGTCTTTGTCTGGGTCCGTGTTGGCGGGAATAGTGTGCAGCGTGGACTGCAGGACGGCGATGAAGTATCCGTGTGTCGTCTGAACAGACTTCATGGTACCAGTAGAACCGCTGGTCCTGTTGACGAAGGCAACAGTAGATTCCGCTTCTTCTCGCGTCTCCAGGTGGAAGCCGTGGTACTCGGGACACCCATCGTTGAAAAAATTGAGCTGGGAGCTTGTGCCATCAAGAGCGAGGAGCGCGACGGATGGCAAAGTCGCGCATGCTTCGAGTGCCTTACTGAGCAGAGGTAGGTCTGTGACGAGCAGCTTCGCTTCAGCCTGGTCCAGCCGAGACGTGACATCCTTCGCCGCCAGCTCTTTCTGCAGAGGCACCAGTTCGACTATGGCCCCAGCTGCGAGTATTCCGAGGTAGGCGATTGGGTACCCGATCTTCACGTTGTTAGTTTGATGTCATCGTACTCAACTCAGCAGAACATGTACCGAATCCGAAGCCAGAATCCCAATAGTATCCCCTGGCTTGACAGAGTACCTATTCACCAGCGCGTAGGCGAATTGGCGGCTTTTGCGTTCCAGCTCAGCCACGGTCAGAGTCTCATTGCTGCCATCGACGCGGTAGATGACCCTGTCCGAAGGATAGTCTCGACGATGGTGGAAAATCCATCGAAAGACATCCTCGGTGGCAGGCTCGGGTTCAGGAAATCTGGATTTGAAGACCATTTTGATAATCTTGTAAGTTGTTGAAGACTGTTTTGTGACAAACTGAAGTTGATCTCGACTGCACGCGATCAATTCCAACCAGAAGCTCTTGTGAATGTCTCACGAGATCCAGTTTTATAGTCATGCATCTAGGCCGCGCCGTTCCAGCAAGCCGTCGTACCTCCGCAAGTGAATCTGACAAAATGGGCATCGTCGTCGTCCACTCGTCGTACGGCATGAATGTTACTCCGTGCTCACGGTTTCCGTGGTCCTTCACGCATCGCTCCGAAGGATCACCGGACATGTTCGTCCCTGTGTTGCTCATATGGCGCAACAGCGCTGGAAGGAGCCGGATGGAGAAAGGAAAAAGCAAAGGGATCAATAGGAAAAAATCGTGCTGACGGCCCGGCCCATTGTCTGCATTTGGCAGGAGGCAACGTAATCGGTCGGTCGGGGCGAATCGCTTAACCAGGTGGAAGGATTGTGGCGGGTCGAGACCGTTTGGCTGTCAGGTCGATGTGAGATCGGAGTACGTGCCGACGAATGGGGCTGAGCCAACACCAGGGGTGTGGTTCCTCCGGTCTCCGGCGTATCGTACCTCCGGCGTACGGCTGCCTGCCGTACCTTGACCATCGTCACGTACATCCGCGAGGTTTTGGTGAGTCCGAATGTCAAGCCAGGGCCATAGTTGACGCCTCATTCCAGGTGTCAGGCAAAGTACTGCTCCTTCCTCCATGTCCGAACAATCACTCCACCTTTTTCAACGCTCGTCCGGAGGCGCTTGGACTATAAGAGATAAAAGATAGCAGGATCGGAACAGTACCAACAAGCCGCATTCTGAATAGGAAAAAGATATCGCAGTGGTGAGGTCTCTTTCTTCCCTCCAATCGCGTTCCTGCTCGTGTAACGAACCCATCCAAACCATGCCCTTCGAGCCTGCCGCCCTCCCCGTCGTCGACTACTCGATCCTCGCCGGCGGTGGATCCTCTCCAACCGGCGACGACGACAAACATCACGCCGCGGCGGCGCTGGAAAAGCAAAAGCTCTTCCATGCCCTCCGCGACGTCGGCTTCGTCTACCTGCGCGCCCCAACCATCTTCTCCCCGTCGGCCGTCGTCGAACCGCTCTTCGCGCGTAGCCGGCAGTTCTTTGCGCTGCCCGCGGCCGACAAGGAATCGGTGCTGGGTCGGCTCGACCGCGCGCGAGGGCCCAGCCAGGGCTACTCGAACCCGACGCGGTTTGCAGCAAACCCGGCGCGCGCGGACCTGAAGGAGTTCTTCGGCATGTACCGCGACGACGAGACGGACGCGGCGCGCGCGAACCAGTGGCCCGCCGCGCTGCCAGAGCTGCGGGCCGACGTCACGGACTTCTTCGACCGCGGCAGCGAGGTCGTGCGGACGCTACTCGGCGCGCTATCGGAGCAGGTCGGCCTAAGGAGAGAGGCGCTGGCGCCGCTGGTCGAGGAGCGGAACCATTTTGTCGCACTGCTGTACTACCCCGAGGCCGAGAGACGCGAGTTCAAGGAGCGGGTGCGCGCGAGCGAGCATACAGATTACGGCTGCATGACGTTGCTGTTTAATGACTCGGGCAAGGGCTTGCAGGTGAAGGGGAAGGATGGGGAGTGGCATTACGTCCCCCGGAAGGAGGGATGCGCCGTCGTCAATGGTGAGTGAAGTAGTTCCCCAGCGATGGACCTGTCGTCACATCTTCACCCTCTTTCCCGACATCCTTGTTGCATGTGCTGACAAATGGGATCACGGCCAGTCGGCGACCTCCTTTCCCGACTCTTCAACGGCATGCTTGCGTCCACGCTGCACCGTGTCGTCGAGCCGCCTGCGCCTCGCCGCAGCTCGGCGGAGGACCCGGAGACGGCGGAATCGCTCATCCCAGCCCGCTACTCGATTGCCTTTTTCGGACACTTCAATGCCGATGCGCTCATTGGGCCTATTCCTGAGTGTATCTCGAAGGAGCGTCCGAAGCAGTTTGATGCCGTGGTGTCCGGAGAGCATGTGAAGCAGAAGGTGAGGGCGTTGCACGTGAAGGGCAACAGCTAAGTTAGTCGTTGGCTTTGGGTTGGGAAATTTCTTCTTCCTTTTAGCTTTTCCAAATTTGGACCTTTTACAAGAGAGTCGGGCAGGTTGGGCTAGCCCTTCCCTTCACCCTGACTGCTTTACTGGCCGAAATTCGAGTAAAAATTTAAAACTTCCGGTCTGTATTGAGCAAATGCAAAACTGATTCTTGAGCGATGGATTCTACTCGTCCAACTCATAAAGCTTATTGACGTGAATGTATAATTAATCATGGTGTGAGCGAAAATTGAATCCACGCTAGCCGTCGGCTGCAACACCCCCTGTATGATTGCTGGTGACTAGACCCTCTAAGATTAGGCTCTACCCAAGCATTCTTATTCGCCTAATTGCAACTCCTGCGGCGCAGCAAGTGGGGGCTAAAACTTGGCCCCTTTTTAGGCTTATCAGCGCGTAGTTTTGCCGCACCCACACCATCATCTCCACCAACAGAAACACGCAGGCATGGCATTCTCGCAGAATTCACGGAATATCCGACTTGATGACGGACTGATCCTTCGGGCTGAATGCCAAGATTTCACAGGCGCGTGGAAGGATGCCGAGTTCCCTTTACGCGAAGTGCTTAGAAGAAGAGGCAACGCTTTATCGCTCGACACTGGCACTGATCAGGATTTCCCGATCCACGCTTGGCTCGAGGGAACCGTGCTCCACGCGAATATGCGCGACGTGGATCCGAGTGGGGACCTTGCATCCAAAAGTACAGCCATCGATCTAAATAACTACCTCAAGATTGATTTGAACAACTATCTGAAAAACTCGAATGGCAAGTTACATTGGGTCAATAAAGCCGGCGAGAATGGTATGGTCTTTGAGGGAGGGTCAAAAGAAGAGTAAGCTTTTGTTCCCGGGACTATAGAGACTCCTCTTCCACGCTAATCAACTATATAGCTCCAAGATATTCCAATACACACCTTTACCCAATGCAAAATCAATCAGGCTTCTGCGACTCTCTCGCTTCGACAACGAAGGGGAGTTTGTCAAGTGCCAGATGGAGACATTCGAACTGGGTCATCACCCCCCGTTTGCTGCACTGTCCTACACATGGGGTAGCCCATTCAGCACGGCATCACCAGCAGTAAGAGCCTCTTTTCACAAGCAAAAGCCACGTACCCAAACTCAGCCTCGATAGCTCCAACAGCGTTACGCAGAGCGCATCATGATCCAATGCAACGGCAAGCGCTTCTCGGTGCAGCGCAACCTGCACGACGCCCTCCTCCGCCTCTCGGCACCCGCAACATGCAACGACGAGCCGCGGCTGGTGTACGACAAGACGCCTCTCATCTACTACGCCGAAGTAGGCAACCTGCGGCAGGTGGTGCGGCTGCTGCGCGGGGGCGCCGACGTCGGGGCGCGTGACGCGTTCGGCGAGACGGCGCTGCACTACGCGGCGGGGAACGGGCACGACGACGTCGTGAAAGCGCTCGTGCTGGCCGGCAGCGATTTGCGCTGGACGAACGGCCGGGGCGACACGCCGCTGATCGGCGCGGGCCATTGCCGCCACGGGAACTACAAGAACGTCGAGCGGTTCCTAACGGGCTGGGAGCGCAGGCATGGTTCCCCGGTGCCGCAGCGGGAGACGGGGTTGAAGAGGCTGCCGGCCGAGGAGGAGTATTTCTGGATCGACGCCATCTGCATCAACCAGGAGGACAGTGAGGAGAAGGCCGGCCAGGTCGCGATGATGGGCGAGATTTACAAGATGGCGTCTTCGGTCGTGATATGGCTGGGCCCGGAGCGCGAGCATTATGCCGACGAAACGATGGAGGCGCTGCGGGAGATTTGGAGGTTGGAGGAGGCACGGGTGGACGAAGACGCGATGGAGAAACTGCTCGAGAATCCGGCAAGCATCCTCGAGGCTGATTCCAAGCATGCCAGGGTTGCAAAGGAGTGGTTGGATTCATTCTTTGAGGAGGCAAAGTTGAATCTGGTCCAGGGCTGCAACTTGTTCAAGCGAGCCTGGTTCGACCGAGCATGGACCATCCAGGAGATGTGCATGGCTGGCCATCTCACTGTGTTGTGTGGCACCGTTGTCATACCATGGAGCACATTTGTCTTGGCTGCCAGCATCGTTACTGGTTTTCAGCGCTGGCAATTTGGTAATGACGGGGTTTACAGGCTTGAAGAGAACCAGGTTCCAGCGGGATGGGACCGTATGCGGAACCTCACTTTGGCCGGCAGGTTCCACACAGAGGCAGCAGTCATCGACATGGAGCGCACGAGACTACAGTTGAAGAAACATGGGGGCAAAATTTCCATGATTTCAGCTCTGTCCTTGAGCCGTAATGCAAAGGCAACAGACGTGCGGGACAAGGTCTTTGCGGTAAGGTCATTCACAGAGGCACACAAACTCGTCAATCCGGATTATACCATATCTCCCCTGGATCTGTTTGTCAGGACAGAGCAAGCACTTCTAGAAACATGCGGCATTCCTGCCCTTTCTTTAGCCGGTCCCACTACCCCCGGAATGCCGTCGTGGGCCCCCTCCCTAGGATCGGAATCACCAATCAGATTGCGAGGAATCGGACGCCTACATAGCCTCGTGAATACTCAGCCAGTTCAGATTACACATGAAGGAAGGCTGATCGCTCACGGGTACGTGTTCGATACCGTTGCTGAGACCGCAACTACTTCTTTGCTCGATGTCGGAGACCAGCTTGAGGGCTTGGTATCGTCAGTTCTTCTGGTCATTGCTATGGTCACAAAATCGCCTACTGAGAGGCGACGGGCGCTTTTCAAAGCGATGATTGAGTATGAGACAACAGACGGCGATTTTGAACCCCTCGACAATCAAATGCTACAGTGGATCCTCTGGAATTCCCTTTTGGAAATCGTTGACCATAGAACCACGTACGTGGAAGATGGTAGAGGAGACATCACTCGAACGGTGCAGCCAAAGAACGGTAGCTACTGCCTCCGGCCCGACGAGAGGAGGCTCATGTTACTTGAACTACTAGAACACATTTTTGCGCACCTAGGCATTGACGTCGAGAGGAACAAGATGCTCAAGGAGTGGGCGGACCCGGAGACATTTCGTGCCGGTAGTGAAAGATGGAGCCACTTGTACTTCATCACGGCCTCGACTATTCCAGCATGCAGCAGCTTTTTCAGGCGCAAGAGCTTAGATTCTTCTAGGCGCATATTCAGGACCACGGGTACCTGTGTGCTTGGAACAGGCCCCAACCAGGTCACAGCTGGTGACGCTATATTTGTTTTGGAGGGGGCTAATGTGCCATATCTGCTGCGTCAAAGCGCACCTGGGGAATATCAACTTGTAGGCGAAGCATACCTTTCGGAGGTCGATTTCAAGGATCTGCTATGTCAGAAGCAAAGGATGGAGCCTGTCTGTATCGTCTAGAACCACAAATCTGGAGAGACGTGATGGGGAAGCTGGCCGTTGTGCTCTCGCAAATCAGCCCAGGAACTGTAGGGGTCTCACCGCAGTGTGTGAGGCCGTCTAGGTTAGCGGTCGATGGCACGGTGATTTCAAGTAAAGCGAAAGCTCGGTATATAGACTTCATGCGCTCCTGTCACAAATAAGTAGATTCATTGTTTAGAGATTTTGCTGATGTGCGTAGTAGACATATAGGCACTTAATAATGGATCTATAAGGCTCTGGGTCATCGTAAGTGATCACACCATCAATGAGTGGTAACCAAAATGTCGGATTACAAACGATCGAAGTATGCTATCGCAGACGTTTGTCGTTGATCGGCTGGCGTTGGTGATGAAACCGGAAAAGCAGACAGATCCTGGCATATGTAGCGTGGTGGCACATATCGAATTTGATGTCGTAGATCACCTATTTTCAGCGTAAGAAGTAGATTAACGGTGTCTAAATGCAAGAGCCACTCAAAAGCTTTGAAGACATACCGAGGCATCAGGACAACCACGCGCTTGTCAAGTAATATTATGTGGTAAAATCAGTCAGCAGAAGATATGCGGGGCGCCACACACGCCTTTCTACTTTTCGGAATAACGCCTGGCCAAGGAATAGGAAGAAGAGGCGGCGTTAGTAAAGTGTGAGGAATGAGAAACTAGTAAAGATGTAGATCATTTGGTGGCTCTCAAATGATAAGCACGTCGCACTGTTAATGGGCAGTATTCCCCGCATTAAGACAACCGGACCGCTGTCGGTGCAGCTGTGCCGCAGGACAGAAGGAACAATGAACATTGCCAAGCCCAGCCGAGTCATCCCAGACCAATGCGCGCCGATGTATGTAGCCCGTTTCACACATCTAACAAAGTTTCTAAGCCGCTACCAAGCCGAAATACAGGAGCAACAATTGGCTGCGTTTCTGAAGTCAGATCGCGAGATCGCGGGGTCGTAGGACACTGGTTCACTGAATCCTGCATGTAGTCGAAGCTGACGTGAGAACTCAAGGTTCCAGCTCCTTTCCTTGGCAATGGTTTAGTCAGGGTTCTGTTTCATGGCGACGTCGCATATGGGTACATGCTAGTTCAAATCGGCTTGCTTGGTTGTCAATCGATCATAAATTGCATTGATTCAGTCATGCCAGCACAGAAGCTTCGTTCCACTACAATCTACCACATTTCTCAATCAAGCTACGAACATTTTGCTACTCAATCCAGTTTCGCAATGTCTGACACTAAGCCCTCTGCGCCAGTGCCCCCGACTGAGCTGGGCCGGTACCGCATCCTCTCATCTACGGCAGGAATCCGCGTCTCCCCTCTGCAGCTCGGGGCCATGTCTATTGGCGATGCCTGGTCCAATGTCTTAGGCAGTACAGATAAAACCCAATCGTTTAAACTGCTCGACGCCTTTGTCGAAGCCGGTGGTAATTTCATCGACACCGTAAGCTCGAAGCACAGTCTACTTGCTCGGCAAAATACTGAAGATTTTCCAGGCCAGTAACTACCAAAATGAGCAGTCAGAAGAGTGGATTGGCGAATGGATGGCCGAGCGCGGCAACCGGGACCAGCTGGTCATTGCTACCAAGTATACGTCGAACTACCGCTCGTACGCAGTTGGCAAAGGCAAAGCGCCCAATAGCCACGGCAACCACCGGCGCTGTCTGCACGTGAGTGTGCGCGACTCTCTGAAGAAGCTCCGCACCGACTGGATCGACATCCTGTACCTGCACTTCTGGGACTACACGACGTCGATTGAGGAAGTCATTGACAGCCTGCACGTGCTAGTTCAGCAGGGCAAGGTGCTGTACCCGGGCATTTCGGATACGCCGGCCTGGATCGTGGCAGCCGCCAATGAGTATGCGAAAGCGCACGGTAAGACGCCGTTTAGCATTTACCAGGGGCGCTGGAATGTACTTCGTCGTGACTTTGAACGCGAGATCATTCCCATGGCACGCCATTATGGCATGGCGCTTGCGCCCTGGGACGTGCTCGGTGGCGGGCATTTCAAGACAAAGGAAGTGCTTAAGGCGCGGCAGCGCAGCGGCGAGGGCGTGCGCTCCTTTATGGGTGGCGTAACAGAGGCCGAAGAGCGTATCAGCGCTGCTCTCGAAAAGGTCGCCGAGGAGCACGGCATCAAGTCTCTAACTGCTGTAGCGATAGCGTACGTCATGGCCAAGACGACGAATGTCTTCCCGATAATCGGCGGCCGGAAGGTCGAGTACCTGCATGACAATATCCAGGCGCTGAAGATGCGGCTCACTCCAGAGCAGATTGCCTACCTGGAGAATAGCAGCCCGCTCGACATCGGCTTCCCGACCAACTTCATCGGCGAGGATCCGCACGTCAAGGGTGAATCGGGACCGGATCACGTTTCCAGTGCTCCAATGGCTTGGGTCAAGTATCCCAAGTCTATCGATCAGGCGTAGATTCCAGGGATGGCCTGATGAACGACTTCAGGGCAAATTTCGACGTGTCATATTTCTTTCAGAGGCAAAGATCTGGAATATGTTAGGTCAGACGACAATCATTTTTACTCATTTCATGTGCGGTTTAAGCTATCTTCCGAACGTGAGTGTGCAATTGTTGATTTCACATTGACGTCTGGATGACAGCCTCAACTGCCCACTTATGTCAAATATTGAAGACTTGGTGTACCAAGACAAATTGATATTTACTAGCAGACTCCAGAAGCAGGTTGGTCTCTTGCAGGCTCTAACACTGCCCTTTTCGGATTTGTGAAATAGCTTAAATAGATGCATTTCAAGTGTTCAATTTTGCGACCGTAAATTGAACAGAGAAAGAATACAGAAGCAAAAGAGCTCTATACCCACTTAAAGCTCGATTCATCATACATGACAAATGACACGGAAGAGAAACCTACAGAAGTCATACAAAACTACATACATCATCTCAATGGCTCTTGGCGCCCTTCTCCTCGTCAAGCAACCCAAGCGCCCTTTCCAGCTTCTTCCGATGCTCCTTCACGGCATACACGGCCTCCTTCATGGCCATGAAAGTGAACAGTCCAACCAATGTCAGGATGACAAGGCAGATGAACACAAGAATAATGATGGCGAAGACGTTCCCCACGTCGTACAAGTGCTTCCAACTCGCGCTCTTCCACCCTCCTTTCTCCGTGTTTATTCCCAGATTGATAGCGCCCATAATAAGGTTAATACAACCGAAGGTGAACAGAAGCGGGCCGTAGAAGCGTGAGAAGTAGGCGTCGTAGTTGCCGTAGGCTTTCTCGAAGTTGAAGTCGCGGAGCACGAACTTGGCCCAAAAGTTGAGCCTGCTGAGGCGGAGGTCACCATAGTGATACCGCAACGAGACCTGGTCGTCTCCCACTTTAGTGTTGTTGAACCAATCAATGAAGGCAATGAAGTCCTCAAACGTGATCTTCGCCGGCTCTTTGTCCTTCTCCTTCTCTCCGTCCTTTTCCTCGCGCGCGTCAGCCGGCCCCACACCCACATTCTCCGGAATCAACCCCTTCGACGTCGCGATTGCAAAGTCGGACGGGTGCTGCACGAGGTACGAGTAACTCCGCATGAAACCCAGCGTGCTGCTCACCACCAGCCTCCCCTCTTCAGTCGCACACCACTCCTCGGTGAAGACGGCATCCCAGAACTCGTACGACAGCAGGTATGCCGGGATGGGCTTGAGGAAGATGCGCTTGTCGTGCCACACGCAGTGCAGCTCCGGGTTCTGTGAGACGGTAACATCACGCCCGCGCACCTGCTGGTGCGTCAGCGTGTTGATTGGTCGATCGCGCGTCGCCGCCGCTGCGACCATCCAGAGCCAGTGGTAAAAGCGGTCGAGCTTGGGCGTCTCCAAGTCGCGTTTGAGGAAGGCGGCCAGATCACTGTGCAGTAGGCGCGTTTGCGGGTGGCCCGGCAGCCGGTCGGGGAGCTTTTTGGAGGTCGAGGCGAGGCAGAGGGTGTTGTTGGTTGTGGGCTTGTGCAGGCCGTGGAAGAGCGAGTGCTTCGGGATGAACGGCGGCCCGAAGCTGTGGGCCTTTGGCTTCTCCATTGCTGTGGGGTGATTTGCGTGGTGGAGGTCGCTGGGATACCTGGCCGGCAGGAGATGCGGTTCGAAATGAAAAGGAAAATTCGAGAACAAGCCAACTTTTTATTCCGTGCGCTCGGATCTGTGCGAGCGTTTACCTCAATGGATTTGCTTCTGTTTTTCGGCCTCGTTGTCTGCTTGTAGCGCTTCGTGGGGGCCGGGATATACATGAGCGATTGGCGCGCATAAGGTTGAGGCCCCACTCTCATACGTGGCCGTCCGCTAGGAACAGCTTGGCGGCGGCAGAACCTCTCCAATCATGCAGGTTGGGGTCGACATTCAGCACGACCCTGATTTTCATTGCGCGTTTGGGAGGTGAGCACGACACGGCATACGTCCTTAGCTGTGGTCGAATGAAGCTCAAAATTACAGGATGTACCACATGAGATCGGAGAAGGATTAGAAGCGTAGGTTCTTCATTTCAACCGAAAAGAAGAAAGAGTGGTTCGAGTCCGGCGCGAGTAAAGTAGATGAGGAAGGTGGCGAGTGGATACCAACCAACGCTGATACCGCAACTGCACCGGTGAGCGATATTCGAATCCGCCAAGCAGCACAGCCACTCTATCGGAAGCGGAGGCGAGCGCTTCAAAAATAACGCACGAGTCGAGAGGTTCAGAACTCCGCGTCGTATGTTGTCAGTGCGCAGATCCTGGTGCAGATCACCAAGTCATCGTGGACTTTGTTGGACTTTTCACCGCCACACAGCCTTCATTATTTGTACTAAGCGATCCGCAAAAAGAAGTGTTAGATAGCAGAATAACATTCTGCGCCTTATAAATATCTGTTACCCAGCTATGTATTCAAGTATATTCTCTAATTAAGATTATACAAAGTTTAAGAGGCAAATAAAAAGAATAGAGTAACTTTCCCTCAGGCATCCTCCGAAGGGGAATTTAAATAGTCTATAGAGTTAACTATCTAGACTTTTTTTATATCCGAAGTGTCTTTACGGCGCCTATATGTTATTTCGTCGTCCCGAGGAATACGTCTGTTTTTTTCTTTTTCCTAATACGAGACTCTCTATACATGTAATTGAGATTCGATTCGGGGTAAATACTTAGTCGATAGCGCCCTCTGTGACGTTACTTTAGTGGTATTAGAAGCTGAAGGTAGGTCATCTAAATGTCTTCTACTGGAGACCATTGGGTATGGTATCGCATTAGTCTGAACGGACTGTCTAGCAATGACTGTAATAACGCCCAAGCCTAGATCTACTTTGTAGTAATGGCAAGCGATACGTCGGCTCCAAGCCCCCACGTTTTTCCGCCTTCCCAAGAATTTCATGGCAACGATGGGCCATGGTCAACCTTTGGTCTACGCGCTAGCACACCGGCTCAGAATTTTCATATCCTTTTATCCACGAATGGTGTCAACACCGTGGCCCTTTTGACAGAATGCTGCGCCGCGGATAGCCCCGATAACATAACCGCCCCATCAAACTGCGGTTCACTTCGTGGCGCATTCCCTTTCAACAGCCACGACAGCTCGGGCGTCGCGATAAACGGCAGCACAACATGGCAAAGCATCAGTCTGTTTGAGCTTCACCTGGACAACTAGTACGACATTAACGTGAGCGCCCGGTACGGCTACGACACAATCGGGATGACGGTGCAAAACAGCGGCGGACTAACACTTGACGGACAGCTACTTGCAGTTATCGCTCGGAAACAGTTCTTCCTCAGCATCGTCCCGCTCGCTACCAGACCCACTAACTTTTCCGCTTTTAACACTCCTCAGCCGAGCTACCTGACAAGCCTAAAGGATACCGGTATTATTCCTAGGCTAGGCTTTTGGTATACGGCAGGTACTCGGTACATATATACGGGCGTAACGGCAAGTTTAGTGTTTGGCGGGTATGGCATGTCGAGGTTTGAAAGTAGCAAGGGAAAGACGTTCGTTTTCGGGCATGACGACGGTTTTAACTTTATAGTGGGGTTGCAGACTATTGTAGCTGAACACGCGTTGAAGGGGACAGTCTCGCTTCTCATGGATGGCATCGTTGCGAGCATTGATAGGCCTGTAGCTTCCAGTGGAAGGTCTGTGATAGGTTTCAGGCCGCCTTCAGCTTAAAATATATTGAAGTTTCACAGCTCTACCTCGCCAATAACATAATAAACGAACATTTGAAGCAGTTGAACCCAACTGTTTCCATCGCATTGGGCGATGGCAACGACTGCGCCACCTTCCACGGCAGGGACTGGGGAAGGTGGCGCAGTTGTCACTGATCTTCCGTATGCGGCTTTCGACTCGCAAACCAGCTAGCCACTTACAGAAAACACGACAAACTACTGACCGCTGAAGCGCGCTACGAACAGCACGCAGCATACCCTCGGCCGAGCATTTTTATGGGAATCTTATGTCCGGGAGGAAGAGATATTTAGTTTTTCATTTGAACAGCCATAAATAATTTTCTAATCTTATAGGACATTGAAATCGCAGCTCGCGTTGTGTAGAAATGGAGCTGGTTGACGGAGGGTGTAAGTACTCGAGTACGGATAGACTGTTTAGGAATCTCAACAGAAAGCCTTAGGAGCTTGGGACTGTTACTATAATAATCATTGAAGCCGTGGCGGGCTACGTGTGATGTCGTGTAGTGATAACACGCCACTTCTCTTGATCGGAGGAATAATCACGCCGAGAATCTCCTTATCGTAACCAAGAGGGTCTCGTTACAGCGAAGCTACGTACGTTGCGGGCTGCTGGATTGCATCACCAGCAGTTGGAATTCTTTCCACAGCCGAGGCATGGTTCTGTCTGCTGTGCTTTGACATGTGTTGGTGTCGACTTTGCAAAAACGTACTTCTTGGCGCTTTTCGCTGCATACCATTCCAATCCCGAACGCCTCGAGAAGGATCTGAAATCAAGCGACAAAGCTTATTGGACAATAGACTCATGCCTGTTCCCGATCTGCTTGAACACATGTGCGAATTTCTGACGATGGTGGTGGGTCATGACCGCCGTTCGGCCGCAATGGAAAGTTGAGTAATCATCCGGACTGGAACTGCCGACGGAACAACTTCAGCTCTAGAAGAAGAGAATAAGTGCTTACATCCGTATTCTATGCAGGAAAGCATTTGTATAAAGCAGGGGGGTTGGATCTGCCGAGATCTCTTCTGCGGCACCCGTCCCGGCCGATCGCAGCAGGAGCCTCATCCCAGGAGCTGCCGCCAAGCACGATCGAAACCATTGTGCGTAATTCTGCAATGGGCGACCATCCGGAAGATAGCTCAGCACCGAGCTCCATCAGTGAAGAGGGCGGCGATGGCGCCGTTCAAGTTGACAAACGCAACCCAAAGAACTGGAGCATGCGCAAGAAGATAATGCACACGCTCGTGCCGGGTCTTTTAGCATTCGCTATGCAAGCAGTTCCCAAGAAATGTGATACCCCGGATGCACAATCCACTAATACACCCTCCCAGTGTCTTCTCGACGTCGGCCACCGTTCCTGCCACGCCCATCCTGATGCTCAAGTTCTCCATCAGCCGCACCGTCGCCACCCTTCCGCTCACGCTCTATGCGCTCGGCCTCGCCTTCGGCCCGCTCTTCACGGCGCCACTCTCCGAAATGCTCGGACGGCGGCCCATCTACATCACCTCTGTCGCGCTCCTCCTCGCCTTCACGGGCGGTGCTAGCGCTGCGCAAAATCTGGCCACATTGCTCGCATGCCGCTTTCTGGCAGGCTTCTTCGGGTCTGCCGGTGTTGCTATTGGCGCTGGCACACTGGCCGATGTGTGGGATGGGGACCCCGCCCAGGGCCCCGCGAGTATCTTGTTCATCCTGGGACCGTTCTTGGGGCCGACGCTGGCACCCATAGCCAGCGCCTATACGCTGCATGACCGAGACAACGATTGGCGCTGGACGCAGTGGCTGGTACTGTTGATTGGTGCACCAGCCATGGTGGGCGTGGTCCTGATGAGCGAGACGTCGGTCGTGAAGCCATCGTCCGAGAAGGCACAACAGCGTATCAGCCTCGGCAGTTCCGTGCGCATCCTCCGCACCGCCATTGCGCGTCCGACGCGCATGCTGTTCACCGAGATCATTGTCGCGTCGCTGACGCTGTACACGGCCTTCGCCTATGCCATGATCTTCAGCTACTTCTCCAGCGCGTCTTACGTCCTGCCGCGCTATTACGGCTTCAACATCCGTGAGGTCGGCCTGAGCTTTATCGCCGTCATCATCGGCTACCTCCTCGCTACCGTCCTGTTCGCCGTGTCTGACAAGACGCTATATGCGCGCGCGGCTGCGGAGGCTAGGGCCCAGGGAACACAGCCCAGTCCGAAACATCGGCTATACTCGGCCATGGTAGGCAGTCTTTTGTTGCCTGTGGGTTTGTTCTGGTGAGTCAAGGTAGTGTGATACAGTAGCTGGTGAGCTGACTGGCGGTGAACAGGTATGCGTGGGAAGCTCATGCCGGCGGCCACTGGGCTGCATTGGTGGCGAGCGGCATCCCTTTCGGCTTCGGCGCCTTTTCCCTCTTCGTGAGTATTTTCATCTTTGTATTTCTTTATGACGTTGCTGACAAAAAGTCCTCTATAGGTCTCGGCGATCGCTTACTTGGTCGAAGTATACAAAGCAGGTGCTGCAGCATCAGGTGAGTATCCGTCCCCTCGCCAATCATGAGACACGTCGCTTATGATTCCAAAGCCCTTGCGGCCAATGGTACTCTAAGATATATCTTCGGCGCCGTATTTCCTCTTTTCACAACGCAAATGTATGAGAATCTTGGAGTCCATTGGGCCGGGAGTGTCTTTGCTTTTTTGTCATTGGCGCTCCTTCCGATTCCATGGCTTCTGTTCCTGTACGGGGATAACTTACGGACCAAGACAAAGCTTCAGAGCGCCGTCTAAATACCCAAGTATAGCGTTGTATCAGATTTGGCGTAGACGGGAGACAAGTTAGACATCGGTTTAGGTAACGAACTAGAATAATATTTAATTGTAGAACTCGTTGGTGGAAAATACCCATGGGAACGTATAGATGGTAGATAAACGACACATACTGCTATGAATCCTGATCACGATGTATTTTCCATGCGGATTTGTTGGTGAATGCTAATCACTGAGCGATGAGGTGTATCAAACAGAGCTACTTCACGCCGTAGTAACCCGGCGAGCATGGTGTTGGTGGGAAACACGCCAGACAAAGGCGAGAATATTTGTAGCGCCCGGGCTTGGCCTGCAACTGTACGTCAAACGGTCGCCCCGAAAGTCCTAACGCTCGTCTCTTGATGGCCACTACCCCGATGGTTGTTTCATAGTCCGGGATTCATCGACCTCGGTGATTGAAACGTCTCGGAGATAAGACCACTCTCGGCCTAAAGGTACCTTCGGTGATAAAGACTTGACCGGGAGCGAAACGCAGTGTAGGCTCGGGAGAAGCTTGAAACAACGTCAAATAGTCACTTCATCCAGAGCGAGATGCTCGCTGCGGACATTATATCTCCGAACCCGGATCTGAGCAGAATGGTGGTCTAGCTGGATGAGGTGAGGGCGGAGGTCTCGACACGGCACTTCCTGGCACGGGCGGGAGAGAAACCTCTTCACGACGGCAACGAAACTAAGGGGAAGCAATAGGAGCAAAACACAATGGGCCGACTAGGCCCGGCATCGGTTGGAAGAGCCATGACGATATGGAGCAAGAAAATCACACGGTACTATAAAGGAGCGGTTGGGCCGAAAGGCTGCGTTTGGTTACCGGCTCCCAAAGCATCGCAAAAGCTACTCTCGTTTCTCTCGTTCTTTCCGAATCAACCGGCACCATGCCATCCGCTCTTTGGGCCGCAACCACTGCCGCCGCCCTCACCGCCGTGAAGGCCGCCACCCTCAATGACGTGTGTACCACTTCGTACGCTCAGTCCGCGCTTCCGGCCGACGATGTCTACCCAGGCATCACCATCGACAAGACTTCGGTCCAGACGGCCATGACCACCAATTCATCCGTCAGCTCTGACTGGTATCCCTCCAGCGTCATAGACTACTGCAACGTTACTTTCGCCTACTCCCACAATGGAATTTCCAATGACAAGGTCCATGTCTCGTACCTTGTTCCTGCTCCGGATAAGTTTCAGAACCGTTACCTCTCGACCGGCGGTGGCGGTCTGGCCATCAATTCGCAGTCCCAGTACAGCCCTTCCGGCATCATCGTCGGAGCCGTTTCCGGAATCACCGACGGTGGGTTCGGCTCGTTTTCCACCAGTTGGGACGACGTTTTCCTTCTGGCCAATGGCACCATAAACTGGCAGTCGGTCTACATGTTCGGTTACCAAGCCCACCACGAACTGGCCACGCTAGGCAAACAGTTCGCTCGCAACTTCTTCAAAGTCCCCTCGAGCGAGAAGCTCTACTCTTACTACCAAGGCTGCTCCGAGGGCGGCCGTGAGGGATGGTCGCAGGTCCAACGCTTCGCCGACCAGTTCGACGGTGCTGCTATCGGCGCCCCCGCCTTCCGCTATGGCCAGCAGCAAGTGAACCACCTCACTTCAAACGTAATCGAGCAGACGCTGGGCTACTACCCGCCGCCTTGCGAGCTGGAGAAGATCATGAACCTGACCATCGCCGCCTGCGACAAGCTGGACGGTAAGACGGACGGCGTCGTATCCCGGTCCGACCTCTGCAAGCTGCGCTTCGACCTCAACAGCACCATTGGCACGCCATACTCCTGCGCCGCTACCTCAGGCTCAAGCTGGGGCTTCGGGAATCTCGAGGCCAGGGACTTGGAGCGGCGTCAGATGCCATCCGCCGCCGAGCCGGCGCAGAACGGCACCGTCACGGCCCAAGGTGTCGCCGTTGCCGCAGCCATCATCGACGGCCTGCACGACTCTGCTGGCCGCCGGGCCTACATCTCGTACCAGCCGGGTGCCAGCTTTGAGGACGCTACGACCGCGTACGACTCGACGACCAACACCTGGGGCCTCAGCATTAGCTCGCTGGGTGGCGAGTGGGTCGGGCGGTTCCTCGAGTTGCAGGAGGTGTCCACCCTGTCCTCGCTCGACAACGTGACATACGACACGCTTGTCTCCTGGATGAAGTTTGGCCAGGCCAAGTACGGCGACTCGCTGCAGACGACCTTCCCCGACCTGTCGCCGTTCCAGGCCGCCGGCGGCAAGGTTATCCATGTGCATGGTGAGCAGGATGACTCGATCCCGACCGGGTCGTCGGTCCATTACTACGAGTCTGTCCGCGGCGTCATGTTCCCAGAGCTGCCGTACAACGAGAGCGTTGCGAAGCTGGACGAATTCTACCGCCTGTATCTGGTGCCCGGTGCGGCGCACTGCGGCGCGAATACCAACCAGCCCAATGGCGGATGGCCGCAGACGACGTTGCAGACCGTCATTGAGTGGGTTGAGAAGGACGCGGCGCCCGCCACCCTGAAGGGTTCGGTGGGAATCGATGAGATTTGCCGCTGGCCACTGCGTCCGCTGTGGTCGGGCAACGGCACCGCATTCGACTGTGTTTACGATCAGGAGTCGATCGACACGTGGAAGTATGAATTTGATGCGTACAAGATGCCGCTGTATTAGTGAGGATTAGCTATCAAGGTGGTGTGAGTTTGCAGCCGGATATATGTATGATAAGGGGCAGGCCTTAAGCACAACTTACTAAACCAAGTTCTTTTAAATACATTCTGTCCGTCAACTATTTTTCCCGAAAGGTGTCATAACATGGTGGTTTTATTCCAGCATGCTTGTCCATGAAAGAGCCGCTCGATTCATTCCTCGCTTAGCTCCCTAAACCCTTCAGCCGAGACGAGCTCTTAAAGCCTGTCTACCATTCCACCAGGCGGAATAAGGCGGTATAAGTGGCGTTGTTTCAAGTTTCACTCATAGCGGGAAAACAAAAAAGCATACAGCAGAGATGACTGTTCATCAAGTAGACTGAAAATTTGAAGATCTAAATAGATGAAAGAGCGATGATGCGGGAATGTAGATCTTAACCGCATTTGGAGCATTGTCTCAGCCCCACAAGGCTGACGCCCTGAAAGTTGAACGTCGAACGTCTAGCCCTCGAGGCATCACCCACTTCTCTCATAGTAAAATTGAACGTCGAACGTCTACCCCTATAGCATCGCCTACATGACTGAAAGTCGAACCCTCGAGGTATGAAAGGCCCACGCGTAGTTTGAACGTCAAACGTCGGACCCTCGAGGTACATCTGCATGTCTCACTTTAAAGTCGAACATCGAACGTCGGGCGGCCCTGGACACATCATTCAACAACCATAAAAGCAAACGTTGAACGTCGAGCCTTTGAGGCGTCGCCTAGAGCGCTTAACACCAAGTCGAAGGTCGGACGTCTATCCTCGACACGTGGACGGCTTGGCTCGAAAGTCGAACGTCGAACGTCGGGACTTGAGGCGGCGGCCATACATATCTCACCGCACAGCATCGACGCGGGCCAATCGGCCACTTTCTCCACCCAACGCTATCTCACACCAACCGCAATCAAACTTGTCATCGTGGCTTTTCCGAACCCGAGCTTATTCCAACCCATTGACTGTTCCGCTGCGTGAAAGTTGAACCATGCCCAAGGTACCTGCAAATTGCTTCTTCTCCCAGCCCCTGCAGCTTGCATGCATGTGACATCTCACACGGCTGAGCCGCAATTTCAGCATGTTGTTTCAAATGGATCACGCTGCACCACGACAGAGAATCGATTCGGAACCAAGCAAGCAACGTTTCCACCCATGTAATGTACATCAAACCGGAGTCCCGACCACCTCGCTTTCCTTAAAAATAGCTATTGAGTTAATCTCCCAGTACGCCTCCTCGAACGCCTCCGGGTGGGCGCCGACGTAGATCTCGCACGACTGCTTTTTCTTCTTTCCCTCGACCGACGGACATTTCGACGGCCACGCATTACCTGCCCAGTCTCCGCAGAAGGTCGTATCGAAGATGAAGCGATGCTCGACAAAGTGGGTATCGACGTCGCAGCCACGGCCGCCTGCAAACACGGCCTGAGGCAGCCCAAACTGCGAGATGTCCAACGCGCCCGAGTCCAAGTCCCTCCATACCGCCACTTCGCTGTCCACCTTATCGCGCGGGAAGAACCAGATCTTGATTGCGCCACTCGTCCACTGCAGCGCATAGACACCGCCGCCATTTGCATTGAAGGCATCCCCGTAGCTCTTTCCCGTTGACGCACGCACGCGACATCCCTCAGAGCCCGCGCAGGTGCCCTCGATGCTCCCCAGCGCCGAGCGCCGCGGTGTTTCCATGGTGCAGTTGTCGCCCGTGTGGATGACCATCTGGTTCGTCTGAGCCAGGTGGATGTTTTCGAGCACGTCGATCTCGCCACCTTCCGGCCACGTGCCCGACCCCAGGCTCCACAGTGCGGGCCAGATGCCGCAGGCCGCGCCGGGCATGTGGGCAATGTCGAAGATGAACAGGCCGTGCGTCCAGGCTTGTTTGCTCTCGATGCGTACGCTCGGCCGGCCCCAGTCCTTGCCGGGTGTGTACGTTTGTGCCGTGTCGACGCCCCAGCGCGGGTTGCCGCCATCGGTTATGGCCAGGATGCTCGCGTTGCGTGCCGTCGCCTCGTCGACGTAGTTGACGAAGCCGTGTGTCGGGTCGGTGGCAGCGATGGACGAGTCTGACATGTAGTCTGCCGACGTGCGGAAGTCAAAGTGCGAGAAGAAATCCGCACCTGCCCAGATGGCGTCGCGCGTGTAGGTGATTTTGCTGCCGGTCGTCTCGAACTTCAGTGTCTTGAGGTCGGCAAGGAGCGAGGAGAATTGTGATGACGAGTGTGCTGGAACCAGCAGCAAGGAGAGGGGCAGCAGGGCCGCGAAGCGGCGAGTAATTGGAGGAAGCATTGAGTGCAGTCTGCTACTCTGGAACACCTTGCGCACGAAACCGTGGGTCCTCGTGGCCTGAAATAAGACACCACGAGCTCAGCCGGCCATGCTTCTTCTAAATAACTATGTAAGGCGGCTTCCCCTGCATGAGGCAGAATAATTGCCAATGATGCGCGACGAAAATCCCAGACAGGGCGCCTGTAGCACGAGCCAATCGAAGTTGCAGCGCCGTCGCGATATGGTGAAACGCCGCGCCTGCAGCCCAAAAAGGACCTGAGAGACTTCATGTGCGTGGCTGGCATGGGAATCCGAACGAGCGGTCCACTGGTCGGTGGCTGGGCTTGGCTTGAGAGAAGAGTGGAAAAAATAGCAACATGGCCCTGACCTCTTCTTATTATTGCTGCTGTGTGACGCCGTAGAGCTGCTGGGCGGCTGCCTGGCTGTGGGTGCGCGCAGCTGAAGGAGGTATTAGCAATGCGCTGCATCTCGCCGGCGGCTGCACTGAAGGTGCGTGCGGTTGCACGGGACGCTGTATTGCCGACGTGGGCTGACCGTGGGTGGGTTGAAAGAGCTATCTGCAGTTTGGGTTAACACGTGCGTTTGGCTGCTCGTTCGGGCGTCACGCAACGTTTGCGGCGTGGCTGTCATGATGTCAGTCCCGCTTCCACGGCGGCTATCGATAGCTCTTGCACGTGTAACATTGTCCTGGATGACAAGCGCTTGCGCAAGTGGCAGCCTGGTGCCTCCGCAGCCCTTGCATATGGAGCGATACACTAGTACGGATCAATTTTCTGACATCAGGCAGACTTTACAACCAACAAGTTTGACCTATCGTACATTTTGACACAGATGAGCTCAGATCCTGTTATGGATGGACTTTTCGCTGGAATATTACAGGCCTAGAAAAAATTTAAAGGGAGATACCCTATATCTCTTGGATAAGACAACGTGGAATTATAGGTAAGATATAAAGAGCTACGGCTTATAATTTTATACAGTCTCCCGCGAATGAAAGTAGATGGTAGACGAGAAGTTTTCGGAGACTTTTTTAATTTTTATTACTTCTAATATTTAGCTCTTAATAGTAAGTAGACATATGTCTCGGAACACGCGAAGTCGTTCTCTACAGCAGTGCTCGTCCTGACTCGGGGATAGGTCAGCTCTAGCCGAGCCAGACAAACTGCACGGACATAATATGACCAGCTTCGGAGGTGTTCGGAGGAGCGTAGCAAAATCGGCAACGGCTTCATGCCCACTTCCCGAGCCCACCCATTCGTATCTAACTCGACCTTTCAGACCTTGTAGCATGCATCCACAATATCACGGACAGCTTGGCCGGTTGTCGTGACCACGTGTCTCGTATATAAAGTGAAAACAACCACACCCGACCGACAAACTATCTTCCAATCGGCTCTTCCCAATGACCCTGTACCAGCTCCGGACGAACCTCCTTCAAGACCCACTATGCGTGGATTCACCTGCACCCGAATTCTCATGGAAGATCTCAGCCACCTCCCTCCGCACAGCTCAAAGCGCATACGCCATCGAAGTCGCCACCACTCCCACATTTACAGCAGACTCCATCGTCTGGAAGACGTCCAAAATTGCATACGTTGACCAATTCGGCATCGTCTACGCTGGCGCACCGTTATCCAGCTTCACTCGCTACTATTGGCGCCTCCACATCTGGGATCAGCACAACACCGCTTCCGACTGGAGCGAACCCGCCTCCTTCGAGACTGCTGCCCTGGATCCCTCTCTTTGGAGCGCACAGTGGATATCGCCAGTGGTTGACAAGTCTCGCAACACCAGCCCGGCCTATCTCCATGCCACCCTCGCCCTCCCCATCGCAAAAACGATTCATCGCGGCCGCGCCTACGCCAGCGCGCTCGGCTGGTATCGGCTCTTGATCAATGGGCACGATGTGACCGGCGATGCGCTAGTGCCCCGGTGGACCCCTTTCGACCAGATCGTCGAGTACCAGGCCTACGACGTCGGCAGATATCTCCAGCCTGAGGCAAATTCAATCAGTATTGTAGTCGGTGATGGCCGCTTCCGTGGATTCCTTGGCATGTTTGACGGCAGAGAGAGGTATGGTGATAGGCTGGCGGCATGGGCGCATTTTGAAATGGAGCTGGAGGGAGGGGAAAGGCTGAGGTTTGGGACAGGGAAGGAGGGGTGGTGGGCAGACCAAGGGACAATTGTGGCATCGGATCCCAGGCTGGGGGAGCATGTGGATATGCGTATCAGAGGTATGCCGGCGGAAAATGTGGAAGTGGTGCGGCCGTTGGCCCAACGGCTGGTTGCAGAGTCGGTGGAGAGGGTGCGGTGTACCGAGTGCATCCTGGCGAAGCAGGTATTCAAGACGCCGTCGGGTAGGCAGATTGTCGATTTTGGCCAAAATTTCGCCGGTTGGATCAGGATCAAGCTTCACGGGCCCGCAGGGCGTCGGGTAGTGTTGACATACAGCGAGGTATTGACGAAGGGCGGGGAACTGGACACGAGCTATCTCTGCCCTCCCCTCCGACTTGCACCTCAGCAGGATTCTGTGATACTTTCCGACGATGGATTGTGGTTCGAGACATGGTTCACCATTCACGGCTTCCGCTACGTCGAGATCCAAGGTCTCGACCATCTCGTTGACCCTGCCAACGTCCAAGGCAAAGTCGTCCATTCCTCCTTTCCACGCACTGGCCACTTCGCCTGCTCCAACCCAGCCATCGAACGCATCTACCGCAACCTACTCTGGAGCGTCCGCTCGAACTTCACCGACATACCCACCGACTGCCCAACGCGCGAGCGCTCCGGCTGGACCGGCGACATCCAGGTCTTCGCGCCAGCCGCGACCATGTTCTTCGACTGTCAGGCCCTCTTCCGGCACTATCTGCGCTCACTCTCTCTCGAGCAGCTACCCGACGGCACGGTGCCACCATTTGTTCCGAGTCAAGCATCGGAATTCTCTGGTGGAATGGGCTGGTTCCCGAGAAAGACAGCGCAGGCGACTGGTTGGGGCGATGCGGCAGTGTTATTGCCCTGGACGGTGTATCGGTATTATGGAGATTTGAAGGTGCTCAGGGATCAGTATGCGAGTATGCAACGGTGGGTAGATCAACTGGAACAAAGAGCCCGGACGCAGAAGAGCTGGCGCAGGTGGTTGTTTGGCGGCGTTGGTGACGGTGAAAAATACATCGTCGACACCGGTTTCGATTGGGGGGAGTGGCTGCGTCCCGGCGAGGGTCCTGCCATGAGCTTGTTTCGCCAGGCGTTGGTGGGAAATCCGTGTATTCCGACGGCCTACCTCGCCCATTCGAGCAGCGTATTGTCCAAGATTGCAAAGATATTAGGTTTAGACGATGATGCTACGTACTACGAGACGCTAGCAGCCTCCACCCGCAACGCATGGCGCACCGCCTTCGTCCGTCAAGAAGGCCAAGATATGCGCATCGGAAATGACACGCAAGACGAGTACGTCCGCGCCCTGTCCTTCGACCTCCTTGAGCCCGAGCAGGAAACAGCCGCCGTATCCCGCCTCTGCCAACTCATCGAGCACGTGGGCTTCCACCTCGGAACCGGCTTCCTCAGCACCGTCATGTTGCTCCCCACACTTGCCTCACACGGTAGAGCCGACGTCGCCTTCCGTCTTCTTCTGCAGGATACGAAGCCGTCCTGGCTTAGCCTTCTCGAGAAGGACGCCACCACCTTTTGGGAAACTTGGGAGGGCTACGACTCCAAGGGGAACGCTTCCTACTCGCATAATCATTATGCACTCGGTGCTTTTGCGATTTGGCTAGAAGAGGGTCTGGCCGGTCTCACACCGGCTGAGCCGGGGTACCGACGTATACGTGTGGCGCCGCTGGTTGGTGGTGGCATTACCAGCGCCTCTGCTTCGAGAGACACACCTTTTGGTCTTGCTAAAGTCTCATGGGAACTTAAAGATGGAATCATGCATTTGGAAGTCGAGATACCACCCGGCACCACGGCTGATGTATACCTTGGTTCAGAGGTAAAACGGGTTGAGTCAGGCGGACATAGATTTGAATGGAGATTCCAGTCTGACGATTCTAGATAGAAACGATGTTTCCTCATCCTCTGAATAGATGTATATAAACAGGGTAACTACATTTCCTAGAAATATCACCAGCTAAGGTATCCTAAAGAGCTTGAGATAATCCTAGTCTTTTTCGGTCGCGAATGTTCAGTCTAAACCGTACCGAGAAAGCCCGGTCTCGATGTAGAGTCCGGCTAGAAATATTTACGATCTTGAACCTGTAGTCCAACACGAATACGATAAAGTTGCTTGTTGCTGCGCGATAAATGTAACTGAAAGTCTGCGTTTCCGTATTCGTATACGATACGACATATATCTAGCGCTAAAAACAATCCTTGTCGGCTTCCCCGCTCTAAAGTTCCCTATTAAGCATGTCGGTTAATATAGAAAACTGCTACACGATCATCTCATTCGCTCTTAAGCAGCGGATTGTCGATCCCACGTTTTTAGCCCTCTGGTTTGGCAAGTTGAAGGTGCTCGTCATATGGTAGTCAGGACAGCTTGGCGGGTCTAACATCTACCAGAGATTAATGTAGGTGCGTCATCATACACGCAAACCCGTCCTACCTTTTACGTAGATAAAAGCGTACAGCCTTCTCGCCATTTTCTTCTAGTGTATAATCCTTATTTTACTCCGGTGACCTTGCAGTCTATCAATCTTCTTGATACAATGTCTGCCTTTAAGCTTCTCTGCGCTGCCCTCTTTCTAGGTCTCACCACCTGGGCCCTGAACATTTCTGCCGACAAACCAACACATGTCGGGACATTCGAAGTCCCATCTGCAAGGGTCCGCCCTCGGTTCAGATACTGGCTTCCCGACCCTGGCGTGAACAAAACATTGCTAGCAGAAGACATCAAAGCTGCCGGTGACATCGGTGCGGGCGGCATCGAGTTTCTCCCCTTCTATGGCTATGGAGGAGTGATAGACACCTATATCCCCGCCGCTAATTGGTCGAAAAATGGGTTCGGTACACCTGCATTCCTAGACGCGTTTCGCGTCGCCTTGAAAGCCCACAAAGATCACGACATGGTCATGGACTTTGCACTTGGTCCAAATCAGGGGCAGGGTGTCCCTGCAGAGAGCACCGATGAAGGACTTCAGTGGGACTTGGTAAGTCTTGCATCCATTGGAAACATCCGCTTTTAGCTCATTGCAGAACCGAAGGTTCCTCATTACTCCCGCGTACCAGAGAACGGATCCTTCACAGGCACCATTCCCGGCTGGGGAGAAGGAGAGCTCGTCGCTCTTGTTTTCGCAGAAGCATCGGCAGAAACAAATGTCTCAATCCCCGGCTCATCGCTACAGCCGCCCGAATACACCTCTTACATACGCCTTACTTTGAGCTTCGGTTCTTTAAAAGACCTGACAACTCAAGTCACGTCATCAGGCCATGTTGCTTTCAACTTCGGTGCTCCAATCAACCGCGCGAGATTCTGGCTGTTTGCATTCTACGAAAAGCAAACCCTGGTCAAGAACCTAGACTTCCCATACAACGATACAAGAACAATTTTCGACAATGGATCATACACTGTAGACCACTTTAGTGCCGCAGGGGCCAAGGTGGTAGAGAATTTCTGGAAGAGTCACATACTCGACAGCAATGTAAGGGAGTTGTTAGCAGATGTGGGGAACTATGGTAATTCCCCCAGATTTCAGTCGCGTTCGATACGAACTAACGCTGCGGAAGCATGGGAGGACAGCATGGAGCTTACATCCCATATCAACTGGACACCTGCGATCCCTGCCAAGTTTGAACAGAAATACGGTTACTCCATTCGTCTTTTTCTCCCTCTGATCATGTGGGGAAACAACAACATCGGCCTCCAGCCGTCGGATCCAGGGCAAGTCCAATGCTTGCTTGATACTGAGGATGGTGGACAGGGTTACATGAACGACTACCGCGAACTCCTCCAAGACTGTTACAGAGAGTACCTTGAGGAACTAAGAAGATGGGTCCACGAGGATCTCGGCCTGCAAACGTCATCCCAGGTATCGTACAATATGCCCATGGATACAGCAGTCAATGTTCCATTCTCTGATGCGCCGGAATGTGAAAGCCTCGGATTCGACAACAATGTGGACAGCTATCTCCAGTTCTCAGGCGCAGCTCACTTCGCAGGTAGGAGAGTGGTCTCAAATGAGATGGGGGCGGAGCGAAATAAGGCGTATCAACTAACAATTCCTCGCTTGATTTGGTCCGTTAACCGTGCCGTGGTTGGTGGTGTGAATCAGGTCATCATCCACGGGCAAGCTTTCTCTGGGAACTACTACAACACCACGTGGCCTGGGTACACCCCGTTTTCATATCTATTTTCAGAAATATTTACCAACAAACAGCCTTCTTGGAACCACGGATTGGCGGAAGCCATGGGATACATGGCAAGGGTGCAGTTCGTACAGCAGCAAGGAATCCCCAGAACGGATATTGCCATTTACAACAAAGTCTCTACAAGGATTTCGGGAATTGCCATGCCCTATCAGCTCGATATATTGGTCAAGGATGGTAAGCCATAGTCAACGGACCAAATTGATGAATGCTGACAGACGAAGGGTGGACATACGAGTACCTGACTGCAGATAATTTCCGCCTCCCACAGGCTCATGTAAAAGACAACGTACTCGCTCCAGATGGCCCACGCTACAAGGCCTTGGTTCTTCCGGAATCAAGCAATCTGACGCTCGAGGCTACACTTAAACTGAAAAGCTTCGCAGAAGCTGGTCTACCGATTATCTTCAGTGGTAATGCACACGGTTATTACAGTTCTGGGAATAACAGCGACCGAAACTCTGTGGAATCCGCCATCTCGAACCTATTAGAGTCTGAGAATGTTCACTCCTGCGAGAGCCAACACCTGGTGCAGCTGCTATCCTCCATCGGGCTGAGCCCTCAGATTCGTACGGAGACAAACGGTACCCTGTATTCGACGTGGCGAGAAGATGAGACTGAGGGACTCGACTATGCGTTCCTTTTCTGCGATGGCTCTCCTTGTCGAGGCAGAATTTACGTCTCAACCACAAAGGTTCCCTACATTCTCGACCCTTGGACTGGGGACAAAGCGCCCCTTTTCGTGTTCAGTGTTGAGAATAACAAGACTGTATTGCCAATAAACCTCAAAGGCAACCAGACACAGATCATCGCTTTCGCCGAGAACACTCTAGACGGCGCGATCAGGCCCACCTTTCACGCCACCTCGGTCCCCCCCAACCTCCTCGGCTACAAGTACGAATCTCCAAGCAAAGTTCACCTCCACCTCGGCGTACTACAGTCCGAGTCTCAGCCATCGCTCACACTCTCCACTGGCCGCTCACTTCAACTCAGCAACGCGTCCACCCTGCTTTCCAGTCTCCCACTCCGCAACTGGACTCTCACTGCCGAGCACTGGGAAGCACCATCCAACATCTCCGACGCTACCACCATTGCTCACAAGCATAACTCCACCCATTACTTAACGACTCTTGCCCCCTGGACTCAAATTCCCGGCCTCGAGAACGCCTCCGGAATCGGCTACTACCATACTTCCTTCCCCTGGCCCCCAACCAACAGCTCAGCTACAGACGGCGCTTACATCCGCTTCTCGCACGTGTTGCACGCTATCACCGTTTATGTAAATTCAAACCAGCTACCACCGATAGACAGTAGCGCGGCCGATGTGGACATTGGGCCGTATCTGTGCCCTGGACAGGACAATGAGGTACTGGTCGTGACGCCCACGACGATGTGGAATTATTTACGGTCCATATTTGGGCGGATCGAGAATGTGGGGGAACCACCATTGCTGGAGCTTCTGTCACAGCTACAGGGAGGCGAGCTGCCGCCGAGCGTGGAGGCGGGGATGGTTGGGGAGGTGGAGGTTGTGCCTTATGCGAGGTATAAAGTGGAGATGTAAATGTATTTGAAAGGAAAGTAGTGCTACCCTGAGAATTTCACTACAACATCTCTTTGTAAGCAGGGAGGTCCCATCCTCTAACATCCTCTCGGAGAATCCAACCGAAAATGTTTACCCTTAGCAAGGAGAGTATCCAGAAGAGGCAGTTCACAATGGCAATTCCGAGCGATGTCGATGCCATCATGTCCCAGATTCCATCCTTTTTCGGCAACCCTTTCTGCACTTGATCCATGAACGGTCGGAACTTTTCCTCGTAAGCCTTGAGCGCGGATGCAAGACCATCCTCTTTACCCTCTGTGTCAGAGGGCCCACAGTGCCTCCCGATCTCTCCGGCCAGAATGTAAGCGCCCACCATGGCGGAGGATGTTCCCATCCCCGTGTTTGCTGATGGGCAATAGGCAGCGTCTCCGACAAGTGTCACGCGGCCGTTGGACCAAGATGGCAATTTGACAACGCCCATGCGCTCGCAGTAGAAGTCCTCAGCGTCATCGAGACACTTCAAGACCTCTCCTGTCTTCCACCCCGCGCCCCGGAAGATCTCTGCGAAAGCCTCCTTTTCCTCTCTAACGTCTCCTCGGCGAGCTTTCTTGAATCTCTCGGACTTGGTCTTGCACATGAGATACGCTTGGATCTCGTGCGGGCTGTGCCTTCGAAGGAACAAAACCCGGTTTCCGGGAGCCATGTACGATGTGGCAATGTAGTCATCCCCGTCTTTCATAGGTCGAGGAATGGTGAAGTACGCCACGTAGAGATCACTGAATGGGTAGAATGCATCCGCAGTGTTGGATCCGAGCATCATCTTGCGAGTGCGTGACCCCTGGCCATCTGCACCGACCAAGAGATCAAACCTATCCATCTTCCCATCCGTGAATCGTACCTCGATGCAGCCGCTCTTCTCTTCGAAGCTTTCGATCGATGTCCCGAAGATGTACTTGGCCCGGTTGGCCGTGGCGTCGAACAGAAGGCGGCACAGATCCCCTCTCATGATTTCGAAATCGGTAGTGAAGCCCTGCAGCCCTTTGCCGGACCTATTCGCGGGGAAGTAGGCCCACTGCTTACCAGAGCTATCGACCACCCGGAGGCCCTGCTCTGGAGCCGATTTGGAACGAAAATCCTGTTCAAGGCCCATGCGCTTCATGACCTCGATCCCATAGCCGCGTAGATCCACTTGGAGTCCGGTAGCCCGCAGACTAGGGAACCGCTCGACGATAGTAATGTCATGTCCCAGCTTCGTAAGCCAGAAGGCGAGGGCATTACCAGCGATACCACCACCGCTGATGAGGATTTTCAATGGTGCCATGATCTGTCCCATGTGTGAGTGGTCGGATTTAACCACGTGAAATATACCTAATGCTTAGGAGTTAAGAAGGAACATTGCGTACCTTGGCAAGACTTGATGCGTGAGATTGAGTTTGAATATCTTAATTGATTGGCGAGAACATTTGGCGTTGATGGCAATTTGTTAAATAATGGGTGATGTGCTCGGCATTTTGACACCCATGAGACCGATTATCTCCGCACGATGCAACTGCTGCCAAAGCCCGACTCGGTGTAAGACTGCAGCGCCACCACATCACTGAGAATCCTCATTCAGTATTTCCGGAAAAAATATTTAGAAATGCTACGTTGAAGCGGTGTCACACGCTAATACCGATATCTCCGAGTTTTTCTAACGAAATGTCTTTTAGAGCTCGAAATTACTGTATTAAGCCACTTCCGCGGATGAACTCTAATTTTTATCAGGGATACATGTGCACATTATCCTTATTTTATTTTTTATAGAAGCGAGATTGAGATACGGTAGTGAATTTATAAAATTGTTGGGGCTAGCGTCATGCATTGGTGTGGCGAATGTAAAATTGCACACGCATCTAAAAATTACGTAGCTAAGAAATACCCTCGTCTGCAAAGAAATGTCCAAAGTCCAAGTCAAATCCGAAGTCTTGCCCACTACCAGGAGTTGTGGACACGGGCCCCAGAGCACTGTCGCACGATGAGAGAGCGTTGAGCCGTGTTAGGAGTAAATCATGACAGAACTCAAGGCTATCCCTAGCACTTTGAGCCATCTTCAATTCGCATGATGTGCCCTCTTCCATTGCCTCAGCCTGGGCCAGAATCATGCTCAGAAACATGTGGCTTTTGATGTTCGTCTCACCCTGCCGAATCCGGTCCAACGATAACCACATCAGGTCTTTTACGGACTGCTTGAGAAGATCGATGTATTGGTGGTTGCGGTGTATCGTACCGTCGAGCCGTTGAGCCTCGACCTGGGCGAGTAGTTCCAGACTGATTACAGTGCATGCATACCTGAACCCCTCTCTGAACATGCCTCCGCCGATAGCCATGAGATGGGAGAAGCCTTCGTCTGGCTCGGGCGAGACAATATACATGGCAGCATCCAAACTGGCCTTGAGCGAGTAGTGAAACAATGGATTCGTCCGTGCTTTGCTGGCGAATGGGCAATGTAAAGGAACCATGAATCGACGCACAAGGTAATCCAACAAATTTCGATGGAAGGGTGTCACACCGGATCCTTCATTCTCTTTCATAAAGCTACTACATGCTCGGTATGTGTTGGTTATTTCCGAGCTCAATGCAAGAACATCCAAGTAAGAAAGCTCAGAGTGCAAGCCGTTTAGAAGATGAAGAACTCGGAGACGGGTTGGTAGCGAGTCGAGAAGGAGAAGCTGCATCGAAGTCATGGTGTAGGTGTCCTTGGGGTGAGGCTGTAGTGTTGTCGTCGATTCGTCCATCTCATCATCGTCACAATTGGAAGGCGCCTCCGTGTCAAACTCATCAAAGGAAATCCTGGGCGGCATGGCTGAGTCCAGAGACGATTGCACAACCATCTCTAGTATGGTTGCCCAGAGTCTCCTGCGAAGTTCGGCTTGCAATACGGACATTTCCGGAAGATGTTTGGGATCACGATGCAAACCCATTTGCATGGCACTGTGGATGAGCGATCCCATGGACATCCACACCAGATCGCCTCCAATGGAGAAGATCTGCCTCGCCAAGACTGTCAAGCAATGTATCTGTAGGCCAGTTATTTCCAGACGGTCCTTTTCGAGTGGTCCAGAAAGCCACGACTGGGCGGCATATACCCATTGATGAACTACGTTGCGGAATCCAGCATCTTCTTGCTCATGGAGACTGGATCCAATCCCAATGACCAATAGGATTTTAAGGCGTAGGTCAGTCGTGGCTCTTTCTGGATCTCTCCAGTATCCCTCGTACTCATTCCAAAAGGTAGGCACGTGCAGTATCCGGTGCGTCGATTCGTATGATTGAAAATACAGGGACACCATCTTGTCCGCTACCTCGCGATAAGGCAACGCGAGATTGAATCCAGGACGCGAGAGACTTCTGCTAGGTCTTCCAACTTTGAGCTTCTTCGCTATGTCTTTGCATTTCTGGAGGAAATGGCCCATCTGGGCAGTCAATGCTCTACTCTCGGCGTCTTGAAAAAATGTGCCCTTGCCATTGCCAGTTGCCTCGGAAAAGCAGGCATCGATCATTATGAACTTGCAGGGCAGTCAGCTAATAGTCACGGGCTATATTTTGATGCAGAATATACCTCTGGAGCCGTCCCCAACCAATGACTCCATCGTAAAGTCCTCGTTTTGTTCAAGGTTATCTGCGAGTCCTGCAGACCGGACTGACGCGTGAGTATATCCCGACCGGATTCGGATAGCTCATGTAAAGGATTGGATGCTGGAGGCTCTGGAAGAGTCTGGGCTCGCTGCACTGGCTCGGCTTCCTGATTCTGTGGCCGTGTATCGCTATGGCCGAGGGTGGCGCTCTGTCCTGCTGCAGCTATTACAACCCGGGGCTGGCTACCTTGCTCTACGACGGGTCTAGCCGTGTTGATCCGTGGAGCCTGGCTTGACGTCGATGCCCGTGGGCTGTCATGTTCGGGTTGTTGCCGGACGACGGGCTTATCGCCGTAGATCTTGTAGGTACACCGAACGTGAGCGGAGACGCAGTGTGCGCAAGGATCATTGCGGTCGCATTTGATCTTGCGGCGCCGGCACTCAGTACATGACAAAGCCGGTCTTCGGCGCCTGCGGGGTTGTCGCTCCATGAAGGTGGTGATGGAAGTCCGTCGGCCGTATGATGAAACGTTATCTCCGCATGTCCTTTGAATTGGCGTAAACCCGCGCGCAAGCGGGGTAAGCGGACGTAAGCGAAAATGCCGAACGCCCGCTTACAACCGAAATATGTGGCCGGCGGTTCGAAGACGCAAACTCTAGAAACCCTGACGGGGAAAAATACTCTTGTAATGAGATTATCGCAAAATCTGTCCCAGCCAGCTCGAATTCTCCCGGTGCCTTTGTTTGAAGAATATCGTACTTGTCGCACTTCATCAACATTTTCTCCACCATCAGCATCTCATTGACTGGAGACTCGAGATCCATAACCTTTGTCATTTCTGAAAGTTGGATTGAATGTCGACCGAATCTAGCGCGCGATGCACGTGATATGTTTGCCCCGCATGACGTGAAATTTTGCCAGGCGTGACTTCCCAAACAACCAAGGTAGTGCGCATCTTCCAACGGAGCTGCTTTCCTAATGGATGCAGGTGCAGACAACTCCACTCCTTCCGGAACACGACGCAAGAGACATGATGATTCTACAGAAAGCAGGAAACGAGTAGCGCGCGCGTCAGCGAACCCTTGCGTCTCATCCGCATGATATGCCGCTTACTGCTTGCTCAGGTGCAACGAATGCCGGAGGCTAAAAGAAAAATGCCCCGGCGGTGATCCTTGCTCACGGTGTACTCGATTTCGCCGTCCCTGTGGCTACCAAGACGCCAGACTCCGTACTCAAACTGCCACTCCCCACGACAGGTAGCATCTCCGTCGCTCGCTCCACGACTGGTTCTGATTATCGAAGGGATCTCCAAGGCTTTTTCGATGCAGACAGAATCCGCTTGTTGGAACAAATTGTCGAGCACTCCACCGGGACCGTGTGCTTCGAGAAAGCACGTCTTGCCCATCTTCTCGCCTCTCTCCGCCCAGCAGCTCATGACTATGGCCCTCGTGCGACCAGCGAAGATGAAGATTTCACCATCAACCCCGTGTCTCCCACCTCGGCATGTAAGTTCACTCGCTCACGTTTCCCCGCTGTGACCCTGATATCAGACAAAGTGTATTCCGGAGAGCTCTCTCACTCCAACTTCTCGCTCCGGCTTCAGCAGAGAGTTGAACGTCGGCTGAACGAAGCGGTACCCGAAGTACGCGCCCCAGCATCACCAATCACAAACGTCTCCGCTCACCTCACCAGCTACAAGGCAGACCGGATGCTCCAGCAGATTCACCATCGGCGATCAAGCTTCGCTCTCAGGCATCCGTTGTCATCGATGCGGTCAGCTCTTTCCCACCAGCCGAAGTTGCAGCGTTCCTTGCCGACGTCTTTTTCAAATTCGCCCAGACAAATTATTCGTACGTCGACGAGCAAACCTTGCGGCAAAAACTGGGAAGATTCTATTCGCTGTCTCCAGAGATAGATATCAACGACGCACCTTGGGTCTGCACCATCTTGATGATCTTTGCCATCGGCACACAGTTCGCCCATCTCAGTTCATCAGCGGAAGATGGCACAGACCATGGAGCGGACGACATTCTGGCGCTGGAATTTTACCACAAGGCTTCTGGACTCATCTCAGACGTCATCGCAGTTGCTTCCATCGAAAGCGTACAGGCGTTCCTCTTACTCGGCGTGTACACTCTTCCCATCGATGCCGCGGGCTTGTCCTGCACCTATCTCGGCATTGCCATCAAGATTGCCACGCAAAACGGCATGCATCGCAAGCACCACAAGACACTTGCATCTCGGCAGGTCGAGCTACGAAGGAGATTATGGTGGACTGCGTATACGCTGGAACGGTACACGTGATTGCCCCCTCCTACGACCACATGTTAACACCCTGCAGGCGGATATGCGTTTTGCACGGGAGACCCGTGTCGATCTCACGAGCGGAAATTGATGTGGACCTGCCCCAAGATCTGCCAGAGCTACGAGAGGCGCCACCAATCCACGCGTTGCCGAATATGTTGGCTATGATTAGGCTTACAGAGACCCTGGAGAACGCCAAGGAAGCCATGTAAGGTGTATTCCCAGACGACAAGGATTCTTACCAACTGTGTAGATTCGCGTTCAAGAGGGCGGCTAGAAAACGAAGCCCCGCTTTGATACAGCCAGTCCTACAGCTAAAGCAAGAACTGCAGCAGTATTGGCAAAGCCTGCCCGAAGACACGTTCTGCAGAGACTTGACGCCGGGGAAACCGCTATTTCGTTTCAACATTCACTTGGCTCTGATGTATCACCTCATTTTCATTTTCCTCGGTCGCTCCTTTATACTCAAAGGAAGCACTTTTGAGACGGTGGAAAACGTACAGATGCCGGAGTGGACCGAGATGCGCGACGAGCTTGTTAACGATTGCATCCGCGGTGCCCTAGCCGTCATTGACCTCTGTCAGACTTTGGACAATGAGATGGGATTAGCCAGATCATCATACACCGAGTTTACTTCCTGCTGCGCTGCTCTGCTAGCAGTGCTCGCGCGGCGCATATCAGTGCGGAACACTCGCTTGCAGACTGCATGCGACGCGGGGATCAAGCTCCTCAAAAAGATGTCGGTGGGAGTCTTCTCCGACAGTTCTGAGAAACTCACGGTGGAAGCTCTCGAGACGGCCATCCATCGGCTGGACAGCTGCAGCGTGGCCTCGCCTGCCGCCAGTGGAGTCGCTTATGCGCAGTTCAGACAGTGGGCCATGAACCGGCAACACACACAATGCAACGAGCCGGCGACGCCACGTCAGACAACGACGAACACTCCGCAAAATGCTGATGCCATGCAGGGTCTTTACTCGTTTGGATTGGACGATCTGTCCTCGCTGCCAGGATTGGACCAGTGGTTCGAATTCGGTCTCCATTAGAGGCATGCCGGTTGCTCCGGTCTTCCAGTGCGACCGGCGTTTCACCCGGTCGGTGACCGGATCCGTGACCGGAAAACGGCCAGACCGGAGATCGGCAAGTTGAAGCGGGGTTGCGCAATCCGGCTCAGAGAGATTGTTGCCGGTTGGCCCTTGATTTACGGCAAGTCTGGGGAGTCTGCTGGTCATATTTAGCAGCTCTACATCGACATCTACCACCGCAAATCGCTCGCTATTCAGCCTCCACCATGTCAAAACTCTCCGACTTCCGCCTCCTCTCCTTTGACGTCTACGGCACCCTCGTGGACTGGGAATCGGGTGTGTTGGCCGCGCTGCAGCCACTCCTCGACGCCAACAACACCAGCTTCTCGCGTGAGCACCTCCTGCACGTGTACCACGAGGCGGAACGCACGCAACAGACCAAGAATCCCGGCATGCGCTATGCCCAGCTGCTCACCACCATCCACCCACAAATCGCCGACCGCCTCGGGCTGCCGCAGCCGACTACGGAACAGAATGAGGCTTTCGGCCGGTCGGTCGGCGAGTGGCCAGCTTTTCCAGACACGGTCGATGCGCTGCGCCGGCTGGGCAAGCACTACAAGTTGGTGGTGCTGTCCAACGTCGACCGCGAGTCGTTCGCCAGGACCAACGCTGGCCCTCTGCAGGGTGTGCCCTTCGACCTGATCATTACCGCGGAGGATATTGGCAGCTACAAGCCGGACCTGCGCAACTTTGAGCACATGCTGCGTGAGGTCGATGCCAAGTTTGGGATCAAGAGGGACCAAGTGTTGCAAACGGCGCAGAGCCAGTTTCACGATCACCATCCCGCAAAAGAAATGGGAATCAAGTCGAGCTGGATCGTCAGGCCTGGAGCGGTCATGGGCAATCGCGCTGGGGAGGTCTACGACTGGAAATTTGATACCTTAGGTGAGATGGTAGATGCTCTCGAGCGGGAGTAGAGATTATAAATTTTAAGCGTAAATCTAATAAAATACGGCATATTACTGAATTACCTACATTTTAATTTTTATTTTCTAAATTACCTATCTATTTACTTAATTACCCACATTTTTAATTTTTTAAAATATATTTATAATTTTTTAATTTTTTAAAACTCTAATTAAATAACTAAAAACTATAGCTAAAACTACGTATAATACTTAAATAAAAATATAAAATATATATATATTTGATAAGATATTTAGCTACTTTTACTTTACGTTTTTTTTAAATTTTAGTTAAGATATAAGAGATAAAAATTTTTAAAAAATATACTATAAAAGCTTTTAAATATACGCTATAAAATAATATAATTTTTATTAATAAAGTATTAAATTTTTATAAAGATATCTTAAAAAACTAAAAAAAAAAAAATTAAAAAACTAGATAATTAAATAAATATCTAGATAATTTAGAAAATAAAAATTAAAATATAAATAATTTAATAATTTACTAAATAAAATATTCTTTTTACTTTAAGAATCTTAATAAATTTTTTAAATATCGCTATTTTACTAAAAGATTCTACTAATTTATTAAAATTATATATATACTAAAAAAACTATAATTTTAGTATTTAATATTATATTATCTTTTAAAAAAATAATTATTAAAAGTAATATTTATTTATATTAAAAACTTTAGTTACGATATTACTAATTTAAAAATAACTCTTTTATTAAAATATATTATTTTTTAAGTACTATAAAACTTTAATAAAATTAAATTTTAGTATTATCTTTATTTTAATAGTATTAACTAAGTATATAAATAATAATTATATAAAGAAATAAAAATATACTATATAAAAATATTAACTTATATTTTTAAAATATTATTTTTAAACTAGTAATATTATAATTAAAATTTTTAATATAAATAAATATCGTTTTTAATAATTACTTTTTTTTAAAATATTAAAATTTATTTATAACGCTTATAGCTAGTATATACTATTAAACTATATAAATAATATATAAAAATTATATTATAGCTAGAATATATTTAAAAAATATCTATATAAATTTATATTATATTTTAACGACTAGCTATTAAGTAATTTACTACTAAAGATTTTTTTATAGTTTATTAGCTATATTAGTTATATTTTATTTATTAAAATTAAAACTTAATAATTATATCGCGCGTATAAATACTAAATAATAATATATTTATTAAAGTATATCTACTATAAAGTTTAATAAAAGCTAAAAATTTAAGCTATATAAAAACTATAATAAATTATTAAATTATCTATATCTTTATTTTTATTTTTTAAATTATTTATCTATTTATTTAATTATTTATATTTTAAAACTTTTACTAAATTATCTAAATTTATATTATATTATAATTTTTATAATATTAATATAATATAAAAACTAGATAATTTAATAAATAATATATAATTATAATTAATTTAGTAAAGAAATAATTATTAAAAGCGATTTATATTTATATTAAAAACTTTAAATATAATATTATAAATTTAAAAGTAACTCTTTTATTAAAATTTACTATTTTTTAAGCGCTATAAAACTTTAAAAAATTAAATTATAATATTTTTTTATTTTAATAGTATTATTTAAATATATAGACGATAATTATATTAAAAAAATATATATATATATTATATAAAAATATCGACTTATATTATTAAAAAAATCGCTTTTAAATTTATAATATTATATTTAAAGTTTTCTTATTAAATAAAATTACTTTTAGTAATTTATTCTTTAATAAATAGATTAATTTATATTTATTAAATTATTTAATTTTTTATAAAAAAAATAATTTCTTCTTTATTTTTTAATTAAATTATATAAAAATTTTAAAAAAAATATTATTAAATATACTTATTTTTAATATAAAAACTCTAAAAATATTTTTTTTATTTTAAATATATCTTTTTTATTATTACTACGTTTAAAGTTATTATATTATTTTATTTAACTAGAGTAATATTTAAATTATTTATAAGTTATTTATATATATTATACTACTAGTATTTAACTAGTATTTATATAGTTTAATAGTATATTATTAAAACTTATACTAGTAATTTACTATTACTAAATAAAATAATATAGTAACTTAAAATATAGTAAAAAATAAAAAAAGATATATTTAAACTAAATAAATATATTTAAAGTTTTTATATTAAAAATA